CCCCCCCCCCCCCCCCCCCCCCCCCCCCCCCCCCCCCCCCCCCCCCCCCCCCCCCCCCCCCCCCCCCCCCCTTCAGGGGTGGACTTTCGAACAGGATTTGGCCGAGCCACAGCGAACGGATTTCTGCAAGATGATAGCAAATTGGAACGGACATGTACACAACATTGCCCAGCCATCCTCTGATTAGAATAGTATCTGCGTCTCATGATGAACTAAATAAGCTTCTAGAAGCCTGTGATCACTGTGGAAAGCTCGCAACTGCCACCAATCATGACCCAAACCTGTCTCTCAGTCTCCAGGCAGACAGTTCACGAGGCTTGTCAGATGGGCACCGTCCTAATATCCCCGAGGCATGGACTGGCACATATTACGACCTGTTGAATGCAGTGCAGGTGACTAGACTTCGAAGCTGACTTAGTAAACGCCTCGCAAAATGTGGTGAGGGTGTCGATTCACGGACATGCCGGTCAGACTGGCGACAAGCATAGCGTCACATTGCCCAATAACGTTGAACTTGACCGAGGTTGGCTCCATGAAACATGTGTAACCACGTTGGCAACGAGAGTCGCTGTTGGATGTGATACTAGAGTCAAGGGTGTTTCTTGGCCTTCTAGAACAAGAGAAGAAAATCAGCCTTACCAGTTGTCAACCGCATCCCCGGTGCGAAGAATCCCGGCTCGCCCCTGCAGGTAAGACAGCCCCGTGCCGCAACCCGGCATGATCATCGCCGGTCACCACCATCTGATCGGCGTCTTGCAGGGGTTTTGGCCAATCCGGCTCCCCGATTTCGACCGCCATCCCCCCGATCGCCGCCCGGCTTCGCCAATTGCTTCTTCAAGTGTCCCTCGAAGGTGGCGACATGAACGCACTGAATTCGTTCAACTTCCCATTCGGGTTTGCTGTGCACCTTCTGAGCTGCCAATTAAGACGCGATCCGCCATTTAATGAGACGAATTGTCGGGCCCGCTGAGGTTCGCCACGTTTCTGCGCCTTGGGGAGAGTCAAGAAGGCCTCATTGGATTGAGACCGAGCAACCGCCACCAGTCTGCCTCAAAAAACGACTCTCTGTGGCTGGTGCGGGAGGAACATACATTGCCAAGGCTATTTTTGGTCACAGAATGGCGTAGACTTGAAGTCTCTTTTCTCAGTATCGAAGGCTTAGCTTCACATGGCCTCCCTTTTCGCGACATTTAACACGGTTTAACTAACCTCGGTTCGAAGGTAAAGGTAAAGCAACAGCATTAAATGCTCGACGATATTCGTTTTGATAGCGTTGTGAAGCAATCAATATTGGATTCATCGAAGCATTCTTATGTACATGTGCAGTTGTGAGGGCTTACTGATTCATTTAAGTACAAACGACTGACTTAGCAGATTGATGTCGCACATCTTGAGAGATGTTGGTGATATGAACACCACATATGCCTATGAGGGCTGCCATTTTATGTTAGATTGGTGAAAGAACTTAGAAGATACATATGCCGCTTTTAATAACAGATTATGCTGAGTTGTAGTTTGCTTAGATCACGCCAATGTCCGTTCAGGGCTGCTGCCAACTTCCTGGTCCTTAGTGGCAGCTTCGGCATCCAAATCTTGACCGTCGGCGTCTTGATCTGGGTTGACTTCATAGTATCGCAACGTGCGCAATATGGCGTAGAAGAAGCAGGCTAGCAGCGACCCGAATGTCGGGCCGAATACGTAAATCCAGAAATATCCTGGAAAGCTCCTGTTTACCACAGCAGGACCGAACGATCTAGCGGGGTTCAGTGATCCTCCAGTGTAGTAAACGCCTGGTACACGGATTAGTATCAATAGATCAAGTCATGAGACTCAGATTCATTCGATGAGCACTCACCAACAATCTCTGAGAGAAAGAACGACAGGCCGATGCCGACTGGGGCAAGAAATGTTGACCGATGTTTCTCAACTGCCAACATGAGAATGACGAACACAAGCTGTGCCGTGAGAATGAGCTCGATGAAAAACCCTTGTGCTGTATTTGTTCCTCCGCCGAGGACTGTATCAACGTTCAGCGGGCCGGGAAACATTGCTTCAGCGATACCAGCAGCGCAAATTCCGGCAATAATCTGGATGGGTACAATAAGGAGACCACGATGTACTGGCAGTCCACCGCACACTATGAGGGCGAGTGTCACCTGCAGTGATCGCATATTAGATGATGTTGACATACCCATACCCGAGGCATACGTAGACTTACCACCGGGTTGAATAATCCTCCACTGACTCGATAGAAAGCCCACACGTTCGCAGTCAATGAGACGCCAAAGCAAAGGGCGATGAAAATGATGACTGTCAGATTCGGTTCGACCCCAGCGGAAGCGCCAGGAGATGTGGCGATTTGGGTCCCTGCGAAGGAGAAGAAGAGAAACAGAAAAGTGCCGATAAACTCTCCTAATGCCGATACAAGCTTGTTTCTTGTGGTATCTGCGATGCTAAGCATCGGCAACGAGCTGTCGTTGTCTCCATCGTTCGTCGTCGTGAGCTTCTCTTTGAGGACTTCTTTGACCCGTCTAGGGCTTTTCAGATTCCATGAGTGGTGATGTGGGAAGTGCATATTGCGCTGTCGTGTTTTAGGACTCGGTATGTCCAAGGTGTAGAAGAAACCGCAGCAAACACAATATCCTTCCTTTCCTTTTGAGACACGACCTCCCTTATATCGTATGCCGGTCTTTGTTTGCTGTTCTGGCCCCCTTTCCCCAGCTTGTTGAGCCACATCGGCGGAGAATTCACAAGTGACGCGATCATTCCGAAGTAAGCGCCCGTTACGACACTAGTCCCGCGTTCAGTTCAATCCGAGGTCAGAAAGATTGCGGCGAGCCCGAAGCGGTGTTGTGTCTTGAAAGCACTTGTCGGCACCAGCGACGCCACATAAACGCGAGCCATTCTATCGGGGGATGCGAAGAAAGCTCCGGGTCTGGACCTCCGTCTCAACCGGACACAAATGGCGCTTAACGGTGCTTAGCAAACACAGCCTGTTCGTAGCTGCTGGACTCCTGAAGCCACGGACATCATACCCGCGGAGGGGATGTCTCGGTTGCGGCACCTTTCACTGCCATGGTCAATCCTTGGGCTTACTTTCCGAAAGCCGTGGACGTCACACCGCCGAGCTGGTTGGACATCCTGCATACTGCCACCTGCGGACCAAGCTGTCTTGCGATAGCGTGCGCTCTGACTTCTGCACGAATTCGTAGCCAATGGGAATATCCCATCTTGGGGAGGCTTTATCATCAGCATCATCGCCAAGACAATGCTGGAGATGGTTCGAGATGCGTCATGTCCGAATATGCATCAATTGTATTAGTAGAGCTTCTGTCGATATCAATATGACTTCCATTGATAGTAAGAACGGAGCACTATCGCTAAACCAACATAAAGACGTCACAGTCAATTAATCTAAGTGAAACCATTACTTGAGCCTAATGTCGCACCCGACTGTCTGATCTATGGCTGGTTCGGGTCGTTTTCAGGTGGTTGGCAGCAACCTAGCTCAGGATAGTAGCTTCGGAGTTCTGATCCGCGTGTTTTTAGCGGGTGTCACAGAGGATCATCCTGTTCATCCTAAAGCCATCACGAAAGCCAAGATGCGGGGTTGGCTGCAGTAGGCACAGCAGACAAGCCATGCAGGGTCTAAGACACTGTTACTCGTCGAGGCGAACACAACGAATATCGATTTCTTTGATCGATGTAGCTCCTAGACAACTGATAATTCTTCCACGGAGAGTGGAGCTTCCCGACTTGAATTCGAACTTGAAGGTAGAATTCCAGTCTTCCTTTTCTTCAGACTTGCATTTCAAGATCTACGCCGGTTGTTTCCCGAATTTTCTAAATCGGAATACAGGGAGGACACTTGAGATTGACGGCTAATCTACTTCGGGTCGGACGTCACGCATGGCGCGACAGCGCGTTGGAACCCTGAATTAGAGGCCAGGAATTCGATGATGAGCATCGATGAAATTTGGAGGAAATGAGATGAGAGAACATCAATTTTTGTCCAACATGTTACCGCCTACATGGAGATAGGCTCCCTTGATCGCCGATCGACTCAGCTGAACCAGCTGAAAAGACGCATTAAGAATTGGGTGAGATAAATAAAGTGTTTGAATACGCCTTCCATGACACGGCCAAGAGTTGGAACCGATGTCTCTTGTCCGGACATGACATGCATCAGAGATGAAGTCGACAAAGTACGATATCATATGACCTGTGAGGCTCAAAACTCTGGTTATTCACAACCTAAGCTACATGTAACGCAATAATGTGTTTACGTCATCGTCCATCGCGTTGCACAGCCCGTGAGTGACGTTGATACTAAGGAACCGTGCCGGTCGCCGATCATGGGGGCTGGTGAACTAGTGGTGCTGAAGTCTGGTGAGTGAGAACCGAATGAAGCGCAGGTCGTGTTGTTTGCAGCCGCCTGGCGTGCATTACAGACGAAGCAGTGGAATGCTCAGACTTTCGCTTCTCCATTGATATATGCGCTGTATACATATCAGTTGATGTCCTGTCTGCAGAGCTTCACGTAAACCGTCTACAACGCCTGGTCTTTCGCGAGTGCAACAAGCATCTTCGCAAGTTCTGAGCTTTTCCCTACGAACGGGCTGTGTCCTGCTAAAATTCTTGCCTTTCTCATGCTCGGTGTGAATGTCGCCAACTCCTCTTGCAGAGGCGATGGAAACACCAGATCATTTTCACAGATCACATACGTCTTAGGTATGGTAACATCCGACGCAACAAAGTTGATGCTTGTCTCGAATGCGTCTTGGGAATGGGGCATCAACTGAGTAAAGGTCTTTCTAGCTTCCTCGTTGGAGCAGTCGTTATAGAGCAGTTTTAGTCCGTTCTCGTTCACCGTTGAAAGTTGGTTCTATACATATCGATGTCAGAGCCGCAAGATTACCGGACGAGGTTTTAGCTCACTTTCGTGTAAGGCTTGCCCGTATCTTGCCAAATTTGCCATGTCCCACCACATGTTGTAAGAAGGTCCCAGCCCTTCACCGGAACAGCAAATGCTGCAACGAAGATTATGCTCCGGAAGCCGCCACTAAGCCCTCGGTCGGCCCGCTCCTTTAGCCCCTGACCTTCAGTAGCGGCGGCTGCCGGAACTCCCCCATACGAATGCGCGACAAGGACCACCTCCTTTCCTTGGTTGAAATAAGTAGTCGCAGTCTCAACAATCTTTTCTTTGTCGGCTTCCCAAGTTATTCCGTTGGTATTATATCCCATCGAGGGCATTTGCGGGATCACACATTCATATCCTAGAGCAGTCAATTCCTTCTTCAACGACTCGTAGCATATTGGCGGATGGTAGGCTCCCGTTACCACGAGCAGGACAAAGTTGTCGCTGTTCGCTGGGCACATGACGATGAATATTGATCTGCTAACTTGAAAGGACGAAGCTGCACAAGTAGTTTGGTTCAGAAAAGCCTTTCAATGGGAGCAGGACTGAGAATTATATCGGCGTCGCGTGCGGGGTTTCTGAAGGCTATTTGAGTCTGATCCATCCAATCTTGCATGTGTCAAGCTATTCTCCTCTTGACATTTGGGTTGAGTTGAGTTGATAGGTTGCACTCGTCTGATGATAATGAGTACCACTAGGGAATGACAGATGTTCCAAGCGCATTTACTTCGTGAATTTAACCTTAGGTTTACCACCCTCGTCCTCTGGCTAACTATATACAAGAAAATTGGACCATCGTCCTCGGTCCACTCGGATAGTCGAAGGCCTGCGAGACTCTCAAGACTACCTCCCGCGATTTGACTAGCCAGTACTTGTGGTCTTCCAAATTGGTTGGTTGGAACATGTTTAACCGGTGGTGCAACCGCCAAGACGGACGCTCTCAGCGTACATCTCATACGTGTCGGCGTTGGCAGCGGCCTTGGTAGCCGACAAAGCCTGAGCAGCAACAGGACCGTAGGCCCAGTCAGTAGTACCGTACAAGTGAGTCATCTCGTGGAGCATGCTGCCAGCTCTGTCGTAGTCGTCACCGGAGCACTGAGATGCAAGCTCAGGGAAACCCCAGAAGCCGTTGTTGGGGCAGGGGACGATGACATTGTCGGAGGGGACGGTGTAGAGCAAAGCAGAACCATCAGTGCAGTCGCTGTAGGTGTCGGTGCACGAGATCTTGGGCGAGGTGGTCTGAACGTTGGCAACGTCGTTGTAGATGGTCTGGACCTTGGACTCAACCGACGTCGACTTGAACCTAGTTTGGTATTAGCGACTGCCATACTTCATTGACGTACAAAAGCTGGGCGGGCTTCTTACCAGGTGGTGAAGTAGTAGGACGCGGTTCCAGCAGCAGTGTAAGCAGCCTTGGCCATGGAGATGGCGTCAGACACACTGGTCTTCAGGGCAGTAGTCTGCGAAGCAGAGCACGACGAGTACGTGATCGACCGCTTCTGGATGCGAGAGGGGGTGGGAGTCTCGCGCTTGGAAATGTGCTGCCTATACCACAAAGTCAGCAACTAAGAGGGACCATCTCTGCATGGAAGACATACTCGGCGACAACAGCCTGGTCGGGAGTGACCTCCACCTCGCCAGATGTCACATCCTCACAAGCGGCCAGACCGACAACCGAAGAAGGGGTCTCGGCTCCGGTAGCATAACGGAAGCCCTGGATGGCAGTGACCTTCGCCTGCTCAACACCGCTAAGCTTGTAGCTCTTGGCGGCGTTGACGGAGACGGTAACAGTCTCTCCGGCCTCGATCTTCTGGAAAGAGCTGGCAGGGAGGCCGGTGCGCTTGTAGTTGACGAAGATGCCTTCGAAAGGCAGAGCATTGCCCTCTGTTCGTTTGTCAGTTTATGATCCAGGGTTTTGATACATCCTTTCGTGAATCGAGATCTTTACACACCTGCATCAGTCACCAACAGATCCTTAGTGGCGTGTTCACTGAAGACAGTGTTGCCCTTGAAGACCTGAAGGGTCTCGCTGCCCGTGTTCGTCACTGCGACGTTGACGACATGGTTGTCCGAGTTGGTGATCTCAACCGCCAAAGGGCAAGTGGCTGAGACGGCGCCAGCAAGGAGAGCGACGGGAAGGACCTTGGCGATCATGTTGGCCGATGGACTGAAGAGAGTGGTTGGCTGAAGAGACAAGACAGGGACAATCCTGTGAGTAGGAACTTGAGCTTCATTAAATACTCGTCTTCGTCCATGTTTTCGACTATAGTCATTCCTTCTATCCAAGACTGAGATAAGGCAGGACGGAGCAATTCCCATGTCAAGTAGGTGAATTCAGATGGCAAGCCACGAGAACACACATTGAGCCCCTCTCAAGCATGGATGCGTGCAGTGTATGTCGCGGATCATTGGCCCTCATTTGGAAGGAGGTTATTCAAGCTTAACTAAAAAGTCATGCGAAACCCCGACTTAATCTAAAGAAAAGGTTCGGTTAATCAGCCGTGTGGAGGAGCTGCTTGATCAGAGTGGATAGTATGCGTCGGTACCGCAAAGAATTCGCCAAATCATGAAGAGATGTTGATAGTCTGGTGATTCCGGCATGTGGGCGCGGGGGAGCGGAAAGACAGGCGGGAGCATCCGGCAATTAGACTGGATGAGCTCCGTCTTTCCCACTAAGCTTAATAGGAAGGCTCTTGGCAGAAAAGGGTAGGTGTCATGGGTAATTTGCAAGGGGTAGGGACCAGCGTTGGAGTGGCCGATGTCGTAAAAGCTTGCCGAGGCTTGATATTCGGCTTCCCGGCCATGTCCGTTATCAGGTGCCTTGAATCAGAGATATCATTTGCTGATGCCCTATCGAGGGGAATCTCATGTCGTTGACGAATACCGCCAAAGGCGCGGCAGAAAACGCTGATACCAATGCCATTTCTGCCCCATCTCAGCTGCAGCAATTCATCTCAAGAGATCAAGCTGCGAAGTCGCGGTATTCCTTGATACCGTGTGTCTGATTATGCTGAGTGAAACAAAAATTGACCTTGTTTCTCTTTTCATCTCACTCGCATGGAAAGGAAACGGAGCCCGGGCTCGGCGATGGCGGAGGATGCGGTGTGGTTCCTACATGGGGAACGCCTGCATGAGTAGTATTCTGATGGGGCATTGCTCTGATTGAATTGCTGTTCTCATAACCCCAAAAATAGTGCAGCTCACCCCGCCTGGGCCATGCCAACTGTTCACACACATGCCGTTATCAGTATTTATGTCTTGTCCTCGGTCAGCCGCTGGAGACACGGTTCGGCCTGTATCTGATGAATGAGTGCTCGTCAAATTGTTAGTGTCGTCCGACACAATTTCTTACCCTGTTGAACTCTTTCTATAATTTCAATTTCTCTTAAATCCATCTTGATCTTACCGGACGTGTTCAAAATCTGCGCCAACTCTCAGTCTCTCCTCGAAACATGGCTGTTCAGCGAAGTCGCTGAGCATGCACGTGGGGTCACTGGATGGACTTGCTCCAAAGTAACTTCGACAGAACTTGAACGATGTGAACCAACGACAAATTCAGTCGTAATCATCTTCAAAAGACGTCACTCTGCTGGACAAAGTTGAAGAATATCTCGAATGATGTTCAATCTAAGTTGATGTCCCTTGAAGTGGATCGTCGGCTGCAGTCGTCCAGCCAAGAAGCCAAGAGATGCCAAGCGTCTTGGCTGGAGGCGTATGACGCAGAGAAGCTTGGCTACAATTTGATCAAATGTGAGCCGCCTAGCTTGAATTAAATGCCTGTACTTCGCTGGGTACGGTGAAGTGATTGAAAAAGGGTTGACCTTTGAGCAGCAGATACTGAAATCGTACCACCTGCGTCGCTCACCTTTTACTGACAACGATGTGTGTTTTCCCTTGGCTTACTTTTGGCGTCTCAACATGTCTCACGCATCAATACGATAAATCAATACAATCAGACTTCATGATTGATTATTGAAAAGCATCTTCGTCGCATAGACTGGATGGCAAAGGAATATGTCGCTGATGGTTTTCTGAGGAGTTAATCAATAACGACGGGAAATCCTGACTCTACTTTTGGTCTTAGGTATGTCGATATTTTGGACTTGAAGGTTGATAATAGGACGGTGTTAATGGGAAACTTGTCTGATATGAACTGACCAGCAGCTCTTTCAGGGATACCAGTGGTCTTCGAGCTGTGTCTAAACCTAAATCACTTTCACGTAATGCACCATACATGTGCTTCCATCTCTAACGTGGTATCCCGCAAAGGCCCCATGATTTCAAGTTCTTACCGGCAATAACTTATATGCTTCGTTTATAGGGCTGAAGTGCTAGAGTTGCATTAAAGAACTGATGAACTCGCATTGGTAAACTGCTATCCCATCGAGTGCGGCTGGACTACAGTACAAACGCGCCCCAATTATCCCCGCCTTTTCTCCAATTAATGCCAACCACAAAATTCGCTATTGGTCGGAAAAGTAGTTGGGCTTCTGTTGATTGGCTGCGTCTCCGCACTGAAAGTACTGTAGTCCAGCCGCACTCGATGGGATAAAGCTCATCCAGAGCCGAGCAATACTCCCACTTCATGCTTGTTTTATGTTGGGCTCTGCGACATATGATCATAGACTAAAGATCTCTCCGTTCCAAACGTTGAGACAAGATTATTTGTTGGCCTACAGCTGCTTCAGTGTGGTCCATTGCGTCCTCCAATGCAATGATACGGTGTGGTGCAGCAGTCCATCGCTTGAGTGTCAACTCAAACCAACCTCAAGAGATATTGAAAGTAAAGCAGTTGATAAAGTTTAGAATCAAAAGAAAAGCCCGTTATCTGAAGTCTCCTTCACATTAGATGAGCAGTAGGGCGCCATGGAAACCCCAAGATACACTGATTGAATGCCCATGCACAACTGTCTAAATAGAGCTTCTTCCTAGTTGGTCGGTCGCGATTAAAGAGCCATTGTTCCAAAGCACATCCGCAAAGGTCAACAGTACGCTAGTAAATCACTCAACCAGAGAGGTATGTATGCACTGAACCCACCAGAATATCAGTCGAGGACTTGTTGGTAAAAGAAGTTGATCGTTTCCAATGGAAAAATGACACATGGGCTGCTCGGGGCAGCCAATTCACGCCGAAAGCCTCCCCGGGTCTGTAGAGTGCACACTCAAACCTCCTCAATCATCTCACGGAACGTAAGTATTGCAACATGGTTTCTGTGGATGACGACATCCGTGACTCGAATTGTCAACATGCATGGTAATCTAACCCAATGTACTCTTATACTAGAAACCTAGAAAATTCCGTCGGGAGCCAAACGGACACCATGGTTGCTGATCATCGTATGATTATCTCTTTAGAGGTCTTCGTGAGGAACACCAGGCTGTATTCTTGCGCTCGAATCGTATGGTAGTTGAATCCTTCCAGCGCGCCGTCATGCCAACCTTACTGAAGGGGGCTGTCGAACTCCTCATTCTAACTCAACTTGGAGACATGTTGAACTATCGCGGGTTTGTCGGCAAGAACTAAGTCGATACTCTGAAGTTCCTTCAGGTAAGCGCACTAATCAGAATCATGGACATTGTCTTTTGAAGTCGATCAACTCTCAGGTGGGGAAGTTGGAAGAGCATACGAGGTGGTATCGGAATCCTTCAACAGTGCTCGCCTAAAGTCTGACATAGCTCGTACTTTCATACTATTGGTAGACAAGAGAAGGATCCGAGAGACTTTGCCGCAATGAGTCTCTCGACAGTAACCGAAATCAAGAGTGTAATGCTGTTCGTGGAAAATTGGGAGCGCAAATGCTTAATGAGATAGTTGGCGCACCTGAAGCATCTTGAGTCTTGATGTAGAAGGAGGCATGGAGATTTGGAACATATGCTCCAAAGCATAACTCTCTCAAGGTCTCCAAAAGGAAGAGGTCAAGTAGTTGGACAATTATAAAAGCCCGCACATTTTCGCAAATTCGAGAGAGTTCTTCTCCTATCCCAACAGCACAAAAAGCACATCCTGGCTATTCGAGCATCATCTGTCCGTAAGTCTTGCCCCTCCATTGATGTCAAATTATCAATCAAGACGTAGAGACTAGTCAGAGCCAAAGCTTATGTTGTGTTGACGCAGATCGACTGACGTCTTCTGACCCTTGCGCGTTCTCAACCGAAATCAGTACATTATGCGTTTCACCACCTTTGTCCTGATGGCGATGGCTGCTGTTGCATCCGCCTCCCCCGTCGCAAACCCGGAAGTCCCGACTATGTTCGGCGGAGAGAAGTTGACCGCACGCCAATATTGGTGCACCGACTGCAAGAATGGAAAACAGACTTGCTGCACCGCCACTCAATGCAGCTCTGGCTACCCGTGCTAAAGTGTCAACTCAAATCAACACTCTCAAGCCAGAAGCAGTACACGGCTCCAGAGATTTGGCACCGTTAGGTCAGCAGACAACACTGGACGGAAGGATGGTCACATGTTTTGCAAAGAGTCTCGTTGTGTCTTCTGAACATGAGATGATTATTTATTCTTGCAAACCTCAATAAGAAAGCTATCCTCTCTGAATCTTTGCCATGCTCGCTGTTTTGAATTGCTGTTTTGATTATCAAACGGTATCGTTTATCCTCGGCATGTTTCATTGAAAAGCCCACAGATCCTCTCAGTAAACTTACGTATCAGAGGTAGATGTAGCAAAAGGGTCCATCAAGAGTGTTGAGCAGATCGCTAATAGGGCGGTTCGGCGCATTAGGCTCCTGGATCACCAGATCGTCGAGCCTGGCGTCGCGGCTAGGAGGGCTGTTCAGAATTGTGATGGTACCGGCAATGTTAAAAGCTTCATTCAGATGAAGAGCTTGCCAAAGCCAGTACACACGGTCAACCATCGCATGATGCAGGAAGAAGGTCGGGTCGTTTGTGGAGGAGAACAGGTCTGACGCTTCGCCGTTCACAATGAACTTTCAGTCTGTTAGTCTATGTGGGCTCGTTTGACGACTTTCATGTCGATTAGAGAGCCATTGACTTACGTGCCCGGAGGTGTGAGTTCCGAGGAAGCCGTCACCAAAGCGGCCCTGTAGCTCGTCCTGGAATGTCCTAATGTTTGCCGATGCTGCACCGACAGTGAGATTTAAAACGTTCTCCGGAGTCATCCACTGCTGAGATGGCCATGCACTGATGTCTCGAGAAAGACATCGAGGGTTGTAGGCAAGGGGCCCACCAGGGTTCGCGGGGAGCCCATCGATACCGGGCGAGACTGGTCCGAGATGAACAGTCATGCTATCAAGGCAAGTCAGCATCGTACGGAAAAGGGCCTGCGGTTCGATCTTCTCGCTTCTGGGATGTGTGCATACTTGGCAAAAGGGCCTTTGGTAACGCAGCCACCACCGTTACCCGAAGGAATCCAGACACCGCCGCCAGATGTGCTACCGTTATGAGCCCTGAAAGCACCGTCGCCGCCCATGCTGGCATCGCTTCCATCAAACATGGGGGCTTTAGACGGGTCATCTCGGTATGCCAACCAGTTCCAGTACTAATCTTTGTAAGTCAAAGCCGAAACTCTTGGAATCTTGGAACTGACAGGCTGGTAGCCTTGGTAGCCACACTCCTCTCTCAGGGCATTCTCATAAGCCCAAGTGAAGTATCGGTGCCAAGTCAGAAAGTTTCCCTGATCGAGTTAGGATGTTTCTGTCGTGGAACTACTGTACTCTAGAGAAACCTACCGTGCCGTGGATGCTCAATGTCTGGTTGATGTGAACGGCGACAAAATCGTCGTACCTGCTGCGGGCACCTGGCGCGAAGCCAGGCTCGAGTTTTGACGGCTTTCGAAGAAGGCAGTTGACGGCAGTCGTGTAGGACTTCTTTTCGATGCTGGACAGAGAGTTCCTGGATGAAAGGCTCATTAGATCTTCGTCCCATTTCCGAGACTACATGTACCTACCAGTCCTTCCTGACTCTGGCATTGAAAAGGCTGCAGCCGCTTCTCTTACCAATAGTACCGTCGCTCTCGGCTACCTGAAGAGCTTGGATTGCTTGAGCCTGTACTTCCGACAATTCGTCTCCTTCGACAGCAAAAACTGCTCCGGCGACGCAGCTGACCATGCTTACTAGATTGAAGAGACGCATGATGGGCTACTGGGAATCTTCTCGACGTGTTGTAAGATGTTCGTTCACTCTCAAACGGGCGAAAACTGGTCTCAAGTTCTTCAGCTTCCGGGTAGAACGGGTGAATTTAACATGGCGAATTGAATTTTTATGCCCAGCCCAACAAGCCCCGGTTGCGATAGGGCGAAAACCACCAACAACACGAATTCGACTTGAGCCGAAGAGGCATAAAAGCCGGCCAAGGCCATGAGAGGATCCAAGTATCCTCTTAAGTTTTATTAACCCGGACCTTGCCTGCATAATGGATCAAGTGCTGGTTGGCTTGTGCGGAGCCTAACTTGCAGTAGCGACGGAGTAGACTCAACTTATCCGGGGTGGATTGAGCCAGGCCCCCGGACAAGAAAGTCGCAGGGTTACACTGCCAGTAAGCACTAGCAGTGGCTCGAAATCCTCGCGGCATTGATGACGGGTTGAATTCAGATGGCGATGATGGAGATAAATATCGGAGTGACCGCCCCGGATTCTCTCATTTTGGAGCCCCGCAAGCACTCACGATCGGAACAGATCTTCGTTCTGAGCATCCTACTTTTGAACAAGCCAGATCGTAGCTTGAAACCCCACCAAGCCGTTTCAAACTACGACGTTGTTGCGAGCTGTCTTGCAAAGGCCTGATATCTTGACCTCATTCACAAGAGTGTAGAAGTCCGAGCATCTAGCAGCTTTCTTTTGGTCATGCATAAGAAATCCCAATAGTCAACAGTTGCTTCCGGCGTACAGCGTACATATGTACCTCTCTACCTGCGCACTTGGTCAAGCCATGTCTTCTTCATTGGTTTTCGTGTCGTTTCTTCCAGCGAATTCTATCAGATGTTAGCTGTTTCTTGGGTGCCTTGTTTGTACAGGAGAGGTGAGCTCACGGTCGACAGCAGTATATTTGAACTTTCTGGCTGGGATCTTGTTCTCGAAGAGGATGTCCAGCTCGCCGAAAGTTCGATCCTTGGTCTCTGGAAGACGGAAATAGCACCACGTGTTGCAGACCAGGTTAGTTCCTGCATAGAATAGACCGGCCTTGGCTCCCCAATTCCACCCTGGTACAACTCAGCGATCTCGTTCAGTGAAATAGTTGGGCTAGAAGTCTTACCAATAGGAGAAATCATTCGGGGGGTAAGAGTATGCTCTACAATGCCAGTGACATTATAAATGAATCTGCCGATGACGATGGTCTTGTAGCGAAGTCTTCCTGACGGCGTCTCCGCAACGATGGGATAACAGACAGGGCCAACGGTCACCATGTTGACCAGGTTAGACACGACCAGGATAACGCCAATAGCGATTTGTGCTTTCTCGTTTTTGGTGAATCCGAGGCCACCAATAACGATGTTGCAGAAGAAGAGGAATGTTAGGCCACTCATGTAGAGAGTTGCGCGCCCAAAATGAGGAAATAGGAACCAGCAGATGATGCCTCCAATGACGTAACAGGCGGATAATGAGATATTGAGGTTCAGTGACTGGATTTCCGAGAACCCGGCGGCTTGAAGGAATGTCACACCGTAGGCGACGAGGGCGTTTCCTCCCAGAATTTGGGCAGCCCAGACAACGCAGTTCTTTTCAGTTTGTTTCGATCAGCGTCATTATACTTTCACTCAGGTTGAAATAAGCACTCACGATTTCTGTCCGCCACAGGTTCGGCCCTTTGAAACACTCCATGAAAGTAGCGCCATGGGTCTCTGCTTCCTCAAGAGCTGTCGTGTGTCTGATATATGCCAATGAGGCGTCAACTTCCGTTTCTTTGTCAGCGGTATCCTGGCGAAGACGGAGAAGGCTCTGTCGTGCGAGGTCGAATTTGCCCCTCCGAACTGCGTTCCATGGGGATTCAGGTGCTAGGTAAGCACCGATGAATAACGGAACTGGCCAGATCCATTGAAGCAAGAAGGGAAGTCTCCAACCCATATCTCCCTGAATGCTCGCAACTGCTCGGACAACTCCAGCCGAAAGGAGAATACCGGCACCCCAACACATGCAGACGTAAGCCGTAACGTATGGTCGAAGAACTGTGGGAACAACTTCGCAGGCGTAAGTTGTACTTAGCGTCTGAATCAGGTATTAGCCGTCGGAACTGGCCCGCCATACCGTGGGCACGCTGTTTGATCGACCTACCTGAAAGACACCCCAGGAGACACCACACATGGCCTCTCCCCAAGCTAACACGGGCAAAGACGGTGCAAAGCAGGGAATCGAAATCATGACCGCCATCCAGACCATAAAGAACATCATTGTATGTCTTGCTCCAAACTTATCTTGACACCAAGCGTTGACGACCAGACCAGCAAGCTGTCCAACTAGTGCAGAGTTCGACAGCCCGGATTGCCACGCGGGAGTGATAAGTTTCTCGCCTGTGCCCTCATCATAAACTCCAAAACGCTGTTTGAATTGTGTTTGGCCGTAGAAAGAGGTGATCTGTTGCACAGAAATTCAGTACACTTCTTAGTGGCATAAGGGGAACAATGACTGACGATGACCAAGTCATATCCCTCCATGATTAGACTGGTTGACAGAAAGAGAGCCCAAAACACCGCCTTCTTGTATTTAGCCAGCGCTTGACGAACTGTCAACTTTCGATCAGCTGCGTCGCCCTCTTGCGCACGATTAATGAGGTCTACGGTGTGGGTGTCGCTCAGGTCGAATTGCTCCAGCTCCTTCGCCGTGGGAACAATCTTTTCTACCGCCATTGTGATGAAGAATCTTACGGCAGCACGGCAATTGGATACACGAGTACTGCGATCAAATGTGAAGTCTGCGGTGTTTGATGTCAGACTAGGCCATGACGAAAATCCTTCAAAGACGGCGAGGCGTTCATGGTCGCCATCAGTATTTAGCTCCTCATAATCCTCTCGCCTTGAACAACCCTGCTTCGATCCGGGGAAGTGAATGAACCCTGCTAGCGGATTGCGGGGAAGCGGACGAATAGAAGAAGTTGGCTGACCGTTTGAAGGAGGAATGGCAGCTGATGGGGAGATAACTACATCATTGCTTCAGAATAGGGCAACCGAGAGCAAGCGGCCCAATGGGATCTGTGACCGCTATCAATCTCGACCAGTACCCCCAAAATCGATTACCCGATCCAACGTTGAACATCTCAAGGCCTATCGGCACAGTCTGGTCAGGATCTCGAAAGATTTCTGACAGCACCAAAGCCAAGGCGACCAACACGAGAGCATGAAGGCCGGCTCACGCGTTACAGGCTCAAGGAATTGGAGCCCACCGAATCGGCATGCAGGACCTTCCGAGGCCTCTTCAGAAAGATGCTTACCGGCCATCTTTATCCCGAGCTTGAATTCGCCGAACGCAGCTGGTACTGGGCACCTCATGACGAACAGCTGATCCGACCCCTCACCGGTTGCCAAGCCCGAAGGCGCATCGGCCGGTCGCCCCGCCCGACCGGCGTTAATAGTCTTTCGTCAGATATCAGGAGGGCGCAGGCAGTCGAGACAGATCAGCGTGCTAAGTATCTCGCAAGAAAATTGCCCTGTGGCTGAAAGAAGGCGGTCACTTCATGGGTAAGTCTTGTCGGCGTTGCGACTGCTAGTCTGTTGCAACATACCATAGCTTTCGTGGCACGTTTTCATATCGGCGTATGTTAAATAAGCCTAACCAGGACTCAAAATGAGTACACAACGTATGTACATAAAAGTAACGAAATTCATTCAATAGCATCCTCCGTCGTCCATTGTTCCAGCAGCAAGATCGACATACGAAAAATATTCGTTCGCGCAGAGTTGATGTGTACGCCTAGTTGGTGACGACGGTCTGCTTGGCCGAGCCCGCACCATTCCAAGTCTCAACAGCCACAACTTGAAGGTTGAGAGTCCCAAGATCCATGCCATGACTCTTCCAACCATCGAAGTGGTTGGCAATAGTGACAGTACCGCTCGACTGGCCACCCCTACGCACGGAAATGTACTGATTGAAGGTCTGTGTGCCAGAAATGGATGGCGCGTTGGTGCGAACGTTCTCCCAGATATCATATGAACCGCCGTCACTGGTCAAGCTTCCCTTCTGGGTCCCAGTCTGGGTGAAGCCGGCCGAGTCTTCGATGACGTAGTACTCGACCAGCGGGTCTGTAGTCCAGCCGTAGACGGACAGAGTAGCCAGACCCTTTGTGACGCTGAAGGAGCCGGAGTGTTTAATGGGATCCGTAGAACCAGGGTTCCAGCCGATACCGACCACAAAATCGTCGGTGGTATTGAAGGTCAATGTGTAACTGTCGCCGGAAGGAGTGAAGTTGACAGTGCCGCCAGTCTTGTAGTTCTGAACGTAGTCGGTACGCTCCTCCAGGGTCATCCCACGTGTTTCAAGGGCGGCATTGCGGCGCGCTAGCGTAAGAGGATGATCAGGTCCTAGGAAGAAGTTGGAATCACCTCGTCGTTGGAAGTGAGGAGGCAGCATAATAGACGGGCTGGCGGAAGGAGCGGCGAGGCAGACGGCAACAGCCGAGAAGCTCAAAAGAAGATGCCGAATGAAAACCATGGTTACAACGAAAGAAATGAGTCGGTGAATTGAATCTCGAGTCTTCAACACGATAGACAATGGTTGATTGGAGATACCGTTGCATTCTTGACTTATATACACTTTTCTTTTATCCTCACAGGAACAACGTCAGATTAAGGGGTAAACTCGCAATTGTTATCAAAGACATATTGAACCCTCATGTTAATTCCGTTGAAACCACTGGGTTGAATACACCATGGCAGAATCACCCGATCGCGTGTTCCGCGCAAGTAATGGGTCGCGGCACGATGAAGTCGGCACCGGCAACTTCATTCCGTCTGCTTGCGGACGGTGATCGGGAAGAAAGCTTTTTGTTGATCGCTCTGAGGGCATATCGCTGATGAACCATGTCGATTTCAAGGGTGCCCTGTTATTTTTGTGAATACTAGCGCTTCTCAAGTTGATCACGGCTGATGATACGAGCGGCTCGTAATTGTCTTTTTGTTACGGCATCCAGTCGCGGCGGCTTACCCGACGCGTCTCATACAAAACGTCAACGCCGCTAAAATGTGTACTCGTTGGGTATGGCGAGATATCTATGACCAGATTATAAGGGTGGCTGCATTGTATTGCGCGGCGTATTGCATTTGTCAACGCCGCTAAGTCTCCAAAAGAAGATGATCTTGCTACAGAAAAATCTGACCATTCGTGGGCAGATGAGTTGTTAATCGGTGATGACAATATCATGTTGCTGTTGTCCTCACCAGCTCTAATTCCATCCCCTCTTTGCTTTTCTCTGTACTGAGAAGCTTTCTTCCTTCCGTCTCTTAGCTTTCGATCCGTTTCTTGGCCAACTTGTATTCTGGCCCGAAATTGTGCCGCACGCTCAAGTATAACCCCCACCCTTCTTGCCGCCGTTGTTCCCATGCTGCAAAGCAGCTGGCATGACAAGATCCTGCAGGCAAGTGGGATCCTGTTGAAATGAGGGTTTCTAATTGGCTACTCGATTGATATCCAACATGCTCATTGGCACGTTTCTTAATCAAGGAAAGCATTTTGAGGGGTAGAAGCAAATCAGTTGCCGAATGACTTCGAAAACGTTATTTGCGGCTTGATAATGTTGTGCAATGTATGTTGCCAGTGCCTGAGTTGCTATGAAGACTCCATGCAAGTTGAATTCGTTGGTGTTCGGAACTCCGACTGGGGCGTCACGAAGGCAGTCGACTCATCGTTACTCGATACTACAGGTACGCACTGTTTTTGGTGGTACAACGGGCACTAATTCGAAACCAGTGAATTCAAAGCCTCTTGAGTGTCCCGAATACGTGTTTGGGCATCACATATCACCTCAAAGCTGGTGGCAAGCGAAGATAAACGGCTGTGATATCTGCGCGACGTTGGACGTGGATGTTTACGCAACGCAAGATCTGACTAGCTTCGGCTACTTCACGATGTTCGGCATGGAAGTTATCGATTCGGAGTCAGCATCTCGGTCTGCCCACGTCATACTGTGGATATATTACCTGGACAAGCGGCGCAAGTACGAATTCCAACCATACTCAGGCAAGTCAATGATTCAATGTTGTGTAATCCAGTCAGCAACCAAAAACTAATAGGGTCAACTTCAAAGCCAGGCAGCAAGATCTACACGCTGCATTAGAAAGTTCTACGGCAGACATCGGTACTTGGTCTCTCATCGAGAGTTGGCTCAACGGATGCAACGAAAATCACTGCTCCTGCAACGTGCAACAGCATTTCATACCTGCGCGTTTACTCAAGCGAGATACCATTGGAGGGGTCAAGACCTTTCGCCTGGTATCAAGAGACTCGATAGAGGCGAGGGCCAGCTATGCCACGCTGAGTCATTGTTGGGGGAAAAAGACTTGGGATCCGAGTTTAATACTAACGCGGCTGACCTGTGATGCTTTGTCGAAGGGGAGAGCCATAGATGCGCTTCCAAAGACCTTCAAAGATGCGTTTGTCATCCTAGAGAGGCTCGGATTACAATACATCTGGATCGACCGTTTCTGCATCCTGCAGGATTCTGAGGACGACTGGAGGCAACAGGCAGCTGAGATGCACCAAGTTTACAAGGGCTCTTACGTATGCATCGCCGCCTTAGACGCAAGAGACGATGATGGAGGTTGCTTTTTTACACGAAATACAAACGCAGTAAAACCATTGGTCGTTGAATTGCCGGTCAAGGGCACATGCCAGACAGCTCTGTACGTTGGCGGTTGGGACATCAAGAGACGGGAAGATGCTAGCCTTTCTCCCGCAGTAATACGACAACGGGCATGGGTGTTACAAGAAAGGGTCCTCAGCCCTCGAACGATATACTGGGGAAGACAGCAAGTTCACTGGGAGTGCAAAGAAATGCACTGCTCCGAAACCCAGCCGGATATCGAGAATGTCTACTGGTATTTCAAGTACCACCGCGCTGTCGACTCGCAACGACAACCCATGTTCAAGAGACTGATCATGTCGTACACCTCTGGACTCGAAGATCCCGACCTGCCATACTACGAGGACTGGTACAGCCTTCTAGCCGACTATGCTGTTTGTCAGATGACCAAGCCCTCAGACAAACTAGTTGCAATCTCAGCGGTTGCAAAGGAGATGCAAAAACACTTGTCTGACGTCGGAGAACCAACGACTTACTTGGCCGGCCTTTGGGGCTCCAGATTGCCGCAAGCCTTGATCTGGTACATAGAGCCTTCTTCGGTACAGAGGAGCCGGCCTCGCTCGTTTCGAGCTCCCTCTTGGTCATGGGCCGCGGTCGATGGACAGTTGATTCATCGAGACGAGACGTTCGATTTTGAATCGCCGTTCGCCAGAGTCGTCCGAGCCGAAACCACAACTTCGACCGGGGACGAGACCGGACAGGTCACGGGTGGCAGCATCACCCTGGAGAGTGTGCTTTTGCTACTCACTGCCCGCTTTGGGGCTTCGACAGGTCATTCAGCGAGCTCGTGTTTGGACATCGCTAGCATCAAGGCTTCCGGGGAGAATCACGCACCAGTCAGATTTGGTAGCGATTCCGACGCGGACGCGAGCGGAAATGTTTATTTCGATACCCTCGAGGATGTTGGGTACGAAGTTCAGTTTATGCCCGTGACGAGGCAGGCAGGCAGCGATCATTTCACGTATGGCCTGGCACTTGTTGGCCATGGCGAAGTATTTAAAAGGGTTGGCCACGTTGTGATCAACTTGCACTGGGAGGAAATGCTACCCTCTTGGAATACGTGGCTACGTGAGCTACCTCGACATGTCATCGACATAGAGTGACAGTTCAGGGTTCGACGGCAGAGATACCTTTGTGCCGAGGATTGCTCACTTCATCGTCAATTTATTGTCAGTTTTGTCAATTAACACATTTTCAGCGCTCAACGAGGACGTCTCCGGATGGAACCCTTGAACAAAATGAATTCACTCTCTTCCTGAACGGCGGCCTATTCTAACCTGCCCTTCTGCCACCATTTCGCGTCATCCACCTCGCCCGTCTTGATCTGTGTCACAACACTCTTACTCCTACTCAACGGGTCCACCTGCTGGGCGACGAACTCATCCAAGTACCGACCCCGGGCCACCGGCGCAAGCGTCTCCTGCCGCAAGCTCGCCTCGCTGCCCACCCTCGACCTCCTGTCCGCCTCCATGTCCAAGTCGTCGTCGAGCTCCACGCTCTCCAACCTCCTGACCTCCCTCGTGACCTCGACCTCCTTCGTGACAAAGATGCCGTCGGTGAATTTGCGAATAACGGGCCAGAAGATCGGCACGCTGCACGCCACCATGGCGAGATCGACTTCGACGCAGGAGAGCACGATGCTGATCGGGGCGTACCAGGGGAAATCGAGGGTCGGCTGGGTCGCGGCCTTGTGCTGCACCAGGGAGAGTAGACGGACGACCGAGATGGCGTTTACGACGAGACCGACGGTGAGGAGGGCGAGGAGTCCGAGCTTCGACTTGAGAGGCGCGTCGCGCTTGAAGTACAGCGGCACTGGGATGGCCAGCACCACCAAGTCCAAAAACACGTTCACGGAGGAGTGGCTGGCGTAGGTTGCGTAGAAGATGGGGGCGTTGAGGGAGCCGTAGGCCCAGCGGGCGGCGGGGACGGTCCAGTCCCAGTAGGCGCGGACGGGGACGCACGGGATCCAGCCGAGGACGGTGTAGGCGGCGGCCCAGAGGCTGGTGAAGATGATGGTGCAGATGCAGACTCGTCGGAGGAAGCAGGGTTCGTCGAAGATTCGCAGGTACTGGAAAAGGAGGGAGAGCTTGATGAAGGCGGTCGACATCTGATAGGAGGCGTTCGCGATGTAGAAGGTCTGAGGTTGCGGATGTTAGTCAACGAGATTTCGGCTGGCTGGCTGGCTGGCTTCGTGCTGGAGAGCAGACGTACGCGGAGGTAATTTTGTACATCACTTCTTGAGAGGGCAACTAGATGTTTGCCCAACCCGTATTTGGTAGCTTCGGGATCAGTCAGCATTAACCATGGGAAGATCCCCGACTGAGATGTGACGACTTACCCACGCAAGTCCCAACTGTACCCGTCGTTGTTGAGAAGAGCGCTAATACGACGAACAAGTCATCCCATCCCAAGGATCTGACCATCCTTGCCCGCGTGTACATACGCAGAGCGACGGCCAACCATGATATGACCTGTGAGTTGTTAGATGGGTACGATCTACATCGATACGGAATGTCATACTTGAAAGCTGATGGCCACGCCTAGAATCGTACTCGTCTTGTTTACCAACGGCTCCGGCTCTTGGGAGTTATCCTGTGTCCCAAACAGGTCGTGGATCATCTTTCCGTCCATGGCTGCGAATAACACCCCGGGAGGGTTGTCAAAACATTAGACGAAAAGGATAAGATGTGATAGATCAGACAAGACCCAGAACCAGACTAGAAAGCGTCCAGAGGCCTTGAAGTGATCAGTGCAGAATAAGAAAGTGATATTCAAGATAGAGCAAGCCCCATCCCTTCTCGAAAAAGAAACGAAAGAAGGTGTGCGGTGCTAAGGCGCGAAAAAACAAGACAAGACAACGGCTCGAGCCAACGATCTTCCCGTCCCGGGCCCTTGGTATTATATTCTGCCTTCTCTCTTTCTCCTCCCAGATCCTCGTAAGAACAAGAGCAGAATAGCGCAGGCAGGAACCCGCTCATCGCCACCCTTGCTAACCATATGCCGAACTTCAGATAGTAGTAAGGCCCGGGGATGGTAAAGCCCTGTTGGGGGCTTGCAACCTTCACCACTCCACAGTTCAAACCGTGGGCCCCCTTTTTTCTCCTAACGCGGCCCAGGCACACGAATGGGAACCACTGGGAAATTCCGCGCAGCAGCAGCAGGCGGTGCAATGAAAGGAAGAAAAGCAGTGGGAATGAGAGAGACACAGAGACAGGCGCCCAGAACGAGAGAGACAAGCATGAGGCTTGTCTCTTCTGCTCAAAGAGGGGCGCGCTAGACGCGCTGATCTCTTCTTTCAAGACTTGATTCCCCGATGGATGGCGTCCGTGCGATTGCAACCCCAACCCTGACATGGCGTAAGGGTACGGGACATGTGGGATCCAGTCAGTCGTCGTTGTCGTTCGTCTCGTCCTCCAAACAGAAGCCAGGAAAACTAGAGGCGTGAGCTTGGAGAGTAGAGTTCTAGAGGGACAGCTGAGGGGGCTTTTGCGGATTGGTGCAATCTCATCAGACTTTGATGTGCATGAAGCATGGACCGAAAGCCACGTTGTCACCACCCACTGACCTTTGACGCCTCCGGCAGCACGCTAACGAGGAACCGGCGCCGTCCGGGGCTCTGGGGTGCCGGCAAGCCGGGCGCATTTTTGGACTAAGGGACCCGAGTTTAAAGTCCAAACGCTCAAGCCATCAGTTCAAGCTGTTGAATTGTGGCAGATCTTCATCCTTTTCTGGTGATAACTTCCCGCTTCATTGAACCATGGGCTTGGGGCTGAGTAGGCCTTGAGAACCAGAGGCTGGAGGGACAATGAGCTGGATGATCTCGACTTGTTTGTGGATAACCGTGTCGCAGTGCTTGCTGGACATTACATAGCAGTGGATGGCAAGATTGGAGGCGCACCGGCAGCAACCCGGTTCCATGCTGCTGTGACGAGAATCGCGAGTCATTGCCTATTCTGATAGCGCAACGGCTGGCACCAGACCGCGTGTTTCAGCGAAGACGTAGCTCTTCTCGAACATCGTGGGAAATTCCTTGCTTCAGCCGCCAAATGAACAATTAAGATTATGACCGAGCTGCGTTATCTAGACAGGCGTCTATGTCATGTCGTCTCAACTCTTTGCACGGCTGGTGGTGTCCTGTCAACGTTACTGAGGGAAAAATCTCTCGAACCCGCCCAGTTTCGCCAATTCTGGAGCCGCGTCCCCGTTCACGCACGTACCGGAGTGTAGTCCACCCCCTGAGTATCGAGTCAATCACAAAATCATAATTCCACGTCTTAAAGGAATGCCTCCGGAACCAGAGCTATTTACAGAGATCGCAAATACCCTCACAAAGGCAGGTATATGTTCGATTGATAAGACCACTCGCAAAGATCTCAGTGGCCTCGTCAATCGCGGTGGCTCATACCGCTTCGGTTTTACCGGCCACGGAGACATGCCCTCTTGGGAGCAACTCATCCGTTGCGAATCTTGATCTCGACGAGTGGACGTCCGGCTCGAAGCTTCGAAGGTAACCTCACGAGAACGTCTTGCCGCCGGCCCACGTGCTTTCGAGTTGCACCACGGCAACCTGAGAGCGGGGGAGAAGGAGTCAAAGCGGCTCGCAAGGCGAGAACATCCTGACTTGTCCTGACTTGACCCGATAACGCAAGTATTCGGCGGAGAATCCGCAACGAGAGGATTGAGGTAGTCCAGAGACAAATACGAGGTACGAGAAATCCGGCAACGAAGTCGGAAGTCCACCCTCGAGAACAGAATACAGGTGGACGTCGAAACATCAAAAAGCAGTGCGCAAATTATCCTCCTCAGTCTCGTGGCTTCTCAAATTTCGCCAATCTGTCTACGCCATGTACGCTCGGACGCGGTTGATATTGGTAAATAGGGTCCAACGAAATGCGTTGCGGCGGTTCGTCTTCACCGAGCAGCCAAACGCACCTATCAAACCCGTCAAACGCAAACTCTTGAATCATTCACCGAGAGACCATGTTTGCTGACAGCTTGCTGCCTCAGCCGTTCGACGTTGGTGCCGCGACTTTTCAATAGGCGGCCCATGGCGGGATGGCTCCGCGGCACCACGGTCGAAGACAGGCGAGCGCTGACTCGGGGCCAGAAATGTCGTGACGGCGCCCCGAGTCGATGACGGTCACTTCGCAGGTGGATGAGGCTCCATCGGACACCTGTCACCGCTTGCGGCCCAGTTCTCTGCAATCTACTTAGAGTGTCTTTGAGTGCTGACTTACATGCGGACGGGGACAAGGGTCGCTGAGCCACTTGGGGAGGAAGGGAAGCTCTGTGGCGTTATGCCACGCGTGTTGCACAAAAGAGATGTTTCTTGGCATAAAACATGTGCTGCTCTGAAATGGCTGAAGATGTCGGGTTGCCGGCCGGGTTCGTCCGCTGTCTTGAGATGGATGTTGATAACGTGCGTGGTCTCATCCACGGATACAGCCGGCCAATCTTCAACATTGAATGAAGTCTCTCGTAGTCTACATGTTGTGAAGATTCAATCTAGCAACAAGCCACAATACACAGCCCCCGCCAGCTCTCGAAAGCCATCTTTAGAACCGTCCCATCCTCAACGGCGAGCCAACACACACACGAGAGTTCAGGAAGATCGCCAGAATTTCTCCTAATGTTACGCTGCCAGCAAGAAAAAGGGGGCGAAAAGACGAGTCAACGACTCGGAAAGTGGGCGATCGCCGCGGGATTCAACCCGACTCAGTCGCCAATTGTACACCCTTCTGAAATTATCCAATGAGATGCTATTCATTCCCATCTACGTCGTATCGATTTCACAAAAGCCAATGTAGGGGTGGAGCTCACGCCAAAACATCGACTGCCGTGCCGTATTCCGCTGAAGAAGAAAAAGCAATATGGCACAGTTCTACACGTGAATAAACCCAGAAGCACACCACATGGATGACCACTTTTTTTCATTTCTTTTTCCTCCCTCCCCCTCGTCTAACGTTTTGACAGATGCAAGACATCCCATCATCCCCGTCAAGGCCTTTTTTTCCTCGTCACAAGTTTCCTTGGACGTGACTTCGCGTCGTTCGAGACCTCCCCGACGCGATATCTAGGGTGAGAAACACGTTCTGAAGCAGGAAAGTTCCCACTGAATGAACTCCCGAACGATGCGACCGACACGTGCCGCGATAAAACACACGTTCGAAACTTTTTTGGAGTTCGGATCGTCATGTCATCCAATGATTTGACGTGATCCTATTTCTTTCCATTCCGTTAGGTTTTGGCCGGTTTTCCCGCAGCTCGGACCTTCGAAACCAAACCTCAGAGCCGTTCGTTCCGACCGTTCCCCGGAAGACCAGAACACGTCGGAAACTCGGGGGCGGCTCGTCGTGATCGTCGAACCGGCATCGTGACGTCGACATCGTAGTTTTCCCAATTCTGTTGCACAACCCGTTGCTGTACTCGTCCGAAGCAAGCCTGGGATTCAATTGGTGATTGACATCTGGCATATCCATTGAAATTCGAATGACACCCATCAGCGTGGTTACTACCCCAGCACCACGACTCGTCGGAGCCCATCATAGACCTTCACTCCGAAATTCCTCCTAACGGCCAACTTGCCGGCCGCCAGCAATCCAACCTCTCACTTGTCAACATGAAGACTCAGGCCGGCCGTCGGGGACCTCAACCCGTTTCGCGATCGCCAACCCGCCCGCGAGTAATAGCGATCTGCGAACTCCTCCCCGACTCGGCTGACGTCCCGTCTCACGCTCAAGAGGCCAAAGCGAAAACCAATTTCCTTAGACAAGTTGCCAGACATCTTTCCTCTGACTGACTCTCCCGTCACCTTTCGCCTTCGGGGCGTCGCACCTGGCGATATCACTCACACGTTCTTCTGTTGGGTGCAAACTCCCAGCCAACTAATCATCGCGGGCAGCTCCAACCGCCGCCCCCAAATCCATCACATCGATAGGTAGCCAAGCCTACCTCGAAAAACTCTCCATCGTAGCAAATACCACCACACACCTCCAAAAACCACGCGACTCCCATGCCTCCGCCCCGTCCCAGACGTCATCCAGTCAAAATGCACAAAGCCAAGAGCCCGGAAGTCGAGAAGAGTCCCATTCCACATGGGGAGGGAACTAGGGACACACAGATCAGACGAGGCCATGCAGCAGTCCGCGCCGCCGATCGTGAATACCCTATCCACAATCTGGACATCAGGATTGAGCTGCCTCAAATCCCACCGGGCTTGACATCTCTTTACGGAAGATAGGGGGGCTTGGGATCATGAACATGAGGGGCCGGGAACATTCGGTCTCGGTTGAAATTTTGATATGATTCATTACTCGCTCGTACAAAGGGAACGATAGAAGGAAGAAACTACACAAGAAATAAAAAAGATAGCTACGCAAGAAGATGGATGAAGAAGACGAGAAAAAAATGTCCCACGATCCCCCCGAAAAAAATGCGGCAGGCACACAATCCCCGCGTGCGATGTAACCTGAACCCCCCCGGAACGCCTCGAGGCAAAACCCCTCTTTCTACCTATTCCGTACCATATCGCGAGCCGACAAACACGGCCCCGTAGAGGAGACACGTTCGTGCGTTCTCCGTAGACAAAAACCCACACCCCTTCTCCCTCCCCATAAAGGAGGAAACTAATTAATCTCCCCGGTAATGTACCCAATCTGCCGCCGCCCGTTGACGCCCGCGTTCGTAAGCTGGCCCGCGAGGTGAGTCTGGCCGTCGACGAGCCTCCTCTGCTCCGCGAGCCGCGCCCTGAAGCGCTCCTCGGCCTCGCGGTCCATCCGGTCCACGTCCTCCCGCTCCGCGACCCGGATCGCCGACATGGCCTTGGCGTGGTCCACCTTCTCCGTCGCCATCTGCTTCTCCCACTCGAGCATCATCGACTGCCGCGTGAGGGCGAGGTCCTGCTCGGCGATCTCGACGGCGCGGGCGCGCGTGATGGTCGCCTCGGTGAGCGCGACCTGGTGCTCGAGGTCCGCGTTGCGTTCGCTGCGCTTGCGGCGCATGGCGGCCGCGAAGACGTCGTCCTCGGCGCGCGCGCGTTCGTTGAGGGCGATGATGTCGTCTTGTTGGATACGCTTGCGGCGCGAGTCCTCGAGCTCGGCCTGCGCTGACCAGATCTGCGCCTGCACGGTGGCGAGCTCCTGGTTGCGGGCGATGGAGAGGAGGTGGTCCTCCTGTTCGAGGTTGAGGCGGTCGAGGCGCGCTCGGCGGGTGCGTTCTTGGGCCTCTATGTCGTCGGGCATGCCGCAAGCGCCCTCTGGCTGAGGGCCCATGTGTGAGTAGTAGACGTCCTCTGCGCGGTTCGCGCGGAGGAGCTTGACGAGGTCGTCCTGTTGATCCGTCTTTGGCAGTACGTGCGTGGCGTACATCGTGGGCGAGTATGTCAGCTTGCCGTCGGAGAAGTTATTAAACTTTTTGTTGATATGCTTCCACATGCCTGCCTTGAGCAGTGTTCGGCTGGTGACGAGAGGATCTTTGGAGTCCAGGGCAAGAATGAGAATCGATTTTCCCTCTGTGCGCAGGGTGATATCGGAGCCGGCTTCGATGAGGAAGTTGATGACTCGTTCCATCAGCTTTTGGCGTGCTGCTGTGAGTTCGCCGTTATCCGCGGCGTGCCGTGCAAGCTCTCCAAGTGCACTTCGGCCACCATGGAGAGTGCTCGGGAAGTCGGGTTCGTGGCCGTACTGAACCAAAACCTGGCAGGCGGGAAGGTTCAGCTCACGAGCGGCGTTGTGTAGTGATCCGTCATTCTTCGAAGCGCCAGCGGCCAGCAAGTTCGACATCATCTTGATGGCCAAGTCACCTCCAGCCTCGGTCGACAACGTCAACGGTGTGTTGCCCTTCACATCGCACACATCCACCTCTGCGCCCTCTAGCAGCAGCGTCTTGACGATGTCCGGCCGACGTGTCTGGATCGCCAGCATGAGAGGCGTCGTGTGCGATAGACGACTTTCGAAGTTGACCTTTGCGCCCGTCTCAATCAGCATTGTAATAATACCACTGCTGATTTTCTTTTGCGGTTGAAGCAAGGCCCACATCATGAGTGTGATGGGCTCTTCATCTACATCCTCCATGACCTTGCAGGGCATCATCTGGTCGTAGTAGTACCCTGCATCAAGCAACGCTTTGGTGATCTGAATAGATCGTGGGTGCTGCAGGATGGCAAGGAAGAGGAGAGGTACTGAGTCCGGCGGCGTGTACATGACGTCCAGCCGGGTCTCTCCATCGGCGTAGTCAGTAAACATTTGAATTAGCTCCAGAGCTTCCTCTTCAGAAGTGGGATTGTCGAAAATGCGATAAAAGGCTCGCGAGATCGACTCTGTATTCGGCTTCTTTTCCAGTAGTCGCTGAACGAGAAATGAGTTGCAGGCGGCGGCTGCGGATTGAAGCAATTTGCCGTCGTCGTAGTTGACATCGACTTTGTGGTCCAGGAGGATGTCGACAAAGCCGTTGGCGAGACTGACACTGTCATCGGACTCGGACAGCGGCATGTCGACAACTTGAGTGAGGACAGAGCTCAATCCATCACCGTGAGCACCCTTTTGTAAGAAGCTGTGTAGGATGCTGAAACCAGCTTCGGTGAACCATTCTTGGGAGTTGTCTTTGGTGAAGCCTTCCCGGATGGCGAGGTTGAGGTCTTCTCCCAAGATCTTAGACTCCAACATGAGGGCCAGCGGGCGTACCATGACTCTCCTCGTGGCGTCGATGAGTGTCTGGCAATCATTCGCGATGGGAGAGGCGCCAAATCGGATCAAAGCCTTGATGAGCTTGAAGTCAGGCTCTTCTTCGTTGATAGCTTGGTTCAGGACCACATGCAGGTCATCAGATATCGGCAGACCTGCTCGGAAGAGCGCGTCGATTATAGTCGCACGCGGTTCTCGGCTTAATTTCCAAGCCGCTCTCAAGGCCCTGTTGAGGGTGGTTGGCGCTGGTTTGTGCTTCTGGTTTACGTTAGAAAAGGCACGGGATGGAACGCTCGTGTTACTCACCAGTTTGGTGCCTATGTCGACCTGCCCCAGCATCATTTTCAGAGTATTGAGGTAGGCACACTTCGTAGCTGCCCACACAGCTTCTCCCTTGTTGTGGTTAGGATCGGCGCCAGCTTCCAGCAAAGTCTTCACTAGGTCCTCGCCATCGGCTCCGAACCGAACGGCGGAAGCGAGTTGTTCGTGAAGCGCTTCGCCATCCACTCCATGGCTAAGTAGAGGCTGCAGGATGGCAGCACGTGTTTTGAGGTTGCCGACTTCCGTGGCGGCCTGGAAACCTCTCTCGATGGTAGACTTCTTCGGCGCCGTGCTTCCACTAAGCAGCATCGTCAACACGTCGGCAGCGCCCGATCGACATGCTTCAACGATCGCCTCCTCATCAATCTGAGCGCCGTGAGACACCAGAATACTTCCCAGCATCAGGTCGCCATCTGCCGCAGCAGCAAGGAGGGCATCGGAGAGAACTGAGCCTGAGGCGCCGTGGTCCAATAACAAAGTGCAAATACCTGCCCTGGCGTCTCGGTCTGACAACATGGCCGCCTCGGCGAACGCGTCGTTCATGACAGCAACCGGATGTTTCTGCTTCAAAACGATTTCGACAATGTCGGGTCGCTCTTTCTTCACAGCTGACATCAAAGCTTCTCCATCGCTGGTGTTGGCCTTGACCGATAATGTTCTTAGCAGAGGAATGTCGTTGGTGTAGGTGTTGATGGCGAAGCCCAAGGCCCTGTTTGCTTCCGCACTAGGCGCGCCAGCGTCAAGCAACTTCTCGGAGAAATCGAGTCGGTCCATCGGGTCGGCAATGCGCAATGCGTGAGGAAGAGCTGAGGCGAGTGACGCAGGGCTTGGGCGGGCGGCGAAGAGGAGGTCAGTGATTTGCGTATCGCCGGCGGCAACAGCGTGGCAAAGAGCGGCGGCGTTGTGAGAGTTGACATCGGCACCTGATTCGAGAAGCACCTTGACTATTGACAGCCTCCGCTTCTCGGGATCCGTCTGAAGCAGAGAGTGGACTTCCTTGACGAGAACATCGTTGAAGAGGGCCTTGTCCTTGGTTTTGAATAACAGAATCTCAAGTTTCTCGGCTTTCGATTCTGACGATTGCATCTGTGAGAGCTCGTTGATGGCTCGGCTGACGGTCTGAGACGAGGGTTTGCCGTGCTTCAAGAGCATTTCGAGAACGGGAGGGTCATGACTGTGGATTGCTACTAGCTGTCAACACCCAGTCCATACTTATCATTTGACTCACTTACCAGAAGCCATGGCGATGCCGCTGTCGACGTTAACATCGGCCCGGCCCTGAAGCAGCAGCACTTGCAAAAGCTTCAGGTCTGCGGGACGGTAGTTCAAGACGTTGAGCATCGCTTGGGAGACCTTGGCCGTCTCTAGGGTCGGTACAGATGTGAGAAGTAAGGTTGCCATATCTAGCCTCGCCTGCGGATCGTGCGTCGCGATGATTCGGGGTAAGATGCTGGCAGCGGTTTGTGGTGTGACGTTCTTCTTAAGTAGGGCGTTCAGTAACCTAAGATCCTTTTGGGTGACGGCAGCGACCAGTGCTGATCCCTCATTGGTGTTGATATCGGTGTTGTACTTTAGGAACAGGCCGATGAGGTCCTCATCGCGATGCGGTGGCTCTTCATCGATGGCTTCTTGCAGTGCCTCGTCGACGATGGGTCCGGTCAGGCCACTGGTGAGGAAACATTCAACCATGCGATAGCGGTTCTGCCGAGATAATGTCTTGGTCAGAGGGAATATTTGGGCCAGGGTCTCACTAGACGGCTTGCTCATCAGCATCTCCTTGGTCATGGCAACATCACTTCTCATGACGGCAATCTGCAGTGCCAGACCTCCTTTGTGATCGACAGAGGCGACTTGATGGCGGTCGTAGACCATGGATCGTGGGCCCTTCTTCACGTCATGTTCGGCTATTGGCCGGCCTCCCGGGAACACAGGAGTGAGCAGCAGCTTGACCGAGTCAACATCACCGGCCTCAGCTGCCTCGATGAGCATGTCGTGCAATGCTGTACCGCTCGCACCTCTCCGTAGTAGCAGGTCTAGCAGTAGCCGACGGCTCTCCAAGGCCATATTCCTCGGAATCAACTCGACACACTCCGAGGCATGAGTTGCGCTGAGTTCTGAGCTACCGCTCAGAAGGGTGTACGCCACGTCTATCCGTCCGTTCTGGATGGCTTTCCGGATGGCCATGGCGTCCTGATACTCGATCGATACTCCGTACTTGACCAACAGACTAACCATATCCTGGAACTCGGAGGCTGCGGCGTGAATGAGTGCCAGAGCCGGCCCATCGCCGTCCGTACCGGCGCAAAGCAACAACTCAGCAACAGCGACCTTATCATTAGGGTTCATAGAAGGGTGGTCCAGCAGTTGTGAGAAAGCCTCGTCTAATCCTGGTCGTTTCGGTGGGTGGTTGCCCATGACGAGAGCGAGGGCGATGTCATGACGGCCCTGTCCAATGGCGACTTTCAGTGCCTCGGCATTGTTGTAGTCTCCGTCGGCATCAGATCGACTCAGATGGAGTACCGTGGCCAAGCATCCGGCCTTGGTCGCATCCACCATGCACTGAGATAGCCAACCTGACGGCGGCTTCGCTTCCGAGCGAAGGATGATGGCAACCATGTCGGCTTGACGCCCCGAGGCGCATGCCTGACGGAAAACCTCGTGGGTCTCGCTGCTCTGGAGAACGCCGGCACCGTAGCGAAGAAGCTGCTCCACCACGTCGACATTTTCGGCGCGCATGGCCAAAGGTAACGAAGCGTCCAGGGCGAAGTGGTCGGCGTGGGGCAGCAGGACCTGGATCATGTCGACCTGACCATTGTGGACGGCATGCTGGAGCACCTTGCTGCGCTCACCAAAACTTTCCAAGCTCTTCCTCCGCGGCAGGATACTCGTCTTGGCCTTCTGAGCCATGTTCACGTCGCCGCCAGACTGAATGAGCTGAATGATGAGGGCCTCAGCGATACCGGGTGAGCCGCGGTCGGCGACATGTTGGTCGAGGGTCTCGAAGACGATCTTGTAATCCCATGCCTTCTTCTTGGAGGTGAAGGCGCGCCTGAGGTTGGTGGTGGAGTCGGTCCGGCCCAGGGATGAGGCTTTCCTCTTCAGGAGGTCTTCGGCCTTGTTGTCGTCCTCCGGAGACCGGTAACTAGGTGGGCTGGAGGGCCGCGACAGCGGCGTCGGCGATGGCGGGGGCTCGATGCCCCATTCCTCCGCGAACTGGATGATCCGCTTCTGGCGGTCATCCTCTGTCGGCGGAGTCGGCATCGGGGAGCCGGGGAGGGGTTGAAGGCGAGTAGGACCGTATGATGGATAACGGCGATGAGTTGGCCGTAAAGAGGCGGCGGCGGGAGGTGAGGTCGAGGTCGGAAAAAAAGAGCGTGAGTGAGCGTAAGTAAGTTAAGTGAGATGAAGTGAGGTTCGGCCAAAGCGAGGTTAGACGCGGTGTGAGTGAGTGAGAGAAGAGGAGACGTGCGGCGCAAAGTTTCGTTTTCGTCCCAAGATTTCGTCCTCCTTTGGTCGAGCAAACCTGGACGGACAGGTCAGGACAGGACAGGACAGCAATAGTTGTCTTGTCAAGTCGAGCGGAAAAGACGGCCTACGACCCGGTGGCAACCGGTGCGCTGCGGTGTCTGGTGCTTCGATGGCATGAACGGGAAGTTGAAGACAAGCATCCAGGATCGACGACGAGGTGACAAAAAGGGACGGCTACGGCAGCCTTTAGGTGTTGGGGAAAACCACGGGGATGGGAAAGGGCTGAGCGGCAGAAAAAGAGAGAGAAAAAAGGGTCGGATTGGATCGTTAGATTCGATGGGTCTGGTCTGAGTGGCAGCGTCTGGTGGTTTCCAGGTTCTGGTTCGTCGCGGAGCTTCGGCTTGGAGCTGCCGTCCGGGGGGCCTTGAAGCTCCCGTCGGGTCCAATACGGATACTCTGACAGGGAACTGAATTGAATTGAATTGTTCGAACGAGGCTTGACGTGACGGGAAAGGCGCAGCTTAGCAGCAAGGCACACAGCACGCACAGTCCCTCCTCCGAGTGAGGTGTCTGAAGTGGTTGTCCAATTGCGTTGTGGACGGAAGTAAAAAGACCAAAATGTTTTCTGCTCCTGTAAATGAAAATGCTGACAGGAGAGAAAAAGTCGTGTAATTGTTCGTGTGGCAGGCGCAACTTCGGTGCCGGTGGCTCTGTGGCGACAATGCGTCGCGTTTCAGCGGAGTGGAGCCGCGACTTCTCTCACCTGCGGGCACTCACTCACTGAGCTGGCCTCACGCTGTAAGCTGAGGTGTCGTCGGGTCGTATTTCATCTGTTCGTCCCTCCCCCAAAATCACACCTCTTGGTCCCCTAAATGGCGTACAGGGTTGCTATTCAGCGATGAATCGACAGGGGCAAATGAGGCTTGAAATCTTTATTTTCTTCGAGGTCAGACGACGGGCGACAGGGCCTGTAATGACGTCGTCGGTCGTCGGTCGTCGGTCGTCGGTCGTCGGTCTTGACTCTTGTATCCGTACGGCGAAATATATTCCAGGAGACCGCAACGGGAATATCGCATTTTTTTCTTCTTCAACGACAACGAGGTAGGGACATGCTTTCTTGCAGGTGGGGATGATTGACCGCTAGAAGCAACTCGTGAGGAGAAGAGGAGAAAGGGCGACACAAGAACGAAAAAAGTCAAGAAATAGCCAAAAGGCAAAAAAAAGATTCAATGCGACCAACCCAGCCCATCCCTCGTTTAAGCTTGTTGGAGGCCGAGATACCCTCCATGGGATTGGATGGCCGTGGCAGGGCATACGCGGACATTTGGGCGATCTTTGACAGCAAGCAAGGTGGGGAAACTGAGGCAGTGGAAGACGAATTCATCATCATTGACAGTGTCATTGGCAATTACGGTACCTTACCTCACCATTTGACTGAGGAGAACATGGCAGTGAGGCACAATGAAGTTCAAACTTCAAGGACGGCCCAGAACACCCAGAAAGCCTCATCACCCGCGCCAAGTGGCTCCGCACCACCGCAAAAGAGTCTGGCCTCCCTGATTTTAGATTTCCGATTCTGGGGTTCGCGAGAAACGAGGACCGGGAAACGAGATATTTTTCGGGGCACCGAAGTGAGCCAATGGGGAATATTGGATGCGGAAATATTGGGAGGCGACACGAGAATCGAGACCCCTGCCGACGACATCCAGAACTTGAAGAAACCGAGAGAAAAGATACGTACCTACCTGCTCAGGCGTTTTCTTCCAACGGCGCAGCTGCCAACCCATCGGTCCCGTCCTCCATCTTGACGTGGCCGAAGATGGACCCAAATTCCCGCCAACGGGACAACTAGCTTCGGTTCGGTTCTCATCGAAAAACATCCCAAGATCGAAATCCTGCAAAACACGCAAGTCGACGCGAAGCAACCCAATCAGCACCCTCCTCACCGCTAGAGGAAGGGGGAAAAGACAAGAGCCAAGACGGCTGAGCCTCAATCGAGGACGCCATTCATTGCGAACAGATCCAACCGCGGGAAAAGTGCCCTGCACATGCCACCGCACTCACTCACTCAACTTACTCTCACTTTCACTCTCACAAACTCATCTCAACAGGCGCAACACAGAAGCCCGGCCGATTGACACTCACTCACCCGGCCGCCCCGATTCCCACGCATTGACATGCCGTCCTCTGCATCTGAGCCTTGGCAACTCAAGACTGACTGACTAGCCGTCGACGCTCAGCTGCTCTTCGGAAGTCTCTCAAGGAAGGAATATGCCGGTCACTTACTCAGCCGTTGCGTCTATGAGAAACACCCCGGAGAAGGTCAGAACAAACCAGATCCTTCGACCAGACAATACCATCATCCGCCGATGGGAGCATCATACTTTTCTCGCGTGCTCATTAACGTCCCTAGGCCGGTGGCCGTTGCGGACGGGAGGATCGTAACCGCCGCGACCATGAGTTCGTGCCAAGAGCGAGAGTGTGTGCGTACACGGTCTAAAACTTATTCATCCCATGCATCGGCAAGCGTTTGATCTCGCCATCCTGTGCCACTGCTAGTCACACCCTTAAGATATGAGTATGCTCTTGAATCTGCCCAAAGACGTTGGTGAGCACGGTTCTCCCAAAAACGAGTGATTGGGGACACGGCGAGAGGAAGCCTCATCATGCTGAGTGAGGAAGAGGGAAAGTCTGCTGCGAATAGGTAAAACACAGTCGACTTTTCCTACTCTCAGCAAGCCTTCACCCAGTCTTAACTTACCTTGCATGAGTGTTATCACACTCAGATTGTCCAGATTGGTAAACCTGTACCAACTAAATCACCCTGGCGTGCAGTTAGTTGCTCCTATCCCGAACATGAAGAAGAGAAGAAATCATCACTTATCTTTGTGCTACCATATTTGTCTTGGGTTATGGCCCATAAATCCTCACGGCTTGGAAATGCAATCACCGGAATTCATGAATGAATTGTTTCAATCGGTAGCCACGAAACAAACCGTCAACCACATCAAACAGCCCTCATCGTCGGAACTCACCTCCCCCACAAAACCACCAAGAGACCCCGCGCGCCTACAGTGTATTACCAAGCAAACCCGCCTCCAGCTCCGGCCCCGGCCCGCAACCGGGCGGCGGACGGGTCCCGACACCGAAAAAGACCTCGAACAATCCCGAAGCTGGAGATCGCTACCCGACATCCGACAAACCAAAACCCCTCCTCCTCACGAACACACCCGAATTCTGCTTACTAAACCCCCGCCAGGGAGCCCGCATCGGAAACCATTCTCAAATGATTGCTCAGCAGTATTGCCGAATACTGAATCAGAAAAAGAGACAAAAAGAAGAGACGCAAAAAAAGAAGGGTCTGAGACATTGCTACTTAATAACCCCCGCTTAATCGCAAAAGAACGCACGCCATACCGGATCCCGCATAGAAAATGCTGTCTCCGAGATTCCCCTCCTCCTCATCGGCAATCCACAAGCTCCCAAGGTGTTTATCATCATCCTCACCCCTCCTCTTCACCAGACATCAACCGCCTCTCCGTATCTCAATTACACCACCACGAGCTACAGCAACCCAATCCCGACCTCATAGTCTTCCCACCCGTCGTCACTTCCACGCCTCCCCAAGACCCCTCAACGACCTTTCCCCAGCCCCGCACTTCGCAATGGCAACCCACCCCGAGACCATGTCCGCCATCCGCGTCCCCCGCACCGGCGGCGTCGAGGTCCTCACCCACGAGACCTCCGTCCCCGTCCCCGCCCCCTCCGCCGAGGGCCAGGTCCTCGTCCGCAACGAGTACGCCGGCGTCAACTACATCGACACCTACTTCCGCACCGGCCTCTACGCCGCGCCCCTCCCGCAGACCCTCGGCCGCGAGGGCGCCGGCGTCGTCGCCTCCGTCCACCCCTCCGTCACCGGCTTCAAGGCCGGCGACAGGGTCGTCTACATGGGGCCCTTCGCCTCCTACGCCACCTACTCCCTCGTCCCCGCCGACAAGCTCCTGCGCGTCCCGGACGCCCTGCCCACCGACAAGGCCGCCGCGGCGCTGCTGCAGGGCCTGACGGCCTGGACCTTCATCCGCGAGGCCGGCGTCGTGGAGAAGGGCGAGTGGGTGCTCGTGCACGCGGCCGCGGGCGGCGTGGGGTTGCAGCTGGTGCAGATGCTGCGGGCCGTCGGGGCGAAAGTGATTGGCACGACGAGCAGCGACGAGAAGTGCGCGCTGGCGAAGAAGAACGGCGCCGAGTGGGTCGTCAACTCCAAGACGCAGGACCTGGTCGCGGAGGTGAAGAAGATCACGGGGGGCCACGGCGCGGACGTCATTTTCGACGGTGTTGGAAAGGCGACGTTCGACAGCGACCTCGAGATGGCGGCGCGCAAGGGGCGGTTGGTCGTCTTTGGTAACGCGGTAAGTTTTGACAGGCTGTGTGTGTCACATGCGGATCGTTTGGCTGATGATTGTGATAGTCGGGTGCTGTTCCCCCATTCGACATTCTTAAGCTGGGACCCAAAAACTTGAAGGTCATGCGCCCTGTGGTGAACAACTACGTGGCGACGAGGGAGGAGCTGGAGAAGTACAGCGCCGAGCTGTTTGAGATGATCACCTCGGGCAAGGTCGAGGTCGCCATCCACAAGGCTTACCCGCTCGCGGATGTCAAGGCGGCGCACACGGATCTGGAGAGCCGTAACACCACCGGCAAGCTCCTGCTGAAGATCGATTGACTCGATGCACGGCTGTGAAGCGTTTAGAAGGAACTGAGCCTGTAATTTGATCTCTTCAATCTTTTTTTTTCATTATATTCTCTATAAATGGCGAAACGTCGTCTCATGGCTGTCGCTGGGAATAGCACTAATTCTAACACCGTCTATGATGAGCAATATGGAGGCCAATTCTATGCAGGTGGCAGTGCTCCGATGCTTTCATTTCTCTCCACCTCAAGAGCTCGTGGGCTTGGCGTTGGCCAGGAGCTCCGGAGGGGGGTCCTGGCGGTAACCCTTGGGGTTGTTGCTGACCCAGCGCCACAGGTCTTCGCAGGCCTTCTCCATCGTCAACTCGGTCTTCCAGTTCAGCTCCTTGTTGGCCAACGAAGGGTTGGCGGTAAGGTCGAGGACGTCACCCTGGCGTCTGGGAACAACCTCGTAGGGGAGGTCGCGGCCGACGACGGCGCTGAAGGCCTTGATCATCTCGAAAACGGTGCTGCCACGGCCAGAGCCCAAGTTCCATGCCTTGACGCCGGGCTTGTTCTCACGGAGGTAGTTGAGAGCGACGAGGTGGCCCTTGGCCAGATCGACGACGTGGATGTAGTCGCGGATAGCGGTACCATCTCTTGAGGAGTAGTCTGTTTTTGTCAGTAGACGTTCAGTATCATTTCGACCGGTTCACCTACCATCACCGAAGACAAGGAGCTTCTCGCGATCGCCAGTGGCGACCTTGCCGAGCAGGGGCAGCAGGTTGTAAGGAACGCCCTGGGGGTCCTCGCCCATGAGACCAGAGGGATGAGCACCGCAGGGGTTGAAGTATCTCAGCAGAGCTCCGTTGAACTGCTCAAAGGGCTTGCCGGCCTTCTTCAACTTATTGCGCTCGGCCTGGATGTGGTCGGTGATGACCTGCTCAACGAAGGCCTTGGTGTGGCCGTAGGTGTTCGTGGGGCCGATGGGGCAGTGCTCGGGGATGGGGATCATGTTGGGGAAGCGGGTCGCGTCGCCGTAGACGGTTGCGGAGGAAGAGAAGACAATGTTGGGGACATTGTTGTCGGTCATGGCCTGGAGGAGGGAAACGGTGCCGCCGACGTTGACACGGTAGTACTCGAGAGGGATCTCGCCAGACTCGCCGACTGCCTGCGTCTCGCGTTAGTCGACAGTGCGGTTTGCGACAGGGTGAGGGCTGACTTGCCTTGAGGGCAGCGAAGTGAATGACGCTATCAATCTCGGGGTGCTTCTTGAAGACCTCGTCGAGTCCAGCCTTGTCGGTGACGTCGACCTGGTAGAAGTGGGGACGCTTGCCGGCGAGGAGCTCGATGCGGTCGACAGCGACCTTGGAGGAGTTGTAGAGGCTGTCGACAATGACCACGTCGTAGCCGTGCTCAAGAAGAGCGAGGGTGGTGAAAGAGCCAATGTAGCCGGTGCCACTGCAAGCCACGAGAATTCGCAATTAGCCTTTCATCGCGCCTTGCTAGCTTTGCGCCGACAATGCGACAGCGATCGACGGAAAGTGCCTCGTGGAAGCCTCTCCCGGCTCTCGAACTGTCGCATTGCGCGCTGGGTCGGGTAATGCGACTTACCCGGTGACCAAGACGGTTCCAATCGCCATTGTGAAGAAATTTGCTGGTGTCGATCGCAACTAGATGGTGTGAGGGGTTGAATTGGAGAGAGGGAGCGCGAAAGTCAGGCGGTCCGTCGGGGTATCAAAGTAGGTTGGTGGTTGAAGAACGAGCGAGTCCAGACTTCTCGACAAGAAAGCAGTGAAGGGGACCGACAGCAAGATATACGTTCTCTGGCGATGGAGGCCGGAGCGACGGTCACAATAACAGAAAAACAAACGGGTCGTCTGTCTGTAACGTTCCGATAGGTGATGGATGTGGGAGAGAAATTGGCGCGGGTTGACGACACCTTTGCGACTTTGGTACTGACGCCGCCAACGGCCAATCCAAATGAAGGCGATGGCGGGGTCTCGCAGCGGGGGTGGCACCAATTTGCAGCGTTGTGGCTGGCTGCGGAGTCATTAATTTCTTCTCGAGCCTCAAACGGCGCACTTTGAAACCTGCAACGACCGGGGATGGCGGTGCCGTGGATCCTGATCTTCAGGATTCTGAGCGGCCCGACAGGGACCTGTCGTTTGTCACATAGCGCTTTCACGTGGGTTGAGTGTGAGAGCTGGCAAGCTGGTCTGCCGTGCTGAAGGTTGTTGGCTGACTGACAGGAGATGGGCGGTTCAGCTGAGGGATCAGACGACGAACTGGACGGCATACTTCGTGATGGTGTCTTCAGGCGGGGTTTTCTGTTCCTGGCCGAGGGAACTGTGCTGCTTGCCGCTGGTACTCGTTGTTTGTTGCAGCGAGGAGTTTGCAGGGTTGGCCGAGTACCGGTGTGCTTCCATTTCCCGCCGCTTGCTTCTTCTGCAGGTCCTGCAGGTTTGCCATGCTTGCTTGTGGTCCGGGACTTGGACCGAGATGACGGACAATAAGCCAGTTCCCGCCCGCATCGACATCGACACGGATCGTCAAAGTAAGGGACCATTGCCATTGCCGTCTGAGCAGTGCTGCTGCATCGTCAAGACTGGCCGCCTCTCATGATGCGATTGAGCCTGTTCTCAACGGCGCATCGTATTCTCGTCCCCCATTTGCGCGAATTCGCTAGCACCAAGCAGGATGCAGATGTCGGGATTCAAGAGTGAGAGGGACTGCGCCAGGATGGGCCGACAAGATGGAGGTGGAACAATGAGACATGGATGGATTCATCAGTGACGTAGGACCGCCAGGATCTAGCCTTTTCCCTGCCTTACATAAGTTCGCTTGTCTGCCTCAGGTTTATCATCGAAGGCCTTGGCTCATCACGTGCAAGAAAAGGCAGATGGCCCAAGCTTGCTTAAGCTCATCGCTTATGTAATACAAGGCCCGGTCACCACGGCGCGTGGACGACGGACACGCTGCAGGGGTCCGTGCTCCAATCGCTCTCAATTGCGGTGGCGGGCAGCCGTCGCGAAAACATTCCAGGTGAAGCTCCAAGGTGAACTTTTCCAGCCAGCACAAAGAGCCAACAACCCCTCGATACGCCCCTTGCTTTGCCTTGCTGCTGTCGCGTCTATCTGCTTAATACGTCCGACAATTAATTGACACCCCGGACCGCCGAGACGAAGCAGCATTCCTCCCTCGAAAGCTACCTTACCTGGTCTCTTCGACAGACCTCCCGCCGTCCACCGCGGCGCGTGCGCGACTTGCCGGGGAAAAGATGGTAGTTGCTGCCAGGGACCGCTCCTGCTTTCTTTGTTGACAACCGCCCTCCCTCCCTTCCCGATCCGGCGGGTCTTCACTCTGGAATAGCTTCATTTTTTTTCATTATTGCGGCCATTCAGAACCCGAAAGCGGTTACTTGCAGCTCTCACAAAGGCTCATTCACTTCCCAGTTCCACCTCACAACAGAGCTCTCTTGAGCTGTTCCTTTGGTTGCCATCTCCCTTGTTGCTCAACATAGCACTCATGGACATCTGCGCTTAGCATTGTTGATGAGACAAAAGCTTCGGACTGCAGCTTGAGCTATTATCCTGACGGATACAATCCAGCTCATCATTGCTGCGCATGTCCTTGGGCATCAAATAATAATGTGAGTTGCACCTTCCCGTCTCATCCTTCATCCTGTCATGGCTCTTTCTCTTATGGTGTTTTTCTGCTTTTGAGCTGCTCCTTCTTCTCTCAAAGTCCTTTCTCACACATCAAGACTCACTCTATTTTTCTTTCTTTTGCTTCTTCATCTTACAACTCACCCAACCCATTCACAACCTTCTCATCTCACATCTCAACCCGCAGCCATCATCCCTTATATACGATCACCACGACAACCGACAACCAGTTCCACTGACCATCAACTCAGACATCTTTCACTCACAACAGTCAAGATGCCTCCGAAGAGACGACCTCGCCGGGATGAGGATGAGCTGCAATCTATCCGAGGCGGCGCTGCCGTTACACAAGATCTTCCGTCCATGCCTTCGCGGTTCGACACGTCCTACGGCTCTGCTCCCTCGACCATGCCGCGGAACGTCAGGCGCGGCCAGGTTCGCAACATCCAGACTGCGGTTCAAGACGCCTTGAATGACGATGACAGCGACGATGACGATGCGCGAGGCTCAAAGTCAAAGCCCAAGTCCACCCCGAAGCCGAAGCCGTCCCGTCCCGTTCAGAAAGAACCGGAGCCCGAGCCGGAGCCCGAACCAGATTTCGGTCCGGGTAATGGTTCAGATTCAGATTTACCAGTCTCTCCAAGAGACTTGACGCCAGAGCCGCCCAGGGCGCACAACTCACCTCGGCGTAGCCCGCCCGGAATAGGTAAGTGCAGCCACGTGTGGACCCATTTGGTCTTGCTTTGTCGCAGTCTCAGATCCCTTACTGACACCTTCTACAGCCCCAACGGTTGAACCTGCTTCATTCCAAGGAGATCTCCCTCGCGGTGCTCGTGGCCAAAGATTTCTGCCCAGTGCTGCGCCGCCCAGAGGCTCCGACGTCGCGCCAGGTCAAACACCAAGGAGAGCATCTTCCGAAGGACCCGTCTTGCCGCCGACAACCAACACTTCCTCAGGCAATCCTGGCCCGTCGAGGCTCAACCCGCCTACCAGAGGCTCTCTCTTCCAACGGGCGGTTTCTGAAGATCGTGATCGCTACGCCCTGCGTCGCTCCGGTTCGGAAGAACCGGTCCGGACGCCTGATTCTACGCGGACCTTTGGCCAGGAGAGCTCGTTGTTCGGTGACGCGGTTATCGGGTCCACCCCCAACAAGTCACCTTCCCCTGGCAACCGGCCAATCACCACAATTGAGGAGGAAGACTCGCCCATCGAGGCTGAGGATCGCGAGGCAGCGATCGTCAAGAGTCCCTCGAAGCGCCCGGTTTTGCGTCACCCGAAACATAACCCACCCATGGCTCCGCGATCTTTCAACCAGACCGAGCCGCGAGACCCAGTTCGGTCACCAATTACACAGGTCGCTGACGGACCTCCGCCTGGAAGTCGACTATCTTACAACCCATTTTCTCCAACCAAACCCGAGTCTCCGCGTACTCCGACTCGGGGTTCATCACAATCCCATAGGCAATCACCTAATATGGCACCTCCCCCATCGGCCCCTCGATTCGTGTCCAACCCGGTACATGTCTCTCCAGCTCATCCCATCGGCCTTTCATCCGTCAACAGAACGAGTCGTCATCAAGAAGCTGGCAATGTTGTTGAGGAGCCGCCTGTGTCTCCCGTGACTTACAACCACCGGCCTCATCAACCATCACAGCCAGGCACTCCCAGCCCACCCCGGGTAAGCCCGGTGCGACAGCCCGCTGTTCAAAGTCCGCAACCCAGCCGGATAAGGCTGGCCGTCCAGCAAAGAACTCAGGTCCCACCGCGTCCTGTCGAAGATGTGAGACGTACCCAGCCACCTGTTGCTGACGTTCGTCCGAATCTTCGTCCGAATCAGAGACAAAATCGGGACGAGCCTACGCGCAATCATAGTGGCTTATTTGACCAGGATATGCAACAGAGGGTGGAAGAGGAGCGGGAGAAGGACGAAGCAGAGCAGCAAGCCCTCCGAAGCGAGCGCAAAGCGCGACTCCAAGCATGGCCAAGGATCTACGTACCCATTTACAGCTGGACCAAGACTGCGCGTCCCGACACACCCCCTGTCCCTACTGATGGCACCCCGCAGAGGCGACCGGGCCGACAGACACCCATGGACCAGCTTGGATGGGGACCGTGGCTCATGTTCACAATCGCCGACACATTCGTGGACGTCCTCGGCTTCATCTTTTCACCCGAAGCTTGGCTTATTAGGACTGCAGTAGCGGTTTTGCTTCTGTCTTTCTTGGGATGGACGATTTTCTCGGGACTTTCTGCCATTCCCGCATTCAGTCTCGGCGGTTTGCAGTGGTATGGCTTCTCCGATATTGCCCACAACCTCGGACAGTTCATGCCACTGTGGGTGACGCGACCCTCCACGATGTTCAGCGACGAGGATACCAGAGAGTATTTACGACAGCAACGCGATCACGAGTATGAGATAACGAAACTGATGACGTCCACCAAGCTTCACGAAGGTTCGCTGTCAAAGCTGGAGCAGATCATGCCCAAGATTGTCCGCATGGAGCTGGACAAGCAAGGACGACCTGTGGTGTCTCAAGATTTCTACCACGCTCTGCGAGACCTAATGAAGAGCGACAAGGAGGTCTTGACGCTGGACAGAGGTCATGGCGGCTATCACTACATATCTGACGAGCACTGGCGAGCGATCAGGGACAAGCTCAAGAAAGACCCTGTTTATCAGAAGGCGGCGAATCCTCCGGCGCCAGGAGTTTCTCCCAGCCAAGTCGAGGACATCTTTCAGAACAACTTCTCCAAGAGTTGGGAGAAGTGGCTCAGAAACAACAACCAGCAGGTGGCCAAGATCTTGGAGCCTGCTTTTGGCACCTCCATTCCTGACAAGATCGAGAAAGACCTTGGACAGAAACTTGAGAAGTATGTCAAGGATCTATACAAGGAGAAGGGTACAAAGGATGTTGTCGTCACGCGAGAAGAGTTCATCCGGCATCTCAAGGGCGAATTCGCTACTCATCGCAACGAAGTCAAGGCTGAGGTTCAAGAGTTGCAGAAGAAGCTGGAGGACTTTATCTCCAAATCGGTCGATCTTGCCATGAGTAAAGCCCCGCCTTCAGGAGTCTCCCGTGCCGAGATGATCCATTTCGTCGACGACTTGGTCCGGCAGGCAATCGCGAATGCCGGTCTTGAGGCACTCGCCAAGGGCAAGATTGGTGCAAACTGGAATCATGAGCTGAGTCGCCAGGTCAATTACCTGACGGTTGGCGGTGGCACCATCATCGATCCCATGCATACCTCTCCGAATTTCAAACCAAAATTCAAGGGACCCATTGGGTCAGCTGCTTGGATGGATAGCACAAGGCGTAGTCCCTTTATTCTTCCACCCTCCAAGACCCAGCTTCGCTGGGAAGATGATGGCGAGTGCTGGTGTGGCGAAAAGGCAATCGACAAGCAAGGGCGGCCACTGGGCGTATTCATCTCTTATCTGATCAGTCACGAGATCGTCCCCCAGCACCTTGTGGTCGAACACATCCTCCCTAGCGCTACTTGGAACGCCGAGGCTCGGCCGAAGGAATTGGAAGTCTGGGCTTACATTACGGAGATCAATCTGCGTAGCCGCGTCGAGGACTTTTCCGCCAGCCACTTCCCCTCGAACCCCCGCGAGAAGTGGCTGGAGGATGGTTGGATCAAGATCAGCCAGTTCACATATGAGAGCAACGATGCTTCCGGCGGCATCCACGTCCATCAGCTCAGCCCTGAGTTGGTAACACTGGGAGCCGCGACGGATCATATCATTATCCGTGCGGTCAGCAACCACGGTGCTGATCACACTTGTTTCTACAGAAACCGTTTGTTTGGGGAGAGGCTCGTTTGATTTGAGCACTTGGAAGGCGTTGGTATCCGGGCAATAGCAGGCTTTGGGTGGCAGAAGGCATCAAACAGTGCGAGTTATTTTTTTGGCATCGGGAGACGGGATGGAAGCTTTCTGGCGTTCGGGGTTGGCGATACCCCTGGACTTTATCTAGTCCTTCAGACAGCATTTTAATGCATCACGTATTACTTAATTTCGTCTTTGTGATATGAAGCGACCGATGTTGGTCTCGTGTGTAATCATCACGGCAAGTCGAGATGACTGGACTTTGAACAAAACATTGGCTGAAACGACAATTACTTTTCCTTTCCTGAGGGTATCTACGTCTATCACGCACATTAATTCAACAAGCCCGAAGCCAGCGCCTCGAGGTCCTCCAACGTCTCGGGCTCGTGGTCGATCTCGAGCACCTTGCCGCCCTTCTTGGCCCTCTTCTTCTTCTCCCTCTCCTCGTCCGAGTCGTCCTGGAACCACTTCCTGGTCTTCTTCTTCGGCCTCTCGTCCTCCGACTCCTCCCCCCCGCTCGACCCGCCCGCAATCGGCAACGACCGCAGCAGCGCCAACGGGTCCTCCCCGTCCTGCGCCCCCGGCGCCTCCACCAGCTGCGGCGCGCCGCCCTCCCGCTCCTCCGCCTCCCGCAGCTTCCGCTTGAGCTTCTTCTCCCTCCTCTTCTCGCGCTGGAGCTCCTTGTCGTCCGCGTCCGCCTCCCTGACGCGCGCCGTCTCGCTCTCGACGAACTTCTGCCGGAGCTCCTCCGGCGCGCCCTCCTGCTTGAAGTCGTCCTCGTTCTGCAGCTCGTAGATTGGGTGCGCGTTGCCCTCCTCGTCGAAGACGAGCTTCGTGCCCCGGCCCTTGAACTTGAGCATCTTCTTCTTGGACTGCAGCGCCTTCTCGCGCCGCTTCGAGTCCACGATGAACTGCTGGTCGCCGTACGAGATCACCTTGGCCTTGGACCCGGGCGCCTTGCCGGACTCGGCGTCGAGCGCGTCGTCGTTGAGGACCCGCTTGACCGAGAGGAAGTCGTCGCCCTCCTCGTCGTCGCCGCCCGCGCCGTCCACCGCCGGACCGTCGATCTCGCCGTTGGCCACGAGCTTGCTGTAGTGACCCGAAAGGACGTCCTGGTTGGTGCGCTCGAACATGCGGTCGTACTTTGTGCGCACCTCGGGCTTCTTGGGCTTCTTGGGCGCGTCATCGTCCGAGTCGTCCTCGTCGCTCGACATGCCCGCGCGCGGGGCGTTCTTGACCTTCTTCATGTCGGCGCCGCCCTGTTTGAACTTGATCTGCGGCGCTCCCGGGAGACCGAGGCTGGAGGCGAAGGCGTCGAGGTCGAGCTCGTCGAGCTTGAAGACCTCCTTGTCCTTGTGCAGGTGGATGGAGCGGGTGTAGCTGATGAAGGCCTTCTGGCCGAGATACTTGAGGTCCGGGTTCTGGAAGCACATGCTCTGCAGCTGGTTCTTGATGCTCTTCTTCTTGTTCTCCTTGACGGTGATCTTGCTGATGGGCACCTTCTTCGCCTCGAGGCGCTTGAGCATGCCCTCCTCCTCGCTGGGGTCGAGGAAGAGAACGGCCTTGCCGTCGCGCTCGTATCGCGCGGTGCGGCCCACGCGGTGGATATATGTGTCTACGTCCTCGGGGCAGTCGACCTGCACGACCCAGTCGACGGCGGGGAAGTCGACTCCGCGGGCGACGACGTCGGTCGCGAAGAGGCAGGAGTTGTTGGACTCGGCGAAGCGCTTCGTGATCTCCATGCGCTGGAGCTGCTTCTGCTTTCCGAGGAGGTGGAGGAGGGGGATACCGGGCTGCAGGTGCCTGAAGCTCTCGTACGCGAAGCGGACCTGTTTTCCGGACGACAGGAAGACGATGATCTTGCTTTTGAGGTTCGCCTTGATGAAGCCGAAGAGGGTGTCGAGCTTTTCGGGGAGCGGGGTGACGATGTAGTGCTGCTGGAGGTTCTTGGGCGTGGACTCCTCGTGCACGGAGACGTATTCGGGATCCTTGAGGCTCAGGCGTGCCAGGTCGGAGACCTTCTTGCTCTGCGTCGCGCTGAAGAGGAGGGTCTGTCTTGTTTGCGGCAGGTGCTCGACCAGCGCGTCGACGGCGGTCTGGAAACCCATGTCCATGATGCGGTCCGCCTCGTCGAGGACCAGGATCTGGAGATTATCGACGTCGAAGCCGGCCGTCTGGTCGAGGTGCTGCAGGATGCGTCCCGGGGTGCACACCAGGATGTTCATCTTGGACAGGCGCTCGGCCTCCTCCTTCAGACTCTTGCCGCCGATGACGAGGCCGGCGGAGAAGGCGTGGTTGCGGCCGACCTTGCGCAGGACGTCGAAGATCTGCACGGCCAGCTCGCGGGTGGGGGAGAGGATGAGGGCGCCGAGGCCGTCGAACTCGGTCCATCTTGCGCGGTAGAGCTTCTCGAGGACGGGGATGATGAAGGCGAGGGTCTTGCCGCTGCCGGTCTTCGCGGCGCCGAGGATGTCATGGCCCTTGAGGGCGAGGGGCACGGCGCGGGACTGGATGTCCGTGAGGGTTTGGAAGTGGGATTTCTCGAGGCCGGTCGCGGTCGCTTCGCAGAGGGGGAGTTCGGAGAAGGTCTTGAAGTCGCCCTTGGGGTCCTGTTGTGAGGGTTGTAAGGTTAGCAAAGTTTGGTCGTCGCATCGCGTGACGGGTGATCGCGATCTTTAAAAAAGAGAAGAACTTACAAAGTCTGCGACGGCCTTCTCGAGCTGCTCGATGCTCTGCACTTGCTGTTTTCTCTTCTCGATCCTTGTGTCTCTCTTGAGTGTCTTTGATCGTTTTGCTGGTCCCTTCGCGGGGCCCTTCGCCGGGGTCGCCATCTTTGCGTATGGTTCTGGGTGTTCGATGCTTTGGTAGATTCCTTCGGGACGGGCTGGAAATTTTTTGGAATCGAGTTTCCATGGGTGGAGCCAAAGTTCGGCATTCGGTGACAGCGGTCGCCGTGGGTGTGGGGGGTCTCCTGCCAGGTGGCACCAGCTGCTTCTAGTCGGCAAAGCGGGAAAACATCGAAGTGCAGTGTCTATTCATCCTCAGTGACCGAGATACCGAGAGGAACCTCCTTTTTTGTCAATGAAACTGATGAGGTTTTCGGCGCAGAGTAAGATTATGAAACTTTCATCGAAAACAAAGATTTCGATCCGATACCCAGTCACTAAAAAAGTCGTTCGCTTTCTCCTTGTGGGGTTGACAAATGGGTCATGAAAGTGGTGTAAGTCTGGAACAGACATTGCTAGTCCAAGATCTGAACACCCATGGCCGCCAGATGCCCTGATATTTGTCACGATCTTCTACATGGGCTAGATCTGAGATTTTGAAGCGTAAGTGGCTTATGCAGATGTGGTATTGGCGGTCCAACGTTGAAAATCGCGGGATCCATCGCGTCTTCAATGGGAAGACCAGAGTCATGCCGGCCCAGAACAATTGAGGAAGCTTGACTTGTATGACGATTCATAAAGAGTTAAATATTGACGTCTATCCAGTCTAACGTCCTTCTCCTCAGAGGTCTGGACTCTTTCATTGGTCAATCAGCGGTCTCGTCGTTTGCTCCGGTTCAGCCTAGGACCAGACTGGACCCTTGGATGTCTCGACGACGGCAGCCAAATGCACAGGACATAACCAATAGGAAGAAAAGGAATAAAAACGACCTCCATCAAATGGTTCTTTGTCAATTGTGTGTCCGATTGCCGAGCGCTAAACTGGCGCGGATGCTCGGTTCCTGAGTGCTCCGGGAGGATAGTACGGAACTTGCACTGACGGCGCTAGGAGTTTAAGACTTAGTTCTGAAGATCAACATCTAGACTGATATTATTTTGTCGGAAATAGCACCTTCTAACGGAAATATTGGTTACGCTGGACTGGCCTAGTCCACAGGGTGATTGGAATCGCGAGCCATCAGCATTTATTAATACATCCAAGGTGAAGCACGAGATTGGGTGTATTCCTGCTTGAAAATCGTTGCCAACTTCATCTTGACAATATTCATCCATTCCAACTTTGTAATATTTCATATCAATTGTCAAGAACCTTCAGTTAGCAGCCATGTATCTTTCATATCTTCTCATCACAGGAATACTACCGCTGGTTTCGGGCATTCCGACATGTCCTTTTGGCCTGCCTTGCTCTTTCAAGCTCCCAACATCTCTAAGCGACTTGACACTAAAGTTGAAACCCAACCATTTCACATGGCAGCCGGCCGGTCCTGGCGATGGTAAGAGCTCAAAGTCCAATCTCCTAAGAACTGACGTTCTGACAACTTATCAGTCCGTTCGCCATGCCCTATGTTGAATGCGCTCGCAAACCACGGTTTTCTTCCACATGACGGCCGTCACATCACATTAGATATCCTGAAGAAGGCCCTCAACGATGCCGCAAACATCGGCGAAGACGTCGCGACTGGCGCTTTCACGCCGGGACTGACGACTAACCCGACTCCGAATGCCGACGTAAGTGAAAACTACTCGCACTTTACAAAGCATTACACCTTATCCTGGAGGACGGTTAGCGACTTGGCCCGAAAAGCGATCTGGCTGACAATGTGTTGCACAGTTCATCGACTTGGACATGCTGAACAAGCACAATGTTATTGAGCATGATGGGAGTTTATCCCGCCGAGACGAATATTTCAACCCGACGAACCCATTCGACGAAGGGACTTTTGATCAGTTCCTGTCTTACTTTGGTGGCACCCAAACATTAGACGTGCCATCTATCGCCAACGCTCGAGCTAGGCACGTGTCGGAAATGAGCAAGATCAATCCAACCTTTGGCGTCGACAAATCAGCATTGGGCCGAATGGCTGGCGAGAGCGCCTTCATACTGACGGTCTTGGGAAGCCCGGATCAGCCGGTTGCCAAAAGATCCTATGTTGAGTATTTCTTCAGTGAGTGCCGTACAACCTGAAAGACTTGGAAATTCGACGTCAGCATGAAAACTAACACGTTGAAGGAAATGAACGGTTACCCGTTCTGCTTGGCTGGACTCCAAATGATACGACACTCACGCTGGCTACGCTTTTGCAGATCGCTCAAGACGTCATTGCCAATAGCCCTGCCGATGTTCCATTGACGTTTTGATCTTGGGTACATGTGGTGAGAGCCCTACGACCGGAGCTTCTCCGAGAAACGGCCCGGATGGAGGATCGAAACCTATAACCAAGCGACCGAACAGTACACATACCTATGTATATATTCATCTCGAAACCTAGAGCTCTCACTGTCTTCTGCGTTTCAGTTCATTTGACGTAAACCATTTTATTTTATTTTTGCGGACGAAATTCTCACAAATACCTTGGTCTTTGAAGTTGTATCTCCAAAAATGATATCACAATTGCCTGTGCGAGTGAGCAGTCCGCCTTCTGGTATCCCGATCAATCAAGACTTCATTGTTCATATCCAGCCTTTTGGGTCCGGAAGAACACCGCATCAGCAATGGACTCGAACATCATCTTACGCCGTTGAAGTCGCCCAGGCAAATATCACCCGAAACGCCTTTAATCGACATACTGTGGCTCTCGCCTCTTTCGATGTCGGCTGCCCTGTGAAAGTCAAGGTGAACTACCTGGGCGGTGTTGTCCAAAAGGCAACGATTCGACCAGCATCACTCGGTATCGCGACGAAAGTAAACGGAAATGAGATCACCTTCACGTTCGCAAAAGCCCAGGATGCAATGCTGGAAATCAACGGTGACAAATGGAAAGCCCTTCATCTACTCATAAACGAGATGGACGTAGACGCACCAACGACAGACACTGACGACATCTGGTTCTTCGGGCCTGGAATCGACCAAGGATCCGCGTACGACAACGTCACTGATGGCGTCAACTTGATGGTCCCATCGGGTAAGACCGTCTACCTCGCCGCCGGTGCCTTCATCACTTGCAGACTGAACTTCATCAATGTGTCCGACTGCGCGGTTCGAGGACACGGCTTCATACTCGGGCCAGAAGGTGGCTACGTCCATCGAGAACACGGCGGTGCAATCCACATGAGCCGCGCCAACAAGATCCGTGTCGAGGGAGTCACGTCTGTTGGAGCAAATGGATTCAGTCTCTCAGCAGGCGAATGCGACAACGTCCACGTCAACGGCTACCGGTCATTTTCCTTCGCCGGCAACGGCGACGGAATCGACTTCTTCTGCTCGTCAAATATACTGATCGAGAACTGCTTCCTACGCAACTCGGACGACTGCATTGCTCTTTACTCCCATCGGTGGGACTGGTACGGAGACTCCAAGAACATCACGATCCGCAACTGCGTTTTGCTTCCGGATATCGCCCACGCCATCAACATGGGCACGCATGGAAACCCCGCCAAACCCGAGACAACAAGTAATATCAGGATCAGCAACATCGACATCTTGGATCACGAGGAAAACCAGCTTTGGTATCAGGGATGCATCGCTATCAACGTCGCTGACGAGAACCTCTTCCATGACGTTCATGTGGAAGACGTGCGAGTTGAGCGGATTACGCGGGGGCAGTTGCTCAATATTCGGGTCATGCAGAACGCTATGTGGACGTCGGCGCCTGGACGGGGCATTCGTAACGTCACTTTCAAGAATTTGTCGCTGGACATGGGGGGCTCGGGGGTCGTGAATCCTTCGCAGGTACTGGGCTATGACCAATGTCGTCGGATAGAGAATGTCAAGTTCGAAAACCTCACGGTCGGGGGCAAGGATATTCATGAGGAGATGGAGAAACCGAGGTGGTATATGGTTTCTGATCTAGTTCCCATGTTCGCAAATGAGCATGTGGATGGCTTGCAGTTCCTCAAGTCAAGCTGATATGGAACTTGTAAGGGAAATGTAGTTGAAATGTTCGTCAAGATTCTTATTATTTAAATCCATTGTCAGAGTATGGCCTTTCGAAATAAGTCTTGAATTTGACAGAACTCCCTGTTATTGACATTTATTACTGCAGTGACCCGGACTCGACCACAACAAGCACCGACATCCTCAGTCCAAACGACAACAGCTCCCAATCAATATATATAAGATGAGAATTAAGTCCTGGCATTCGAACTTCTACGTTCAGAGGGAACGCTTCTCATACTCAAGTCAGGATCAGCGGGATACGGAGGAACTGCCGGCGTCGACCGGCAAGCCAAAGCCTCTGCTAATGTGCATTACAAGGATACCTGTACGATCCACTCGCCTGTCTTAGGATTATTTCCGAATAAACAGAAAACATTTGATGGGATTCAAACAGTTCCAGTAATGATTGGAACATGAAATGCGAGTAGTAACCCAAATGTGTGGTCGTAGGGCGTACAAGGGAGAGACCTTGTCTTTTACCGAGGTTTCTTTGCCCGAATGGTAAAGCGGGGATAGCTTGTAGTTCCCCAAGAAGCTTAAATAGATGTCCGGTCGGCGAGCCTAGAACTGCTACATTCGCTGCTTCAAACAACTTGTTCGTATTTGCATTCCAAAATGGCTGAACCGGTTCAATATCAAACCTCCGAGGATGGCCTTGTGGCATACCTGACGCTGAACCGACCCGAACATTACAATGCGATCGACTCTCAGATGCCCCAGGCTATCAGAGCCGCAGTCAAACGAGCCAACGCTGACCCGGCTGTTCACTGTATCGTCTTGAGAGGTGCCGGCCAAGGTTTCTGCGGCGGCTATGATCTAGGAATTTACGCTCAAAACGCCCAGAGAGGTCAAACAGACGGCAGCCAAGATCTCACAACCGGCTACGACCCGTTGATCGACTACGCTTCCATATGAGAGAACACAGCTTGCTTCGCCGAGCTCTTCCACAGCGCCGTCCCGACCATCGCGCAAGTTCACGGTGCCGCAGTGGCAGGAGGAAGCGATATTGCGTTATCATGCGACCTCGTCGTCATGGCCGACAATGCCCGCATCGGTTATCCCCCATCGAGGGCCTGGGGGTGTCCGACGACGGCGATGTGGGCTGTTCGACTCGGTCCGGAGAAGGCTAAAAGAATGTTGTTTACGGGCGACCTCATTAGCGGCAAGGAGGCGGAGGCTATGGGATTGGTGTTGAAGTCGGTTCCCGAAGCCGAGCTCGAGGAAACCGTGCGAGTATTGGCGGACAGGATCAAGACGGTGCCGAGAAACCAGAATTGGATGCACAAGCAGGTGATTAACTCGTTTGTGGAGGGTTCTTTGAATAATGCGCAGAGAATGGGCACGGTATTTGACGGGATCACGAGGAACTCTCCCGAGGGAATCGAGTTCCAGAAAACTGCGGAAGAGAAGGGGTTCAAAGCGGCTATCGCGAAGAGAGATACTCCGGGGCGTACAGAGACATATCGCAGAGTCCGGAAAAGTGTTTTGTGAGCTTGTATTTCAAGGCTCAAACTTGGCTCAGTCCTTTCCCCTCATCTAAGAGCATCAGGTGTCTTCCCTGGCCTCATGGAGCAACGACGTGACGAACCGGTCCTCGGGACAGAGTGGGGCCGTGGCGGGGGCCGTAACTACGGCCCCACTTGAAGCCGAGGTCCGGGAAGGAGCCATCCGCCCTGCCTTTCAACGAACCTAGTCAAGCCATAACAACGTCATTGCTGCGAGATTCGCTCTTCTGTACATGGAAACTTTAAAAGGTGTTCTTGTTTGTCAAATGCAGATACAGTTAAGCCACAATTTCAATCACACATCAACAGCTACATAGAACATCGTGACTTGTGGATCCGGCATCAAGTCCGTTATCATACACGCTCAATATGCTATGCATTTCCATGGGGTTGACAGATGGATCTTTCACTTCCTGCATTCTCTGCTTGTCTTTTTTCACTTTTGTTCATACCGCATCCGAAGACTTCGGTTTCTGTAAAGTATCTCGGTAGACGGTATAACGCAATACAGCAATTTGAGGACCTTGGAAATTGATGTCCGCGTATCGCCTAGAGGACAAAGTCAGTTGAAAAAAATTTCTGTCACATGTGCCGCCGCAAACTCAAAAGTAGACTAGCTTTCCCTGCCCAACTTGCTAGGCATCTCAACCCCACAACACCTAGGGCGATATCGGGAGAAGACTCTTCGTGGTTCACGATGACTTACACAACGACGAATCTTTTTGTCAAGCAATATTTCGGCAGGCTTGCAAACAACTGAACTTGTCATAAAGCGTAGAGAGTTTTAGTTTCTATTGCAACAGAAGAAACCCAAGGCTTTGTCGATTTGCCCAAGTTTCGAGGCGTCAACATTGACAGCGCCTCCCATATGAGGGGAAAATATTTTCCGCGCGTGACCAAGTCCCGGTCTGCTGTTCGGTGGGTCTTTGCCGCCACTTTCAACAGATGAGAAGACGAGGATCTAGACGACGGCCTAACATGTTATTGCGCCCAACTCTTGATCCCCTTTTCATGGCGGTGAGACAACAGACAACCAGCTCATCGGACAGGGTTTGGACATTGAAGACGCGGCGCAGCAGTTCGTGAGAAAGGGGTCTTGGAAAAGCTATGGCCAACGACGAGATGTGGGTGCCGCACGTGGCTCCAGCAAACCAATCTGAGTCTTCATGACTCAGGGATCTCGGATGCCGGGAAGGGGGTTGACGATCTAAGAACTCGCCATAGGAGTCTAGACCGTTAGAAAAGCCACACAGTCTTGACAGTTTCTTGCAAAAGTTGTTCCAAAAATTGATCGTGTGTGGTTCTTGGTTCGGTGGTTCTCGAAGCTGCTATCGTCACACTGGCCATGGAGTTTGCGGGAAGACCCTTGATTTACCCCTGACAGGACTAGATATTTATGGTAGCGGAACAGCTAAGAATGCCCTCTGGTTGGTCAACTTTGGATGACAGTCGTGCAGGACAAATCGGGTCCTTCCGCGCGGGATTCTCGAGCATCACACCGTTCAGGAGATGTCTTATGCACCATGCCGGGATCGGGGCCTAGGATCGGTTCGACGGCTCTAGCTGCGGCTCTCGAGCACCATTCGGCGCTATGGTGTCATCTCAAGTGATTTGTTTGTCTATCACCACTTCCAGCTCTCGCCAACTCATCAGCCAAAGACGCATCAAACAGAATACGGAAGCCCAATGACGACATGAGCGTAGTTTCAAGTCTGCACACAGCCAAGAAATAATGGCCGCACAGGGACGCACAGGGAGAACCCCGGACGAATGACGAAAGGCAGCTCCGATGTTATTAGGTAACAGACTGTCAGAACCCGGCCGATGCCCTAATGAACTTGTACCAAGGAGGAAATTCGATCTGCTGTCATATCCAGTTGTTTCGGCCCAAGTGGAGATGGATGGATACGAGATGGCAATTCCGGTGAGAACCCTTTTCCCAAGAGCAATTCTCCAACCTGAATGCCGGACCCTTCGGCTTCGACTCTGCCGCGTCACGAACCACCGGTCCGGTTCGCTTATAAGAATGGGGAGACCCCCAGATTTTGCTCCCCACGATCCACACTGCCTCCCACAGCTCTTCGTGGCATTATTTAATAGTTTGCTCTGCATCCTCCAGTGGCATCAACGGCTCCGTCTTGCTCCGCAGCCAAGCAAGTTAGAAAGCCGTTTTGACCGTCGATGCAATGGTCTCAAATTCACCAGCCTCCCAAGATGACGATCCCGGCCCCGACCTTGAGCCCGGCGGCGGAATCCCGGTTGCATCCGCTGCCGCCGCTTCCGGAAGCTCGTCTCCCGAAACCACAGCTGCCACGCCCAGCCCCGATACGTCCGGACAACCGCCTACCAGCGCCGAGGCCGCAGCTGCAGCCGCCTTGAGAAAGGAGAAAGGCCGCGTACGCTTCAATAGCAGAGCGGCCGTGACCCAGCCACCAACTTCACCACCACCAAAGTCTACCACTTTGCCTGTCCCGACGCCGGCAATCCCACCCAGACCCTCCATCTTGCGAGGCAGTTCTGGAGGATCTATCCCGACTGTTGCCACGCTCGCTCAGGACCATCCTCGCCCGTCGATCGAGAGCGAACGCCTGGAAGCCAAGTCTGCGGCCGCCGCTGCCCAGGAACGGGCACGTCAGGTCGCCGCCAACGTTCAACTTGGCTCGCCAGTGCGGGAGGGCCGCGAGAGCCGGGCCTCTACTGAGTCCGCCGGCACGACCACCGCAAGCGAGTACGAACAGCCGGACCGAGAGGGGGGATACATTCCCCTCCAGGACCTCAACTCTCGCCAACCCCTGACCGACGCAGCCCCCGGCGAAAACGAGAACGAGAAGCACGAGCATCAAGCGCAGCTCAACTCGGAGGCCTATCGGATCGTGAGAGCCCACACTTGGCGTATCGCTTCCAAGACCGAGAGCGAAGCCGGGCCCTCGAATGCTCAAGATGCTGAAAAGACGGAGCAGACCGATCACCTACTTCCCGAAGTCAACGACGGCAACTATGACGGCGTTTACGTCGTTCCCCCGCCCAAGCAGTACCGCGGTAGCGTTCTATCTCAGCTCCTGAAGTTGTACAAGCCGGCAGAGACGCCGGCTGCGCCGGCTTCGAACAAGCGCAGTTCCGTCGCTTCGTTCACCGGTTTTGGAGGGCCTCTCTCGGGTACAAACACTCCAGGCTCGGAGTCTGGTACTACGACCCCAACCACGCCCAACAAGAAGAAGTGGTACAACGCCAATAAGTCCACCGACACCTTGGTCAATCTCATCGAAGCATCAGCTCGTCTTGCCAATCCCAACCAGAATGGCGAGGGCCCTGCGTCCCCTGGCGCCAGCAAGGCCGCTGCCAAGAAGCAGCGTCCGAAGCACAAGCGGAACAACAGCAACTCTCGCATCAGCGCGTACCTTGCCCGAGAGGAGGAAGAGGCCAAGATCACGGTTCACATTGCCGAGACGCTTGCCCGCCAAGAGTACATCATCACTCTTTGCCGTGCTCTCATGATGTTTGGCGCGCCTACGCATCGTCTTGAGGAGTATCTCAGCACGACGGCCAAGGTTCTCGAGATTGATGGCCAGTTCCTTTACCTGTGAGTTATCTTGCGCGTGTGTCTTGGTGCTTGTCCACGACACCGTAGGCGGTGGAATGGAAACTGACATGAAACTAGACCTGGATGCATGATCATCAGCTTCGACGACAGATCGGTTCATACGACTGAAGTTCGAATCGTGCGGGCCGCGCAAGGTATCGATCTCGGCAAGTTGAGAGACACGCACCACATCTACAAAGAGGTGATCCACGACGTTGTCTCTGTCAACGACGGAATCGAGCGCCTCGACGTCCTCCTCAAGTCTAAGGACAAGTTTCACGCCTGGATCAGAGTTCTCGTCTTCGGCTTAACCAGCGCCACTGCCGCCCCTTTTTCATTCGGCGCTCGCCTCATCGACCTTCCCCTCTGCTTCTTCTTCGGCTGCCTCGTTGGTTTCCTGCAACTCATTGTTGCCGCCCAGTCGAAGCTCTACAGCAACGTCCTCGAAGTTACGGCCACGGTCTTGGTAAGTTTCTTGGCCCGAGCCTTTGGCAGCATCAGAGGTGGGAGCCTCTTTTGCTTCTCCGGAATCGCCCAGGGCGGCATCGTCATGCTTCTTGTAAGTCCACACCCAACCACAACTTGCATCTGGCCCCATTCTGACTATTTCAAAGCCAGGATATATGGTTTGTTAGTATACCTCCTCCGCCCCTCTCCCCTTCCGTGTCTCGCGATAGTTGTCTTCCCTTTCTTGATTGGGTTGCTACTAGCCCACGGGCACCAACAGGACAACCGCTGATGAACCAGTGTGTTCCGCACTCGAACTCCAATCCCGCGCCATCGTCCCCGGTTCGATTCGAATTGTGTACGCAGTGATCTACAGTCTGTTCCTTGGCTTCGGTATCACCATTGGCGCCGCCATCTACGGTCTCATAGATGAGAACGCCGTGTCCACCACCAGCTGCGAGAATTCGATCCCGACCCTGTACACCTTCATCTTCGTACCGCTTTTCGTTGTCTGCATCGCAATTCTATACCAAGCCAAATGGCGCCAGATGCCTGTTATGTTGGTCGTTGCATTCGCAGGTAAGCAGCTTCATAGCTCTTTGTTCTCTCACCTTTCTCCACCTCGTCTGCCACCAAGAGTTTCTTCGAAGCACATCATCACGGCATCACCCTTTCACAATATGGTTCCATCCACTGTCCAAACACGTGAGACTGACAAGATCAACAAGGCTACATGGTCAACTACTTCAGCGGCCTCCGGTTCGCCGCCGCCCCTCAGGTCGCCAACACCCTCGGCGCCCTCACCGTCGGAGTCCTCGCCAACTTGTACTCGCGCATCCGCCACGGCGTCGCAGCCGCCACCCTCATCCCTGCCATCTTCACCCAAGTGCCAGGAGGTCTCGCCTCCACCGGCGGCCTCCTGAGCGGTCTAACCACAGCCAACAAGATCACCAACTCGACGCACGCGGTCAACGGCACGACGTCCGTCGAGTACGACGGCACCGAGATGAACACGGTCGTCTTCAACGTCGCCGCATCCATGATCCAGATCGCCATCGGCATCGCCGTCGGCCTCTTCCTTAGCTCCCTCATCATCTATCCGCTCGGCAAGCGCCGCAGCGGCCTTTTCAGCTTCTAATCGTAGGTAGTATCGCATTTGCCAACAGCAACTTGCTTCTCTATAGTTCCGTAGGGCTCTTTCCCCCTTATTTCATTCACACCAGAGTCATGTCCACTGTCCACACATGAGCCATCCAAATTGGATCATTCCATAGTTCAGCACTCCAGTAGAGCTGGTCGACGCAGGCCCAGCCCGTCTTCCACGCCATCCATAGCCATTCCACCACCAGAAAAGGCAACAGAAGCCACAGAAAGAAGCAAGAAGTTGTAATAGTATCTCTGTATGTAAGTTATGAAGAGTCGAAAGAAAAAAACAGAAGAGCGAGGGAGTTTAGAATGCGGTAGAAACAAATTATAAGGGCACTGTCATTACTGATTGAGATGTCTTGGCCTGGGCTCTCTCACCACCCGTGCAAATCGAACAGTATGACGCGAAGAAAACAACAAAGGTGCATGCGCACGCGGTACCTTGATACTTCAGCTTGCTCATTAAAATTTGAAGCTGGTTCGCCAAACGCCTTCCACACCTTTATCCAGTAGCAAGGCCCAATTTCCACAGCTACTAACAGTACTACTCTACAATGTCCAAGATAAAATTCAACGGTTCAGATGTTATAGTCAAAATATGTAGCAATACTCCATGTCAGCCAGACTAGCAGCGTCTTAAGGAGATCATCCAGCGCTACTTCAAAACAGTCTCTCACCGTTAATAGTTCATTTTATACAAGAAAAAGGTTCTCGCGCAGTAGTAAACACTAAGATACAAGTCAGTACCTGGGATGCAAGGCACGGGAACTATGGACTTACAGAACACTGCTGCGAGTTTGTTTGATCTCTCACGATCCGCTATGTCTCTCTAAAAATTAATTATGGACGGAAATTAGTTCAAAACGCGAGATTTTCGTAGTTAATAGCGAGACATGCCACATCGCAGTCCCATGCTGCTTTTGTATCAGGCGACAGGTACCAAGATCAAGATTTGAATTTTCAGAATCACCGGTCAAATACGACAGATTTCAACTTTTCGACGCCGTATATTAATCATCAAGTGAGCAAATTTCCAAACAGCAGCCAGCCTAAAGCTTGGGATATGAGGAGTCGTAGGCATTGTAATCATCCATGCTGTGTTTGCTGTAGTTGCTACGAAGGGGTCTATTCCGGACTCTGATGGAAAATCAAACAATCTACTATTAGACTTTTGAGGCAATGTAAAGTATGTTTCGACGTGTCCTAACTTGCCTCACTTTCCACGTTGCGGATGACATTATCCGGGGCTGTGTAATTGCCAGGGAGATGCAGCTTGTAAGACGTCAAATGCAGCACCACGTGACGTTGTGACACCGTCAATCTCACCCTGCGTTCCTTCTGCTGCACACTCTCCCTGCCGTTAAAGCCTTCTTCTCATCTTTGAGAGGCCTGTGATCACGCACTAACCCACGAAAGTTTCCAATGGCCGACCTTGACCGGAGTCGTCGCCGGGTAGAGCTGAATAATCAGCGTCTTCACTGGATTTCAGTTCTCGTAGATCTTGCAGTTTTCTATCTCTTTGGCCTGGCGTTTACTCTTCTGTACCCTCATATTGCAACCTTCTTTCCAAGCTCAGGCTTTGACCTTTCGAAACTGTATTCCCTCGCATATGACGAGCGCTTCTACCAACTCTTTATAGGCCCTTGCCGCCTCCACAAGGACGGCGGCCTTCCGCATGCAGGCTGTATACGCCTCATACACTTTCGGCCAGATCCCGACAGCTCACCAGACTCTGCCGGCCACTTAGTCGTAGAGAACCGGGTGTTCCCAATCACTTCGGCGCCTACCTACCGCGCTCTGAGCTACACCTGGGGTGAAGCATTCGGCAAGCCTGGCGAACACAGCTTCACGCCACGCTCCGCACTCTATGGAGGCCAACCAATACCTAGCAATCTTGCATCCGCTTTCGACCGGCTGGCGCGTCTCAATCTTGAGGAAGATGAGTGGAGCGCCTGGTATTGGGTTGACTTTGTATCCATCGATCAAGAGAATATTCGGGAGCGTGGGGAGCAGGTCGGCAATATGCACCGCATCTATCAACAGGCCGAGGCTGTTGACATCTGGCTTGGCCCGGCAGACGATTCTGAAGCTTCACAGGTCACTGAGGTCCTGCGTTACATTGTTCACCATGCTGATTCGCCCGGAAACCGATGTAGACCACGGTTTCCTAACCACCTCATACCCGATAGGGAGTGGGACATCCTCGCCAGCTTCTTCTCCCGCCGTTGGTTCCACCGCCTATGGACGTTGCAAGAGTTTGCGCTTGCAAGCCAAGTGCGCATCATGCTCGGCGATGAGTACATTGATCCCGCCCTGCTCTGGCGTGCTGCGACGTTCCTCTATAACCGCGCTATACCTCTTCCACTGCACTACGGGCATAATCACTCGGCGGGCTACGCAATAGTCCAGTTCAGTATCCTCCGGAAATGTGTCGAGGATACTGACCAACTCCTCAGACTTCTCCCCATGTTTGCTACACGGGAAAACCGGCGGCCAGATTACGAGACTGTGTTGGCTTGGTTATTTTGGCGTAGTGCCGCCACATTCGCGACTGACGCACGCGACTACATATATGGAATTCTGGGAATCGCAGATACCATCATGGAAGACCTTGCACAGGCCACCGAATGCAACAGCAACGTGAGCCGTTGCGCTCCAGCATACACACCTATCAAGCCCGACTACTCCCTAGACACAGCGAGAGTTTTTCGAGACTTTATCATCCGTCTGATGTATGGCAGCGTGGGCATTCGAGCCATGACGCTCATACAAGGGAGAGGTGAGATCGGCGCCTTTGAGTCTGGACGTGAGCTTCAACGACACGCCCAGCCGACGTGGATCGACCACGAGGGCAAATCTCCATCTTGGATTCCCAACCTCGCTCACAAGAACATGTTCCCGCTATCTTCCGGCGGGGGGCCCTCGGTAATATTCAACGATACAGAGCACCACGTTTCGCAGAGCAACGTCTCAGCGTATGACGTGTTTGGCAGTTCATCCAAGTTATCTTCCACACAGCGTTTCCATATCCGAGATACTAACCTCCACGTATTTGGACGTCGTATCGGCGTTGTAAATCATTCATCGCACCGTCTTCCTTACGCGGAGGAGCCATTGCCCTGTTTGGAATTCGCTATCAGCACTTTGGATCTTCTGGCCGATGCACGCCCTCACGATTCTGTTACTGAAGGCCCTGATCAGGGTCCCAATGCGCTAGAGTCTCTGGTGAGTACTCTGGCAATCGGCAGCTGGGAAGCCCCTATTTCGGCGAGGAATGACTCAGGGCAAAGTTGCACTAGGATACTTGATGCGCGGCGGATGGAGAGTTTCTATGCCGGTAGCCTCTCTACGTGGGCCTGCATTGATATAGCACAGCGCAGTAAGCCTATCAGCTTAGAGACGTTTATGGTTGAATGGGATATATCGCGGTATAGTAAGATCTCAGGATTGTCTGCTAACTTTCTTGAGAGGCGAGTTGCGAAGTGGAGCGCGCCAGAGATGACTTTCAAATGGGGCAATGTATTCGAATGCGTATCACACGGGGATCTGCTAGAAGAACATGTTGAGTCCCAGGAGATATGCAATACGCTCGTCAGCCAGTTTCACTGGGCAAGAGGACGGTCTTTGTCCTCTATCACGCTCGATTCACAACTTCTCAAACGTCAGCACGTCACTGGAGACAGTCACAGCCATCAGGGAGGTGATAGCACCCTCTTAAGTCTCGGTCCAGGCATGGCCAGACGTGGTGACGAGATATGGGCGTTGCAAGGCTCGGAATGGCCATTTGTCCTTCGACAGCGTCATTGGGAGGAAGATGGTGAGCCCACTACTGGTAATAAATTAGGAGGCATCAGGTCTCGCTGGTGGTGGCCATGGGACGATAGCGTGGGCGACGGCTCTAGACCTGCAGTCTACGAGCTCAGAGGAGACGTATATGTTCACGGACTCATGCATGGGGAACTGGGTACCCAATTATCTCATGACCTAGAGGAGATCATCATTTCTTAAGTCTATGGCAATTTCTAGCTGAATTTTTCCATATCGCTGCCAGTATAACGTTTACGTTTGAAAGTCGTGACTGCCCTTGGGTTATCAGTGAATCGTGGTGTTATTGCATGTGCCACAAGCGTTGCAGTTGCATACCCAACGAGTACACATCAAGTAGGCTTTACACAGTACCCATGCAAATCAACCCAATCGACAATACATGCATCTCCAAGATAGATCAGTATCTGAACATAGGGTTCCTCAGGTTTTCCTCAACATGGTATCATTAAGGTTTCTTCACCTCCAATGAACCAAGAAACCATGAGAGTGTAACTCAGGCGATCACTTACATCTTCAATGCCGATTCCGACTTGGTTACCACGCCGCATGCTTCGGCATGGCATACCATGGATAAAAAGCCCTATGCATGGCTCCTGTCAGCACGCCAATGCAACAATCCCCGTCACTAAACCGATTACTGCAGCGCCCAAAGACGTCAGTTATTCCGGCGGGCTTTCCTGCATGCTGACGCCCGACCGGGAATCTAAAGACTATCGATAAAAAGACCTGGTTGAATGTGACGATAGAATCCGAACTGGCCTAAGACAGCCCAGAGACCAGCGGGTAAATTCTCTGACCCGCGCCCCGGTGATCCATTGTCAGGGGAGCTTTCTCGGTACGTTGGTGTAAGCATGCAGACACTCATTCACACCCATGCTGTTTTCCCCATGATCACGCATTCTGTCGTCCGATTGACCAATATCTCACGCAGCTTCTGTTGTATTTAAATCCAGAGTAATCCATCACTTCCGAAGATGTGCATTCCAGAGCACCCTACGCTCATGCCAGCGGGCGAGAGGCATCACGCGCATCGACTTCAAACTCAACAAAGATGACGCTATCTCAGCTCCTCATCCTCTCCGTAGCGAGCCTCGCCGCCGCTCAAGACCGCCTGTTCTCCTCCGCCTTTGGCTACCCCGGCCGCGATGCGAGCTTCGACTACGTGATTGTAGGCGGCGGCACCGCCGGCCTGACCATCGCATCTCGCCTTGCAGCCACGTCAGCCTCCGTCGCCGTCGTCGAGGCCGGCGGCTTCTACGAAGTGGAGAACGGCAACAACAGCGTCGTCCCGCTCCTCTCCCTCACCGGCATCGCCTTCATCGACCCCACGCCCGAATTCACCCCGCAGCCACTGATGGACTGGTCTCTCGTCTCCGAGCCGATCCCCGGCGCCGGCGGACGCAGGGTCCACTACGCGCAGGGCAAGACCCTCGGCGGCTCGTCCGCGATCAACACCATGTCGTACATCCGTGGCACGAAGGGCTCCTACGGTCTCTGGGCTGAGACTGTTGGTGACGATTCATTTAAATGGGAGAATATGTTGCAGTATTTCAAGCGCTCTGTCGACCTCACCCCGCCGAATGAGGAGAAGCGGCAGAACACCAACGCCACGGTCGTGTTTGATCCGTCCGACTACGATGAGGAAGGCGGCCCGCTGCAGGTCTCGTGGAACAACTGGGTTGACCCGACGTTGACTTGGCTCGCGAAAGTCATTTTGAGCCTCGGCTTGACCATAAGCCCGAAGGGATTCAGCAGCGGTGAGCTCGTTGGTCACGGTGCTTGGGTACCCTCGACGATCGAGCCCGAAAGGGCCCAGAGGTCGACTAGCGAGAGCAGCTTCTTGCAGAAGGCGATCAAGGATACAGGAATCATTGTTTACACCCACACCCAGGCGACCAAGATCCTCTTCAACGGTACGCAGGCTACGGGGGTCCATGTCAACTCTCAGGGTGTCGATTACATTCTGTCAGCAAACAAAGAAGTTATTCTGACTGCCGGGACCTTTCATTCACCACAGATTCTCCAAGCATCCGGCATCGGTCCGCGTGAACATCTCGAGGCACTCTCGATCCCTGTCATCGCCGATATCCCGGGCGTCGGCCAGAACCTCCAGGATCCCATCCAAATCTTCGTCGCATATCCCGTCAGCACGCCCTCCGCCCAGTCCCTTACCGCCGACCCAGCTCTCAACCCGGGATTCATCGATGAGTACCTTAAGTCCGGGACAGGCCCATACAGCTCAGCAGCGGGCTTCTTGGCCCACGAGCGGCTCCCAAACTCAACGCTTGCTAAACTGACCCAAGCCACCCGCGACAAACTCGCCTCCGTACCGTCCGATTGGCCCCAGCTGTCCTTCATCGTCGGCTCGTTCTCAACCGGCCCCGGTCAGACCAGCGGCACACTGGCAGCTTACCTCCCCCTCGTGTTTTCCCGTGGCAACGTCACCATCACATCGCCCTCGGTTCTCGAAGCACCGCCCAAAATCAACCTCAACTGGCTCTCCGACGAAGCCGACGTCGAGCTTGCCGTCACGGCTGTGAAACGTCTTCGCACAGCGTGGGCCTCAGAGTTCGCCAACAAGCCTGGGTTCAAGACGGGGCCCGAAGGACTTCCGGATGATGCCGTGCAGACCGACGAGGAGATTTTGGAGTATGTCAGAGCCAACGTCGGCCAAGTCTGGCACCCTGTTTCAACCTGTGCCATGGGGAAGGAGGAGGATGTTGAAGCGGGCAAAGCGGTGGTGGACAGCCGTGGCCGCGTGTTTGGTGTTCGGGGGCTGAGAGTGACTGATGCTAGTACTTTCCCTTTTGCGATCCCAGGACATCCGCAGTCTGCGGTGTACGCTTTGGCGGAGAAGATTGCGGAAGATATCATCACTGGGCGTTGAGGGAAGAATTGGTCCAGAAAAGATAAATCCGAGTTGATAATCGAGCGTTTGTTGGAGACAATAGGAATTATGCCAACATAATGTACTTATCCTCGGGTCCAGCACCGCACGCCGTCGTGAGCGCGACATCCAAAACCTGCCCAATCCCACGCCTCTCAGCAATAGCAGTCTCTTTCCAGACGATGTGCATCACCCAGAACATATCCCAGGCCTTATTCTCAGTCGCCCGCTCAACGTTCGTGGGCAAAGTGGACCCCTCTGTCGGCAGTAAGCACTTTGAGAGGAGGACAAGCTCGACTTCGGTCCCTGGCGCATATGCGGACTCCGCTATGTTGTCGAGATGGAGAGATCCCACCAGTTTCCCGTCTTCGGACAACAGTGGCGTCCCTGGTACTCGACCAGACGCGTGCGCTGACGAACCTGTCGGGGTGCCGGTTCGGAGTTTCAGGGAAATTGTATGGAAATGCAACAGAGGATAGGGTGGATAGTCCCTTCAGGTATGTTAGCTCGGGGCTTCAGACTGGGTAAGCAGTCTTACGGCATCTTCAGAGGAGGTCTGTTATGCTCCTTGAGCTCGTGGTTGTAGCCGTATTGGGTGCACCAATACCTCTTATCCTTCCACTCACTAAAATCCTCCAGCTCCTCTCCAATCTCTCTGGTTGAAAGCATATCAGGGCTCCTATACTCAATGAAGTTTTTGGCCCATCGGTTTCCCGTTATGTTTCCGTCGTCGTCTTCTCTGTGCGCTCGATACATGCGCTTTTCTGTGAAGTGTAAGCATGTGACCGAGCAATCTACTGTGATTCAGTACTTACCGCAGCCTGTTGGCCTCTGGGCGCTGTACAGTATTGTGCGATCATCCGGCTTAACAACCCGAGATGCAAACTTATCGTACTCCGCCTGGCTATTCACCAGCTCCGTCTCGAAAAGCGTGACGATCCTGGGGGATCCGTCGGGGTGGCATCGCCCCTGGTCTTTGAAATCCGGCCGCATGCCGAACCCAGAACTACCCGTACACATGCTCCATACAGAGTTTTCGGTGAATCTCTGGTCTTCAAAGCCATCGATTACATGCTGCGGCAGTGAGCCGGCGTACTCGGACACAAGACGGGTGAATCTGCTGGGTTTGTCGTAGTCGTTGTTGAAGAGAGTCTCGAGACTGTATCCCTGGTCCCAGCAGCACCACCTGACGAAAGTCTTTTCCAATATCCATCGACGCAGATTATCGGTGCTGCGTGTTATTTCACCGGATTCTTCAGCCCAGGCTTCGTTCTCGGTGGGCCACTTGATCCCGCCGGCCCAGCCCGCCCAGGAGTAACTCGCGAATTGGGGCCTTCTCCTCATATTTCCCCCTGTTGAAATCCAAAGCAGACTGAGGTCGAGGTAGTATGCTGGCAAACCATCTAAATGCCAAGAGTCCAAGCCGACCGTCAAAACGCGGAGTATGCCGGATGCAGCTCGGAGCGCGTCGCCGTCGAGTATGAGTTGTCTGTTTGAGTAGTCTTCGAGGAGGTTTTGGTAGGCTCTCCATGCTGCTTGGTTTCCGTCTTGTAAAGTTGTCGTGCGAGCAACATTGTTGTCACCCGGGTCCAGCCAAGTTAATTTCAAATCCGCAGCTGTTTCCTGGCTCCAGTTTGCGCACCGGCACCGGAAGTACAGCTGATTGTTGACAAAGATGACTGCTCTGTAAGACAGCACCTCTTCCTGGAGGGTCCATCCGCGGGTCCTGTAAACCGAATGTTCAAGATGCCAGTCAAGACCCTGTACCGCTGCCATATGGACAACGGTATTCAGTTGGGTAGTAATCCGTGAGCTGAGAAAGCATTCGGGCTGACCGCTAATGAGTGGTGAATTTGAGTCGGTGCCGGCGGCTGCAATAATGACGAAGTATGCTCCCTGGTAGATAGAATTCATTATCTCTACCCCAAAGCTGACATCATGCACATCATCGTGAACTAGGCAGAGGGCATCTACCCAGATGTACCTCTCACCGAGAGACTTGGTGAAGTCGATGGCATCGTTAATGGTTCGTGGGAGGTCGGATCGGATCTCAGCTAGACAGCCTTCTACCTGAAGTGACTCAAAATTCTCTTTGCTGAGTCGAAAGACGGGCATCTGGCCCGCGACATAGCTCAGTGCCACATATCGGGTTTCCAGCGGCATGTGTCGCAAGCACCCCGTTTCTATATCAAGAAGACGGATGAGTGCGGGATCATCCAGCTTCATGTGCCATGATGGCTTGCCCTCGGGGTACTTCAAACCGTATGAGTTGAGTTGAGTGTCAAGATAGCTACAACCACTACTCACCAGAACCTTGGGGATGTGGCGACATCTGTCTCCGTGATGCTCCTCGCATTTCCCGAGCCAAATTCGCGCCAAGGCTACGTGATCGACTGCTCCTTTAAAGGACCTCGCAACAAAAGGCCCTTGTTCCGGTAAAATGTCACGAGACTCATTTGCTATGAACATCAAGCGCGGACCGATCCGCGATGAATAGAGGAGACGGAAGCAGTGCTCATCGTTAGGGAGGACTACCTTCACGTCCCCCGAGACATCTTCGGTTTCTGCGGAGATGGCTTGGGCGACTAGCAGGCAGAACGGACAATCCGGTCTGTTTCGGACTTGCGCGACAGAACCAAGTGAGTAGCCATGTCGCAGTTGATCTTCAAACGAAGAAAAGTGAGCTTTCAGTTGATCGTGTGTTGGCAACTGCTCCCGGACGAAACTCAGTATGCGGATTGTTTCGCAGAATTCGGTACAAGGTTCGTCGAGAATCGCGTCGCCCATGCTGAATTTCCGGTCCAGACTTCGATTTCAATTGGAGGCCCAGGAAATCCGTAGTATGTTCAGATTGATTCACGTGAAATGAGAGGCAGCTGGGTGAGATTGGAAGTTCATACACCAGCTTTATTGCCCCTCAGCTATGTAGCTGCCTAGCGATCAACACGCGCTATTACGCAGCCACGATGACGACGGTGTCTGACAAGATGAAGGAACCAATCGCATGATAAGCGGACCAAACCTTAAGCGTTTCGACTACATCTCACCAACACATTCATGAGGTAAATGAAATTGTTAAGTGGACAATACGCTCATGGTAGCGATTGATAGATATGTCGATGGGAAGATGCTCATGGGTGCTGGAAGGAAACACCAGAAGCGGCTGGCTCGCAGTGACAGGCACCCATCGGCACCTGGTGGCGGCCGCGCACCAAAAACACAAGGAAGCAGTTGAGTAAATGAGGAATCTTATTTCTTGATGCTTTTTCGGCATGCTTCTCTACCCTCCTAATTCTGACCGAAGGGTATATACGCTCTATGTGACCATATACATATAATACAAAGGAAGACCACAGATAAAGGAAAAAACGCTTGTTAATCGAACCTCTACCCTCTTCGCTTAGATGACCAAGACAGCCAGCGCCGCAGCCAAAGCGAAGGCACCGGAGCCAACCTTTCCAGCGCCGGCCTGGACAGGGCCGGTGGTGGTCGCGGGGCAGGCAGAGCCGATGCAAGGGGCACCGGTACCGACGGGGAAGCGGGCGGTGGTCAGGGTGCCGTTGAAAGGAGACGAGGGAGCAACGACGAGGGTCGTGGGCATGGCTTCGGAGACAGTGGCGGCGGGGGTCTCGGGGACGGGCTTCTGAGCGGAAGTGGTCTGGCCGGCGGCGGGGACGCTGGCGGTGGAAGCTCCGGAGCCGGGAACGCCGGGGGCGCCGGGGTTCTGGGGAACAGCGGTCGTAGCCGGGGTCTCAGCGCCGGGGACGACGGTAGTGGTAGCGGGGTTCTCGGCTCCAGGGGCGACGGGGGTGGAGGGGTTCTCGGAGCCAGGAGCCGAGGGGTTCGGAGAGGGAACCGCAGGGATGCCAGGAACGGGAGCCGTGGGCGTGATGATCTCGCTGGTGATAATGGTGGACTCCTTGCCGACAGGGCAGTTGGTGACGGTAGGAGCGCACGAGGTGATGGTGACGATGTTGGTCTTGTAAGTCGTCAGGAGGGCAGGGACCTCAGGGGCCTGGGTGGTCACGGGGACGGGCTTCTCGGCCTGGTTGGTGGTACCGGCGGCGGGCTTGGTGTAGCTCTCGACGGGGACAGCGGCCGTGGTTGAGATGACCTCTTCCTTGGTGATGGTGGTCTTGGAACCGACGGGGCAGTTGGTGACGGTGGGGGCACACGAGGTGATGGTGTGGACTTCGGTCTTGGAGACGGTCATGGTGGTGGGAACGTCGACGACCGGGCAGATGGTGGTGGTGACGGGAACGACCTCGGTGACGATCTCAGGGGTCTCTCTGGCGGGGCAGTTGGTGACGGTAGGGGCGCATGAGGTGATGGTCTTCACGTTCGTCTGGTAAACGGTGGAAGTGGCCAGGCGGGTAGGCAAGTCCTCGACCGGGGACTCGACGGGCTTGGCGGAAGCGGTGACGGAGGGAGCAACGGCGCCGGATCCACTGGCGGTAGCAACGGGCTTCTCGGAGGCAACGGCGGTGCCGGAGGCGACAACGTCGGTGGCAACGGCAGAGCTGGCAGCAGCGGAAGAGGGGGCAATCTGGCTGGCAGAGGCGGTGGCGTTGGCCTCACCATCCTTCATCTGCCAGATCTTCACGGACTTGACCTGGAAGTAGACATCGGCGAAGGCCTGGGGGTTGTTGGCGACCCACTCGTTGCAAGTAGCGCCGCCGGCCTTGGCCTTGCATCCGCCCTGCTCCCACATGAGTTCGTTTCCGGCGGTGTTGACGCTGCAGAAGTCGATGTTCATGACCATCTTGGCGTCGCCGAAGACCTTGTCGGCCTCGCAGACGCTAGTGGTGAAGCTGGGGGTTCCCCAGGTCTCGGGCTTGGGGTTGGTGGCGATGTCGGCCGGAGCGTTGGCGTGGGTGAAGCCCCAGACCTTGACAGAGGTGTCGGTCCATTCCATGGCGTAGATTCCGCCCTCGGCGGATCCGAAGGGGGCCGTGGCATCGTGGCCGGAGCATCCCTCGTTGTCGGACTGACCCGGGGCGTAGTTGGCGCAGTTGGGCTTGCTCATGGTGCCGGTCATGCCCGTGCCATCCATGCGGCACTCGCCGACACTGCTGTCGGTGTGAAGAACGACCTTGTTTACACCATCCTCGTTCCAGGTCTCGTAGATGTCGATTTCACCGGCGGCGGGCCAGGGGTTGCCGACGGTCCAGCTGGTGATGTTGTTTAGCACACCAACACACACAACTCTCATATGGGGAAGATGCTTACAAAGCGGGCCAAGCACCGCAGGCAGGCTTGGGAAGGTGAGAGAAGTCGGTAACGAAAAGACCCTTCCTGTACTTGGTCTTGCTCTCGAGGCGGACGGAGCTGCGGCCGACGCCCTTGGGGTCGAGGGTGGAGGTAGAGTCGACACCGAGGTAGAGCTCGCCGTTGACGGTCTTCAGAAGACCCTGAGCCTGAGCCTCCTCAGAAGACCGGTAGTTGACATAACCGCCAGTCGGGTCGACATTGTTGTAGTCGCCGGTGGAGTAGTCGCTCTACATATAAGATGGGATCGTCAGCATATGCCGATCACATCATCGACTATCACGTAGTCTGTAATGTGGGCTCTTTGCAGGGTAAAACGTACCGTGAAGAAGCCGAACTTCTCGAGAAAGTTGGTGGAGTCGTAGTTGTCGGCCAGCTGGTAGGACTGGGTCGCAGAGACGGTCGAACCCAAAAGGAGGGCGGAAGAGAGCGTGGAGAGAAGCGAAGGCGTCATTTTGGGCTTTGAAATAAGAAATATGACGGAAAAAAGACAACAGAAATTAACTATTCGAAACACAACACAAAACACAATAGCGACTGACGAAGATCTTCAAACTTAGGGAACGAAAGAATGAAGGTCTGTTAAAAAGGAGTGACTAAGATACCGAAAAGGGGAATCTTGAAAGAGGATGGAGAGGAAGGCCTAGATGCCACGGGCGCGTGTCCCATGGGGTTGGCTCGTTCATCTTATACCGAGCCGGTAAGACGGTCGACCCAGAGCCTCTCCCGACCTGTCGATTCGCCTGCAGGGCCATGAGATGAAATTCCTCAGGGGTTCAACCCGCTCGCCTGTTCTCCAGCAATTCCACTTCATTGGGTATCCGTACCCGAGTTCCAGCGAGAAAGCGAGAGCCTTGGTGGGCAGAGCAGAGCAGGGCAACATCGGAAAACGGTGGTTCACCAGGGGGGCGTGTGAGCGAGCCGGGAGGAAACCAAGAAAGAGACTAGAACACAGCCCCCCTGACAAGCCTACCGATTCTGGAGATATTCAATGACTGATTCGTTCTGGTTGGGTCTCTGAGTGAATAAGACTGGAGAGAATGGGTGTGAGTGGAAACGTTTATTCTTCCTGCATGTTCCTGCATGATCTCAAAAGCCCCGAACAGACGACAACCATACACCCGTACGGAATTGGGCTAGATACCATCCGGCCTGAAAGCCGGGAACGGGACGGCGGTTGGCTGGCGGTTCAGGCACCGGCCGCGCGTGGGTGGTCGTCGTTCGTCGTCGTCCCGAGGCCAGTCGTTGTGGAGGCACATGTGAGCCCACTCCATGCCAGGAACACAATCGATGTGGATGCCGGCGGGCGAGATTCCGTCGTTCCCCTTTTTTCTGCCAGGTTTGCATTTCCCACGCTAGCCATGCGCCGAGCAGGGGTTCGGTTTGCTCAAGCCGCCCGAGATCTTGATGGCGCTGTCACTGTTTCGGACATGATTGGCAGACAGATCTTCTGCGCCGTTGCATCGAACCCTCTAGGCCGGCGGCTGTCTTTCCAACTTCATGCCTTGACTGGAAAGAGAAGTTGGCGTGAATGGACGGCAATGGCGCTGCCTCTTTTTAGTCTCGTTACATCAGAACGACGGGCCGTACAGAAGCGTGGAATATCAACTCTCCACGGCCGGTTTTCCCACTCACACCACCACATGATTGGATTATCCAACCGTGAATTTTTTATACACGAGCTTTTCCTCCGTCTGCGTCCCGCTCAGGGGCTCGCTCCCGTTTCGGAGGACATGGTCCAATCGGGACGGCTGCAGGGCTGGATTTCGCGGCGTAGCGGCGGCGTTGGTGTTCGAATCCGTCCTAGCCAAGGGTTTGTCCCTCGCGGTGGAGCGGTTGGAAAGCGGCACGGATTCAATGTGGATTCTTTTGGTGTTTTAACGGCGACGATATCCGTAGGGCCCATGCTTTTCGATGCTGACGGCGTGGGTACGATACGGCTGGAGCTGTCCGTCAGCAAGCATCCGAACTGCACAAAATGCACACGGATTCCCTCGATGTGCTGTTAAAACTCCGTAGCTGCATTGTTTTTGTCGAATTTCTGGTTGCTGATGGGAAGAATGGTGCTCGCTTGTTGTACGTGTTCTCCGCTTTAGTCCTCGCTTGGCGGCCCCCTAACAATATTGAGAAGCAGTATCAAGGAATATTTTCCGATCCTGGGCTGGACGTACTAAATTTGGTGTTCCTTCATCTCCTTCACCGTCGCTGACCGACTTTACGGCAGTCTGGTTCGATGGTTGGCCTCTGATAATGGTTGTAATTGCGCTGAGCTGCGCCTCGTCGAAATGGTACGTTGCCGTACTGGTATCTTGATTTGGCCAGTGGACATTCGTACTTTGGGCTACAAGAAATTCACACTTAAGTCAATGTATTTGTGCATCAAGATTTGAACACCAATTCTGTTGCTGCTGCTGCTGATGGCCAAGGACATCGATTTCCCGTCTCGAGATCATGCTTCAAGCCACCAGCCAGATCTGAGATCCCAGCTGTCTTAACAGCAACGCTGCTATCGTGGACCCGTCGATAAGCCGAATATCCATTTCCTGGACACAATCCGCTAAAAGGCCGCACTAAGATCCCACATACCGAGAGTTCAGAGTGTCGTAGCTCTTCGATTAACGATGCGCATTGATATCTTAGCCCAAAGATCTTCACTCCAGGTTCTCTCTGTCTGCACTGGACAAACCAAGCTGTCTGAACGTCTGGACCGCACCGCCGCGGTGGAGACAACCGGACCACACTCGCCTAGATCCCCTTGTAACGGCATTGACGGGCGTCTACCAGTAAAGGAACTGATCGTCACTTGCCTTGTTTTCAGCTGCTTTTATTCTGAGACTCACCCCAGCTGCCTTTGGCTTGCTGAAATTCTTGGAAACGGTGACACCGTCGACGCTTGGAAACAGGACGTCGCCACAACTGAAGAACATGTTGACATCAAGTCCGCTTTGATTTCTTGGTTTCCAGCGAAGGAAATCATGTTATCGCATTTCGAGTGTCAATCTGACATTGCCGAATTGAAGTATGTGATTGTGTTGTAACATTTGAATTGTGAAACACACACTATGAAAATTTGTTTGCCGTGGCCGCGACTCATGGTGTATTTATTATGTTAGAATCCGACAAAACCTGTTCGCTGTGTTCTGAATCCACATGGCGTGCGCCGTGTTCCTGTCCATTGTATGCAATTCTTACGTGGGAATAGCCTCATAATGTGTTAATCCACTCCAAAGACTCGCACTACTGCGCCGAATCAGTTTGCCAAATTCTCATTCTCTTCCGTCCTCCCAAAGAAATTGAAACAGATTGTGCCGTATTTGCACCGCTTGGTCATTATCGTCACTTTGGAGGTTCAAATAAGCCTGCCTCGACTCGCGGAGCCGAAACTCTAATTAATTGCGAAGCACTTTTTTCACGCCCTGAACCTCTTCGAAGTCGAGGCTTCCCTGTCTAACAAAAGCCTTCAAGCTTCTACGTAAGCTAGCTAGAAATTGATGTTATGTTAAGAGTTGGAAAATCTGCCGTACAAATTGAGAGCTACAAACGCACACTTCAATGCCTTCTTGCTGCCTTGTCGACGAATGTTGTCATAGGTACCCGTGTGGTTTGGTGTAAATTTTCTGCACCCAAGTTCCCACCGAATCTTCCGTCTTGTTTCTAAGTTCTGGCTGAGGAGTCACCATTATGGATCGCATCTTACCAGAGATACATCAGGATTCACAACTATAGGCGCCGAGGCATAGCGAAAGCTTATCAGGGCAGAGTTTCATTCTTTCAGAGTATTTAATGTTAACTGCGTGCCCGTAGAGTATGCCGAGATATTGGATAGAGGAAAACATAAGGGTGGCTGCATTGTATTGCACAGCGAATTGCAACTGTATCGAGGCATAGCAATTTTTCAACGAAGAAGCACAAGCGTTATTTCAGCCAACCCATTTACATACGAAAATACCCCCGATTTCCAAATATCTCACTACGATGACCGACATACTTGATCCGGTACATCCGGCGATCTCCAAGATGCAGACTTTGAACGTCAAGACTGGAATGCTATCGTTACCCGTCGAACTGGTTATAACCATACTCGAATACCTTCTCGGGCCTCCGGGAGAGTTCGAGGCCCACCGCGACGACTCGTTAGACTATTATCGACGCCGCGTCTATGAAGCAAAGCTACAAATCAATACACCGTGGCAATCCATAGCATCCCTCGCAGCAACATGCAAACGTATGTACGCCTTGGTCACACCACACCTCTACAAGGAGAACGTAAAAAGGGACCGCTCCTCCGCGCTCCTCCTGAGCGCCAAGAGAGGCAGCATCCGCGGCGTGCTCAAGTCGATCATCTACGGCGCCGACGTCAACACGGACGACCACACCGGCCTCCACAGCTGCAGACATCACTGCCGGACTGACCAGTTCGGCAGGCGGAGCTTCCATACCCCGCTGACGGCCCTGCACTGGGCCGCATATCATGGGCACGAGGACGCCGTCGAGATGCTACTGCTGAACGGAGCTGACGCCGACAGGAGAGGCACCATCGGGAGAGACTACGACGGTATAAACAGCGTTGAGGATTCCGAGCGCATCTGCTACAGTCAACGCGCCATGTTTGAGTACTCCAACACGGAGGTCATCAGCACACGGAGGACGCAGTGGACATGGAGTCTCGTAGGCGCCGCAGGAGTTCAAGGCGTCCCCAACATGGGCGCGAACCCGCTGTTCTTCGCCTTGAAAGCAGGTACGTACCGCGACTGGTCCAACGAGTACCTGGTGTCTTCCATCGAGCTCAGGAGGGCCTACGGATGTCGAGAAGAGACCAGCGGAATGATCCGGCGGGACGAGTCGGGCACACGCAGGCGGATGGCCAGGATGCTGATCTACGCCGGCGCCTCGCTCATTACCCGACTGGAGGGGGGCATACACGCGCTGCACCAGGCGTGCATCTACGGCGACGCGGAGGTGGTGGAGTTCCTACTCCGCGAGACACCGACGAATCCCAATGTCAGGGATGCTCGCGGCAACACAGCCTTACATATACTGGCGGACAGTCAGGGACAACTAGTGATGCAGCAGCAAACGTCCTCTCGGCTGGGACACGCCGTGAGGCTGGATGAGGAGTCCCTCACGGCCGTTATAGTGCTCATCGTTGAGGCCGGAGGGGACATCAACGCTGTCAGTGGAATTTGGGGGCATACACCTCTGGATATGGTGCCCAAATTTGACGATGACGACTTGCTTGTACGGTGCTTTCGAAATAAAGGCGCACTGAGTGGATTTGAAATTCGGCGGGAGACAATACGGATGCGCCGTGCTCGAATCTCACTAAGCTCGCATGCATAAATGTCACCAAAGATGAGGTTAGTTGAGGCAAATGACACAACTTGGATCAATGTTGCTGAACTAACGTTTCACTAGTCCCTCACACCGATTACCTGATGATGTTGTCGTTCGATGGAGTTGTTGTGCAAATGAGGGCTTTTCAATAGTAATTGATGTAGCGTAACTCAGATAGTCCAGTGAATACTTGCCTTGGGCCTCAAGGTTTCCTTCAACGCGGCCACGGTCATCAGCAACAGAAATTCGCCGTACAATATTTTACAGCAACCCTTGTTTTTTCTTTTTTAATTCTTTTGAAATCTCAGTATACTGAGGAACAAAACGTACTTTATTTAACGTTCTGAAAACATTTCTATGTAGGCTTCTAAGATGCCAAAGCTCTACAGCGAATGTTTATCCTCTCAAAATAATGTTGCCACAATCATCAGCATCATCAACACCGACTCCGCCAGTCGATCGTTGAGTTCACAGGCCGAAATGAACTTTTGGTTTCTCGATGAACATGAATCTTTGCCAAGAGTGGGATATGTGATTAACTGAGTAATGACTGTATGCGGTTAGTATCACCTATGAGAGGGTATCTCTTGTTCTCTTACCTTCCTAAGATTAGTGATCTAAACTGCCGGAAGGCACGTGCCCGGCTCTTTGAAGCAGTGTCTAACCGCTTTTCCAGGACGCACTGCCGAGATACATAGTCAATAGCTGATAAATTCTCAGTTCACAAATCAGAAATATCATTTTCAAGCCGAGCTGTGGGTGCACCTCTGCCACGACAGGAGCAGCTCAACTTCAGGGTAAGCTAGCGGTGTAAGACCTTGTGCCTTGGGCCATGCCGCCATGATACAATTTGTCAACTCACATTGGATCGTGAGCCAAGTTGAATAGTTGTGTTTTGCAGTGGCGTACACGATTCAAAGGTGCGTAATTCCGTGGAAATAAACATGGACATGATCATGATTTCAAATGTAAGCATCTTTGTTTACCTGATGCTTTGAAATCTACTCATAGGTATCGTAATTATTGAAATGCGACAGCGCAATGTCTTCGAAGAAAGATTTAAAAATGAATGCTCATCCCGTTCCATGTCCACTTTGCTACTCACCAATTCATCACGAACTCGACCCCAGGCCACTAACGCAACTGCACAACACCAATCCAACCACAAAGCACAACATCAGTATCATGTCTACCCACAGAGCTCTTGCCATTCATACAGTGGGGCAGCCTCCCGCGTTTATTGATCGGCCAACTCCAACCCCTAAAGAAGACGAGATCCTATTGAAAGTATCGATCGTTGGATGTAGGTATGGACGATCTCTTTGGCGCCAAATATGCTAATTCATTCCTAGTGAATCCTCACGATGCTTCCGCCAAACGCATCGGAACCTTCATCATGCACAACTTGCCTTCGCCTCTCGGAGTGGATCTCGTCGGAGAAGTCGTTGATTTTGGCCGCAACGTCACCAAGTACAAGGTCGGCGATCGGGTGTTCGCCTTCGGAAACCCATTATCTGCGGACGCTACCGGCACTCAGGAATACTGCGTGGTGCCGGCTTGGCAATCGGCTCCACTGCCGAAAGGCGTCAGCGCGGACGAAGCCGCGACTTTCCCGCTGAATGCCATGACCATGGTGTTTGCGTTGTTCCACGAAACTGGACTGGGCTTGCACAGTCCCTTTGGCCCTCGCCGGCAGGACTGCGACTACAGCGCAGAGTCGATTCTGATTATCGGTGGCGGCTCCGCTACGGGCAAATTTGGTGTGCAGCTGGCCCGACTGGCCAAATTTGGGAACATCATCGTGGTGGCATCGAAGGCGAGGGAGTCCGAACTCAAGGACCTCGGGGCCACGACTGTCATTGAACGCACTCTGGAAGAATCTGAGATCGAAAGCCAGATCAGGGGAGTAGTCGGTGATGATCTGATATACGCCGTGGACTGCGTTGGGCGTGGTCCGGGAGGACAGACGTTGGGCGCCAGGGCTCTTTCTAACCACAAGAAGGGCGTTCTCGCAGCGCTGGTCAAGTTGGGCACCGTCGATGACTCGCGAATTGGGCAAAAGACCGCCGGCTATGTTCGAAACCAGGTTTTGTGCCATACAACGATGTACCCGGATATTACGAAGGAGTTTTGGTCCGTGTTGCCCAGTCTGATAGAGGATGGTCAACTAAAGCCAACTGGATTTCAAGTCGTGGATGGACTAGACGTTGAGAAGATGGACGCTTTGCTTGATAACTGGAGCGGTGGCTTGGGCCAAACCAAACCTCACATACATCTTGGAAGCACTTTCGATGCAAACTGAGCACCGGGTAGATCGGTTAGCAATCCAACCTCGCTTTGAGGAAACTAGTTAGAAACACGAATTGGCCTTACTCAGAACTTCAGTTAAGATCGATCAGTGATGTCTGCTAGTTTTCTTTGGTTGCTTAACACAGCCAGGACCCCATAGTTATCAGCAACCGGAATAGGCGGTGTTGAAGGATCTCCGGCCTTGGGGACAAAGAGTCAATTTTTATGGCGCCCTCCGTCAGCAGACGGAGAGACTATCGGTACTCGCGGGTCCAACCTCGTGACGTCAGCGCGCAGTGATGCATACAATTCGTATAAGTTCTGACCTCTGCCGGGAATCTCAAAAACCAGATTGTCAACAATCGTTTTGGATAATATTTCGCAATGGAAGATCTGAAGAGACGATTTCCTGATCTGGAGTTTTTCCCACTTCGAAAGCCCGAGGACTTCGCACCGGCGCGACATACATTGCCATTGGGACATCGCAAAACTCCTCCACAGCGTCCTTTTTCAGTCGACACTATCTTTGACCGTGACGTGCAAGTCCAACTTAGGGACGGTACCAAGATCTACACCGACGTTTTCCGGCCTGCGACCTCCGAACATGGATCATCCGTACCTGGGATCATTGCGTGGAGTCCCTATGGAAAGGCAAATCGTACGCTACAATCTTGTCTCCTGTCTATAATGTTTCCTAACCCCCCAGCTAGCACTTCAAACCTACGAGCACATGGGACCTTTTGCCTGCGGCCTTCAGCCTGGCGACACGTCGGGGTATAACAAGTTTGAAGGCCCAGATCCAGCGGATTGGTGCGGAAGGGGTTACGCAATCATCAACCCGGATGCCCGAGGAGCAGGGTTTTCCGAGGGGAATATTGCACTCTGGGGAGAGCAAGAGGCCCATGACTTTCACGATCTCATCGACTGGGTCTCGAAGCAGCCATGGTGCAACGGCAACGTAGCCACCGCAGGCAACTCGTGGCTTGCTATTTCCCAGATCAACGTTGCCGCACGCAATCCCCACCCCGCTCTGAAGGCCATCGCGCCGTGGGAGGCTGCGACTGACGGCTATAAAGATTTTATGGCCCGCGGAGGCATCCCGAGAGGCGGCTTCATGCCAATGTTGTACCAGACTATGACGGGCATGCATGGTGCAGAGGATGGGAGTGCAATGGCGAAGAAACGACCACTCCTCGACGAATATTGGGCAACAAAGGTCATACCTGTCGACAAGATCAAAGTTCCGATGTATCTGACTGCATCTTACTCGACTCTGCTTCACTCAAGAGGATCTTTCGAAACGTTCGAGAAGTCTGTATTATCCGAAAGATGGCTTAGGGTTCATCATACTCAGGAGTGGTATGACCTTTATCAAAGAGCGCACGTGGATGAGTTGCAGGCTTTCTTCGATAAGTACTGCAAGGGAATGAACACCGGCTGGGAGGAAACCCCAAGGCTCAGGCTATCACTATTAGCCTTTGATCGAAGCATTGCGAAGACGATTATTGAGAAAGAAGCGCCTTCTTTTCCTCTTCCAGCAACAGAGTACCGCAAATTCTTTCTGGACAGCACCAGCAATACCTTGACGGCGCAGCCACCTGCTGTGTCGGCCAAATGTTCCTACGAGTCTCATCACCTTACGGACAGCGCCAACTTTTCTTTCTACTTCGATGACTACACGGAGCTGGCAGGATATCCATATGTCAAGTTGTTCATTTCATGCGACGATCACGATGACATGGATATTCATATTCAGATCCGAAAGATCGGGATCGACGGGACGCTGTTGACCAGCTTGAACTATCCCGTGCCTGTACCTGGGGAACAAGTCGACGACACAAACGTCGCCAAGTTTCTTGGGTGTGATGGCATGCTCCGGGCCAGTCATCGTGTCTCTCGGATCAAATCTGGCCATGATTACCCAGTCTATGGACACGATAAAGCAGAGAAAGTTGATGCGGGCTCCATCATTGAGCTGGACATACCATTATGGCCCATTGGTATGGTTTTTGAACGCGGGGAGGGTATGATGTTGAGAGTCGCTGGCCATGAGTTGAGATTGCCGGAGTTAAAGGTCTTGGAGAGAAGCTCGCCAACTGACGAGAACGTTGGCAAACATTGGATCCATACAGGTGGTGGGTTTTCTGGCTACTTATCGGCGCCAGTGGTGAAAAGCTGGTCTTAGTGATCAACAGAATTCGTTATGAATTTTCGTTCATTACGATATAACTATTTTCCCTTGCCCTCAGAAAGTCGTCCCTCGATCGAGGACATCCAACCAGCAAACTTTTGTGGGATAATTGAATGCCAAACCGCCTACTGGCGGTCTATACTGAGGCATAGATTCACATCGCTAGATACATTTAGAAGCTGGAGGAGAAGTTCGCGGGCCCATCGCGTGGATAACCGTCGTGTTTCATTATTAAGACAGATCAGTTGGAGATCGCGTGGAATCCGCCCTCCCAAAAGTCTTCTTGCTTGAACCACTACACCCGTACAACAAGATCTTACTGAGTCAATAGACTGCTTTGGGAAGTTTAACACGTTTCTGAGTGGTAACACTGTGCGACTTGGATAGCGACACGTCTTGAGGAAGCCAATGTACTTGAATAAGAAGCTTATATATGTGCTGAACTCCTTTTAGCAACTAAGACTCTATCGACTCCTTTCACAGACCATCAGCTGAAGAAATCTTCAAACCCGTCCAAGCAACGTATCATTATCTGAGGGCTGCTCGAGCAAGCTTCTTTGCCTCAGGCTGGCTGTGCGAGATGCCACCTCCACAGAAGAAGCACCTGAAGTCCCGCCTCGTAGCAGCTTGACCTTAACCTTCTTGGAAACCGCCTCCATCTCAGACGTGGTCATTAGACGCCCATCTGCTGCATCTGAAATGCCGGTCAAGTCCCCCTGTTCTATCCTCGCACCCTCCGACGTGACGAACAATTCCTTGTAAAACAACAGTGGCAGAGAGTGGCTTTTCCAGACGACCTCGTCCTTCCTATGCCTCAAGCCTCTCAGAATAACCCAGCCAAATGAGATGATATCGATGACGAGGAGCACCGCAGGCAGGATCAGCCAAGGCCATTGGATCTGAATGTACGTAAGATCCATCAGAGCCCTGCCATACACCCGGGACTCGGTGCCCTCTTGCCTGGCCAAGCCGGACCTGAACTGATTCGTCATCGACTCGGCGAAGTCTGAAAACCTTGTGGTTAGTGACTCGACTGTTGCGTTATTCTGCTCCCACAGCAGCCCTAGCCACCACTTGCTCCTGCAGTCGACGGCGTCCCCTTGGCGGCGATCCCAACTACAGCTGCCCGAGAAGATCTCGTTCTGGTAAAGCTGACTGAACATCCTGTATATGAAGCCACTCATACGGAATGTGCAGGAACCTGGGACCATTTGTGGGAGGTAGTCTGGCCCATTTGAAGGAGACAGAATTCTGACTTTGGTATCGGTTATGCTGCTGTTCTGATTCTCCTTGATGATGTCGAACACGGAGCCATTGACGCGACAGGGCGATTGAACAGCAGTGATATTCCAGACAACTTGAGGGAGGGGGCTGGCAGCCGACGAGAACGTGTATGGGTCTGACTCGGGGTAGTCAATTCCGTCCGGATACATAGGCATCGTTTCGACCACCGTCTCAGTCAACTTGCCGTTGGTGATAGCAGCGGAATATGACTTCAGACACGGCACGAGAGAGCACGACACGGCAGAATATGCTGTGGGATCTGCATATTTGAGGTTCTTCGGGTCCGTATCGTCTGGGACTCCTCTCGTTAAGATAGTGATGTTGGCGAAGGCCCAAATGATCTGTGAAATCTTTTGGTCGTCGATGATACCCTCGGCCCAAGACAGGTCGTCGTCGTTTTTGATCTGCATGGCATCCGGATTGATGATACTAACGGCCATGCCGTTGGGTAATCCGACATGAGTGTCGTTCACAGCGGTGACAAGAGAGCTGAGGTCGCTGCAATAGCTGCAAACTCCGATGGAAGCATGCGTGACGTCTCCTGCTGATGACGGTACCTCCACGGCCGAGTGTTGGGCCGAGAATGTGCAGTTTCCGGTGGAGCACTCCGCGGCGATGCTTGTGTCGTTGCTACCAGGGTTGAAGAGCGCCGAGTAGACGAGGCCACGGACGTGAGGGCGGAAGTTCCATTCCGCCATGACGCCGCTCATGGAAGAGCGGTACCACAAGTCGCCTCCGTCGACCATATAGGACACGGGCAAGGAGGCTCTCCTCTCGGGCAGCTGGTCTGTCCGCGTGATGACATTGATCGATTGCTGGATGAACGGCCCAGCGGCAAAGGACAAGATAATGACGATCAATGCCAACAAGGATGATACGCTGTGAGTAGCCACCACTCTGCAAAGCTTCAGCGCACCCCATATGCCACGGCTCGCATCGTCAAAGTCGCTGAAATGGCTGAGGGGTCGAGCCGGTGATGACTTGGACCAGAACCAAACCCACTTGAACTGCGAAATGACCTCCGTCGCGATGCCTAACAACAAGGCCCTGTATATGGTTGAGAGTATAGCGATGAGCGAGTTGATGTTGATCGGGAATGACCAGTCGCTGGTCGGTCTGCCATCTGCGCGGATGAGAATCCCCAGCATGGCCGCCATGAGTCCAATTGCCAGAGCCAGAGACGCCAGTTCCAACGACCAGTACCTCATTACCGGCGGGCGTTTGGGGGCCGCTTCTTTCTCTGACGGCTTGTCGGATCCGCGTATGTTCGTGTAGCCAATATTGCTCGTTGTTTTCAGCGACGGCGAACGGGGATTCGCATCGTCGGGAACGTCGGTGGGACTAGGCCGGTTGAGTGGTTTTCGCCTGATGGCTGCCACCGAAGCAATACCCGGGGTGGGAGCCGGAATTGATGCCAGCGACACATCGTCCGAGTTGCGGCTCTGGCTTCGATGCGGAGCGTCATGGGCCATCGTTAAACGTAGAAGAAGGAATTGGTTTGGACTACTATCATTAGCAAAATGAAGAGGTTAAGACCTAGTTAAAATGAGAAAAGACTCAACAATAAGCATAATCTGTGATGTGTCTGACCAGGGGCCTTCAACCCGTCCCACTATGTGCTACCGAGAAACTGGCCTGCTTGTCCAATCCGTGGGATCAGGCAGCATCGTTTGCGATACGCTGACGTCCGATAGGTAGGTACGAGCGATGAGTCTGCCCTATGAAGCCTGTACTGGAGCAGATCTGCGTCGATCTCAAGCGGGTTAGAGAAGCTGAGGCACAAGTAAGACTGAGGTTGCATTGATGCAAGACACAAACGGCAAAAGAATGGAGCGCTGCATTCTCATAGGGCATCAACTCAACCTGCATCTTCCAGCTCCTAGCCAGGGAAAATGGCTGTGCCACAGCAGATCCGCCGAGTTTAATGCATCTCCGTGGCCGCCTCGTTGACTCCTTTGCAGCGACACAGGCACTGAAAAGTGTGTGTTAATAATCCGGGGTAACAAACAAAGCTTCGATTGCTTCTTCTTGGCCGAGTCTTCAAGTTTGGTGACAAGGTTCGCAAGACCGTTTGTTAAGTGATCAGCTAAGAAGTGATCTGCTTATCCATCCATCCAATGACGTGAAAATCCTTTACCATCACCAGGGCCTAAATCAAGACAGCGATTGAAGTAGAGTTGACGGCTCGTTATCGGACCTCAATTGAGACACAATACCATTGTTGAATCCCTTCCAGGTTCTCTGGGTCAGAACGACCAGGGTGGAAAATGCCAACGACTCATGGTCATCTGCCAACCTCAAGCCTAGTACATAGCATTCAACCTTAAAAAGCATCCTTCTAGAATGTTTAGGGTCTGTTTAGTGGAGCACATCGTGCCGGAGGACAACGTCTGTCTAGAAGCCTGCGAGAGGCTCGACGAAACCTGATTGTTTGCAGGTTAGCCCTAGAGGCCGAGGCCTTCTGGAAAGGGGTGTTGCAGCAGCCAACGGCACGCAGCCGGAAGGACACTACCAACACGGGCCCAAGTCGTCGACAACGGGAGGCCTCTACTTGCCCGTCTGTACATGCGGGGTTCCTTGGACTCTAGCTTACCTTAGGTAGGTAGGTAGCTTCTGCGTGGCTACCGGGTCATTTGATCTCGGGGAAAAAGAAAAAAAAGAAAAAATAAAGGCCCTTGGAGCACTCGCCGCGTTGCCTACGAACCCTCCTCACCAACCATCTAGAAACTGCTTGTGCCCTTGAAACACGCAGGCTCGTACGTCCGGATAATGGTCCCGCTGGTTGCCGGACAGGGTGACGACGTTTGCCTGTCCCACCCAATTCTTGCCAAGCGTCTACCGCCAGAACTGCCATCATGTTCGTTATGTCCGGAACGTCTTCCTCGGCGGATACCTTGCGATCGCTGAGCAGAGCCTATGTAGAACCTCTGATGTGGCCAGTGGGATGAGGGGTATCTCGGTGGCTTATTCAAAAGTTCTGCCGACTCAAACTATTTGTATCTTCTGAGCTCGGGGCACGGATCTGTAGTGACCTCATTCACAACCTGGCGATTTCGTAGGTTCTTTTCTCTTTTGTCCTCAATTTCTCCCCAGACACTCAGTGATCGAATTTCTTGGCGGCTTAATCGTCAATGGGTGGAGGCTTCATCGACGGTGACGTACTCCACAAACATCATCTAGAGGGTCACCTACAATCTGAATCAAGGCTCTAATCCTAGAATGTGTTGATAACAGTCAAATGAGCGATGTGATGGCGGCGGCGATATGGGGTTGTGAAGCCTCCGCCGATGCTGAAGCAGAACCTCGGGGCCACCTAACGCCTCCGGAGCAGATAACTCATGCGGCCGCGCGGCGCTTCCCTATGTGTGCCTACCTTAGATCAGGATATCTGCGGGACGTTGCCTCTAGATACCTAGGGCAGCCCGAGATGAGGACGGGATGCCAGGGATGGAGGGCGTGCCTCCGATTCTGCAAGCTTTCTCGTCCCTCCGTTAATTCCGGCCGCTGCAAGCCCTTTGATCATCGTCGTGAATTGGTCCGGATTTCTGAGGTGTCACGGTGAGATTTGTCTATCGTGAAGCGGGTTATATAAGCTTTTTTTTTTGGTCCAGGACGTGGACTCCAGACGGAGAAACAGGTTGAGACTTCCGCGAGAACGTGTCTACGGATAGTCCGTCCAGACGCCCTTGATCGGAGTACCACGCCCCTGTAAATTTCACACGCCCCCTGGTGGTCCACCGCCTTTCGGCAACTTGCCCAGCCAAAGTCATCTTTTATTCTATAGCTACACCTACTCGGGCATCAGCGTGGACAAGGTTCCACTGTTATCAGGATTATGTGAAAGACCATGGGGCAGTAACAGTGGGATACATATCGTGCTAACATTTTGAGATGCCAGAGTCGGTGGGTAGAGCCCGGTGACGACATTTTACTGGCATTTAACAACCCCCGAGGTGCAAAGCCCCTCCATACGTGTAACCATCATCAGAAACCCAAGAAAGAGTCCTTGGATTGGCTAGGAATAGTTGCAAAGCCGTCAGCCCATGTCCAAACTCAGTCCAGCAAAGGTGTCGCGTCTTCAGAGAAGGTCATAATGTATGCTTTTATAAAGGCTTCTTCATCCGTCCCAAGTTCTAACGGGGTTGATCTTCAAATTCTCTCTACTTCGCAGTATTTTAAAGCCAATCTACATTATTCTATTCAGCACTCCGAAATTTCTTGAGAAACGAAACCTATCACAGCTTCCGACATGTCGAGTACTGCAGTGCTGTCTTCCATTGCTTCCGCTACGTCCGCTACATCAACACCAACAAGTCTTCCCGGCCCTTCCTTGGAAGCTATCAACACTGTTAGCACTATCGTATTCGGCATCCCGGCTCTGGTTTTCGGTGCTGCAACGCTATGGTTCACCTGCAAGGCGTGGAACAGGCGCAGGCAAGATCCTTCCGATCTGGAGGCGGGGAACCCACAAGTTCGCAACGATATGAGCTTGCCAGACCTCCCCGCAAGACGTATCCCTGAAGACCTCAATGCGGGGTCTGACGAGCGGCCAGCCACGCGGGCCCATCACGCAACCATGGCCTCGTCCGGGCCCCGAACCGACGCCTACCATGACCAAGCCGGCCCATGCCCGTCGATGGCACAGAGAGAACGTTTGTCGGTTTCGGAGAGGCCCGTGAATTCGATGATTCCCGTTGGGGACGGAGAGCCAGGTGATCGGCGTCCACAAACCCGAAGGTGGTCTTCGGTACCAAGCTGTAAGTGCCTGTTCTCTGCTTTGTGCACGGAGTGTTCTCTCGTGGAAGCAACCTGCGCTGGCTCTGAGAACGACACGCCTATGACGGGGCTGGCCTCCTGCTCACAAACCACACCTTTAACAGTAGAAGCTGACTAGATGGATTCTGTAGTCAACAGTCCACGAGCCCACGACGCGAACACGACCGACGCGCCGGGTGGCTCTCAACCCCACAACGATAGTGACACTGGCTGATCTCATCACCTGTGAAAGCCCTGGATCGATAGCAACACCCCTGCCACACAGCACTCGAAGTCCCTGGGGACACCATTTGGGTCTGCAAAACGTTGCTGAATTGAGTCTGCACGGCATCACTGGAGTTTCGAAGGAAGGAGGGAATTCATGCGCGCAGCGTCGGTGTACAATCGAGAAACGGGCTGCTGGTTTTAATATACCCTTGTGTTTTTAGTTGGCGTTCTTGTTGGTTGGTTGTTTTGTGATAGACAGGTTGCATTTAGACAGCATGGTAATGTTTTAATTCAGACGATAAACCGGCCGTTCGGCTGTAGCTCATACCTCACTCAACACAGCCCTGCCTCTAGTACATCGTAGATAGACTGCCTAAACAGACGACCTCAGTCTCGGTATGAATAGGTAGCTAATGGTACCAGAGCTGGGACTTCCAGCGCGGGCGTAAAGCAACACCCGCCCGCCAATATACATCCAAGTCATGAGCTTTAGCCCCCGAAAATTATACCGCATTTGAACAAAAGTGCCAGCACGATGGACGAAGCTCTCGAGTGAGAAAAGAAGTAATGCTGCTGTAGCTCTGAACGGCGAAAAGCTACGGCACCTAGGTGCATGTATTGTACCATACCTTACCTTGAGCAACGATCTTGCATCACAAATCAGATATCCATACGTGCACGTCATGCTAGGTTTCGACTGAAAGTGACCTTGAGTTGAATATCGACTTGGAGATGATTCCCATGCGTATTAGCACCACAGGTACCCAAAGACAGCTCAACATGCAACTCAGAGAGCCCACCATCCGCTCCAGGAATCCTTTCATCTAACTACCTTACTCGGCAGAATCACAATACCTTAGACAACCTCCTATTCTATCATTACCAGATCACCACAGCAGCTCTCTCCAATCACCACACCCTCCGTCTATCCTCCTCTAAAACATCCCAAGTCAAAACATCGAAAATGAGGGTATCTAAACGCAAACCAAAAGAAAGTCCACGCCCAACCCCCTACCCCAAAACAAAAACAACAACCACCACAACAAACCCCCCTCCCAACAACCTCACCCATCCGCCCCTACCACCACCACGTCTGACAGACGCCCCGCCGCTCTTCACATCACTCCTCGAAGGCGGGAAATCGTTCGGCAGAACGAGACTCGGCAGCGTCCGGAACGAAGGCGTCTCGAACACCGTCACGGGCGTAATCGACCGCTCCGGCGTCGGCGAAGCCGGGACCTGCGGGGCCGGAGTCTCGGCGGGCGGCGGCTGGGTGGGTGTTGGCGTCGGCACCACCACCACCGGCGGTATTGTCGTGGTTGAGAGGGAAGACGTTGAAGATGAAGATGGCGAAGAAGATATCTCGGGTGCCAGCAAAAACGGCGGCAACGTCGAGATCCCCGCGCTCGATACCGGCGCGGCTGGATTCGCGGCCGCGGGCGCCGTGGTGAAGGCCGGCGGCGGCGGTGGTGGAGGGATGTTGAAGCCGCACTGGCCCATGATCTCCTTAATATCTGATTCACGCGTCCGTCAGCACCGACATCCCTCACGCAAACAGAACTGTCCCCGAGAACGCATCGAAAACTCACCTTCATTCGCGTCCACAGCCGTGACATTCCCCACGATACAAACCGCGCAAGACCCCATCACCGCGGGTACATCGAACCCCCTCTCCCCACAAACACAATCCCTCTCCGCCGCCGCGGCCGCCGCGACCACCGCAGCCGGCGGTCCCCCTCCTTCGTCCTCGCTGTCGCTGTCGGAATCGCTCTCCGCCTGCCTCCTCCTCCTCCTCCCCATCGCCCTCCTCCTCCGTTGCTTCTCCAAAGACGCTGCCGTCCCCGAGCGAGTAGACGAACTGCCCCATCTCTTCCCGACATCCCCGAACCTCGCCTCCGTCTGCGCCTCGCACCGCTCCGTCAACTGCACGATCGGCGCGCACAGCGCCGCGCACTCGGGCGGGACGTCCTCGGCGTCGAGGTCCTCTGCCGTGACTAGTGTCGGCAGCCGCGTGGAGAGGAGGGCGAGGACGGCGATGTGGTGCAGGGTGGTGGTGGGCGCCGGGCGCGTCATCGTGAGGTGCTGCTGACCATGCGGTGGTCGTTTTTCCCCTTTCAATAACCTCCTCAGAAAGTAGTTCGTCGTTGTAGTGTTGTTTCTTTTCATCCAATGATTAGGCTTTTCGTGCAGAAAATTACCGTGCGTCGTTCGTTGCGTTTGGTGAAATGTTGAGTTTGACATCTGCCATCCAAACTTTCCAGCTTTTGACAATCGCACCCTCCTCAACTTTATTTCATCCCCCTTCAGCAAAAACCTCCAGCTGCGACACCACGCGGGTGGTGGGATTTAACCCGCATTATAACCTCCACCCCTCTCAACCCCCGGAGAAGTCCTTCTTTTCCTAGAGGAAAAAAAACACCCCTTCCGATAAACAAAAGAGCGTCCTAAAACACTGGACACCACACCAAAAGCGCCCACCCTCCCAAAACGCTTGGCGTGTCATGACGACTTCCCTTCCCGATTCCCAACCCACAACCCGAGTCCCGCCCCTAACACTAGGTACTCCAGGATAAACTATACCATATCACTTCCTTCCGAAAACCGAAAAAAAGGAGGATTCATAAATAAGTTGTGACAGACATCTTTTAGAGGTTTAGGTATACAGCACCATGAGACGTCTAATAGCCTGCTTTACTAATACCTCAGAAAGGCCTATTAAAGACCTCCTCACCGGAGAAGAATCACCCCGGAAGACTCCATCCCAGGATCCCCCCCAAGACCCAAAAACACAGAACGGCAGCTCAAACAAGCGGCTCTGCCGATTTAGACTTCGGCCTCACAGCGGGAAAGGCAATCAATCGGGTCGGGTTTGCGCAATGGCCCTCCCTCTCTTCCAAAGGCGTCTAACCTGAGGGGAACTTGATTGATCGTCTACCGGGATGTCGAAACTCTACGGAGGTAGTGGTGGTGAGAGGAGATGACGAGTCAGAGAGCATCCTCCCTTAAACACAAGCTTAAATTCCCGAACGGCTCTGGAATGATCCGCCTCGTGCAGAGGTGAAGTGAGTACGGATGATACTGGTCTCAAGTTGCAAGCCAAACTTCTACTGCTTTCCGGCGTAGAGTGTAATCGACTACGTACTAGGTAGGACCTCAATACAAAAGCCGCCTGTCAAACAACAACGACACTTCTAACATGAGCTTGAACCCCAAAATCCTAAGAAAATCAAACCACAATCGAGGGCAACCCAATTCAGCAGACAGAAAGATAAGAATCTGAGCACCGTCCCCGGCTCCGGACGCAATAAACTCCCGCCGACGTCAACACCAATAAGCCGCATCATATCGAGAGGCAACGACGGCCCGGAGCCAAGCTGCCACACGCCAAGCCGCTCGCTTAATCGATGCTTAAACGCCTATTTCCATCCATCTACCTACCTACCCTACCTATCATCCATTACCCGACCCGACCGTAACCACCCCCCGGCTTCTCCCCCCCTCGAACATCTTGGCTTTCGCCGCAGATTGCGTCGTCGAGTGACGTTGCCGGGCTTCCGTCGTTTTGGGGCGGAAGGGTGACAGATACCCGTCAAAAGTCAAATGGGATTTTGTGTACTGTATGTTTGCATTGGCCGAATGACTCGGCGAGGCTGGGCAAAAGAGATATCACGGTCGCGCACACTGGATGAAAAACAAATCGTTGCGAGACAGCAGAGTTCTCGGAATAGCTACTTCATGCGTTCTTCTTAAGGGGTATATTCTCTGAGCTATATTACACGCACGCGGAAAAGCACCGTCTGAACGAAACGAATTCCAGCCGTCCATCAGCGGCCTCTAACCCCAGGTACCGCCGCCGCCGCCGCCCCGTCCGGCCTTGCGCTGCGCGCTCAGCCTCCAGTCGTCCTCGCCGGCGTACTTGTTGTACAGCGGCTGGATCCTCTCGGCCTTCTTCCGCTTCGACAGGCGGTCCGTCGGCGCGACCTTGAAGAAGGTCGGGGCCGCCTCGACGAGCCACTTGGGCTCGATGCTCGTCGTGCAGTGCATGTACTCCTTGGTCGTGAGCACCAGCGTGTGGTAGATGACCCACTCGGCCTGCTTGCCGAAGAGCGCGGAGCTGGGGTGCAGGTAGACGGGGGTGCCCTCGATGAGCGTCTTGTAGCCCTCCTGCGGGTCCTTGCGCGCGGCGTTGCGGAAGAAGCCCGAGCAGAGGGCCTGGCGGACGATCTGGGTGTTGCGCCCGCACGAGACGACCGGGTGGCGGTAGCGGTCCATGATCTTGACGAGCTGGTCGTGGACGTCTTTGGCGCGCTTCATCGAGCGCGCCTGGATGAAGTTCTCGAAGCACCACGGCGCCGAGTACCCGCTGTGCTTCCACGAGTTATAGACGTTGAGCAGGGTAAGGTGGTCGCCGTGGGGGTCGTGGAACTTTGCCTTCTTCTGGTCCGCCTGCGACTGCTTCTCCTTGGGACGGTAGAACACGTTCGGCAGGTTGAGCATGGCGACGATGATGAGCATCTCGGCCGAGCACTTCATGTCGACCGATATAATGAGGACCTTTGCCAGCGACGGCTCCATCGGGAAGTCTGCCATTTTGCGTCCAAGACGAGTAAGGAGGCCTTCATCGTCGAGGGCGCTCAGGGCGTAGAGTTCCTCGAGGGCTGTGAGCATGGTATTGATCGGCGGGGGGTCCATGAAGTCGAAGTGGAGGAGGTCGTTGATGCCCATGGCCTTGAGCATGAGAATAACGTGGGACAGGTTCTGGCGTTGGATTTCGGGGATGGTCGTCGGCAGCATTTCGGACTGGTACGCGGCTTCCGTGTAAAGACGGAAACACTTTCCTGGTCCCGTGCGACCGGCTCGTCCAGCGCGCTGGTTTGCCTGTGCTTGGGAGATGGGTGTGACCACGAGGGAGTCCATGCCCAGCTTGGGGTCGTATGCATTCTGCTTGACGAAGCCCGGGTCGACGACGAAGTAGATGTTGTCAATGGTGATGGAGGTTTCGGCGATGTTGGTGGCGATGACGACCTTTCGTGCGCCAGGGGGCGCGGGGTCGAAAATGCGACTCTGCATCTCGTTGGGGAGAGCAGAGTACACCGGCAGGATAAGAAGTTCGGGGACCTTGGGTCCCAGTGCTTTCATACGCTCAAACAAAATCTCGCATGATGTGTCGATTTCTTCCTGGCCGGTCAGGAAGAGCAAGATGTCGCCTGGCGGTTCGCTAATGTGAATCTCCAACACAGTGTTGAGCGCAGCATCCAGATAATCGGACTCGGGTTCGCGAGAGTAGAGCACCTCGACCGGGAACGTACGGCCGGGGATTGTAAAAATCGGGCAGCCATCGAAATAGGATGAGAACTTGTCAGCATCCAGCGTAGCCGACGTCGCAATGACCTTCAAGTCCTTGCGACGCTTCATCGTCTGTTTCAACAGCGCGAACAAGACATCGGTGGAAATAGTACGTTCGTGCGCTTCGTCGAGCATGATGACCGAGTACCGCTTAAGATCTGGGTCAACCAGAATCTCACGCTGAAGCATACCATCCGTCATGTACTTGATCTTGGTCGCTGGACTCGTGCGGTCTTCGAAACGAATAGTATAACCAACAGCCTCGCCTAGTGGTGTGCCGACTTCTTCAGCTACACGCTTCGCCACCGACATGGCAGCCACACGGCGGGGCTGTGTGCAGCCGATTACGCCGTCGTTGGCGAAGCCATCTTCAGCAAGATATTGGGTAAGCTGGGTAGTCTTGCCGGAGCCAGTTTCTCCAATGACAACCATCACCTGGTGGTCTCTGACAGCATCCAAGAACTTTCGCCTGAAAGCATACACAGGTAGCGACTCTCTCTGTTCCTTGATGCTCAAGTTAGTTCGTTTGCCGAAAGACTGGTCCTTGGGAGCGACCGCCCGCTTCCATTCGGGTACCGCGTCGGTCTTGTTCTGGTTCATCTGGGACTGCGCATTTCTCAGGTCGCTGGCGAACTTGCGCTTGTCGGGGTCGGCCATGGGATCGTTCCACTGCGCAGAGAGGTCGACAACCTTGGACTCATCTGCCGCCGCAGCCTCTGCCTCTTGCTGTTTCAGTTCCTTTCTTTCCTTGGCCAACGCCGTGCCCGACATGGCCGCACGATTCATCGAGCCATCCGGCGCTTTCACGACACGGATAGGGGAGAGCTCGAGAGACTGCTTCGTCTGACCTGCCAAGAATGGAGGCTCCTCCTCTCGGACCTCGATGTCGACATCCTCCTCCAACTCCAAGCCTCCGTCGCCGTTGAGCGTCGCGTTGTAGTCTTCCTCCAAGTCTGGGTAATCAGAGGCCTTCGCAACACCTGACGCAATCAACTGTCTAATCTCCCAGCGTTCCGGCGACGTCATGCGCTTCTTCTGTCGACGCTGTCCAGCTTGATGTTGTGGTGGCGGCATAACTCCGCCGTCAAACATGTTTCCGTTCCGACCGCCACCCAAAGCCTCCATGTTTGCGCCCGAAGATATCCTGTCTTGAGGGTGAAGGTCCATACCGGTCTCTTGATCCACTTCTTTCATGGACAGACCTATCCTGTTGCCTTCGATGTTGACAACTTTGACCTTGACATCCTGACCTCTCGTCAGAAGGTCGGACGGGTGGTTCACTCGCTGCCCTTCGACTAATCGAGAGATGTGCACCAGACCGTCCACCTTCCCGCGCACGCCGTGGATGTTGACGAATGCGCCAAAGTCCTTGATCCCAGTGACATGACCGCTGTAGACCTTGTGAAGCTGAGGCGCATCGTCGACCTCGGGTTCCGGCGCCCTCCTGAAGCGGCTGTCGTCCTCGTCATCGTAGTTCCGCCGTCCCCTGCGCTGCTTCAACGACGGTCCGTTCTCGTAGTCATCGGCAGATCTCGACCGCGATCGGTACTTATCCCGCCGTCTGTGATCCCTCGACCTCGACCTGTCCCTCCGTTTCCTCCTGGACTCGCGATTGTCGTCTGGGCTGCGACTCCGCTTGCGCGAGGCCGACTTCTCTCCCCTCGCCTTGCCTTCCAACCCCTCCAGCAACGCCAGCGTGTCGTCGATCGCGTCGCCGTCGCCGATGCTGTCGTATGCGACCGGTTTGTCGGGTACGGAAAGACCCTTGAAGATGTGCTCCTTCTCCTCTGCGCTGCGGTGGTGATGATCTTCGTTGGTGCCGTTCGCCTTCGCCTTCCCCTTGAGCTTCGGGTGCATGGTCAGAACGAGACGGTCGACACTCTCGACGAGACTCGGGGGGAAGTCTGCTCCTATGGCGGAGAGTTTTTGCTTGAATGCATCGTAGTCTTCGGCGTCGACTCGCTGGGCGATGATGAATTCGGCGAGGGTCTTGTCGGAGACGCCCAGATGGTTCTGCAATTCAGAAGTCACCTTGGACACGAGCGACAGAAGCTCGAGATTCAAGAGATCGTCCATGATCGCGGTTGGAGTTTTTGTGGTTGTCGGGACCTCGATGTCGATGGTCGCTGAGGTCTCAAAAAATGTAAAGGCAGGCAAGCAGGACACTGCGCCGATATGACCTACCGGGCTGCGGATGTCACGTCGGAGAAAGTGACTTCCGTTCCGTGCGGCATGTTTCGCCCCCCATAACCTGGAAGGTCCATCCAGTACTGCGTCCCGTATCACACAGCGCAGGTACCTATTCGTACCTTTCAACCACAACTGGGAAGGTTTGAGGCCAAAAGAATACAAAACGCTAACAGTGTTTACTAAAATTCGAGACTTCGTTTGATTTTCGCGAATTTTTTTAATTGGAAAAGTGAGAGGAAGGTAGCCACTGTGGCACTGGAATAGACAGCTACTTCGCGTACCGCGCCTACCGCTGTGGAGGTTTAAAGCAGTGATTCCCCCACAGTCTCCAGACCGAATGGCAGCTCCCAGATTCAGCATGTGAATTCAGACACTGGGATTCTCTGATTATATTTGCATACTCTTCGCACTAACAAGAGTCACATTTGACCAGAAACATTCTTCACTTGTCCTGCTCCAAAAAGCTAGACGTCCGTCGATATTCTTACTTCTGCCATATAGATGCCACTATCGGCCGAGTAACCTCAGTGCTGTGGTCCTGTGTGGGGTTTCCCGCGATCTTAGCAGATGGTATTCTGCATGCTCTTGCATGGAGCCAATGCAGGTCCCTTGTCCGCAAACCTAAAGTTTTCCTGTGCTGCCAGAACAGGATCCATTCACAGCATCATCATGTCACTGAAGACGATCGAAAGATTCGGAGGTGCGCAATAAAAATGGAGTATGTTATTGAAAAGACCCCCGACGCCGGGTGTGATGATATACTTGGGTCATTATCATGGATGCTAGCCCACTGTCCTCTGAGGAGCGACGTCTATTCGCACTCATGTCCGCGCGCTGTATCTGGGTATTGTGATGGTGAGCTTTTGCGCTCGTCTTATGCCTGCCGACGGTCCTCTTGGTCGCACAAATCATGACCTGTAAAACTTTTTGTGTCGTCTGCGGGAGCCGGGTCCGCTATGCCTCGAAGCTCCCCGCGTTCTATCGAACCAACGTATCGTGAGGGCTGGCCTCTTTATCGCACGAGCTTCTTGAAAATGTCAATAAGGCTGCGCACGCCCTTGAGCGTGTTCTCGTCGGGACCCTGGCCGGGAGTCCACTGCGCGTGGGCGAAATCGATGAGCTTCAGGGAGAAGATCTTGGGCAGGGCGGGACCGTCGTCCTCGTCGTCCTCGTCCGCATCGGCGTTCGCAGGGTCTTCGTCGATCAGCGCAATGCCACTATCCACTCTGGAGGTAGTTCTACCAGGCTTCTCGCCCTCGGCGGCCTCGACCTTGTCAGCGACCGCGTTGTTCTGCGCGATGGCATCCCTCAGCTTGTCACCGTCGCCCTCGAAAACGAACAGCAGACTGGCCGAGTACATCCTGCTCTCCTCGGAGGAGAGGACTCGCTCGACGTTGCGCAGGTTGCGCAGGAAGGCCTGAGCAACCGCCTTGCCCAGCTCCTCGTCGATACCGGCAGTCTTGTTGAAAATGAACTTGCGGAAGTTCTCGACAATGTTGTCGGTGTTGACGTGAACACGGCCGTAGTCCTTGTCGTAGATCTTGTAGTCCTCCTCGTCGAGCTCGGACTTGGTAGTCGAGCCGCGGTAGACCTTCATGCCGGCGATTCTGAAGCCCAGAGGGCCGTGTGTGGTCTTGGCGGTGATGTCGTCGAAGCGCTTCTTCTTCTCGGCGGGGGCATCGTCGGCCCAGAGGCGCACGCCGAGCTTGACGTCGAGGATGTTGGGCTTGGTGAAGCCGGCGCCCGAGTTCTCGAGGACTACGGCCTGGTCCGTCTTGATCTTCTTGGACTTGTTCTGCACCCACTGGCCCTTTTCTTGGTCGGCGGGAGGCTCGCCGGTCACGGCTTGGGTCAGCTCCTCCTTGGCAGCCGTTGTCGCGACAGGGCCTGCGACGCCATCCTCGATAGAACTGAGTTCTGCGGAGTCGTTGAGCTGGAGGGTGCCCATGTACAAGGGCATCAATTCGGCGAAATCGGGGTGGCTCTCGTTGGCAGAGCTGTAGAAGTCGACCTCGGCCAGGGTGCAGGGCTTGATGAAGAGTTCACCGGACTCGTCGCACATGGTTCCTGCACTGGAGGTTGGAGCGCGGTTAGAAAGATTCGGTGCTGGCGAGTGGGCGCGCGCGGCGCATAGCTGGTGGTGGAAAGGGGGTAAAGAGGGCTTCTCGACAACTTACTGTCCAGCGACGGTGTGACCGTAGTCGACGAGGTCGGCTTTTGAGGGAATGGGAATCGCCTTCTTGCCCATCATGTCTGCGCGCGTGTGGAGGAGGAAAAGGTAACTGGTGGTGTTCAAAGTCGTAGGTATTTGGCCGAAGCGCTTTTGGTATTCGTAGGTACTCAGGGGGGATCCCAGAACTGTCCTGCGCGCACAGGAGAGAAGTTGGGGTAACCGACAGCTTTGTAGCAGCGGCAGCGGTGACGGCGTGGCAAGAAGAAGCACGGGGCAAAACGACTCAAGAAATCAGCTTTCGGCAAACGGCAGGCAGGAGGGCTTGGCGAAGAGAGAGAGAATCAAGGCAACAGAAGGAGTGGATCGACAGTCTAGAAGGACGGGAGCGAGAGGGGGAGGTTTTAAGAATTGCTGGAGGTCGGGGACAAGGTTATAAAGGAGGGTGAGAGGACAGAAGGAGGTAAGACTCGAGAGAACGAGGCGTAGTCACGATGGATGAGGTGGATGATGAGAGTGGGAATTACGAGGCGCCTGGGGAAAATGAAATGGCATTTCTTTGGGTGGACTCTCAGTGTTCCTGTCAGCTGAAGGACACTGGACCCAAACATCACCGCCAAAGACAGGAGGTAAGGTACTTGCGGTACCTTGGTAGGATTAATTACCCCGTACCTGAATGGAAGTGACAAAAAGGCGAGGTGAGAGCGGCGTGTGGGCGGCATCACCCTCGAAACCCGCCAGAGAATCAGTCAATCAGGTCCCGGGAAACAGCCAGGCGTGGGCGCAGACGCGGGAGGGTGGCAGGGAAGGAGCCCGCAGGAAGAGAGGGGGACTTCAGCGCCTTCCAGGTTCCGTTCAGGGATCTCCGCCTGCGACACGAAGCTATTTTTCTGGACCCTTCTTTACCTTTAGTGCTTTACTACGTACAGGCAAAAAATACGTGGATTAAAAAATGACCCCGCCTGTTGCATCGGTCGCAGATGCAAATTCACCCAAAAAACAAAGGTGGCGGATGTCACTCAGCCACTAACCAATCTACTTCGGTCTTACTCGCGCGATCTTCCTCCATCTGCATCTCCCATCTTTCGTCTCCCGTTCGCTGTTCGTCGATTCTCCTCTCAGTCCGCCTTGTCCAGTTGCTGGCCCTTGTTGATTCGCGTCCGAGGCGCACACGCTCGCCGGCACGAACTATTGGCGTCAACCACTCGAGCCACTCCTTGACCCATGAGGCAAGAGATGCACACAGCAACTTCGCTTTCGTACCCTCGGCCGAGTTCGACCCCAGAACGACCCCATTTTGGCGAGCTCGATGTCTCTTTCCCGACGACACAGACCTTTGAGAAGAGGACGAGATCGCCAGGGGGTTGAAAGCCTCTGTTCGGTCGAAAGACGCATCCATCCCGTTGGGTGATGCGCATCCTGCAGACGATTCGTCAGACCTAGAGTGCCCTGAACAAGATGCTCACCAGGCCACCATCTCACCCAGAACCATGGAATTCATCGTATCCGACTCGTCTCTCACTCTGTTGTAAGCTGTTGTTCTCCAGGCCCGATCATTTCTCGATGGCGGCATGACCGCATACCATGACGAGACGGACACTTTCCAGCGAAACGTTGCCGTTCAACTTCGCCCTCGCCGGATTCTGGAACCAACAGAACGTTGAACAGGTGCATCGCGACACGCACCTGCAGTGTGTCTCATCGCCACTTCACGAAGAACCGGAAACCACCGGTCGTCACCCAGCTCTGGCATCGAAAGCCGGTCGTGCTGGCCACTCACTCTGAGAGGGAATCTCACCGCCGTCGGCTCCAATTCCCACATCAGACACCTTCATAGGATCTCGCGCGTCAGCCGTGCTTTCTGCCATGTGAGCTGCCTAGCTGGCGTGCGTCTGCGTCAGCTGTCATCCACTCCTGCGGCGGCATACGAAGGCACTCCGCCTCAGCTTCCGCCCCAGAGCGAGCCAACCGACTAGTCGTCCTGCAACTCGATGCTGTCGTGTCGTGCAAACTTCCAATATCTCGCAGACCTGCATTCGCAACTGTTAGCGAACCCGACATCTGAGATTTTTATTGGTCCATGTCTGTATCTCCCTGGCGATCAGTTGTGGCAGGCCTCCAATTGTATGAAGCTGATACGTGATTGGATCGCATGAAATTCCAATGGAAGCCTTAGATCCGATCTTCGATCGACTGCCAACTGACTTGGCATGAGGAATGCTGTGATGTGATATTCAGATTGTGGAAGCAGCGAACGAAGGTAGGTCGAGATGGCCAGATCAGGCCAACATGCTGAATTCATCTGAGTTGAAAAGACGGCAACATGCATGAGAAGCAACTTCCCGATATCGCGATCTTTCTCCAGCGTTGAGCAAGTCTTCATAGCCTCAAATTTCAACTGTTGAATATTTTCTGGAACCCCAAGCTCCCTCCAAAGTGCTCTGCAGGTGTATCATGAGCTTGTGCTTTCAAGACGCAGTTGCTACCCATCTCAGTATCAAAGGGCTCTTTCCCATCTAGATAAGATAAATTGAAATCTTTGTCGCAACTGCCCTCTCGATTTCGTTTGCCTTCCAGCGGAGGCGTATATAGGCATTTTCTCATTGAAACCAATGGAAGCCAACTTCTTCCTCAAACCTCATCAACTCACCGGCTTCATCGCAACAACAGCAACGGCAACAGCAACCATGGCTGGAAAGAAGAGTACGGCGTCTCGCGGTCCCACCGCCTTGCCCAAGTACCGGGGAACCGGCTTCGAAGGTTAGTGTTTCTTGTCGTCATCTTCTGCGTCTTCGTTGATGTCGTCACTATCCGATATTGCCATCCCCGCCTTCCTCCGTTTGCTCTGTTCTGCTGCTAAACCTTTCCAGAGTACTACGCCGATCCTCCCATGACGGCGGAGGAGGCCAGGGAAGAGAAGGAGAACATCTACAACCCGTGAGTGCTTCTTCCCGTGAACTTGGAAGTGGTGAGACGTCACTAACTTTAGCAACCAGGTCCTTGCCCTTCGTCGAGTAGGTGCCTTCCCGGCCAACCATTTCCATCTCCTTTTAACCGATTCCATCAGGCGAATTCAAGCATGTATCCAACGCTTCCGCTCCCGCCGCCGCATCAGTGGCTCCGAAGCCACCCAGCCTTTCAACCAGTACCTATTTCTTGGCGGCGTCGATACGTCTCCCCGTCTGTTCGGCGGTAACACAGATCAAGACGTGCAGGACATGACCCCAGACGAGCGCAGAACAGCAACGGCCACCGACGTCGTTTACAACTCCGGTGGCGGCAGTCGATTCTACAGCGCAGACGATCCCGAAGGCTGGGATGTCGACTTCGCGGGTGTCGTCGCTGGCTTTCTGTCGGAGAACTTGGCGGCGAGCACCAGCTGGGACTACCTCCGCATGGGAAAGGCCATTGGCATCATTGAGAACTTTCTCAACTACGTTCTGCAACACGACGTCTGTCCCGAGTACGCGGACAATATCAGACACGCCCTCAGCTACTGTGACAGAGCCAAGATCGATCTTCCCCTCACTCATCAGGCTCTGATCAGCTTTCCCGGTCAGTTCAACCTGGCGATGTGCGAGCTGTTCTGCCCCGATTTCTTCTTTATCAACGAAGGCGAAGGCGAAGGTGAAGGCGACAATCTGGCTAGTTTCAAGCGCCGCGATGACTTCAACCCAGCCGCGGTCGCAAAGCTGGCGCTCGCTGTTGGCGTGGTTCACATGGGCGTCGACAAGGTGAAGGCAGGCATGATGCTCCGTGCTGTGGACAACATTGAGAAGGCAAAAACGACCGATGAGGCTTCAGTCAAGGTGCCCAAGGTTCTTGGTGAAGAGAATTGCAGTATGGAGGTTGCCGACATTCACCGCGCTCCCAAGTCGTTGTGTGAAGCTATTGGAGGCATCCGAGTCGGTGATGACATGACATACGGTTTCACTGCCATGGGCAAGCTCGTCCTTCGGCCTTGTATCATCCAGGATGGATACGACCATGGCGACGACGGCAGCATCGAGGCGACGAAGGCCAACGACGGAGCCGACGAGAGAACCGACGTTGAAGCTGGCACCAGCGATGTCCTTCACACTTTCATCGTCGACGACGACATACTCGGTCGACTACAGCCCGGCTTCAAAATGCAGCTGTGCATTGTCCACCTGGACAACGGCGTCTCCTTCATCAAGCAGGTGCGATCGATCTTCGTGGCATGGCATACTTTTCTTCCTCAGAATTTGATGGCTCATTTCAAAGAGCCAGTGGCTAACGATCGTCCCGCCCCTTCCGTCGCCAACCCGAACGCGGAAGAGTACGATGAGTCTCTGGAAAAGAGCTTTGGTAGCGCATGAGTTTTTGATCGCGACTAGGTCTTGGTCTCGGTCTTGGTGTCGTTGGAGTCATTGGGGACTGGCTGGATGAATCAGACGAACAAATCGGGAAGCAACGGGTCAAAAACGGCAATGGGGAACGGCGTTGGACAGCGGCGCCCACGGGGAAAACAGATAGATACCCGACAATGGAATTGATATGATTCAAGACGAAATTGGTACAAAAGCTGTGGCAACATAAATCGTACAACGTAGAGACTCGTCGATCCTAGGCAACCCAAACGCCAAACGGCGGGGAGTTTCATTCAGAGACCACCCCCGCCTCAACCAATTTACACAAACCGTCCGTCGCAAACAAAAACACCCCTATGAAAATAAAACACACGGCCCAACGGGGAAGAAAGCAGCACGCAATCTACTTCTAAGAGCCCCTCATCTAGATCCTCCTCAGTCCCGGGTCTGAATCTTGTTGTCGCCGGCAACGGCCTGGGCGTAGGTGGGCGGCACCGCGCCGTCGCTGCTCCCCTCGCCGGCGCCGTCCTGCTGGGGCCTCGAGCCGCCGACGTTCGCGTTGTTGTTGCTGTTCGTGCCGTAGCTGACGTTTCCGCCCTGCTGGTGCTGCGAGGGACGGGGCTGCGGCTTGGGCTGGCGTGTGTGAGGGGCCGAAGGGCCGTTGCTGCTGTTGGGGCCGTTGCCGTGGACGAAGACGTAGGTGACGCGGCCGCCCTCGCGGTCCTGCTGCGGGAGGGACTCGTACTCGTAGTCAGGCTCGGGGAACTTGGCGATGATGTACCAGGCGTGGATGAGGCCTGGGATCTGTGGGGTTGGGACGTGTCTGTTAGTCTCCGGTGGGGGGAGTTGAGGAGGAGGAGGAGAGGGGAGAGGGAAGACGTACGTAGCCGAGGAGGCAGAGGAGGATGTTGATGAAGGAGTCCGCGGAGCAGATGCCGCGCTTGACCCAGACTGCGAGGAAATGGTTAGTTTTATCGTGCGATGCGATGCGGCGAGAACGAGAGAGAGACGTACCGGGTAGAGGCGGGAACAGAAGGGCCAGGAGGCCGAGGAAGATGTCTGCGGAACACATCTCTAGAGTCTTTTTTGTCGCAAATGTATGTAATGCGTATGCGTATATGGTCTATCTCAGGAAAAAAGTCGTGCGAATTTCTGTATTTGAGTGTTCTACGGATGAATACTGCAGGTAGGAAACGAAAGCGAATGATGTGACGTCCTGGGTCAGCAGGCAGCGAGCAAACCGAACAGGTGGGAGTGGCGGAGCCGCCGGGTGGGCTTGCGTAATGGTGGAGCTGCACCCCGACTGCGGCTGGGTCGCCTGGCTTTCTGCGGGTTTGATTGGGCGGGGCGGGGGAATGTGAGGCCGGTGATGGGGCCTTCGGAGTGGAGCACGGTGGCCGTTGAACGCGGCGGTCCGAGTCTGGATGTTGGGATGCGATGCGATTCAGTGTGAGGTTGATATGGAGGCATTATTCGCCTTCGTCCGGTGTGAGCGAGTCGCTGGAAGTTTGATTTGAAGCGAGGAGATCTTATCTGAGTGGACGAAGAAGGTGTTTGATAGGCGGACTGACTTGTGAGTCTGCTCTTGGGTATAAACCCTCGTTGAAGAATCCAACGCTCATGTGCTGAGATAGGTGCCTGTGAGATCATCTAAACATGTGTAGCTGACCAGATAAATTGCATCACAAAAATTATACGAGAGCGCGAATGTTGATCATTCCAGGTACTGTGCTTCAACTGACTTATCGTAGTCAAAAATGCAGGAACCGCCCGCCCTGAAGATCAGCGACGGGAGACCAGAACCCCGCCAAATAAACCCCCGCCGGAGCTCCCGCACGGACCATCTGTCCCTGAGTGATGTCAACCCAGCAAGCTCCGTTTTCCTAAGGCGCGTCCAGAACATCTCCAATCCCATTTCCATTTACACGCGACTCGGATCCTCGGACCGCAACCTGCACGTCGCAAGTTTGTACCGTCGGTAGCGGTCGCCAAAATCATTCCCCCGCCCGGCATACACCTCCCATGAAAACCACATAGCGAAATCATGTCGATTCCCGGCTTGGGCCAGCTGGCGGCGCCGGTACACAACCACCCCAAACCCCGTTGTCGGATCGATGGAAAGCAAAGAGCTAACCACAACGGCAACAACAGCAACCGGCGCACGCGAACCAGACCCGATCGATAAGACTCAACCCCTTCTGGGAGTGGCGCTTCGAAGCCCCCTTCGGCTCCGACCTCACCGTCAAGCTCCTCTCCGGCACCGCAGAAAAGGACGGCACCGAACTCGCCCTGCACCACCCCTACACCTTCTCCGGCACGAAGTCCAAGGTCCTCACCCTGCAGGGCTGCGAGCTCGAGGTCGACGGCACCCCCGCCCGCGAGCACCTCGCCGAGTACCACGCGCCCCAGGACTCACCCGCCAACGCCCACGTCAACCTCCACTTCCAGCTCACCGCCATGCGCCAGCGCGCCGCCCTCGAGCGCAGGGAGGGCCCCCGCGTCGCCGTCTGCGGGCCCCGCACCTCGGGGAAGACGACCCTCGCGAGGACGCTGGCCAGCTACGCCGCCCGCGTCGGGGCCCAGCCGCTGGTCGTCAACACGGACCCGAAGGAGGGCGTCCTGAGTCTGCCCGGCACGCTGAGCGCCAGCGTTGTCGGGAGCGTGTTGGACGTGGAGGCCGTCGACGGGTGGGGGACGACGCCGACGAGCGGGCCGAGCCAGGTGCCGGTGAAGCTGCCCTTGGTGTATTACTACGGTCACGCGAGCGCCGAGGAGGACCCTGGGAAGTATAAGGAGCTGGTGAGCAAGATGGCGGCTACGGTCACGTCAAGGCTGGGGCAGGATGCGGATGTGAAGAGCGCGGGGATGATTATTGATACCTTTGGGTGGAGTGAGGAGAGTGAGGCCGGAATGGACCTCTTCGCACACGTCGTCGAGGAGTTGTCAGGTACGTGTGCTCTTGGTTTGGATTCGTGGGCTGCGCTAATCTGATACAGTGAACATCATCATCGTTCTCGGCTCGTCCCATCTTCATGCAGATATACAAAAGAGATTCGCAACGGACAAGACGAGCCTCGGGGAACAGTACAGCATCGTACTCCTCGACAAGTCCGACGGTGTGGTGGAGCGCGACGAGGGGTTCATGCAGCAGGCGTGCGAGGCCTCGATCAAGGAGTACTTCTTCGGCTCCGTCGGCCGGACCCTGAGCCCCGCGACGCAACAGGTCGACTTCGACAGCCTGACGATATACGGCCTGGGCGACGTGTACGGAAACGACGGCCTGACGAAGGTCGACCCGTCCGAGCTCGTCGCCCACTGGACGCTGGCCATCGTGTACGCGTCGGTCAAGGATAACCCGGAGACGATCAGGACGTCCAACGTCATGGGCTACGTGTACATCGCGGACGTCGACAAGGAGAAGCGGAAGCTGAGGATACTGGCGCCGGTCAGCGGTCGCTTGGGTGATCGGCCGCTGTTGATGGGCAAGTGGCCGGAACCGTATATTAACTTGTTAGGATGAAATTCAGTGATACCACAATCGTCACGTATCTTTCAGAGGCGTGTTTTAATCTCATGATGTTGCTGGGGTTTTCAACAGACAGCTCGGGGAACATGATACCCAGGATAGAAGAGGCCCGGCCAAACCTATAAGGAAACACCACGAGATGTCAAGCCTCGGGAACAGCCTCGATCACGGACTGATGCTCTGTCTCAACCCTCACAGTGCTGATCAACCCAGCGGCGCCGTCACTACTGAACCAATCTTCTCAATTTCGCGTGCCGTCGTTGGATTAATGTCGCCCCCAGAAAGAACAACGGCTGGCTACCTTAGCCTGCGGCGCGAGTTCATGAATGATGCCCTTGATCTACACGTGGGAAATAGTTGGGACGGCAAACACCATGTTCACCTGATGTATGGCACTCGCCGCAGGGATGACCGAGGTATTTTTTCATCGCAAGTTTGAGTCCTGTCAAGCGCTTCTGATATCCCTCCTCTTCTAGGATGATGATCCTTCCAGGCTGAGCTGTTGAATACACAGGAAAGATATTTGTCAAGCTTGGCATCGTTGATGGCGTCGATTCGGTAAGCCGCATCTGGGCTATGGATTTGTTGACTCGAGTGGGCCAGATCGTTGGGGCGAGATCAAACAAACAACCAGCGATTGTAACGTGATACTGATTTCCTCTTCCTACGAGACCACGCTGCCGCCATTACACACAACTCACCAGCAAACGAATCACTTGAAGCAGACACAATGCGACGGTTTGGGAAAGGCAGCCCGATCTGCTCTAGGAAAGATCACCAAACCACACAAACAAGTCCGGCGACGACTCACAGGGTCTGCGAGGCAGTATAAAACACAAAAAGGAAAGCAGACGGGAGGAATTGAGCCTCACGCGGGGGTCGAACCCGCAACCTTGAGATTAAGAGTCTCACGCTCTACCGATTGAGCTAGCAAGGCCTGCGAGTAATGATTGTTGAACGGTGAGGCCGTGGGAGGCACCAAGGAGCGAGCGAGGTGGAGCGGTAGGGCACGGTGAGAAAATCTCTTCATCGTGAAGCCTTTTTTCATCAAATTTTTTTCTTTGCTTGCCGGCACGGGAAATGTGGAACTCGCCGGAGGGGCGACGGGGTCGGGGTCCCGTTCCGTGGGAATCCACTCCTGGCCGACGCCCCCGCCCTTCCTGATCCGGCAGGGTCAAGAGACCTATTATGACCTAACTTGCTTCAGGTTTCCTCCCGTACACCACGATCCTGCCCCACGTCAGTCAACATCATCATCATATCACGGCGAGAGGAAGAAGATAAGGAGGGCTCACATGGGCCAATACGCGTGAATACTCCGATCGCCCACATCCTTCCTGGTCTGCGCGGCGAGGACGTTCACCTCGTCGGCGCGCCAGCCGAGCCCGCGCGTCAGGAAGGCCATGAGGAACCCCTGCAGGCCGCTGGTGATGTTCTCGTAGTTCCAGGCGCCGAGCTCCTTGAACTTGGGGTCGCGCGGCCAGGTGTTGCTGGGCCACTTGAAGCGCATCTCGACGACGTCGACGAAGCCGGCCGCCTCCATCAGGGGCCGCAGGGCGTCGAGCTCGATGAAGGCGTTGCCCATCTTGGCGGCCGCGTCGCCGAGGTGCGCCATGGACTTGTGGAGCGCGTGCTCCGGCGTCAGGGTGCCGTCGTCGGAGAGGGGGAGGCCGAATTCTTGGAGCTCGAGGTAACCGCCTGGGGTGAGGTTTCTGTTTTTTGGGCGTCGGTGTGTGAGAGAGGAGGTTGTGAAGAGGATGATTAGGGGAGGGGAGGGGGGATTTACGCGTAGGACTGGCGGAGGTATTCTTCCCACTTGGAGATGGCCGAGTTCATCATCCGGCTGTGGATGTAATCGAAGGGGCGCGAGTAGGTCCAGCTGTCCTCGATGTCGTCGACTTCGAATTTGACGTTGGGCGGGACGCTGCGTGTGTGAGCAGTCTGGAGAGAGTCTGGCATTGGAGCTATTGGGTCGGCTTACAACTGCGGCTGGGTGGGAGACAGGTCGACGCCGATGACCTGTGATGTCGAAAGTCAGAACACGTTCGAGGGGCCCCAGATCGTTTTCACTCACCTCCGAGTCGGCGTGCTCATCCGCGTAGTCCATCGCCCAGATCCCCGTCCCCGTGCCGAGGTCGAGCACGCGCCCGACCTTGGTCTCCGGCTCGTTGGGCGGAGAGAGGCCCAGCTTGCCGTCTAATGAGAGACAGAAGATGTGGTGCTGGAGGTCTTGGGTTCACGGCAAAATCAGCGAGTCGCTCGTGGTCGGCGAGTTTCTTAATGACGCTACCTAGCCGCTCGTTCTCCTCTTCGTCGTTCGGGAAGTGGTATCCTTGAAGCCTGTCAGCACTCTCGTCTCTGACGTCTGACTGCGAAGTCTTTTGTCACTTACTTCCATCTCGGAACTTGTGGTACGTGCGGCCGTTCTCTTTGCGATAGTCTAAGATCGAGCTGCGCAAACTAGCCGTGGAAGACGTTCCGTCCTGTCATGAAGGTTAGTGATGCCGCGACGACCACCGCCGAAGTATACTCACCTCACCCAACGATGAATCGTTATCATTGAAGTCGTCCGGCTCAACCGCGACTCCCGCGTCCGCTTGTAAGATGGACATGCTGCGAATTACAGAGATCTCTTGGCTAGATGAGGTGGAAACAAGCTCCAGCGGAGAAGTTGTGCAACGCGACGGGCCCGGGTCCTTGGGAAAGTGATGGAACGAAGACGCGGGGTCTGCTTTACTGTTTGTTGGGACGGGCTAATTCCATCCTGTCGAGTGCTCCCCGCATCCAAATGGCGTCGACGCCATCGAGTACTTGGACTAGCCTACGGGAGCGGCATCCTCTGGTCAGCGCCCACGAGGCACGCGAAATCCTAGGGACAGTGTGCGCGGTGGAGCGCCCGCCAGTCCCGGGAGCCAGGTCAGGACTCGAGGGGACTAGGATGGTTTGCATTTTGACAGCGGGAGTCAAGGGTAGGACTCCGTCGACCGGTGGGATCGAATGGCGGTCGATGTTCCTTGTCCAATGAGGTTAACGAAAGACCGTGGACGGGCGGTCACGTTCAGCCTCCGAGTGCGTCCCTGGGTCTGAGATGCTTGGATTCTGATAGGGGAAGGATGGAGCAAGAAGGATTGGAAGCGGAATAGTTGCTGACATGCGGTCGTAGCTTCACGAATCGGCCAATCGCGCAGTGTCTGCCGACGGTGGTTTTCGACGAGCTCTGGAATGAGGGTGGGATGCTTTCCGGGCGCATGTCGAAGCTAGTAGACGCATGTCTTGAACCTTGCCAAGTCGTGCCGCAAGCCTTCCTCTAGTACCGTGTAGAGACAGATGCCTTTGACTGATGGAATGAGGGCCAATCGAACGATGTGGTGGCCATGACAGGAAAGGGTCGGAGGAAGCTCCGTAGGAACTGCTTCGACACGAGTCAGTTGAGATGGCTGGTTTGGTGGTGGCTGACGACAACCAAGTCAGTGCTGTGATTTGATATCTATTCAGTATCGCAGAATACTACGAGGCGAATATCATGTTGCGGTTGTCGTATGAAGTAAAACCATATCAGGAAGACGGGTCTCTGTCGTCGACAGCGTCGTTTACCAATACCGTTTACCAATATCCTCCCACCGCTTTCGTCAGTCGTGTAGCTCCTGGCTTCTTCTGATGTCTAATGTCGAGGAGGACTGAGGCAATTTGGCGGCAATCGATGAGAGGTCGCCTTGAAATTGAAGCCAGACACAATGTGTTGATTCATTTTTCAGCAATGAGGGTGGTTTCTTGCGGTCACTAGCTGCTCGTACGATTACCATTCTCGTCCTTCTGGATGGCCTCACTGCTAAGCTGTCGCGTCTCACCGCTCAAAGCTCCGACTGCGGAGGCCGCCCTGCTTCAAGGTACCATGCGAGGTGGGTGACTTGATCGACTCGCGGCCATGAGCTCGCAATTTGAGGAACCAGTGGGCTCAATGTTCTACAGTGATAATTCTTGTAAGCCCATCTTTTGAGACAGAAGATTGGGGATGAGATCTGAGGGGATCTCTTGACAGGTGTCGTGCTCATCGAAGTGACGTTCCCCTTGGAGTTGGCCACATTGACTTGACGGCGTCGGAATAGCGCTGCGGCGCATGACCATTTATTAAAAAGCACACTTATTTTATCGAAACGTAACGTATTGAGTCGATAAGCACTTCTGATTCAACGATCTGGAGAAGATTGAGACTTTGTGAAGTGGAAGAAGACATGCTCATTTTCCTGCCCGTTCAGGGGCTCTGCAGATGAGATAAGCAGCTACAGTGACATCCCCGGAGAAAAGACAGGGTATCCATCCCCTGCCACTGCCACCGACTGCGCCGCCCCTGTGCTTGAAGAAAGTCAATTGCCGCTCTCAGGGCATCATTTGGTCCCATCACATGAATATGGATGTTTGTTTGATTCTTCAGAAACTCTGCTGAACTTTCGAGATGGACGTTTGATCAGCCTGATGATTCGCAGTGTGCGGACAGAACCTCTGGAGAAAACACCCATGTGATGCGATCTCTCTTCCTGAACAACTCGGCGCCATCATTGAGCCGTCGGCAAGTCTGTTCCGCAGCCTACCCCGACCGATGACGCTTTCTTCATTCTCGGTGGATATTCCAAAACTCCGACAGAAACATCATGGGCAGCAAAACCAGCCTCAGTGGACTGTACAAATCGATCTCGTTGGCTCAGAGCACTTATTCGCCCCTTGACGGCAGAAGATCTCTCATACGTTCATGCTAAGAAGAGGCGCACCAGACACTAACCCGCACCATCTCCTCAAAGCAGCGCCTCCTCCCACATTTCCTTCCCCCTTGCGACCAGCGAGTTAGGCCGAACTGGAGCCAAGATGGATCTCGCGAATAGGGGCAGCTCCAGCCCAAAACAGCTTCCATCGGACACACGGCACACCGAGCTGACAGCGGCTGTGGTTTCAGGGTTTCGCAATGCTGGCCCGGGCCCAGACGAGAGACGGCAGACGAATGAAGAGCCATCGTCGGCAGGTCGCTCTGCGCATCTGCGAAGACGGGGAAACTTGGATCGTCGGAAGATCCGTAGCAGGGGAGACGCCCAATGCAGAACACCCAACCACCATCTCACTACCGTTGGACCTTTTTCTTCAACGTCGAGGGTGTCGATTTTCTTCAGCTCGTCTGGGTCAGGGGCTCCAGTGTTTGGGCCCATCTCGCCGTTCTCCGATGTTTGGTCTCATCCGAAACATTGGCCCGACAGGGACGGCCTCGTCTGTGACCTGGCCCTGGGCGATCAGCCTCAACGACCTCACTGGCTGGTCTTGCGGCTCGTTCCCTCAATTTTTCTTCTTCTCAGTCGAGTGTCGTCGACCGGATGAGATCGCCGAGTGGCGGTCCTCCAAGTGCGGTCGGGTCTTCGTACTACGATGACTACCGTCTCCAGTTACGTTCGCTCATGCTCAGCCTCAGTTCCGGAAACGCGCCCCTGTGACAGAGTTGCGTCGCATCTCCAGCTAGGCCGGTTGACATGGCGGGAGACATCAGCAAGCGCGGAGGGCTTTGACGGACTTGCATCAATGTTCGGATCGTCTTGTCGAGGATGGAGCTGTGTTATTTAAGACGACAGGCGTCCGCGGAGGTATGTATGTCGGAACTAATCTGGAGCATCGACAGCAAGCCTGCAGACATCTAGACACTATCTCCATTTTAATATCTGGTGTTTTGATAATACCTTTCTTCTTCTCATCATGGTTCGCTTCTCCGTTGCCGCAGCCCTCTGTAAGTCTACACTCAAAGACCTACTTCAGGATTGAGGAACTATCCATGCTAACAATATTCCAGTCGCTGCCACAGCACTTGCCATCCCAAGCCCCCTCACACCAGACCCTTCCGGAGCCAAGAACGTCGGCAACGGGAAGGGCGTCCAGTTCATCGGCGGCGCTTGTCTGAACAGCAAAGACTGCGCCTCGACATGCTGCGCAACACTGAACGGCGCAGGCATCTGTTCCGGGCTCGGAGCCCAGTTCCAGGCGGGCAAGACAGGGTGCGGTTTCGGCGACGGCGGTGCCGCCGCAGCAGCCCCTGCCGCCTCGCCGTCCATGGCGGCTGCAGCGGATACCGGGAACAACAATGCCGGCGGGGCAGCAACAGGCGCGGCGGGCTCTCAGAACGTCGGCAAGGGTAACGGGCAGCAGTTCATCACCGGGCAGTGCCTGACGGACGCGGACTGCGCGTCGGGGTGCTGCGCGGGGCTGAACGGCAAAGGAGCCTGTTCCGCCCGGGCAGTCGCAAACGAGAATGGCAAGACCGGTTGCGGGTTCGGCGGCGCCGGAGGTGCGGCCGGAGCGGGCACGGATGCCGAGGCCGCCGCGCCGTCTACGCCAGCCCAAGCTGCCCCGGCTGCACCGGCCGCCCCGGCTACTGGCAACGCGGGCTCTGGGGCCGCGGCAGGCGACGCTCAGGGAGCGCCCGGATCTCAGAACGTTGGAAAGGGCAACGGGCAGCAGTTCATCACGGGCCAGTGCACTTCAGATGCGGATTGTGCCTCTGGATGCTGCGCCGGTCCGAAGGGGGTTTGCTCTGCGAGGGCGGTTGCGACAGAGCAAGGGAAGACAGGATGCGGCTTCACCGCGGCGTAATGGCCCACTTTCGTACAAAACGGAAGAACCATAAAATGACTGGAATTCGCGGCGTTATGGACGGGGCGCAAGGTTTGGTTGAAAATTGTTGTCAGGCACACCAGGATACCAGTAGCAAATGGACAAAGGTTGAATCATCCCGCAAGGCAGACTGATGCTCGTACTTGACCACCATGACGATCATCCAGCCCTTAATAGGCAGTCGGTTGTGCGGAATTAGGCCCGTCGCAGTCAATACTTCGTCTTGCCGCCTGGATTGAGACAGCTGAACGGCGCTTGTGCATTAGGCGGACAGGGGTCTAAGAAGCTGAAAAATCAGCTGTTCAGTCCATGAAAAGGTTGTGTCTCCCGGTTTCTTGTTCTTATGAGCTCTGATTTTACTGCCGAAGACTCATATCAAGCACTTCTTGTGAACTCGAACAGACGTGTTTAGCAATGGATCCATACCGGTACAAAGCCCTTCACCCGGGCGAGATCCGGTTGCTTCGGCTCCACCCGGCGCCGGACCCGGACCAGGACCTGACCGGCTCAATCGTTCACCACAAGCTGTCGAACCCAACATACTGCGAGCACCCCGACGGGCCGTATCTCCAACACGATCTGGCATATGAGGCAGTCTCATATCACTGGGGCAGCAATACCAAGACGCCCTTCAAACTGCTTGTCCGAGACGAAGGCGCCGATGTCGATAGCCCGGCGACCATCGTCCCGCTCACGGCCGCGCTGCACACTCTCCTCCGCCAACTGGCTTATTCGGACAACGACCGAGTAGTCTGGGTAGATGCCATCTGCATCAACCAGGTCCTAAGCACCACCAACGTCGAAAAGGGCGAGCAAATCCGTCTCATGCCAGACATCTACCGCATCGCATCTCGCGTGCTCGTGTACCTCGGCCCAGCCGCCGACAACAGCGACCTCGCCATCGACTTCCTCCAAGAGATATCAAAATACTACAAATACCTCGACGAGCTCCTCCCCAGCGCCAGCTTCGAGGCAGCGCTGGCCGCCGGCTTCGTCATGCCGCCCAAGAACGCGCCCGAGTGGGCGGCCCTGCGCGCCTTCTGGCGCAGGGCCTGGTTCCGTCGCGTCTGGGTGATCCAGGAGTTCGTCAACGCCACCGAGATCGTCGTGCTGTGCGGGCCCCGCGAGGTCGACTGGCGGAAGCTCTTCCTCGCGGCCAGCGCCTACGTCGACAACATCCGCCTCGCGCACAACGGGTACCAGTCCAACTGGCTCGTCCCGCTGCGGCAGCTGCCGTGGTACCAGAACTGGAGGCTCGGTCAGTGGCGGGAGGCGCACGAAGGCGCGCGGTCGATGTTTACGATTGCGGACTTCCGTCTGAGGCGGGACGGGTACATGTCGCCGGCGTACATGTACATCAACATGACGGAGCGCGACGAGAATGACCGGTGGGAGCAGCCGATTCCGTTCAAGAAGGGTTTCGAAGCCATTTGCTACTTCCAGAGGCTCGTGAGGCCGAGAATGTTGCAGGATAGGGCGGACGGGATCGCGTTTCCGCACGGCAAGAAGGGGATGTTGGAACTACTTCTCACGACGGAGAACTTCTTGGCGACGCACCCCGTTGATCGCATTTACGCACTGCTGGGGATGGCTGGGGATGTGGACGGTGATGATTTTGCGCCGATCTACTCCAAAGAGCAGACGGTGGCGACGGTGAGCAAGAGATTCGCTTTGGGGTTGCTGAAAAGGGGTCAGGGGGCGCAGGTCCTCTCACGCTCGGGGCTGCGGCCGAAGACGACTGCCGGAAACGATGAGAGTCAGGATGAAAGACCGTCGTGGGTGCCGAATTGGACGGATGTCGTATATGCTCAGGACAAGTGGTCGGGATTCACCATGCTCGTTGGCGATCGGTCAGAGGATGGAGCCGGATCAGGTGCCGATGCTACGGCAACAGCAGCATCACCGACGGCCGAGACAGCTTCATCGCCGACAAACGGCGAAGGCGCTCCAAAGAAGGACGACAAGTTCCGAATGTACACCGCCTCTGGCGATACGGATTTCTCTTACCGCCTCGACGAGCGCCAGAACGTGCTCTACGTCAAGGGCATCGCCGTCGACGTGGTGGCCGCAATCATACCCGGCAAGCTCCTAATGGGCACATTCATGCAAGACTTCTTGATAAAGTCTACGTTCAAGCACACGGGGAAAGGCTACCCGACCGGCGAACCGATCGACGAGGTCATCTGGCGCACCCACATCGCCAACCGCACGCTCATGGGCGAGATGCCAGATGAAAAGCATCGCGACCTCTACGAGATCGTGAAAGCTCGAGACTATCAGATGTTCCAATTCGCAACGTTTATTGCCGTCGCGGCCTGCATCATCGCGACGCCTCTGGTTCTGGTCATCGTACGACGGGTACCGTTTTACTTCGAATCTGCCATTCTGGGAGCATTGTGGCATAAAGAATACTTGCCGCTGCGCGCCGCTGGTGTGCTCCTGTTCCTCGCTCCTCTGCTGAAGAATCTACACTGGGTGTATGCCATACCTCTCCTGCTATACATGGCATATCTCGGGGCCACTCAGGTCTGGGCTACTGGCGTTTTGCTGCTCGTGTCAAAGCTGGGCGTTGTCTCCTCCGCGGTCCCGGGGCTACTTCCGCCGGAATGCATGTTGTATACGGACGCGATGGCCAGGTTCATGAACAAGTGCAACCTTGCGGTGACCAATGCTGGACTGGTTGGGCTGCTCCCGCTGGCGACGCAAGTGGGTGACGCAATTGCCATCGTACATGGATGTGATGCGCCCTTCGTGTTGAGAATTGGTGAGAATGGATTGTGGAGGGTCGTCGGCGAGTGCTACGTCCACGGCATCATGGACGGTGCATTGGCAGACTCGGCTGCTGAGGAAGTCGGGTTGTATTGATTTCCCAAACATGCGATGGTTATTTGTAGTGAAAGTGAATTAAATACTAAGTTACCTAAATTACAAGTATGTAATATGACCTGCTCTATTTTCCTTTCTAATCGTTCCTGAAGCTCTTCTCACTTATCCACCTAGTAAACCTGACGGCAGGAACATCGACCAGCCTGTTAAACACATCGCTAACCCATAGCAACACAAATGTGTTTACCAACATACCCCATATGAAGGAAGTCCCGTAGATTGATATAGCCTTATGCAGCCCCTCGAGAGCTACCTCTGACGAGATCCCGGCTGGAGGTTGTCTGAAGACGGCCTCTGCCTGCGCCAGAGCAACCTGTGCCGGGTTGATCCACCTGACACCAACGGCGTGGTTGACCATTCCATGCCAAAGATAAAGCGAATAAGAGAGCTGTCCCAGGTACTGGGATACGCTGGTGGTGAAAAGGCGTTGGAGGAATGGCTCCCTATTCTCAAGATTCAAGCTCACGGCGGGCTGGCTGGCGGAACCCTCACCGTTGTCCGAATCTCGAGGGGCGTTAGCAGACGACAGTGCCTCGTCCATCTCCATTTTTTCTTGTTCGTTGAGGGCTGGGTTGGTCCGGTACCACGGCATCCGAATGTCGCAGCGCACCAGAGACCTGAAAATCCGGCCAGCATTGACCGGCGGGAAGTACATCAGCGCGATGATGAATAGAATGGCACCGATGGCGTTCCAGTAGAGTTGGATGCGGTCGTCGTTGCCTCGGTCAAGGTAGTATGGTGAGACGAGCGTCGGGTTATTCATCCACTTGAATCCCGGGGTGATGGCCCCCTTGATCTCCGGAAAGCACATCATGTGGATGCCGAGAAGAAAGAATGAAAATGTCCAGACATAACGGAATGCCGCCATGCATCGTCGGAAGATGTTCCGAGCGACTGGCGTGATGGAAGTCGGTAGCTCGTCGTGCTGTTTAGCCGCCGGCACGATAATGGAGAGCTCTGCCAGCAGCAGCCCGACCGGAAAGAGTGCCTTGTCCCATTCTCCGTTGTGAACGAGCCAGTAGACCACTAGCATCGTGGCTGCAATGTGAATCCACCGTCTTGCCCGGGCGAATATAAGGAGCAGCATGAACACGAGCAGCGACCCTTGGAACTCGACGGGAATTGTCCAGAGATGGCCGTCGTATATCATACCGGCGATGTTCTCTCGGCCCTTGATGCTCTTGAACGGATAAATCAAGGCGACGAGGTCCCAGAACCAGTGCTGCAATTGCTCGCCGAGAGTCGCTTTGACGGGAGGAACCAGAGCTCGTGTGGGGTCTTTGATGTAATAGCCGAAGTGCACCATGACTGCAATAATGAATGTGCTGGCGACGATTGGCAGGTAGAGGCGGAGAGGCCGGCGGAAAGATGAGCCAACGAGTGTGTTGAGGAACTGATCGTTCTTGCGCTGGTAGATCATCGTCAGGGACCTGATCGTGAGAACATAGCCGGAGATGACGAAAAAGACCGCGACGCTCGAACGGCCGGAGTGAAGGATCCTGATCATGCTCATTTGCGAGAACCAGTTATAGGCAGGAGTCACCATGTAGCCCATCCTCAGGCTTGGGTACCAAAGGTACGTGATGTGGAAGATGTAGACCGTGAAGGCGGCGACTCCTCGCAGACCATCGAGATATGCTGTGGGACTGAGGCGTTTTGGCGTGGTCCGGCTCGATTTGCATGTGTAGTATTGGATCGGACTGAGAATGAAACCGGGGAGTATCGTAAACAGGACTGGTCGCGCATAGGCGAAGATTCGGGAAGCCTTGTCTCGCCAAATTTGTTCTTGTTCCTCGTCGACGTAGTCGCCGATCACGGAAATGACGGAGTTCCTCGCGGACCTGAACGACATGAGAAGAGGTGAGGTAACATGCTCCGGGTTTTGGTCGGCGCCATCGTTGAGCGGTATTTGCGAGTCTGCAGAAGAGCCCAATCCTTCGCCGAAAGGGTCGGTGAACGTCATGACGAGGGTATTGACGATCGACGTTCTTGCTGCTCGAGAGCTTGGCGCTGGTCGCGTAGAAACCAGAGTTCTGCGCGGTAGACGCCCAGTGAAGGGTTATGAACGAAAAACGAAAGTCTTCTGAGCCTCTCGTGAGACCAGGAAATGGCGTCCGCTATTGTCGATTGTCTAAGGAGAAAGGCGGCGAGGAGAGGGCCTGTCCACCAGGATGTAAATCTTCTTATTAGTCTTGCAACGACCTGGCTTGATATGACTGGACCCTAATCGCCTGAAGCAATGACTGCAGATCAACGGAAGCGGGTAGGGCTTGTAATGGCTGCTTTAGACTCACGCGAATCGATGAGCACATCTCAAATCGGGACGGTTACCATATTGATGAGGCTGTAGCTCCTACAGGTAACGGCCGCTTCAGTCCACCCGGAATTGGACTACAGACGGATGGCAAGCCTAGCCTTCGGCGAGAGCGACTTTATGAGAAAGTCTGTATGCATTCTTGCTAAGATGTTCCCTACTTTGCCTCCGAAGCCCGGGCTTCGTCTCATTAAAATCCGAGGCAAGGGAGGCGTTCAGCTACCTGGACGTCAGCCTTGAAATTCCTGGGATGCGCTGAAAATGGCAGAGAGGCTTCAAGGAAGCACGCAAGGGGGGGTACCAAAACAAGCTGCCGTTTTCGGCAGGTTTGTGTAGTGAGAGAAGCGAGCGTAAAGGGGCAGCTTAACTTGTGACCCCAAAGGCATGCAATGTAGGAAGGAATCTAGTGTCTGCTTAAAGTGATGTACTACTCAATTACGCAGATATCACGAATTGTCCAGAGCAGACGTATTTTGGAATAGCGAATTCATCATTGAGCGATTGAGATTCGCTGCAGTGGACGTGATGACATATGAACGTCCGCCCAATCGTCATGAACGGCATGATCAAGCAGGGTATCTAAGAATCAGGCGTAGATCGTGGCTACGACCAACTAGGGCCTGGACGTCAGTATTAGAACGGGATTTAATCCAAGTACTTTCAAGTCCTGCCGGCCGGATCTGGATTTTAAACCAACTGGCCAAGTTTTCGAATCCACGATGCTCATTCATCGCATCACGAGACTTCCGTTTTCAGAAACTTCACCCGGTTTGCGCAGGCGACTTTACGAGCGCACCACTATTTGACACGAACCTTGCATGAGACGTATATTACTGCCCAAAAGAGGTGGTGCAAAAGGAGCATAAATCATTTTGTTAATAGTATCATGTGAATCAATGTGCAGATATCCTCAAGCTAAACCTTCCTGGGCCATCGATTCCATGATTTGACGCAACAACATGTTTCTGTACGGCATCATCATATCTTCATTCTTTCTATTGGAACGTTGGATGAGACGAGTAATGCTTCCACATTGTTAAGCAGATAGCATCATTCTTGTCAGTTCGCCGTTTCTCGGCAAAAATCGTACATGTCTTGCCTTAGGGGCAGCTTGGTGGTTCCCAGGGACGGCGAGACCAGCAACCGGATCCACCTCAGTATCTGAAGCACCTTCGATAGGAAGGATTTTAAAGTGAGCGATCAAGTGTAGAAGTACCGTATAAAGCGCTTTGGAAGCCACATGGCTGGCCACACACATGCGTCCGCCAATACCAAAGGCATATTGATGGCGGTTCGCTGTCTGGTCGCCGTCAAGCCATCGCTCGGGAGTGAAGGTGTTGGGGTCGGAGAAAACGGCCGGATCTGTGACTCAGGTTAGAGCCGGCCTCCTCGGAGATGGTTTAGTTGAGGCAATTTGTGTACAACGTACCTCGGGAGCAAGCCCAGGAGTTTAAGAAGAGCAATGTTTTTGGCGGGATCGTCGCCTTTCCCCAGTTTACGTACGAATGCGTTGCTTTGGGCAGCGCCAATCTCAAGACGACGAAGTACCTCCCGATTTCTTTCGTCAGCGCCTCGAGATACTCGATCTTTGTATGAGCTACGTCCGGAGCTTCTAACAACCGTCCTCCGTCACTTTCACTTATGGCTCGGTAGGCTTTCTCCTGGACGTCTTGCCGATGAGCGAGGAGTAGCATCGCCCACATGATGGAGCGCTTCGTGGTATCGGCACCAGCCATCATGCTGAGACTCACACTCAGAAGCTCGCCCTCACTGAGTCCCTTGCTCTCTGGGTCTTTCAGCACATTACCCTGGATGCAGGGTCTATCGTTGCCGGCAGCGATCTGTTTTCGAAGATTACTTTGCAGTGCTGCGTGATACGCATGACGTCTCTTTCCAATGTCCGCCATCGATGTTCCAGATTGAAGCCCCAGGGCATCCGCAAGGTTGTGCAGTGGGCGCAAGATCGGGATGTAATTGGAGTAGTTGGAAGAAACGTCGCGGAAGGCAGCGATCTGCTCTTCGATGTAGATGATCTCCGACAGAAGCAGGTCGTCGTGAAGGTCTTTGACGTCTTCAACTCTGAACGGCGCTTTCGGTCAATATGCCGTTTGCAAAGACTCAAGTGACATCTTTGGTACGTTACCTCGTGCCGTAGCTCAAAGTGAGACTAAGGTTGAGAGCGAACTTCCGGGCCGGATCCAAGACGTTTACGGGAGCCTTGCCCCGGCGACAGGTCGATAGAATGTCCGAAATAAAGGCCCTGGACTCGAGGTTCAAAATCTGGATGACATTAGTCTAGTCTTCTTCCGGGCAATGGTAGTGAATTTCAAGACAGGGGCTTTTTCATGTTGCCTCAGTGTCTCTGCTCGACCGGTCACATTCCATGGAGATTTCGGAGTTATTCCGAATCCAGCTGGGGTGATCTTAGGCATGCTGTTGGGCTGACAGTGGCCGGGCATTCTTCTCCTCGACATACCGGTAGATAACTCTCCACGCTCACTTTATTGAGAGCCGTGGCAGCCACTTTTCTTCGTCTTTTGCAACTTTCGTCCCACGGACTTGTTCCAATACTGGTAACCGGGCCACCACGTTGCACCTTCTTATGGAGTACATAGAAGATAGGTCGACCGTTGGTCGCTTCACGCTGTGTGATGAACAGAGCCCGAGCCGCCGCCGCGCTGTTCACCACAACAGCCGTCGTATTCCCTAGCTGCAGCTGGAAGACATCACCATACTTCGTCGCCCATTTTCGATACTCCTCCGAGTTCACCTTGCCATTGATTGATGGTAGACTCCCGACCAGAGGAAGTCCAAGTGGACCGGGGAGCTTGGGAACCCGAAGCCGGAAACGGATGGCCTCGTTGAAGATGACGTATACCAGGAAGAACGCAGACGGGACAAGAATAAATGCCTTGATAAACCCCAAGACGATCCAGCTATACTCAGCGGTAAAACCAAGAAGTGGCAATTTAGTTGCGGTCATTTTGCCAAGACATTTGTCTAATGGGACGGAAGTGAGGCTGTTGACGGGATAAGGTTCTTGAGCTTCAGCTGAAACGGAATTTGCAGTTGGCATTCGTTCACAATATGAACTTGAGCAACGTAACCACCAATCCCACCGTTGCACTTTATTGGGGGTTTGAAATCGGCCAGTAATTAGTGCGTACGAATCTTGCCAATATTTCTAAGCAGCCGGGAGGAGTGAACTCAGAGCCGCGGAGCTAGGAGGTTTAACTCGAAGCGTCTAATGTAGGCAATTCCAATGATCAAATTTGTTAGAGCTGTACATTCGACATCCGAAAAAGAAGATATATCCAATCAGAAATTCCCAATTACATGACCTTTTTAGAGATGCACCAATACCACAGCGGCGGTTATTCATCTCTTCATGCCTTGCAGATACTCATGCGCAAACCCTGTCTTTGTCGGGCATGGTCCGATCAGTCGCATAGCTACACATAGAACGGGAATTTTGACGCAAACAGCGGCCTATTAACTAGAGCGGAGACGAATTGTTGCTTCCAAGCCCCCGGTGTTATAACCAGCGGATGGTATCATCATGTGGGCCGCTGACGCCTTTGTGTTGCCCTCTAGTTTCCAGGTCGGACGGCAAGAATGGTCTGAGGAGTCGGTCTGGAATCTGTTGTCAACTAGCTTTCAATGCTACTATAATGAAAAGATGCTGTCTGAAGTCCCAACCAGTCACTATGGGACGGGTGTGGTCATGTAGAAGGCGACATTATCACAGTAAAGCTATGTAAGTTGTTTATTTCATACAGTATTCTGTATGGTAAGAACTTTTTGACATGGAAAGCCCAGCTATGGATTCATATATAACGCTTTCCAGCGCCAATTTAGATATACCGATCTCATAGATGCTTTTCCTCCTTCGTAATTGGCCGTTTGTCACCCACTCCGAACTGATGAGGCTGCCCCCATCCTTCTCTAACCGCTCGCTCACGAGTCTCGCGATACATGAACGGTGAACTCTTGTAGGCGATGTGCCATTTACGGCCTTCCCACTCCTCCTCGACAGCCTTGCGGCCTTCGGATCTTATTTCCTCTCCTCTGCGCTCAATATCCGCCCACACCCGCAGGAGATTCTCACCCGCCAGGAGTTTCATCTGCTCGTCAGTAGCCCCACGAGCCATCAGGAGTTGAAATAGGTCCGGCAATTTGGATACATCCTACAGATGTCAGATGATGTCGCGCCTTCGAGTTCGTATTATGCATAACATACCTCGAGACCGGCGGGCGTAAAAGGTGTGCCGCTGAAGTCGGACCCGATGCCTACATGTTCCCAGCCTGCCACATCCGCCAAATGCCAAATGTGATCCACAACATCGTGAATAGTTACCGAACTGGGGTCTTTCATATTCAAGAATCTGTTAACAAACACCGCCATGACAATGCCCCCGTTCCGACGAACGCTTCGTAGGACATCATCAGGCACATTCCGCAGATGGGGAGTCACGGAATACGCTCCTGAGTGAGAGAAGATCACCGGAGCTTGTGCAAGTGAGAGAACATCCCTCATCGTTTGATGAGAAACGTGGGACAGATCGAGCATCATGCCCAGCCGGTTCATCTCACGCACGTAGGCGGCGCCGAATGCTGTGAGACCATGGTCTTCCCCTCCCGCGGCCACCGTTGACGCAGACGTCGCCCACGCATTGTCGCAGTTATGGGTTGTCGTAATGTAGCGCGCTCCCAACTCATAGGCCTGACGTATCGACGCGATGGAACCGCCGAGTTGATGCCCTCCCTCGATACCCAACATGCTGGCAATTCGCCCCGAAGCAAAGGCAGCGCGAGCACAAGCCGGTGTTGTGCAGTACGTGAAGACGTCGGGGTACTCAGCAATGAAGCGCTTCGCGACGTCTATTTGTTCCAGAGTGTCGCGAAGTACCCACTGGAAGACTTTGTCAGTTACTGATACCCAGATATAAGAAGAGTATAGCCTACTGAAGGATCTTCGAAGTGCTTCTGGGCAGCATCGCAGTGGACGTAGACGCTCCAGAATTGACCCCCCATTTTCCCCTGCCTCATACGGCCAATATCCGTGTGGCCAAGTAGACGTTGATTGGGGTCAAATTTGCCGTCGTAAATGCGGTTTTGCAGCTCCACGCGTAACAACCATGGTAAGTCATTGTGGCCGTCGATCAGAGGCGTCGATTTCAGAACTCGTTCTGTCCTGAGAGCATAGTTCGTTGGGTCAATAGTTTCCTCTGCTGGCAGGAGCCAGATCCCAAGCTTGCTGAACGGACTGATGAAGATGGCAATGCCTGCAGCAATGAAGGCCGACCGCCAGCCCCAAAACCTGCCGTTTCCACCTTGTGATGGATGAACAACCACAGCTCTGGAATCTGCCTCTTGTATAGCTGCGGATGAGGAAGCGGACTGTCCATCATCAGGTTCCTGTACTGGAGATGGGATTCTAGCTTGTGATGATTCTGCCATTTTGGTGCCCGGGGGTTCGAATTGAGAAGATGAGGTTTGGTGAACGTGACCTGAGAAAGACATTCTTAGCTTAGCATGTCCTTGAGTTAGTGTCTTTGAGTTCTTAGTTGCGAGACCGGACCTTCAATATCGCCATCGTTGATCTTATCGTCGGACAAGCTCCGCTCGGAATATGGGACTTGCGCCTCGAGACATATCTTCTGCAAATGCTTGTGAACTAGTGTGACCCTAGTTGAATCCTTCCATGCAACCTTTTCATGCGTCGTGACAAACCCCCGGAATCACGACATCTGTGAGAACCGCCTGTTGGATCGGCATCCACCTCAGACAGAGGAGCGGAGGCCGTATCTGCTCAAGCGGGGTAGCAAATTGTCGCCGGCATCCCGGGCATGCACCGGACCTCTTCTCCGCATGAACCCGTGCCTCGTAGTCCAGGCACGGGTTTCGTGGCCAGTCGTTCAAGATAGACCCCGCTTCTCGGCGCCGGGGGTTGAACGGGGTTAATAACGTCAAACGGCGCCAAGGTCCCGACTTGATAACTCCTCTCGGCATCATTGGCGGGGTTAACTGAAGCATGCTTCGTTGTCGGCCATGTAGCTGATTAACAGACATGAAAGCCCCAGACTCTGGGTGTGGGCTTCAACTTGCCGGTATGGCGTTATCTTCCCCTCGTATTCTGCAATGCCTGGAGGATGAGATATTTAAAACCCATGCCTCACCCGTCAGGCACGGGTTCTCGATGGAATACCAAGACGAGAGGCGGACATGAGTATGGTGGCGGTAACGGGGCCTGGCAATGTTGGTTAATAACTACTTGTACACCGATTTCCCATGTATGTGTGTTAACGTTCATATTCGGGAAGAGATTGCTTCGTCATTGAATCTCATCGCACTTTTGTCGTCTCAACTAATTATTCAGTGATAACGTTGCTCATCATGACCGACAGTGAACGAGATGAGAAGCAAAATTCTTCTGTTGCGGTCGCTTCAGAAGCTGTCAGCGATGCCGCGGCAGAAAAGCGTCTCGTGAGAAAAACGGATCTGCTCATGATGCCCGGTCTTGGTAAGTCGACACCACAACTATCATGGCGAACTGTGGTTGAAGTTGTGCTAATCAAACACGAAGCACTTGCCTACTTCACGCATACACTGGATCGGGCGAACCTCGGAAACGCAAAAACAGATGGCATCGAGAAGGACCTCAATCTTCAGGGAAACCAGTTCTCACTTCTCCTGGTTCTGTTCTACGTCCCCTACGCCCTCTTCAATATTCCGTGGACAATCCTCGCCAAGAAGTACAACTCTTCGCTCATCATCCCCATCGCCATTGCGGTATGGGGAGCTTGTACGCTTGGCGCTGCTGGCGCTACGAACTTTGCCGGTATCATGGCGACTCGCATCATCATGGGGGCAGTGGAAGCTGCGTACAAGCCGTGTGAAGTGTACTACCTGTCGCTCTTCTATACTCGCAAAGAGATGGGATTTCGAGTGTGCTGGATAGGTCAAATGGGATTCATTGCTGTGAGACCTCTTTTCATCAGGACCCGTTCATCGTACACAATTCTCTGTCGGGCATCCGCTAACATGAAGCGACTGTGAAGGGGGCCGTGAGTGGTTTGATCTCGTGGAGTGTCTTCAGATGGAACGGGGAGTTGCATGTGAGTTTACCTGTAACGTTCGTATGAAATTCACTCAATTTGCTAACAATTACAGGGATGGCAATATCTTTTCATTATTGAAGGTGCTATCACAATTGGTGTTGCGATCTTCCTGTACCTGTTCGCTCCTCGAAGCCCAGACAAATGCCGATGGTACACCGATGATGAACGCCGCATCGCCAGAGTGCGTCTCGAACAAGATTCGCAAGATCAGGACAAGAGATTCCGATGGGAAGATGCGAAGAAGCAACTCCAACACTGGCCCACCTGGGCGTTCGCCTTCCTCGCCTTGATGTACGGTGTTGGTGTTGCTAGTAGTTCGAACTTCCTACCTGTGAGCGATTTCCATTGAATCTCCTACCCTCCCCAATCGCCTTACTTACTCACAAGTTAGACTCTCATCAACCGCCTCACCAAGGATTCGACGAAAGCGAATCTCTACACAGTCGGCCCAAACCTAACCGCCTCGGTTTGCCAGCTCGCCATCACGTGGCTATCAGACCGATACCAGCAACGTGCCTCATTTTCGTGCGGCACACTCGTCATTTCACTTTTGGCGTGGATCCTCCTCGGAACCTTGGATCTCGTCAACCACCAAAAGATCGGCTACTTCATCACCTATCTCATCACTTTCGCGACCTTTGTCCCTTCCAACCTGATCCCGGTTTGGGTTGCGTCGAATACTCCGACCACAACGGGGCGTGCCATTGCCCTCGGCGTCAACTACATGGCCATGAACCTGGCTGGCGTGATATCGTCCATGGTCTTTCGGCGGGAGGATGCTCCGGTGTACAGACCAGCTTTGATCACTGTCGGTGTTACTCAGGGCGTCTTCATCATTGCTTGTCTGGCTTTGAGACAGTACTATGTGAGGTTGAACAAGAAATTGGATTCCGGTGAACTGCCATATGCTCCGGGTATGGAAGCGCGGCCCGGGTATCGATATGCAATCTAGAAAGGGGCATTGCACATCAATGAGATCATGTCTTTTCATGCGGTCTCTTTTATATCCGGAGCATTGTCCTGGTCTGAACCTGAGGTGACAAGACCTGAAATCAAACATACCGGGAAACTCGGAATACCGCAACGATTCTGATAGTTTTATCTTCATAAAGCTGCTGTCATCCGTCATCTGTAATTCACCCGCAGCACTGAACGCCATGTGGATCAGCGAGTCAAGTTTTGCTGACAGTTCCTCCAAGTCGAAGAAGGCTCTGTACTGGAGTTCATCACATGTAGGAAGTGAGAATGGTATGTCACACATATCATTGTATTCCACAATCTTGCCAAGTGGTATCTCAAAATAACAAACATGATCCCGATCACCAGCCATTATATATCCAACTTCGTCTCCTAATGCGAACAAAACTTGTGATGGATCATAACCCAACCGTGTGACAGTGAGGTTTGAGCCATTCCATTAGCAGTGAATCTTTCCCAGAACACGCAACATGTTCTGATGATTCTTCGACCTCCACTTAAGCAGAGTCTGAGACGGGCTGCCTCTTTCTGACCCCGCTGCTGGCCGTTGCAATAATCGCCGGCGGCTTCGGGAGGTGTCTCTGGAAGAGGAGGTTGCGCTTGATCCAGTACGGAGTGGTGACCTTCAACTCGTGAGAGATGAAATCCTTTGTCGGAACAGAGAAGACCTCTGTGAAAACGTTAGCAGAAACTCAAAACGAATGGAAGAGGTTGACTTACGGTCCAGTTCCTCCAACGTAAGTTGCTTGGTCTCGCGGACGAAGCAGAAGATCATGAACCTGACCAGTCAGCAACGGGCAATGAATCAAGTCGTCGTGAACTTACCAAGCTATCAAATTGAGACCAGCGTAGAAGCCGACTGCAATGTTTATTAGCGATCCGGTTGATAGATAGAGAAGAGTGTGCTACTTACACGCTCCAGTGGGGGTCATGACGCTGCTCATACGAGGGAAGGTCAAACTCAGAATACCAGCTAGGGCTTGTCAATAACGCTTCAATAGCATGTTCGCACATGACGACTCACCAAAGGTGTTGTTGATGCAGACAACCCAGGCCATGCCCTGCTCACGCTGAATGGTGGGGAAAACCTCAGCAGAGTATTGGAATGCGACGGGGCCTTCACCCAGAGAGTAGCAGATGGTGAAGAGATACACGAAGCTGGGAGATGGTCAGTGGGAAGCACCCTATGAGAGTATGAGACTGTAACTCACAGGACCACAGGACCGATGTGTGCGGCACGGCTACGGTCATCGTTCTGGTTGAGCATAGAGAGACCTGCCGCCAACAGGAAAACACACATGAAGGGGAATGTCTAGATGTAACGGTCAGCTACCAGAGAGTCCGAGATTGCTTGTGGGGTAGCTCACAATCATGCAGAGCTTCCTTCGGCCCTTCGTGTCAATGAGGAACAACGTGGGGATGGTGGCAATGACTTGGATGGCACCGTATCCCAAAGAGGCGTACAGCGCTTCGACGGCGGTGTAGCCAGCGTCCACAAAGATGGTGGAGCTGTAGAAGGAGATAATGTTGATACCACACCTGCTTATGTCAGTTGATGAAGTCCAGGAAGGTCCAAGATGTCTTAAAATTCTTACATTTGCTGCGCAAGCATCACGGTGCTGGCGCCGTAGTTGGCACGCCTGATGCGAGGAATGGAGAAGCAGTCCCACATGCGGCGGAAGTACCCAGCGCCGCGGGCCTCCTTGAGTTCCTGCTGGTAGATGACATACGAGTAGTAGAAGTCTCTCGCGCCGATGATGGGGTGGGCGCGCAGGCGGCACATGGACCGGAACGCCTTGGGGTGGTTACCGTGCTTCATGAGCCAACGCGGGGACTCGGGGCAGAAGAAGATACCGGCGCCGAGGACGAAGGACGGGATGAAGGCCGAACCGAGCTGGAGACGCCAGGAGATGTCGCCGGTGTCCTTGACGATGACGTTGGCGCAGAAGCCCAGGAAGATGCCCGCCACGACCCAGAGTTGCCAGAACATGACGAGGGCGCCGCGGACTCGGTGGGGGGCCATCTCGGCGGAGAAGATGGGGACGGTCGCGTTCTTTGCGCCGATGCCGATTCCCATCACGAAACGCGCGATGAAGAGGCCTTCCCATGTCTTGGCGAAGCCCGAGCCGATCGGGGTGGCGGTCAGGCAGAGAGCCGTGATGAAGATCTCGCCTCGTCGACCGAAGTAGTGGTTCAGGGGATCAACGATGAATGCACCACTGAGAAGTAATTAGTTACTACGGGCGCAGACAATAACGAGGGAGCTGATGAAACTCACATCAAGCCAGCTGTGAGGAAAATAATGGAGTTGATCAATCCGATGATCCAATCGTCTCTCTCGGATCCGCTGTCAATACCAAGAGCCTCGTGGAAAGTCAGGTTGGCTCCGTTGGAACCCGTCTGATCCCATCCTTGAGTGGCAGCTCCGACGGCGCAAAGCGCAATCGAGTACCAGAGCATCTTGGGACCATGCCATTTGTGGTCTCTCTCGTATTCGAGCGCCGCGCGCTCGTCGTCCAGAAGTTCGGTGATGCCGTCAAAGTTCTCCATGTCGCGGGCGACGAGAGCGGCTCGCCCGAACAAAGCGGCCTGTTCGGCCAAGCCGTTGGTCTCGGCGAACTCAACGGCATCGGCGACGGTCTCTTGTGGAGTTTTGCGCTGGGCGGAGAAAGGTGGACCGGAGTCAGCAGAGTACGCGGGTGAAGAGACCAAGCATTGTCTTGTTGGTTCATTCGGGTCGGCAATCTCAGTTGCTTACCTGCAAAGGATTCTGGACGATGTTCAAAGCCACCGATTCGCGACGATCGGTCGCCTCGGCGAGCTCCGCCTGGGGCTTCAGATCCCCAGTCTCCTTCTCGTACCCGTCATCGTACGGGCGAGGGACCTCGTCGATGTCGTTACCCATGGTTGCTGGGCGCGTTCGAACAGCTTGGCAAGATCCAGTTAATTTGGTGGTTCACAGCAAACGAGGCGACGTGTGCGGCGTGTGCCAATCGATCAGCGTAGAGCCAAGAGGTGAGCCAAGGGAGCCAAGTTGGCCAAGTTATGGAGATGGCAGCGGCGCAGTCTTAAATACATTCCCAGAGTCCGGACAAGTTTCCATCGAGGTCCATTATTCATGCTTTTCCAACTTGTGAAAGACAATTGGAAACCCCAGACTCTCCCCCGCTCCGGGGTAAGCATGGGCATCCATCCATCCAAACATCAAGATGAGGAGAAGATCAACCTCGTCTCATTGTCCCCCTCGTCTGATTTCCTGGGCGCGGTGGGGGGAATCGGGTGACCTTCGGCCCCATCTCGTCAGCAAAGGCGACCCTCCAGAGCCTCCAGAGGTAGTTGGAAGCGCGCGTTCGCATGAGTTTGGATGTTTTCATTGGAGACACTCGAGATGAAATTGTGGAACACCCAAGGCCCTCTATCCGTAGTGTCGCTGACCATGGCTTGGCCTTGCATTTAATGTGTGTGAGATACGGATCCCGTCGCCGCCGCCCTGTCGAGTTCGAGTCCCCCGGTCCGTTGTCTGATTGGATGCCCGGCCGTCATCGGCTATATCGACGGCAAACCTCGAATACCTTCGGAGTAACTCCGTCGCGCCATAGGCTTACAAGTTCACAATGGTGGGCCTGTTGTGCGACGGTGGTCATCTCACTAGCCCCAGCGTCGCAATGAGTGACACCTCCGGATGGTGACGTATCTTGGACTGGCACAACAGGCGGCACAATTTGATGATTTTGATCATCTCTCAGACCTTCTTCCTCCGGAGTGTCCGCTCGCCTGCATGTTTGCGCGGGATTTTCGAACGCAGGGAGACGTCACTCTCGTCTCCAAAACTTGAGACCACCCCTGTCCCTGAACCCGTTCATTGGGCCGCTTTACGAGTCGCGTCGAGGTCCTGGGAGACGGTGTTTCAATCTCTGTATCGAGGTAGCACTGGCAGTTGGACACACGAGCACCAACAACTGCCAGGCTCATCGCGCCCTCAAACCATTGACCTATCGAAATGGCCCGAGGACCCCGACGAGAGCTTCCCCCGACGCAGAGACGCAGAGGCAATCACAGATGGGCGCGCGGCCACGTTTGATGGTTCCATGGCTTGATAATTAATGGCAATCAATATCCGGATTAAGCTTAAACATGCCATTGGAGATTCGGGGGGCTCTGCGATGCGGTCCAGACTGAGGGTGGTTAGAGCTGTAAGATGTCAGCACGAAATCCGGCATAAAAGGTGGGCCGCGGTCACGATCGGTGGAAACATCCCCAGATTTTGCATCCCCAGATTCCAGATAACAGAGAAAACAGTCTATAATGTGGAAATATGGGGTTGACAAGTGACGATCTCACGTGTTTGACGCAGCGTCGATGCGACTTTTGCTGTTGATATTGGTAACCAATGACATCGCAATGTCACGATTTCCAGGTTGCTACTTTGATGAGTTCTTAAAATGAGACTGTTTGGATCTATCAGACTTACCAACTGCAATAGTAAGCGATTCTGATTTTCACACCCAGAACGAGATGATCAGTTCATCTGATACTATTGCCACGACCTCAGGATTATCGGCTGAGTATGACTTGGTGTCATCTCATAGATCGAATCAGTTGATATGGCGTCATGTAAGGTCTACACTAGAGCATGTGCAACTTATTATCAATCAACCTACAGATGAAACATTTGGCATTTTGCTCACTTTTAGGGAGCTTACAGCTCTTTTCAAATGGACCAAGCACCGAATATTAAATACACGTCTCAAACCCATTGTCATCACACTGTTATCAACGTCGAATTGTCATATCATTACAATGAGCTACAAGTGTAATAACCGGTTAATGTAGTAACATTTGGTCCATTTGAGAGCATCGAGATACTCAATTGCCAAAGGTCGTGCTTAGTTTCTTCTTCGTTCACTAGGGCTTCCTCTCTCATTTGACCTTCAGCACAGCCTTGCCGAAATTCTTTCCTACCAACATGCCGATCAATCCTTCAGCCGCATTGTCGATCCCCTCGGTCACTGACAGCTTCGCCTTCACGCTTCCGTCCGAGAGCCAATTTTGCAAGCTCTCCTGGTGGTCCTTGAAGTGAGCAGGACCAAAGTTCGGGTTACCCACAAGGAAGCCCTGCATGGTGATTTGCTTGCTAACGAGCTGCATCAATCCCTTGATACCCGTCTGCTCCTCCGCTGGGGTATTGTAGTCTCCAATCTGCAGGTGATTGGTTAGCTCTAGTCCAGTCATCTTGAATCATCTTGTCGTTTGTACTCACCATACCGCATACTGCGATTCTTCCACCAACCTTCATGCTCGTCAGAGCAGCTTCAAGGTGGTCACCGCCCACATTCTCGAAGTAGATGTCGATACCATGAGGGGCCAAACGCGCTAGCGCATCCTGAGGCTTTTCTTTCTTGTAATTGAATCCGGCATCGAATCCCAGCTCCTTGGTAATGAAGTCAAGCTTTTCATCAGACCCCACGGAGCCAATGGCTGTGAGCCCTTCCCGCTTGGCAATTTGTCCAACGACTTGGCCGACTGCGCCCGCGGCGGAGCTGACGAAGATCGTCTCGCCGCTCTTGGGCTGTCCAATCCTATGCAGGCCGGACCAGGCCGTTAGACCAGGCATGCCCAGCGGGCCAAGAAAGAGGCCAAGGTCCAGGTTGTGCGGGTTGTGGATCTTGCGCCCCCGCTGCAAAACGGCCGGAGACACGCGGGCGTACTCGGCGATGGGGGTATGGGCGACGACGAGACTGCCCTCCGGGAAATCGGGATTTTCGCTCTTCAGAACTTTGCCGATGGTGTCGTTGGTGATGGGGCCGTCGATGTCGAACGGCGGGGAGTATGACTTCTTGCTGGGATCCCGCATCTTGCCGCGCAGGTAGGGATCGAAGGATGCATACAGGATCTCGACGACAAGGCCCCCCTCGGGAGCATCGTCGAGGTCGATTGGACGATCCTCGATGACCAGATGCTCCCCAGCCACAGGAAGGCCGGTGGGTATCTTCTTGAAGATGAGTGTCTTGTTCTGGGTCATATTGAAATGATTGGTGAGAATGATGCTCAGTGAGGCAAATGTATGGGAGAAGGACAAGTCGAAACGGCCTTTTATCAAAGCCCAATTGACGTGGGAAAATGTTAATCGAGAAAGATGGTGCCGAGGTATGCTCTTTCTCAATTTGTAAGTCGATTAAACGCCGACGGGGATAATGCCGCGCTTTCCACGGTTCAACCCCGCCTTTGCGCAGTGACACGCCATCCGAAGATACGAGTCAATATGACGTGCTTATGATTATTCATCACATCTCTGTCAAATGTTGTACTTCGCAAATGACTTCTCTCACAAAGCGCATGGAGTTACACGTGTATATATCAAGCGGACGTCTGTCTGTTTGTACCGGGCTCAGGAAAGATCTCAGTGTCGAATAACGTACGTACTAATTGTATGCCTTGCCCGGCTGAACACACGTAAGCACCTTTTTCCAAGCCTAATGATCCTTCAATCCTACGATAGTGTCCGCGGAATTCCTCCCTGAAGTTAAGATTGCGCAAGCATTCTCATCCTGAGGCACCTTTGGATACACTATGATATCGTAATTAGAAGCTGCCTCGATGTACTTGCGAATGAGAGACTTTGGCTTAGTCTCTATTACTTGCCACAGATACTTGCCTTGAATACTCGACATATTTCTCTCTTGCTTGGGAACTTCGTACTCTTGATGCACAAGTTATTTACCAGTAACTTCAAACCTGAGAATTCAATCACCAAAGTTCGGAGTTGGTCATCCATGAGTCACACCCTCAAGTGTAATCCGGCCAAATTCTCTGCCTCCTCTCATTCTTCTCACTGTTTTCAAAGCAGGATCGAGTGAATCATATATTATACAGTTTCTAGTAGTGTTATCTCCAAAGAATTGTGTCCGGCTATTCGTGTCTTGTCTCTGAGGTGAGAAGAATGAAGCAAGATGGGAAGTGAAACAAACTTGTGAGAACTCTCATGCTGCGTATATTCGTCTTAGGTATTTGAATGACGAGTACTTCAGTGTTCTTAATCACGTAACGAAATGGTCAGGTGACTAGTTAACTTAAATGCTCCTGCGTCTGTAGACTGTATACGAGAGCGCGTAGCGGTCATTAGTCTTTTCCCTGTTCCTCTCATCCAGAATTCATCAAGCCTGACGCGAAAACACTACGTCTCGTTGATTTGTATCACACAGTTGATTTCTTGTACTTATCGCCAAAGGTTTTGAATTCTCTCAACGGAGCATCAATTGGCCTCCTCATAATATTTGCCTTGATCTTACTTCCATTGTTTGAAGCGCAATAGTCTGATCGCCTGGCCCAAAAGTGAGATTCGAAGAATGACATCCGTCATTAAACACAATTTTGCATGACCGTCGAATCTGATGAGCGACAGCTAGATTCCACGGTTGCGTGCGGCTCTATACAGAATATCTTTTCGAAGGTCCGAAGATGATTCCGTTACCAGTTCCTGAAATCAGACCTTCTCCCTTTTGGGCGCTGTTTCAAAGATCTTTCTCAGACGGTCATCTAGCCATTTCACATCTTCCATATTGCCCGGTGGACCACCCGCCCAGTGTCCCCAGATAGAGGGGTAGACGTCAAGCTCGCCCACACCACTGCTCATGCAGGCAACTTCGTATTCAGAGTCCTCAGGCCTATGTTCAATCAGTATGCATGCGGGAGTTTCCTCGAATGGTGTGGTGCTTACGGGAAGTAAAGATCCGTCTTGGAAGGGAGCACCAGCGTCTTCGCTTTGATAGCAGCCATTGCCTTCTTGAAGTCACCGTTGTACGGCTCTTGCTTACTCACGTCGCCGCTCTGCCAGGTCTGGAGCATCACGAGGAGGTTCTCGGGGTCCTTGCTCAAAGCCCATTTCTCCCAGAATTCCACGAGGAACTCCTCGAGGTCTTTGGCGTCGTAGTGTTTCTTGTAAAGCTCGTGTCGATAGAAGGCCTGAGAGAATCCCCACCCCGCATAGCCACGACCGAAAGCCTTCAAGCCGACTTCTTTCTCCTCATCCGACCAGATGCGAAGACTCTTCTTCTGTTCGGCAGTCTCCACGCGGCCTTGAGCGCTTCCTGCCGATTTGGTCTTTTTGGCAGCGAGAAGGGCTGATTTGACACCTTCTAAGAAGACCTGGTTGTGCAAGGCCGTCTTGGCGGCACCGCAGAACGGAACGCAGATGTCCATGAAGTCGGGGTACTGCGTGGCCCACTGGAATGACTGGGCTGCGCCCATGGACCATCCTAAGACCGCTCTGATGTGTTTGATGTTGAGTTCCTTGGTGACAAGCTCATGCTGGGCTCTCACATTGTCGAAGAACGAAACGTCGGGGAACGGGTTGATGTCCGAATTAGAAGGGCTTATGGACTGCCCGTTGCCAAATAAGGCTGGAATAACGATGAAGTAGTCTTTGGGATTCAGGGTCTTGTCTTCGCCCACAAGCCATTCATTGTCTGCGATTGCTCCGGAATACCAAGTAGGATATACGATGGCTGGAGAGGAGGGGTCGCCGAAGGTTCTGTAAGCAATCCAAGCACCTGGGAGAACTTCGCCGTTCTGGAGTTTGAAATCTCCTAGGGTGTACTTCTTGATGTCGGGCATTATTTCTGTCGTGAGAAAGTGACACCTCTGTGACTGATTATGTCTGAAACGCAAAAGGTATGTCTTTGTAAAGGTGAAGTGGTGAAATTCGTCGATGAAGGCAGTGATGAGAGGGGTCTCGACTCTCGGGCGCTGTCTTAGTCATGGAATCTTATCATTTGCTATCCAAACTCCCGCAAGCGCTTCTAGACGGATAACGGCGGTTGGCTACCCCAAATTATTACCCCTCATGTGTTATCATGCATTCCGAAGGCGATCGCTATCACGGCTTGTTGATAAGGAAGTTGTATTAGTAGAATGGAATCCCTGTGTCATTGGGCTGTTGAACCATCGTGTGCATGACTCGGATGCCAGAAAGGACTCTCGTTATTTCCATTTCTTCGTGCAATGTTATTTTCTACTTAGAAGCTTCAGTCGACTATTAGAAGTTTGAAGATTATTATTATAATACAACTGGAAGGTCGAGCTGCCCCAAAGTGTTGTGCCGTGTTTATCTTTAAATATGCTTGTTATCATTGTCGTCAACTCGACTTCAAGGATTGATTCATGGTTGCGAACGGCAGTCTATGCAACTCCTATCTATGGGGATCCATAGGCTGGTATTATTTTTTGACTATCAACAAGCCAAAATCCCGAGCATCATCTCATCAATCAAGTCCACGTGAATGTTTCACTGCCGTCAATATGGGTCTTCTCAGCTTCCGTTGCCGGGCCAACTCCACTTTTCAACTCGCCGACTGAGTCACTGCAAGCATCCCGTACTCGTGGACTATTGATGTTACTGATCCTTCTAGAATGATCCAACTGATCTCACTCTCCAAAGTACAACTTGATACATCACAATAAGTTACTGCATCTTGTAAGTCAAACTGAGAACAAAAACTAAAACGCATTGCTGACTTTTCAGCATACAAGAAATCATGGCGACCGAACGCACCGGAGTTGTCGTCGTCTCATCGAAAAATCCCGTCAAGGTGAACGCCACCAGGCTAGGCTTTCAATCAGCCATGGCAGGCTCCTTCGATTTTGAGGGAATCAGCGTTCCTTCCGAAGTGCCCGATCAACCCGTTTCTGACGAACAAACGCTTCTCGGAGCGATGAACCGGGTGCGGAACGCTCAAGCAGCCAAGAAAGAGGCTGACTATTGGGTTGGAATTGAAGGAGGAGTTGAAATCCGCGACGGGGCGTATCTGAACTTCGCATGGATTGTAGTTACGAGCCGAGAGGGCAAGGTGGGAAAAGCACGCACTGCCGCTTACTACCTACCTGAAGAGACGGCGAAGTACCTACGTGAAGGAATGGAACTGGGGAATGCAGATGATGCGGTCTTTGGGCACGTGGGTTCAAAGACAACCAGAGGCTCAGTTGGACTTTTGACCGACGATATCATTGACCGAACCACTTACTATGTACACGCAATGATTCTGGCCTTGATTCCGTTCAGAAACAGTCATTTGACGTTTGCTTAGAGGTTGGTGGAGCAATTTATTGGAATTGATTGGTAGACTGAGGATATGAAGAAAACCAGACACGGACTCATCTGGTGTCTGACCTGTCTTGCTGCTATCGTTTCATGGTATGCAATGCTTGGAAGACGCAGTTCTGTAGACGTAAATAATTGCTTATTAATCTCCTGGAGAAACCAAGAGGACAATGGTACAGCCACTCCTCGTACTCAGTCCCCTAGGAAGATATAACTGAAGCCATAGAGAAGTCAGAAGAACACTTCTCCATACTTTCAAGCGCCTCGGAACTTAATCCGGCAGGCCTCCGAGCAAAAGGCTCAGGTTGAGGATGATAGTTGTCCACTTTTGGGGTAGATTAGATGTGGTGGAGGGTTTCCACTTGAGAGGCTCCGGACGTGACGCGTCGTTCTCCTATTTCCCCATACCCCAGACCAGACAATGGAGGAAAGACGAACCACACGTACCGTCGACGTGTTTTAGACCGTTGGTGTAAGGCAACACCGGAAGAGGTGAGAATCTAAACAGCCAATGGAATAAATCACTGAGCATCGTCCCAGATGCAGTTGTCATGACGATCCGCTCATAAGTAATACCAACAAGCCTTACCAAGATATGCAGGCGCTTATCAACTTGGCGAGAACGAAAAAGTCGGAATCAGATTTTTCAAACAAACGCCGATCGCGCGTTTCTGTTTTTCTTGGTAGATCAAAACAACCGCCGCCAGCTATGCCGGTAGACAAGACCAAGAACGCCAAGTGAGGGTTCCGCATATATTCGACTTGGAAGTGGAGGGACAAGATATCGTGGATATAAGAACCCCCGCCGGCAGCCAACTAGAGAGTTAAGCTTAAACTTGGCAACGTCATTCATCCATGTCGCCGAGAATCAAAGAGCCTTAAAATTTCAGCTGACTGCACATTATCATGTCAACTCAAGTCTTGGGTTGCCCAGCCTCGGATTACCCTCTTGGGCATCCCGTACGGGAGGATGCCGCTCAATCGTTGGCTTGTCGAACTCGGCGTTGGTTTTGCAGCCCACATGCAGCCGGAATCTTGTCATTAACTCGTGATCCGGGAGTGCGCTTCGAGCCAGGCAACGGATCTCTGTATTTCAAATCGGACAATTTATGCACTGAGTCTCATTTATTATCCTTGGACGTCTGGGTATGCAGGGTCCTTTGACCGTCTTTCGCAAGCTTGCAAGGCTTTCGGAACTGGAAGGAAGGGCGATTATGATTTGATTGGTATTCGAAGACATCTCGAAGGCCGCACTCCGGACGTTTCTCCATAGGTTCGTGCTAGCACAGCCAACTCCCAAGAGTCCAAGACATGATACTGGAGCCAGGGGTGGGTTTCGTTGGTGCATCCCAAACTGCAAACTCCATTTGTTCTGGGCAGCCCGACCGTGAGCATCCCGAAATGACCTCAGCCAAGTCATCCTTCTTCGGACACCGTCTCATCGCGACCCAGAATTTCGGTCGATGGCGGCCCCGAAGGTGAGAACTGAGCGAGTACAAGACGCGCAATGTACCCGGGCCACGTTTTCCCCAAGACCTGCCCAGTGGGATCATCCTGATTATCTCTCTTTCTTTACCTTCTACACATTCACGGTCGTGTCGAAACATGGCCGAGAAGCGAGAGAAGCAAGAACGCCCTGAGGAGGGCGGAACCTCAACCCCCTCCTCGGTCGATAGCAGCCGCGCCGTCAATGAGAAGCCACAAACTCAAGGCGGTTTCTTGGGTTTCTTTTCGCGGCTTGGCGACCTGCCAGAGTGGAAATGGCGCGGGAAACACCTCGAAGGCACGGCTTTGAACTGGTGTATAGGTTTTATCGCTTCTACCGGTACGTGTAACATCTATAAGGATTAGAAGAACTCAATACTGACTCGTAAATGCCCGATTTCAGGTTTTCTCATGTTTGGATACGACCAAGTTTGTCTTTCTAGCTGCTATTCACTCGTAACAAATGATTGACTGTCTTTTCTAGGGCGTATTATCCAGTTTGTTGACGCTCGATGACTTCCAGAAGAGCCTGGTGTTGATGACGCCGCTGGAACAATCCAACCCGCTTTGCTGGCTCGACTACCCCGAGAACACTCAGCGCGACTACAGCCAGTGCACCGGTGACCCCAACACGCAAGCCGCCGCTGTGGCCGTCTATCAAATCGGATGCTTCCTGGGTGCAGTTCTGATCTTGTTCTACGGAGAAACATGGGGCCGCAAGTCATCAACCTTCTGGGGCAGCGCCATTATGATTCTCGGAACCATCATGCAAGCCGGTGCTCATGAGTACGGCCTTTTCAGTGCTGGAAGAATCGTCGGAGGTGTGGGAAATGGCATGGTTACCTCCAGTAAGAGCCCGTCAGCAAAACCCCCCACGCTTGTCCCTCCAACTAAGCAAATGCAGCTATTCCCACGTGGCAGTCCGAGTGTGCGCGGCCTCATCAGAGAGGATTCCTCATCACATTGTCAGGGGCTCTAATTTCAGGAGGCATCATGATTGCCTATTGGGTATGTAGAGCGCTTTACTTTCGGCGTTCCTTGAACTATACATGTACTGATCAATATGCAGATTGACTACGGTTTTTACTTTTTGGAAGGCACGATTCGTTGGCGATTCCCTGTGGCATTTCAATCTTTCTTCACTATCATCGTCATGATCGGTCTCCTATATCTCCCTGATTCTCCTCGCTGGCTTGCCATGAAGGGCCGCGTCGATGAGGCCCGCGACGTAACGGCGCGTCTTCTCGGCAAGCCCGTCGACCATGAAGATGTCATGACCGAAGTGAAGGCTATCCAAGAAGCACTTGAAGTTCAGAGCCAGGGCGGTGGCTTCAAGTACAAGGAGCTTCTGACGAACGGTCCTTCTCAGAACTTGCGCCGCACACTTCTCGGAGTTGCTGCCCAGTTCTTCCAACAGATCTGCGGTAGGTTTTCTCTTTCCCCAATTCATATCTTTGTCAAATGCTAAGTAAATCAAGGAATCAACCTGATCACGTACTATGCCGGTTTCTTGTTCGAGAACTCGCTGGGCTTTGGACCCGAACTGTCTCGACTTCTCGCTGCTGCGAACGGCACCGAATACTTCCTGGCTTCGCTCGTTGCGTTACCCCTTATCGAGAAGACGGGTCGTCGTAAGCTCATGCTTTTCGGTGCTTTCGGCATGATGGCCTCGATGGCAATCTTGGCGGGTACGGTTTCCACTGGCACTGTGGCCGAGAATGGTGCTCCCAACCTCGAGACACGATATGGAGTGACTGCGACCGTCTTCCTTTTCGTATTCAATTCTTTCTTCGCCATCGGTAAGTTTCATAACCAGTCCACTCCTTGAGCCGAGATGCAGTTGCTGACGATATTCACAGGATGGCTCGGCATGACCTGGCTCTACCCGGCCGAGATCACCAACTTGCGCATCCGAATCCAAGCCAACGCCCTTTCCACGTGCTCCAACTGGCTTTCCAACTTCTTGATCGTCATGATCACCCCTCCTGCCTTCGCCAACCTGGGCTACCAGACTTATGTCATGTTCGCTGTCTTCAACGCAGCCATCATCCCTTGTGTCTGGTTGTGGTTCCCTGAGCCGAAGGGGCGAAGCCTTGAGGAGCTGGATGTCATTTTCGCCAGCGCTCACGCTGATGGCGTCAATCCTGTGAAGCGAGCCAAGGAGATGAGACACATTGATGGCTCTGAACTTGAGAGTGAACTTGACAAGTACTTTGGTGCTACCGAGCAGATTGAGGACGCTCGCCCGATGACCCGACCGATGACGGGTCACAGCCAGCACGGCAGACACTGAGATTTGCTTTCTGGGACGAACATGTCGAAGAAGCATCAACAAGTCATCAATGATGGCTTTCATTCATAGTTAGACTTTCACTTGATATCCTAGTCTCTAAATTCAAGAAAGCAGTTCTCCAATTCCTTCTCCTTGGTTTAACCGAACAGTGAGCGCGGCTGATTGATCTGTTGTTACCTTCACGCAACTGGGGCAGCAATCCCATCCGTTTCTCTTTGGTCCCATCAATCATTGAATACATTCATTATTTGTGAGGGTTCAAATCATGAGACGGTTCAAATGTTTATGCCATGTACGTAAATGGCAACTCCATGCACTTCTGAACAGTTTCGCTCCATTTCAAGTAGATTGAGCATGCCGACAATGGACTTATTTCACAAAGACATAAGGAGACTTCAAGTCCAACCGTGGGCATTGTTCTCGTATAAAGACATACTGACTTTTGTAGACTCGTTTGTGATAAACACAAGTTCTTTGTCTAAACCTTGGAACCGAATTGGGATTTCAAGGGAATGGCGCAGTTCATTCGAAGGTTTCTTGGAGCATTGTTAGAACTAAGCAAGATGATTGTTGCGAACCGTCTTTGAAACCATCACGATGGTAAGGTAGCATGTCAAGATATCGAGATAAATAGACGAGACATCCTCATCGTTTCGGCACAGAAGCTCAACTCAGAACTACATTTAACATTTCAGAACACAGACATATTTCACGCCCCGACTTCTTAACCCATCATTCAACATCAGCAAGTTTCAGAGCAAAGCTTCTGCTGTCCTCTTACAAATTCTAGTCCAACAACATGCCTGAACGCCAATTTCGTCTCCAAATCGTGGACGATGACAACTGGCATGATGTTCAAAGACCCAACGCAGTCGTGCCGCAACGGCGCCCCGAGAACCAGAGAAACCAGGATCCTCCACGGGAAACCTCTATCATAAGTGGAATTGGACTCTTCATCATAAGTAACCCCCGTCTCATGACCTTTCTTGTTGTCGTATTGTCTTCCACGTATTACAACTGGGAATTGATACACGACTGGTTCTCATCATTCCGAAAGATATCCACCGATCAGTGGGATTCCATTTTCATGTTCATCTTTTTCTGCCGCTACTTCCGCTTCTTCTGTCACATCTACGGGACTCTGAACTATACTCCTGCTTTCGTTCCTCTCAATCCGACTTGGGGTCCTCAGCATACCACCGTTATCCTCCCCACCATCGATCCCGACAACGAGAAGTTCACAGAGTGCATGAACTCCGTGCTTGCTAACCGTCCAGCCGCCATCATGATCGTGACTGTCGGAGCCGCCATGCGTGAGCGCTGCAACATCATTGCGGCGCAGTTTCGTGCTGCCAGCCCGGGCACGGAAATCGGAGTCAGCGCGATTCCTCACCCATCCAAGCGCCGTCAGGTTGCCCATGCCGTCCCCGAGGTGCGTACCGAATTCACGATCCTCGCTGACGACCACGTTTTCTGGCCCAGTCACAACTTCATTTCCTCCGCCCTAGCCCCCTTCGAAGACCCCAACATCGGCGTCGTGGCTACGTTCAAGCGTGTTCGTCGCACGACGCCAGGTAAGTGGAGCGTCTCGTCTGTTCTGAACCTGATCGGCTGTTTCTATCTACAGCGCCACAACTGGGAGCTCCGGGCGTCCAACGGCCTCGACGGAGGGGTTTTTGTTGTATCGGGCCGCACCGCCGTCTACCGCTCCAACTTTCTCAAAGCACCGGGCCTGATGGAACGTTTCTGCAGTGAGCGCTTCTTCATGGGCATTTTCGGCGGAGAGGGCTTGGGTCCTGATGATGACAACTTCCTCACCCGCGAGGCCTACGGCGCCGGCTGGGAGATCAAGTTCCAAGAAACCCAGGACTGCGTCATTGAGACGACGATCGGTGATGAATTCCTCAAGAAGTTTCGCGGTCAGCTCGTCCGCTGGGCGCGAACCACATTCCGCAGCAACCCATGCATGTTGATGAAGTGCTCGCTGACCCTCAAGCGCATGCCGTGGTCGTATTTCAACGTCTACGTCGCCGGCATGGTGAATTTTGCTCTTTTCTGGGACGCCATGATCGTCTGCTCGTTCTACAACTCTTGGTTCTGCCACAGCCTCTTCTCTTCCGAAATGGGGTGGCTTCTCGGCTTCATTTTCTTCACGAAGGTGATCAAGATCTGGCCGCACTTTGTCCGCTACCCGCAGGACTTGCCGCTGGTGATCTTCCAGATCCTCTTCGCGTACGCCCATTCGATCATCAAGTTCTGGGCTCTCATCACTTTCTGGGACTGCGCTTGGTTGGGTCGCAACCTGGACGCTGTCGATGCGGAGGCCGAGCATTCGCAGATCCCACTGGACGCGTCGTTCAGCTGGAAGTTGGGCACTCCCGGTCACAGAGTTTCCGGCCACAGAGTCTCCGTTCATGCTAATTCTGGCTACCCCTTGTGGTATAATGATTATTAGCTAAGAAGTTCTAGGCTTCAGATTGGAATGTTTGAATAGTAAGGTTAGGTGGATAATAACATATGCAAAGTCGTAGATATTTTCGTGAAATGAACACCAATGATAACAATTGGCCTCGTCTTCGATGTGTTTGTTTTCTTTCCAAAGGCGTGATGATATAAGCGAGGTTTCCTGGCGTCATAGCCTGCTTCGATGATATGCCGCGTCTTTGAATCATCAAGCTCCCTCAAAGTGTCATAAACTTTTCCCGATAAAACATCAAAACCCTGTTCTCATCGTCCCTCCGCGCTGAGCTCTACAGGTTCTGGTGTTCTAACCGCTTTATGCTCAAGCTCGGCAGGCTCCGATTGTGGTACAGGTTTCCATTCAGCGGTGTACGGCTGATGCGATTCGTGATTGGGTACGACATCACCGCCAGCATTGTCATTTCCACCCGCGGCCTTGTTGCGAGAACGTCGCCTCCATAGAAAATATCCCACACCGCCGAGAGACGCAACCACGGCCAATGTAGCTGCGATTGCGACTCCCGCAACACCTCCTCTGCTAAGTCCTTTTGCTTGGGTCGAGCTGCTAGTCTGTTCGGGAGGGTTCGTGGTCGTGGACGTGGAGATTTCGCTCGAGATCGCCGATGTCGCGGCCGATGTCGCGGCCGCGGTTGCGGTTGTTGATGTCGAAGATGTTGTGGCCGCACCCGCCGTGATGTTGAAATAATGCGAAGTGGTAAGCCGGTTTTCATTACCTGCCTGGTATAGTGCGAGATAATAGATGGGTAACGAGAGATCTGCGCCTTCAGGAAAGACGCTGTAGGTGACTTTCCATGTGAAGTTTTTGGAGGATGAATTGTCTGAATTAACGTTAGTCTGGTACAAGAAGGACTATGCTCGTCTATGACAAAGCAAAGCCACTTTCAGTAGCCAGTAGATACATACCGACGAGCCAAGCGGAGGGCCTTGCCCCCAATTCGGTGTCTATCTCTTTATTCCAAATGAGGACGTCGAATTCCTGATAATCCGAAGACCACCTGAATGTCACCTCCTCCCCTATTGTGTAAACTTTGTTATCCCTCAAGTCCTCGTCGCTCCCGTTACCAGGAGGCGGCACTTTGAAGACATTTTCGGCGAGGGTATTCTGGACGACGGCCAAGCCAAGAAGCAAAAACGCTGCGCAATACATGGCATTCGCGGTTGGAACGGTGAGGCTCGTGGAACATGGAGGCAGATTTAGGGGTTGACTCGGTATTAGTATTAGTACCAACGATGTTTTGCTCTTCAACCCCCTGAGTCTGTCTTGCCCTCTACTGCCTGAGGCACCAGCGCATCTGAGTTGTTGGTGCTGTTGGGCTTGAGCTGTGCCGTCGGAGTGAACCGTTTGAAGTAGTCACAACCGGCAGAAGAAATACTGGGTATTGATGCGGACTGGGCTTGGCTGGGCGTAAGGTAATTAACGTAGCAGATGGGATAGACCATCTTCGACGTTTCCATTCTGCGTCAGCTGTTCTACAAGTAAGTAACCAGCAGCACCTCAGACTTCTGCTGTGCTTTCTAGTTGTAGATATTTGTTCTATATTCATCTGGTTTGGTTCACCGTTACGTTTCTAGAGAAGAGATCTCGTACTTGAGAAGTTGGAACGTAGGCGGGTTAGGCTCTGGCAACCATTCTCAATGCCAAACAACGGTACGACTACGACTGGCTGATTGGAAACTGAAGTGTCGTCGATGATGATCTTTCTCCACAGCTCATTATCCCCTGCATTAACTGCTTTGGTCAACCCTGGACCGCCAAACCATTAAACATCGAGAGGAATCACTGGTGTTGGTGAAATGATTTGGTGGATCTCATGCACTAGACTGAAATGAGGTGGCTGCGTTACGTCGAGCGGGTAGAATTTGAAGCATCCATGGAATAGCGGGCTAATCAGATCGTAGCATTGGAGAATAAAATCCACTGCAATCCTCGGACTTTGATCCTTGAAGGGCGCCCGGCCAGTTCAAGGCTCACTTTGCGCCAGGGTCCGTTTGGTGTGTTGAAGGTATGCAGCAGCAATAGCATGAGCAATACGCCGCGCAATACAATGCAGCAACCCTTTCCTTCCCGCTCTATTCGACATATCGCCATACCCAACGAGCACGTTTGACGGTATGCAGCAGAAGCCCAGCCACACTGCTCGCTGTGCAGATCGTAGCCTCGACGCATTGCCCAGCCTCAATCAGCACAACAAGACAGCTCGTCACTGTAGCTGGGCGTAAGAGATCTTCCACGTCCAGGTTTTTCAAGAAACAGACGGGTCCATTGCGTGGCTGAGGGGAACGTACCCGGTTCAAAGTCCCCATCTCACGTTTCACTGCAGCACCAAAGTCCCTCGCCAACACATAACAAATCTGCCTAGCCGTGTCGACGCAGCCACGGTCTCCACTGAAAATAGGCGACCACTTGACGCTCTTCCAAGACTCGTCCTGGATGTCCATTGGCTATGCATCAGTAGAACGCTCCGGTGATATGCCGGCTGCCTAAGAAGGATTCCGAGTCTCATGCAAGGACGCGTTCTTTCTCCTAGCGTGTGTATGAATCTTATCGAGTCGCTACTGTTAGCAGTTTGCTGAATACTCGGTGGTCCTGTTAGCAGACGAGACCCTGGCGAGACATGCTTCATTCCCAGTTCAACCACGGATCTCTCATATCACGCTGCGATCCTCCCAAATTTAGGATCCTAACGGGCGGGCGATTGAGGCTGGAACGATTGAACACACTACCAAACTCATCGATAAATCAACATATGAGGCTGATGGATGTCTGCGGCGCTCTGCTTATGTAGATCATAGGCGCACTAAGATGTGTCTTGAACTGCAGGTGCTGTCGGGCGTCATGTACTGTTTCTCATGTTGATATAAGGACATCATGAATCCGACTTCTAAACCATGTCCAGCATCTCATATTTCATACCTATTAACTACCACACAGCAGCAAAACACACGAACATAACCCAGGAGATTGCCTCAAAATGGCGTCCCCAACAACGAACGTCGTGCTCCGGAAGATCACGATCATTTCCTTCCCGCCCGCCTTCATCATCCTCCTCATCCACGGCATCATCTCAAACTGCGCCTTTCCGGCCCTTGGCATCCTCCCGATCGTCTCATCCGCGATTCTCGGCCTCTTCATCATCCGCCGCGACGTCGTCGCCGCCCTCGGCTCCCCGATCCAGGCCCTATCGCCGTCCAACATCTTCTTCGCCGACTTATTCCTCGCCGGCTTCCATTTCATCTTCCTCCTCATCAGCTGGGCCATGATTCGGGATCCCTGGGACAGAGGCCAGGTCGTTCTGGGAACATACGGCACGGTGCCGATGATGGTCAACACGTAAGCTTTCTTTGATACTTCTTGACTGTGGCATTGTTTTCGCTAACAGGTTGTTTTCACAAGTGGCATCCATCTTTACATCCTCATTCCGCAGATCGGTCATTTGTTCGTCAACAGGACTTGCGACTGCCCGCACTGCCAGACCGTTACCAAGACGAGCTACTTCTCCTCCGGCGTGTCGGAGTACACGCCGCTCAGCGATGGTGACACTGAGCCAGAAGTTGTTGAACGCGACCTCGAGGCTGGTCATTGAATACAATTGGCTTTGCCTCTTTCGAGGTAGTCAAAAGATATTGATGAAGCTGGGTTTATCGATGGAGGGCAATGAGCTCTGCTCGCCTACAAGGATTAGCAACTTAGAACATGCATCAACGCTGATGAACATATCTGATAGACGATTAATGACACAAACATTCGCAGACATCATCGCCTTGGCTTGCGAAGTTCTCAGCAATCGACGTCTACATCATGAATCTCCTCTTATCGGTGTAGTGCTAATAGACTCTGATAGATCGCGAGAACGACGCGCAAACTACTCCGCGAAACAAGAATAGCGCCGCCGTCCGCCTTGGATTTCCTTGCGAGCCAATGTGTCTCCAGCTGAATGATGGCTCAAAACGCAAGGTTTGACAAGGACATGGTCTCGTTCTGCTGGACTCGGCGACTGTCGGCATTTATGCCGTCTTCTTTCCAACTGGTCAGAGCTCCCTTCTCCAGGCAGCGCCAATAGCATAGGCAGTCTTTTCACAAGCCAAACTCAAGCTCTTCATCTGATGTCGCTACTGCTCAACCTCTCACGATTCATATGCGGCAGGGGGTAGTCGTCCGAAAAACAGAAACATCTCAACGGGTTATGCGGATGTTGCCATTGAGTTTCGCGCGACGTTTGTTTCATTCACTGCGTTCAAGTATCGTCCATCTACTGCGCGGTACTTGCGGTGCTCAGCCGGCTTCCACCACCCACATGGCAAGCTTGGTCGAATGACACAGCAGCAACACAGGGACATCCTTTCAAATTTCATCTACCTTCTCACTTTCCTTGATCTTACCCCAAAACTACATGCCTGCTTATGTCTTACAAAGATGTGGTATGGAAGCTTATGTTCAGACGGACGAGGAACGTGAGCCGCCCTCCCGCCTGGAAGGCGGGAAAGCAAGCGCTCCGGCAAATCGGTTTATCATGAAGCTAGCCCCTGCTACAACAAACACCCGTTGTGCACCTGTTTCTACCAGCTTTGTGCCAAGTACAAGCCACTGACCTTAGGCCGAATTGCGTGTCGCGTTGGTTTGTTGGACTTTGGTATTCAAACATCTCCTCGCGACATTGGATCGTCCGACGCCATAGTCTTGATTATCAGATCCTGTTCTCCCTCAAGACCTTCAAGATTCATCGCATCAGATTTTCAACATGTACTTTACCAACCCAGTTGCCGGCTTCCTCACGACTCTCCTCGCGTTCTTCGCCGTCCTGGCCCTCATTCATATCGCCCTGATCACCGTCTACGTAGGTCATCTCATCTACCAAACAAACACGTCTTTCGAACCTCCGACATCACTAACCTCTCCAAGCTCATCCATACCTTCTTCAACTCCCCGATCCGCCATATACCAGGGCCTCGCTACACCCTCATAACCCACTACCCTCTGAAATACCATGTCCTAACCGGCCGCCGTATGTACCACATCCACGACCTCCACGCTCGTTACGGTCCGGTGGTACGCATCTCTCCTTCCGACGTCTCCGTCTCCTCGCCCGAAGGCTTTGCCGCGATCCACCGCATCGGCAGCGGCTTCCTGAAGTCGTCATGGTACGAAGACTCGACGCACCCTGATGGCGGCGAGTCCAGCATCTTCGCCATGTCCGATCCCCGACAGCACTCCCAGCGCCGCCGACTCCTTGCTCGGGTATTCACGCGGCAATCTTTGAGAAAAGATTGGGAGGTCGTTGTCAGAGAGAAGGTGGAACGGGCTGTCGGACGGATACATGACGAGGCGAAGGCAGGGGGCTGCTCGGATGTGTTGAAGTGGTGGACCATGATGACGACGGACACGATTGCTCATCTGGCGTTTGGAGAGTCCTTCAACATGCTAGAGTTGGGACAGGTAATGTTTGCCACGCTCTCTGGTTCAACACCGCGACGAAGGGGCTAACCGTCGAAATAGAAAAACGACTATGTGAAAGCTCTCGAACTCGTCTCGATCCAGAACACCATGCGCTACGAGCTTCCACTCCTCTACTTTATTCAGTCCATCAACCCATTCAAATTCTCCAGAGGACCCCCGAACGCGCGGAAGGTGCTCACACAATACGGAAAGCAGGCTGTGGCCAACGCACGCAAGAACCACAACGATAGACCCAACCTCTTCAAGCGCATTATCGACGAGATGGAGGCCGGAGAAAAGGAGTGGCTGTCGGAAGAAGTCATCGAGGCGGAGGCCAAGAGCATGATCATAGGCGGCTCAGACACTACCTCAGTCACTCTGACATACCTGACATGGGCGGTGCTGAAACGGCCGGAACTACGGACAAGGTTGGAAGAGGAGGTAGAGGCTCTGCAACCTGACTTCGACGATGCTGAATTGGAGAAGCTTCCGCTTCTGAATGCCGTGATTGATGAGACCTTGAGGTTGTATGGCGCCGTGTCGGGTCAGCTCTCTCGCGTCGTCCCGCCTAAAGGTGTGACAATTGGCGGGTACTACATCCCCAACGACTATAACGTCGAGACGCAGGCATACACGCTTCACCGAGACCCAGACGTGTGGCCTGATCCCCACCGGTAAGTACTCCGGGCTTCGCAATATACCCCAAAATATGGTCTTGCTCACACAAACTTCCAGCTTCGACGAGACGCGGTTCATGGATCCAAGTAAGCTCACGCCGCAGCAGAAGCTGATGTTCTCGCCTTTCGGGGCGGGTTCACGGATATGTCTGGGCATCGAGCTGGCGCGGATGGAGCTCCGGCTGGGTACCGCCGTGCTCTTCCGAAAGTGCAAGGGTCTCAAGATCGCGCCTGGAACCACCGATGAGACGATGGAGATGGAGAACTTCTTTGTGATTAGTCCGCGCGGGCATAAGTGTGAAGTGACTCTGCCGTGAAGCTGAATAACGCCGGGATTCGATTCGGGGTCTTTGGACCGCGCAGAATCGGAGGGGATGTGGGGTGTGCTCGGCGTCGCAAGTTCACACTCCGGCTTCTGAAAGACAGGGAATCTGCCGCCACCGATAGATATGACGCATCATGACTTTCAGTGTCTCCCGGATCAGCCGATGCTGGCCGGAATTCTTCACTTGTGATTCTCATCGTTCCCGGCTTGGCCAGGCCTTGGGGAGCACGTGGGGTTGAACCCTTCACAGGACCCGCTGTAGCTAGATAGCTCGCAGAATTCTCGAAGGATTTTCGGATGAACGACTCATGTGTCGCCTCCCTGCTTCTCAGATTACACCAACTCGCTGACCAGTGACACGACCTCAATTGGTGGAGAAGACGGCGCGCTACCGCCGTCGAGGACATCGTCTTCCGTCCCCGGACCCACCGACGGCCACTTGGAGAAAGAATTTTACGTAGCTGTAATTGAGATCGGTCCATCTTTGTCGAGATCCGGCTGCGAGACCGGAGGAGTTGAAGAAAGCTGTAATGACATGCCAGCGCATACGACGGCTTCATCGATAGAGATATTGCCACGAGAGCAGCACGAGAGACACCGGATCGTTCGTCGGATCAAAAGCTACTCTGACCGAAGCCACACCGAGATGAATCACGGCCAAGTTCGGTGAAAAGGGGCACATTCAGGGTCATCTTCAAGGCTTCGATCTTTTGCCCCCCCGCGACCCCACAAGACCAGGAACGCCCCGCGACCAGGACGATGATGCCATCGCATGGCCTCCGGTCTCGCCATGGCGAACTGAGAAAAAACTTGCAGTCGCGATCCGACTATTTGATCACAATCCGATCCTAGCCCCTTGGCTCCCGTCTTGTCACTGATACTACCACGTCTTCCCCCGTCGCGAAACCAACAGACTGGACGACAAGTCAAAGAAGGGGAACCCAAACGAAAACCCTCTTAGTCCAGTCCTTCACCAGCCATGGCCGCGTACGATTCCGATCGACGGTCCCAGTCCATCGGGCCCGCCGGACATGGCGACGTCGTCCGGGACGTCGAGAAGTCCGGCGCCGACGACCATCATGACGACAAGGCCGCGATCCTGGAGCCCCAGCTCGGCGTTGGTGGTCACGGCCGCACGCAGCGTCATCTGAGGGATTACCAGGTCACCATGATCGGTTTCTGCTCTGGTATCGGAACGGGTTTGTTCATCGGAACGGGCTCCGCCTACGCGAAGGCCGGTCCTGCCGGTTTGCTTCTCGCGTACATTGTCGTCGGAATGGTTCTTTGGTGTGTCATGCAGAGCATTGGAGAGTTGGCGACTCTGGTATGTTGTGGCTCCAAGTGTATGACATTGTCGCATTCTGACATGCGATAGATCCCGACTGCCGGATCCTTCCCTCACTGGGCCACCCGCTTCATCGACCCCGCCGTCGGTTTCTCCCTCGCCATCTCGTACGGATATTGTTACACGATAGCAATCGCCTCCGAGGCGTCAGCAGCAGCGATCCTCGTCGGGTACTGGACTGACATCACACCTGCGGTCGTCATCTCCGTGTCTCTGGTTCTCATCCTCGTCTGCAACTTGCTCAGCGTGAGGTGGTACGGCGAGACCGAGGTCGCCGGTGGAACCATCAAAGTCCTCTGCTTCATCGGCCTCGTCTTCACGTCCATCATCATCACCGCCGGAGGCGGCCCCAACCACGAGGCCATCGGGTTCCGGTACTGGAACAACCCCGGCGCGTGGGTTGAGTACAACGGCATCAGCGGATCGACCGGCCACTTCCTGGGCTTCCTCGCGGCTTTCGTCAACGCCTCCTTCTCCTTCATCGGTGTCGGTATGTCATCCTGCCGTGCTCCAAGTATCGGCTTACCATGTACTAACTTCACTACAAGAAACCGTCGTCATCTCAGCCGCCGAGTCCGTCAACCCCCACAAGGCCATCCCCAACGCCGCCCGCCGCGTCACCTACCGCATCGGCCTCTTCTACATCCTCGGCGCCCTCCTCATCAGCCTGATCGTCGACCCCCGCGAAGCCGGCCTGGTCTCCGGCTCCGGCAACGCCAACAGCTCGCCCTGGGTCATCGCCATCCGCCAAGCCGGCATCAACATCCTCCCCTCCATCGTCAACGCCTGCATCCTGGTCTCCGCCTGGTCCGCCGGCAACTCGTACTGCTGGGTCGGCTCCCGCATGATCGTGGCCATGACCACGGACCGCCAGCTGCCGCAGATCTTCGGCCGCACCACCAAGAACGGCGTGCCCTACGTCGCCGTCATCACCGCGTGGCTCTTCGGCCCCCTGGCCTACTTGAGTGAGTTCAATCGAAGATACTTCTAGCAATTCTAGGAACGTAGCTAACATAGTAACCTCAGGTCTCGGTTCGGGCGGCGCCGCGGATGCCTTCAACTGGCTTCTGAGCCTGAGCACGGTCGCCGGCCTCATCGCGTGGGCGACCCTCTGCTTCTGCTACATCCGCTTCCACCGCGCCATGAAGGTCCAGGGCGTCAGCAGAGACACCCTTCCCTGGAAGGCGCCCTTCCAGCCGTACGCGGCCTGGTTCGGCTTCGTGGGTTCGACCATCATCACCTTCATCGCCGGCTTCTCCGTGTTCCTCGCGGGCAACTGGTCGACCGCCGACTTCATCTCGTCGTACATCGGTATCCCCATCTTCATCGTGCCGATCATCGGCTGGAAGCTTTACCACCGCACAAAGGTTCGTTTCTTCTTTCAACATAACGGAGGCAATGGATGTCAATGTGCTAACTCATACTAGTTTGTCCGCGCCCACGAGATCGACCTGTGGTCTGGCCGTCTTCACGAGTCCGAGTATGTGCCCGAGAAGCCCAAGCCGGAGAACTTCCGCCAGCGCGTGGGCCAGTGGTTTTCATGAGTGTAGAGTCCGGAAGGTATCAGCTTGGAGGTCTACACTTAGGGACGTATGTTGGATGTGGCACAGTCACGCAGCTTGAGTGGAATATTTGAAGTAATAGTAATACTAAAGATCTTGATACAAACTTTCATCTTGTCATGTGGGTTCACAAACGGTATTAGGTGACGCTTCTGGTCTGACCTTGATCGTGTCTAAAGCGCACAGATTCTACCTTTCGATGCCACGACTCTGTCCCTCTCTCTCACTTACTCACCGACAATTGCCTACGAGTCTCAGCTCCGTGGTGATGGGAATCAACATCGACAATCAGGCTGGGCTGCCTCTGAAAAACAACATATCCCTCACACCAGCAAGTCGAAACCTCGCGTAGAGATCGCTAACATTCCGGGCGAGGTCTTGGTCGTCGCCAGGCTGCTTCGTATTCCCAGCCATCACTATCACTCCTCCCAACATCTGAGGTCATTGGCCCGCCAGTGCCTCCGCGCCGATCTCTTGCGTCGTTGTAAATGTAGACATCCCAGCTGCGAGGACGAGGGGGTCCGCCCCTCCACATGGCCAGGAGGCCCGGGTACCAACTCCGTCCCCCGGATATCACACCACCTGCCAAGTCCCCGAGATTGTTCCTACGTCAATCGAGGTCGGACGTGGCCGTCACTTGATCTTATCCATCTATAAACAGAACTTGCGAGTCTGGGCGAGGGGGAAGAAGAGTCGACGATCGACGGATTACTGTAGTTGGGGACCACAAACCCGAACCCGTCATCGCGGAAAAGGGCAGGCCACTCGTAATCACGCACCACATATCCAGCATTTTCACGAAACAGACGGTGCCCCTCCCACGCAGACAGCCCTCTGAACATTCACAAAAGAGGGATGGCCGTCATTCTCAACCATGGTCCACGATACCAAAACCTCTGCGTTGTCAAAACGTAGTGAACGCGAATTGGCGAGCAAGACCTTCTCGGCAGCGGTGCGGTACGTGTTATGTGTACTTGGCGGTCAGCATTGCATTTCGGTACCCAGGGGTCCAGTCCAACGCGCGCGCCGGCTCAATGCGGTATGGCTGATGCTGCAGAGATCTCGGCCGTTCCGTGCAGCAGCTAAAATAGAACGGGTGGGAGAAAGCTGATTCGCTCCGCCAGACAAACTCCATCCCATGCCCGCCGTTTGGCTTCCTGATATCTGACGGGCTCATTGGTGGTGTAAACGGTTTTGGCCCGTCATAGTCGGGGATTGACAACGCTCGAGATCAGGCTGGGAGGCCGGGGCAGATTTTGGCGGGGTAAGGTCCCGGGCGACAGAGAGCTTTTTTATTTCGAGTGTCATGATCTTGCTGGATGTTCCTGCGGTCATCTGTGAGCGAGGGAGGCTGTTGTCGTGGTCCAATATTTGTGATAAGAATACTCTGTCATGAAGCGCCGTATGACAGCGTGACGCCATCGTCTGACTGCTGGAATCGCGAAGTCGGTCATATCATATCGTAATAGGCTCATGAATCAACATGAACTGTACCATTGAGGATTGCTGTTTCTGGTGTTGCGGGAGTCGCCGAAAAGCTTTAACGTGGTTGACACGCTGGCGGCATCTCACTCACGCCTCGGTGAAATAGAAACGGCTTCACGACCGAGACTTCACAAAGGTGTACGAATTGGAAATGACCTCTTAGACACAGACAGATCATTGGCTGTTCCACCCGAGATCCTAAACTGCTCAAACGGTCAGGGGAAGAAGACCGCCAGTCATCGGGACCAGAAAGCCACCCATGGCGGCTAGGCAAGCCACGGGCACTCCCCGTGTGGTGGTGGTCTTGGTGTATCGAATACCAAATTCAGGTGAGTATCATCACCAATGTTTGGCTGATGACGGTGCTAATGAGCATTCCGTGTCAGAGGAGTCGCAGAGTTAGCGCCATGCAAAGGCATCAACGGGGTGGTGTGCAGGCCATGCTCCTGCATGGGTAAGTCTGCGAAAGGGCGCCTTGATTAGGGCTGAGATGTCATGACATCGTAGGTTCTTGTTCGTTCGAGACTATGACCGTCATCGTCGGGCTCAAGACTGCAGACCAATGCCATATCCCTTATCACGCGAATGTAAACTTGACTCTGGCTGACAGCTTGACATCTCCTCGCAACGAGAGAGGTGACGGATACCGTCCCGCGAAGCCTCCAACGTCCTTTTATGAGAAGAAGCACCCCTTTTTGGACCCAAATCCCCAAAGGCAAGGGAGACAGACGGGTAAGGCTGTACGCAAAAGGGTCTCAACGGCACAACGGCTCACTCCCGTGTACCAGTTACCTGGCTGCGTCCCCCCGGCCCTTCGAACTAGCACACCACCCGGGTTATCCAATCCAGGTTTTCGGTCTCGAGGACAAGAGCCCAACGGACGTGGTCCCTCCTTTGGGACTCCTGCGCCGGCTGGGTGATGTCGATCGAGAGAGGGCGAGGGAGGGAGGTACCACCGCGAAGAAGGCCATCATGGATGGGGGCCGAATTTGGCCCCCAAATATCTTTTTGTTAGCAAAGTCGCTGGATTTCTTAGAGAGAGACTGCCCTTTCTTTATAACAGAAAAGCTCCCAGGTCGTTCCAAAGCAACTCAAGTAATCTTCTTTTTTCATCTTTCTCATCGTCTTCCGAAAAATGCCATCTGCTGTGTGCGACTCCGTCGGGAGCCAGATCAACTTCTTCATGCCGCGGACACCTGGCGTAGCAGCAGCATCATCGTCCCCCGAGCCGGCAGAACAAGCCGCGGCCCCCAAGTAAGCTGCCGCACCTCCCCTCTCGCAGGGCCGCTGCATGCACGACCGGATGCGACGAGAAATCTGGTTGGTCATTTAATTCATTGCTGATCTTTCCTCGCAAAGCAGAAACGCGACGGCGAAAAATGGGCCGCAAGTCCTCACGTTTGCGCTGCAGAGGCGGCCTCGAGCGACGAGGGCCAGTAGCAATAAGGTCCGGACGGGGTGTGTTACTTGTAAGCGCCGCTTGTTTTTTTTTTTCTCTGCGTGTTTCGATTTATATTGCAACGTTGTACCAGTTTCGACTGACAAAAGACGACAGGCAAGTGAGTTGAAAATCGGTTTCTTGCCGGGTTTGTGTGCTCGACCGGTTGGTTTCCTTGCTCATGCTCCTGGCAGACGACGACATGTAAAGTGCGACGAGGCGAAGCCCTCGTGTCAGAGATGCGTCAAGTGGAAGGGCTTTTGCACGGGTTACGAGACCTCTTCAAGCGATTCACCGGCCTCCACCCCGACGCCGGACGCCGATTATAACTGCGATGCGATGACCGAAGGTCAAACCGTGGGCGGGGACGCCAGCGAGGAGCGGCCGGCCGAAGACGTCAGCTTGCTCCTCGAGCCGCCGACGACCACCCCCTCCCAAGACGGCATCGAACGCCAATACTTCAACCACTGGCTCGCCCACCGCACCCGCCTCGGCGGCGGCCTCTTCGACGAGCGCCTCTGGGACGACACGATCCCCCAGCTGAGCCGCCAGCACGCCTCGGTCCGGTACGCCGTCGCGGCCGCCGGCGCCATCGCCAAGGCCCTCAACAACAGCATGCGACCGACGCACCCCGCCCGGATGGGCGCCAACGGCCCGCACTACGGCGCCGCGCTGTCGTACTACGGCCGCGCCATCCGCGAGGTCCGCAGCTCCCGCCAGATGGACACCGGCAGCCTCCGCGCCGCCATCGTCTGCTGCCTCCTCTTCGTCTCCTTCGAGGTGCTCCACGGGGACCGCCGGGCGGCGTTCTCGCACATCAATAACGGGCAGCGGATGATGGACGAGCTGCTGCGCGTGTGCGACGGGGGTGGTCCCGCGCAGCAGGAGGAGGAGGGCGGGAGGGGGAATGTGATCGGGGCCGAGGCCGTCGAGATCGACGTCCTTCATGTTTTCCAGCGGCTCATTCAACAGTCCTGGTCCTGCGGTGTCCTCCGGCGACGACGGCAGCAGACGTCCTGCGGTTCTGATGGCGATGATGCGCGGACCGCCGACGAGCCGTGGTGTTGCCGAGGGGGTTCCGGTAGGAAGTGCGTCGTCGACAAGATGCCCCCGTCGTTCGCGACGCTCCAGGAAGCCCGTCGGTGGTGGGACGTCACGCAGCACTTCGTCATCCACTCCTCCGACATCGTCTGCAGAATCACCCATCTCGGCCTCGGCGACGACTTCCTCTCCGAGTGCAACGAGCGCGTCCGGAAACACATGGACGCCGTCGAGAAGGCCGGAGCGGGCGCCAAACCGTCGGCGACAACCTCGGAGCAATGGCGGGACTTTAAAGACGTCCTTGACCGGTGGCGCGGCGGCTTCGAACCCCTTTGGGAAGCAGCCGCGAAGTCAAGACACGAAGACGAAAAGGCGTACGCGCAGGCGGCGCTCCTACGCGCGCACTACCTCGCCATGCACGGCTGCGTCCACGCGCCCCTGGGCTGCGACTATGAGAGCGTCGCGCGGCTGACGCCGACGTACCGCGAGGTCGTCGAGCTCTGCGGGTACCTCCTCACGTACCAGCGGCGGTCCTTCGAGGGGGGGTACAACAACGGCGAGGAGGTGTTCACCATGGACATCGGCCCGACGTGGCCTCTCCTTCTCGCGGGCACGCGGTGTCGGGACCCCGGGGTGCGGGACGAGGCGATCCGGCTACTCCGCGAGAATCCGAGGCGCGACGGGCTGTGGGATAGTCGGATGTTCTACGCGCTGACGGCTCGGAATCGGGTGCTCGAGGCGTCCAACGCGCAGGAGGGCGGTCTTGAAGAGCAGTGGTGGCGGCTGCAGCATCGGTCTGCGTACGTCGACGAGCAGGGCCGGTTGATGGCGCGGGGTTTGGAGAAGAATACGTTGACGGAGACGTGGGAGTTTTCCGAGGACGATCTGAGCCGTTTCCTGTTTGACTGATGTCGCTGGTAATGAACTGCTTGACTTTCGGTGGATGGGTCAGGTGGGTTGTAAAGTGACGAATATGTCACTTGCTCGTCGCCTCAAGAGGCGAGGTGAGGGGCTTAGGGCCACGATTTGATGAAGACCCATGGCATTAAACGGTCTCTTAATTACAACTTACCTCCTGTTAGATGCCTCACCTACGAGAACATACTACATGAATTTTTGATCACTTGATGCTTCAAAGACACAAGTGTGATGTTGGGTTTTAGTCAGATGAAAAAAAGCAGACATGCATAACAAAATGAGATCCCACAAGCATCATCTCCTTCCAAAACGCCAGTATAATCGAAGCATTCAAATCATACAAACCATAACTCATACAAACTAAGCAAAACAATCTTATCCAAGTATAGACACTAGATCCCGAAGCAAACTTATGAGGATTGAAGATGGACGGTAACAAACTCCAAATCATCCGAAGCCACGACGTCATCGCAGCAGCGGGGTCAGCACAGCACAGCATCATACCCCTCAACTCACCACGCTTCATTCTCATTATGATGAGATCCGTAGGAAAAAATGATAATAATAATCTGGATCACACACAATTGAGTCGACGCTGTTCTTGTGAAAATCCTCTTAAATCTCAACCGTCGTGGCGTGACCAAAACCGGGCCCGGCGGTGATGAATCATAGACGAGAGAGCGACCGCCTCTGTCCCAAAAACCCTCAAACAGCGAAAACCATCATCTCATAAACAAACAACCCACGAACTTTACTCACCTTCAAAACCCACATCACCCGCAACCCGACACATGCCTCCCGTCCGCACCCATCGCCTAGCACAACTGACAAGCCACCTAACCCGCACAATGTCCTCATCATCCCCGACCGCCCCGGGCCCGGCGCCCTGGCGCGCCCCCTTCCTCAAAAACGTCACGGAAATGGCCTCGCCCGAGTTCACCCTCGCGACGATCCACGCCGGCCCGACCCCGACCGCGGGCCAGCAGCCCTCGCTCTCGCCGCGCACCCGCACCGTCATCTTCCGCGGCCTCTGGGCCTCGCTCCCCGTCAACCCCAAGAACACGGCCGAGCTGAACCCGCAGGTCTACGAGAGCGACATGCTCACCCTGACGACGGACGCGCGCATGGCCAAGGTCCCGGACTTCTTCGGCTCCTCGTCCACGACGGCGTCCGACGGGACGACCAGCTCGGGCGGCGGGGCGCCGGTGGAAGCGTGTTTCTGGACGGACGCGAAGGTCCAGTGGCGCGTCCGCGGCGAGGCGTACGTCCTCGGTCCGGATATCGAGGGGTCCTCCTCCGCGGCCCTCCGCGAGAAGCTGCTCTCGCGCATGCGGCGGCTGTCCGAGTCCGAGGCCCATAAGAGAACGGCCGAGGACCTGCCGTCCGAGGTCAGGGGCCACGTCGTCGCCGCTGACGGCTCGGGATGGAGGTTCGACCGGGAGGTGACGGCGCACTTTGGCAACCTGAGCCCCGGGATGCGCGGCACCTTCCGCAATCCGGAGCCCGGCGCGGCTCGGAAGGCGAACCCGCCGGACGACACTTACAAGCTCGGGCAGAAGGTCGAAGACCTCCACGACAAGGCCGCGAGGGCCAATTTCCGTGTCGTGGTGATTGTGCCGACGGAGGTGGACCAGACGGACCTGAGCGACGCGGAGGACCCGCGGCGTTGGCTGTACCGGTTCATCGGCGCGGCGGCCGACGGGGAGAAGCCGGAGGGCGCTGAGAGGGCCAACGGGTGGGAAAAGATTGAGACCTGGCCATGAGGCAAGGGCGGGGAACGGGAGGGTTCGTTGAGGCACACGAAACGACTGAATGGTGGTACGCTCGTCTTGGCTTAAAGTGTACCGATGGTCACAGGCTTACAGTGACCAACAGTGACCAACTTGTCGTAGGTCTCTAGAATAGCTTCATCATACTGTGCTCATCTCACATGTCCTCAGTCCATCATCGTACAATGAAGCCACGACACACGGACAGCATCTCGGTGGACGAGCGGCAGTCCCGTCCCATTCCCATCTGAGGCACCTCCCGGCGTCTGTGCAAGATGACAAGAAGGGTGGCTGACAGTGTGAACATAAGCTGGCCGAGCCGTGCCGTGCTTACACCCCCTCACCGGTCGATCGAAAAGGGATACATGACCCATATTGCGCACCTCGCCCGAGTTCTGTTGGTACAGGGGTTGTTGGCGATTGACCGGCCTTGGTGTAAGCAAGCGGGCAAGCAGGTCGGAGAACAGGACGGCCGGTTCCCTGAATTGGATACTATTGCGTCCGATGGATCTGCGTCGCTGCGCGGGATGAGATGTCCTAAGGCATGTACGCGTGAGATAACCAGGGCCTCGTTGAATTCGGCCAGCAATGCGTCCGTTCATGTTGCTTCTTGTTGGTTCTCAACGTCCCTAAGAACGACGAAAAGTGACAGGTTGTACGCGTGGGCTTGCGTGATGTCAAGACCGCTTCGACGCAAAGCCCCGCCCGGTACGAAGGCGGTCTTCACCTTTGACCGTCGTCCGTGCCGGGGAATCTCACATCAAACCGCGAGACCTTGTTAAAATCTCGCCGACGTGAGCGAGCATCCACTGAATAGCTCTTCTAGGCGTTCGGTGTCGACAAGATAATATCGGCAAAGAATCATCTCGAAGCTCAACCATGGATAGCCCCGGCACAAGCCACATGGCAATTCCGATCAAAATAACGAGGTCCCTCGGTCTCGCAACTCGGCTCATCCCTGACACAACCTGAAAACGGCTCTGAAGAGGATTGAAGAATTTCCTCACATCTCATCGTTTGGCCGGTTCGCTGCTACGTAAGAAACGGGGTCCTCCTCCCCGATGAGGTGAACAGACCGACAAGCAGAAATGGACGACACCAGGGCTGAAATCAGAGGCAGAGGCAGAGGCGCTAGGAGACGACGGTTACCAGCCCCCTTCCTCCGGCCTTTTGTTTTCAACACACGAAAAACTTCGTACCCGTCTCCATAGCTAGTCAGTCATCCCACATGGCAGCCATGCAAGCCCTAAACCGCAACAGAAGCTTCTCTCCACTCCGGATCTGGGAGCGCTGCTTCCGCGAGTCCTTGGCTCAGGCCGTCATTTGCTGTCGCGTTAACACTACGGAGTAGTGCCCGGAGAAGAAAGAGGGCGTCTCGTGGATTCCTGTTCTTCTTCCGTTGTTTTGGCGGGTCTGAGACGCGAAGCTCAGTCGATCATGCCATCCCAAGAAACAGAGCCCGGGTCTGATGAACGATTGTAATGTTTGAGAGAAGTGTGCAAAGCCTGGTTGCAACCGCTAATCTGACAGATTGCCTGTTTTCTTCCTTTTCAAGGAAGCGCTGCGTTCGTCCGCGCGGGTACGTAAAACAGAGGTGGTATTAGACCAAGGGTCGGGGCTGCAGCGGGCGATCGATGTTCCCTGCCTTCTATCGTTGCCGACCGACTAAGTTGGCCCGGAAGAGCTGTGATAAGATGATGGTGTGGGCGGCGTCAGGCGGAGTTTCTTGCAACGTTAAGCTAGACGATGATATTTGACAAAAGTCCTCTTGATTTCGTCAAACAGGGGCATAAACTCTAAACCGCGCGAGGTCAAGACTCGAGAGACATCGTCTTTCGTCCGTTGCGGACATTGCGGAGCGGCTCCGACGCGTCCTCGTCTCTTGGGCTTGTGTCTTCTTTCCACGTGCGAAGCCGCCGGCGAGCGAGCGCAAGGTGTCCCGTTAGCTGCCGGATGCTGGCTGTCCAATGACAGATCTTTCGGCACCCGCAATGCTCGCCTAGCCGCCGACGCAGCATCACGAGATCAGGTTCCGTGGCAGATGGGGCTTCAGTGCCTTGATTCGTCGGGAACATCTCGTGCTTGTCGATGAATCGGGGGGGAATCAGAACGGTTGGGGGATCCGCACTTTGCTGCAACCCTTTCTCACCCCAAAGAAACAACCTCCAAAAACCGCGACATCGCCGGCCGACCTTGCAGAACAGGCGGGTGCTATGCGCAGCAGGTGGCCGGGTCGGGTCGATTTGTCGAAGTGTCCGCATCTTGCATGGGAACAGGCGGCGACTCAGTGTCTCCCGAAACTCTACTATGTAGGCCGGCACGATACGATGTTAGCCTCCAGCTCCATCGCATCGCAATAAGATCGTGGTCGTGCGCCTTGTCAGGCACTTAAGATTATCGACGCCATATGTCAGTCCGGGTTGTTCCTTGACACCTCGAACACGTACGCGTAGTCCTCACTGGCTCGGACCGCATCGAGGACTGAGAGCCTCGTCTGAATAGAGTCCGAAGTAAGTGCTGAGTTGAGCATTCCAGGTCATCGGCAAAATAGACGAAGCTTCTTCCTTCTCCCATCTTCGTGTCCTGCAGACTTGCTGCGCGGTGCCGCATCTGGCTCGCAAACCAATCCAGAGATGGACTGACATTGCATACTGCAACTCGTAAGGCTAAAAATTGACACGGAGGATTAAAACGTCAGATTGATGAGTTCCTGCCACACGCAGACTAGACACTGCCGGACGAAAGCGGTGTCACTCCTGTTTCTCCCAGATCGGACACGACATTGGATCGCCGGAGGAACCGCCCGCTTGACATGACCATTTCGCTGCCGCTGCCGCTGCCGCTGTCGCCTTGCGGGGTCAAACGGATGTGTCGCTGTCGCCGACATGCGCGTGTTTGGGTGTGTGGGCGCTGACGTTGCCTCTGTTTGGCCCAAGGTGCCTCACCGTTATTTTGAACTCGTTCTGCCCGGGAGTGTCCTTGTCGTGTACTCAGGTCTTGTTGTGAGGTGGGAGTAGACATTCTGCCTGCTGGTGAGCTGCATGAGAGTTTATAGGGCTCGCAAGCCCGCTAGCTGCGCAGCAGCGATCGAGGCGATATGGGATGAATTTGCGATCGAAGCCTCACGGTAGCTCTTTCGCTGGATTCTGGGGGATGCGATTGCCTGCAGTCGTCCGTCCTCATGTGTTTCGGACAAGATGGTGCATGACTGGACAGTGAATAAGAACGACGGCGTTGTGAGAAACCGCTGTTTACAGGCACGCCACCACCAACAATAAGGTTCGGACTCAACAGTAGACTTCAGACGTTGTCCAGTCCGTCAGCGGTTGTAGTTGACGCGGCAGATAGTGAAGGGAACCGAATCAGCCTCAGACCATCGGCATTGATATCATGAGTAGTATCTTGCCTGCTCTGTTAGTTTTGACGTTGAAGTCATCGCTCGGCTCAGTATGGCACAGAAGGTCCGTAGACACCGGAAATAGCGAGACAACATATGCGCTCGGCCCTGACTCCAACGTTCAGCGGGGGCTACTGCGGCCGAAAACGACGATATCAGACAAGCGTGGTTCTTATGAGCCCAGTCGAGACCACCATATCACAGTAGTATGTTGAGTCGGAGTGATAATCGGCATGAGCCAGCTTAATCCAGGCCGTTTGAAGACGTTTCTGGGTATTCGCGGGGATTGTCCTGGTACAGACTTCGAGGGTTTCATGGGACATCGTGCGAGTCCATTGCCTGACTCTACTGACGGCACCCTCGGGCGGATGGAGCCGAACAGCTCAGGTTCTGGTTGCCAGCGCGCATTTCTGACCTGGTTTGATGTTTTGCCGGTGTTGGCTGCCATTCGATACTTCGATTCAAAATCGGTACAGGCGCCTCTTGCCAAACACTTGCATCTGCGTTACCAACAGGCCGCGGGGTAATTAGCTCAGCGCCCTGCCGGTGGACACAGCGAGTGGGTTTGGAGCCGACCTTCTCTTGCGGCGATGCTGATCTGAAAGTCCACTTGTCAGCAGCTGGGGGTTTAAAGACATCAGACTTGGGATGTCGGCAAGTCGTCTGATGTGGTTATCGAAAACTGCAAAACGCGCAGGCGACAGGAACATCGAAGCAGCCAGGTGAGGAGAAAAGCGGCGTGCAAAAACGCCAACGCATCAAGACGCAAACAACAGGGTGTGATAATGAACTGGATGGTTGCCGGTTGGGGCTAAAGGCGGGCAATTTGCTTGATCTGCAGCGGTGCAGACGCAGACGAGAGGATCGTAAGCTGCAGGCCTTGAGTGGATGGACAAGTGACCATCATATGCATGAGGTGCATAGACAACGAGTTCCATCTGCTCTTGTTGGTGGTCGGAGAGTGCCGCATTTCTGGCTGTCTTGACCGTCTGCTGTCCAGCCAAGACGAACTGACGTGGGTACTCTCGATGAGGAGGTTCTGTTGCGGCAAAAAAAAAAAAAACCACCACAAACTGTCCTTTCCGTGTCCACGCTCGTTTTGGTTCTTCGAAGTGAGGGTTGGAGGAAAGTATCGTCGCATCCATATCGGACTGGGACCTCACGTTCGCTTGGCAACGAACCCCGGTCTTTTCTTTTCGCCCCTGATATTATTGAATCAAGGTCAGGCTAGGGGAGCGGACAGGCACAACGGCGCAGGGTCATGGGCTGCGGAAAAGCCCCTCAGCTGCAAGATTGAGCTCCAACAATGCTTTTCTTCGCCTTGAGAGTCGAGAGGTTATCAATAGGAACCATTAAGCATGGCCAGTGTGTTGCAGCTCCTTGCCATGACGAAAGGCACACGATTAAGTTGCTATGCGGCAGGAAAGCAGTGCTAGCCCATGGCAGTGAGGAGAAAGAAGGCTAGCAACGACGATCAACGAGGGATGCTGTCGAGGGTTGTTTCACCCTGGCCGGCCTCCACATGATGATTTGTTCGAGAAGCTCTGAAAGAAGCCAGGCTGCCAGCGGTTGGTATCCACGCAGGCCGTACGAATACGCCGTCGCTGTATCAAAGGCCGCGATTGCGTGGGCTGGCGCAATGGTCGGCAGGGGAGAAAAGGGAAGGTTGCAATCGACGGGCAATTCGAAACCCTCGAGGATCAGCATACTGTGTGTTTGGTTTGGTTTCGAACCGCAGTCGGCCTAATATGGCGTGACCCTGGGTCTTAGCATCACGGTTCTGTTGCTTTTTTCCCCCTTTCGCGGATGCTTTGAGTGCAGTGTTGCGTCCGTAGAGGAAGATCTTGTTGAACCTCCATTCGGATCGGTAGTACGACTGCCGAACGGGCTTCGTTCCGTTGCGATTCGCAGTGACCGTTGCATTGGCTATAGAATGGCCGGTATAGCTTCAGCTTCAGCAGCTCACCAGTCAACGAGCGAGTGCCGATCGTATGCTATCCAGTAACAGGCCCGAAGTCAATTGCCTCCTTTGTTGGTGCCTTTCAAGCACAGACACGGAGGGCAAGGGCTCTTATTATCGTGCAGAGTAGCGGCGGAGACGGCGCCGCAAGTCGGGGCCACGTCCGACGAGCGGAGTCAAGGACAGCCGGCGGTGACGGACGTGTTGACAGTTGTGCGGCTGGGGTACAGAATACGTAGCTACTTCGTAGTGTACATAGTAGCACAGAGAATGGCGGCTCGTTTTCTGATGAGACCTGGTCTCGGGGCAGGCCTCTAGCATGTCTCTGTTTAGCGCTGATGTCCGGTACAGGTAGGCCGGATCCGAGGTGAGAGCTTGATTGAGGCTGGCATGATTGATCTGAGCCAGTCTTGGGTGGTGAGAGTGGACTGGCGCGAGGAATGTTGCGTAGTCAGCTGGAGGTGGGTGTTGGGTCTGAAGATGAAAGCATGCCGAGAGCCGAGGATAACGACGAAGAAGGGCTCTGAGAGGTTAGTTTGGTGCGCAATGTTGGCTGTTGTGCATCTGAAGTTTTCGTGGTAGGAAACAGTGCCGGAGGGCAGGGCTTTGAGCATCCACGGCAATTAAAGTAGGGCACGTAACGGCCGTAAGTGATGGGCAGCGGGCTTGACGTATCGGTATGTATTTCGAGGCTGCATGGCAGTTGGAGACCTTGCGGACCGAGAAGAAGTATTGCTGTGTTTGATGGCCGGGTGCGGGTGTTTTTGAAGCAGAGTTGCAGTTGAAACTGGCATCGATGAATTGGCGACGGTTGAAGGTGAGATAGATGGATGGGCAAATTTGAAGGGCGAATGATGGCCGCAGCTTCGCATCTCGAAGCACCCTGTAGCCGATTCAAGTCCCGTAGCCGTTGGCGATGCGAGGGGAGAAGGGGAAAAGAAAGGTTGGAGAAGTTCGGGTTGGCCTGCAGGTGGATGGAGTCAACGGATCTGGTGATGAGCGCGCGTTGTTGCCGTTGGAGTGTGAATCTCCGCTTCGGACGAGGTTTTCGCGTGGAGTACGGATACCTACCTTAGGTAGACAGGTACATTGCGATATGTATCTTGCCTAAGGTACCGAGGTACAGTATTTAGGGATTTCGTACAAAGTATTCGGAGCCCTGCCTGCCTTCCCCGATCGCTCCTCGCCGTTTCCCATTGTGCCTGCCTGCCGTGATTATTTAAGACTTTTTGATGAGAAGAAGTTGAGGGAAGGTACGGACGAAGTAAGGTACCTCAGGTAGGCTCTTCCCTAGTAAAGCAACTGTGCGCCCTGAACTGGAAATCGAAGGAAGGTCCCTCCCGCCCGCCTTCCGTAGCTCGTCGGCGGTGGGTACGTACCTCACCCTCACTCTCATCCTCACCGGGCAGTCGCAGTCGGACTGGGCATTCCATGTCTGCTTCGTTATTTCTCCATGTTGGCTATTCACTGTGAGAGGAAGGTAGAGAGAAGACTCCCGGTACCCAGCAGCATTTCTTGAGGCTACAGGCTTGAGGCGTCCATTGCCCTGAACATCGAGGGGACCCCGTCTTTTTGCGGAAGGACCGTCGTGGGCAGTGGACTTGACTCCTCCTTCCCGTCCACAATTCTTAGCTGCGTCCGTCTTCTCCACACCACGGGCGTGTGCCTGTCCCTGCCTGCTGCCCTGTCCACCTCACACGTTCACGTCCTGGTCCCTGTCTCCATCTCCATCTCCCGTGCCTTGCCATTTGCTGTTTTGGTCTTGCTGCTGTTATAGTACTAAGTTTGTTCATCTTGTGGTTTACCTACCTTTTGTTGCTGGGCCCCATAAGGGTTTGCCTCGCTACAAGTACCTCGGTCTTGCTGCTGTTGCTGTCTGTTGGCAGTTGGCAGTTGCCCGTTGTTGTCAGGTTGCCCTCGTCGCCCTTCCTCTTTCTTTTCTGCCCCTGCTCTTGCTCTTGCTCCTGTTGCTTCCCCCCCGGCTCCTCTTCCCGCCGGGAATACGTACCCATCGTTTTGCTTTACGGAGTATTCCTCTGTAGACCTGGGCTCCATTCTCCATTCTCCGTCACCTCCAGTCTCCAAGTCTCCAGTCCAGTCCATCCTGCTTTTTTGCTCTGGCTGCATCTGCATCTGCATCAACTGCATCGTCTGCGTCTGCGCCTGCGTCTGCACCTTACACAAGCGCCCCTACCTTACAGTGCACCTACGAATTGTTCTTGCTGCTCCTACTCCGTACTCCGCTTCTCATCCTTATCCTCATCCTCATATCCGCCGCCTCTTTCATTCTTACTCAAGCCCTTTTGTGCCGCCTTATGCCATTGGTTTTCTCCTCTCCCAGGCTCATGCGTCCACACTCTGTCACACCCCCACCGCTTTCACATCGCACAACTTTCCTCTCATAATCGCCTCTCCTCCTTCTCCTCGCTACCCTCCTCTTCCTCTTCCCCCCCAGACCCGTGTGTTCTGCTCTGCCTGCTTTGCTCTTTTCTACCTCGCCTGGCAAACACCATCGCGCCTTTGACGACGCTGCAGCTTGCCGTTGGATTCGCCATCTTGGATACACGTCTCCTACGAACTCGACTCGAAGACACGACACGCCTCGCGTTCTGTCTCACGCCCACTCCTCGTCGCATCCTCCTCCGTCACCTTTCCCGCCCAGCATTAGCGGCTTCAGCTAGTGCAATTGACCCCCAATTTCGACGCCAAGCACACGAAGCCATTGACATTGGAAACGCTACCTACTGAGGTACGGTACGGATACATTTTCACGGGCGCATTTTCCCGAAGCCGCTTCCGCCTCCATCTGCCATTGCGGATCCTACTACTCCTCTCCTCCCGTTACCTTACTTTAGCACGCCGTCGCTTGTCTGCCGATATCAAGGAGACCTGCCTTGCTTTGCCTCTCTGTATCCATCTCATCCCTCCATCCATCTATATCTCACTTCTTTTTCCACCCCGTCCACAAATTCCAGGCCCGAACCTGGAGACGTTCCCACGCAGATCTCGAGTCGCCTTTTTAGCGGCCGATCACATTCACCCAATCCACGGCTTTCTTCCGACGCCTCGACAAGCCAGTCGCTTTTTCTGCCCGACACGATTCCGTTCGTTGCCTTTTGCCGGAACGAAATACCGCCACTAGTTCAATTTCAACTCCCGCCCGGTCCCGAGCGTGGACCAGACAGACGTCCTTAACTTCTCGACGCCCCGGCATCACCCTCTACGTGACGCCCGAATTTCGACCTCGTCCTCTCCTATTGACTCCAACTGCGGTACGACCCCTCAGGAAGAGACACGCCAACCTCGCTTGCTGGCGGATCATGCTTCGCCCATAAGCACGCCGATCCATTCCTCTTTCCTCACCTTCCCCATCGTCGACTCTGCAGTGCCGATCACCGCCCCATATTCCACCGAACAATCCCCTCAAAACCTGCTACCGTCGCTACTGCCATTGCTGCTTCCTGCGACCGGCTATCTCGATCGACTTTTGCATTCTCCCCGCATCTAGACGTTAGGCTGGCCACGCGCACCTAACGTCCTCAACCAATTCAACACGGCCAACCTACGACACGGAGACGACTACCGCACCTTGACAATGGACGCCCTCAAGAACATCATCAACAATGTCCCCGATTGGGTGCAGCAACTCGACAAGATGGGAGACGAGATCGACCAACGCCAGGCCCAACTAGCTGCCTTGAGCATCACGAGCTCTTCGAAATCCCTCCGGAATAAGGGCTCTACTGAATCGCTCAAGCTCAAGGACGAAAATGACGATGCCGCCCCTGCACCTGTGGATGGAGTCACTGCCGACGAACCAGATAGCTCGCGAGCTGCCGGTGAAGCCGCGCTGCCCCACGGCGAGAAGAAGACTACACATCCGTCGAGCCCGAGCAGTGAGACGCCCTCGGCTCTTCAGAAGCAAACCAAGGACTCGTTCGCGAAAGCACAAGCGTACGCGAGAGCGGAGGTCAAGAAGCGTGTGCGCACAGAGTCTGTCATGTCAGATCAGGAGGGCGGCCCGTCCAAGTACCGCAGCAAGACGCAAGTTGAGGTCTTTTACGACGAGTTTGTGGAAAAGTTCTTTGAAGATTTGGTCAAGTTTGTATCCGCAAGCAGAAACCTTATGCGGAAGGCCAAGATGGCGGCCAAGGTGGCGCACATTCGCCGCATGGCAGAACTCGAGGGTCCCGGCGATGGAGACGAAGACGACTCTGGGGACCTGAAGGCGGATACGTCCCTGAGTGCCGGCCCCACATCCGAAGCCCTCCCGTCTCTGCGGTACATGAGCACGCGACGCATGGGCCCGAGAGGCGCTCACTCATATTCAAGAGCCGGCCAGGCCGGCGGTATGGACGACACTCCCGGCGCCTACGACGAGCTCGACAAGAACTTGGAATATGTTCAAGGGACAGCCGAGCATGCGGCTCACCAGTTTTTGCGCGACGGACAGTGCAGGGAGGAGATTGCCAACATCCAACGGCGTCTGGTGGATACGAAGGAGCTGGCCGCCAAAGAGATGGAGCGTGTAGAGAGAGAGGAACCCGAGCTTCTGAAGGCGGTCAGTGAGTCGAACAAGGTGCGGACTCTTCGACCAACGAGCATGCGGCGGGAGCTCACGCCCGCCAAGGACAGCAACCCGCCCATCACCCCGAGAAAATTTGAGGTTGATGCCAAGCTCGAGGCGGACACCAAGACGCCGACGACCAAGACGGTCGAGGTGGACATGTCCAAGCCGCTAGAGGCGGACGACGCGCCTATTGAGGCAGACGACGAGGGCATCGACGACATGGAGATCTCGCTTCCTCCGAGGTTGAACTACCGGTCCACTCGGGCCATGAGGGGACCACCACGCCAGTAGAATTACGCGCCAACGCACGCACGCATAAACACGCAATTCCTACCTATTTTCATGACTGATACGGCCTCACCGGGGAAGAGAAGCATTTTGGGACCAAAAGCATTGAGAAGGGGAGGGGGGGAGGCCTTGAGTGTTTCCCGATGACGACGACGACATCGAACCAAAAAATCAAACCAAAACCACAACACGTGCATAGCATAGCGTCTGCTTCATCACCATCGCTTCCGATTTGCATTGGGGATACCGAGTCAATTTATTCGAACGTGGGGAGAGAAAATCTCGCGAGGGCCAGTTCAAAGAAACGATGTTCCTTTTTTTTTTTCTTATTTCCGTCTTGTCTAAAAGATCTGATCCTAATGACGGGGAGTTTTTCATCATTTATTTATTTTTCATTTTTGGAGAGTCTACATAGTCGGTGGTGATGTGTTGGGGGCGGGGCGGTGTTGATGCGGCTTTTTGTCAAAAATTTCCGTCTAGGCCAAATATCCAAGCGAAGCAGTTGGTGATTTCTGTTTATGAACTTGTGCTGTCTACTATGGTGTCCTAAATGTGATGCGTGATGCTCGGAGTTGCCACTGTCGTCTGTGAGCTCGCTACCCATGACGACCGCGCAATGGCTCGAGTGATGAAACGAGCTTCAGAATGACTATGATCAACAATCCAATCAAGATTGCCCAGGCTGTCGTGTCTATCCTCTACCGCGGACGATCTAGTCTTTCTTCAGGTTGGATGTCTTCTCAGACCCTCCTCCTTGATCGTGTTTATACCTCCTGCTTCTCACTGACCCCCGCCGCAGCCGCAAGAATGCCGGCGCCCTTGATGCCCCCGTCGTGGCAGGGGCTCAGGACTACTTTCACGGGCGGCCTGCCGTCGAACTCGAGCTTCACGATCTCGGCGAGAAACATCTGCGTGTCGGCCAGGTAGTTTTGGAAGTGCGAGATGCACCCGCCGGTGTACCCGACGCCGAGCTCCCGCGCCTCGCCGCCGCCGTCCGCGAGCGAGTCCCGCTCGGGAATGTCTTCGGCGAGTCGGAGGAGGGCGACGGTGGCCGCCGCGACGATGCCAGCAGCGCGGAGCTCGATCACCTTGGCCATTTCGTAGAGCGCTTGTGCCGTTTCCTCGGTCCATCTGAAGGGGGAGGATGGGTCTGGCGGGAACTCGGCCTCGAGCTTGGAGAGCATGGTGGAACCGTCGGCGGGTTTGAAATGGCTCAGGAAGGTCGTCGTGAGGCCGTAGCTGGCGCGTAGTTTTGGCGGGAGCGTGTTCTCGTCGACGCCTGTTGATTCGAGGTACGCTACCAGCATCAGGCGTCCTAGCTCGCCGAGATAGCGGCCGGCCGTCATGTACTCTAGCGGTTGGAATCCGGTGATCTCGCCGGGGCCCAGCAGCGCCGCGTCGAGGGCGGCGTCCCATGGTGTGATGAGGTCGAGTTCGCGGAGGGGAGGGGCGGTGCCGCGGATGGACCATTCCGTGTTCACGGCTATGCGGACGTCGCGGGCGGATTCTCCGGGGAGGAGGGAGACGTTGGAGGGCTGCTTGGCAGGGCCTAGGAGGGAGAGTTTAAGGGGGATGGTGGCGTTGCAGCCCGTGCCGACGATGAGGCCCATTGAGGCCTTCGAGGTTGGAGGGGAGAGGTAGATGTATGAGATTAGAGTCGAGACGGCGTCGTTTGAGATAGCGGCGATGCGGATGGGTGGGAGTTTTGTTGTGGCGCCATCTCCATTGGTCTCCTCGGTCTCGCGCGCCTTGTCGTAACCGCGTAGAATCAAAGGCCCAAGTTCGGCGTCGCCTTTGATGCTGAAGCCCTTTCCCATAGTCATGACCGTCGCGTCTGAGATGGAGTTCTGTGTCATTGGGAAGCTGAAGGTCAGGCCCAAGGGCAAGGGGACGGAGGAATCGTCTGCTAGAGATGGCCATTCTTGGAGGGCTTCGCGGACGACGGTCGCGATGCGGTTGCCGATCCAGTCGAAGAGTTGTTGAGGGGATGCGGAGGATTCAGCTTTGAGGGCGTTGTCTATGGGCCAGGCTTTCTCCTTCACGCGCAGGGTCGGAGGGCTGTTGCCGTTTGTCGTGAGATGGGTGGCTTCTGCGCCCAAGAGTTCGACGAAGCCTACTCTGAGGTTTGTGCCGCCGCTGATTTGAGGGTTAGTCATGAGAGAATAGCAGTAGTGACGGTGGTGATGAGTGACGATGAGTCAATGGCGTGGTGTTGTGAGGACGTACATGTCTATGGCCAAATGTCTGTCGTCTGGTGTTAGCTGGATGTCTACTGTCGGTTTTTGGAAGACGAATTGTCGTGGCGGCAGGTGCCCAAGACAAGTAATACATACCTACCGTGACCGTGCTGGCTGACGGGTCTCAGGATTGACTCTGAGATGGGTGTGGGGAGGAATTGATCGTGGGCGTTGAGGGCGAGGTCCTTGAAGTTGGAGTAGAACAGGCGGGACAGCGTATGAATCTTTTGGACGTCGACGTGGAGCGGCTGCAGGAAGTCCTGCAGGGCAGAGCCGGGATCCATGGTCGTGGGATGTTTGCTGAAGACCCGTGTGGTGCGCAGGGCGTTGGACTTTTGGTAACCTGTGACGGGTCGTGTGTGTTGTTCTTGTGAAGTAAGGCGCTGCGGATATGAAGCTGAGGCGTTTCCTGTTTTCCCCGAGCTGAGACTGAGACCGAGACGGCTTGGTCTATCTCTCTGGTGGTTGTTTCCTGCTGGCGGTTTATCTGGTGATTTTGGGGAAAGAGGGTCCGGTCATGTTTCTTTGACGGGGAGGAAGTGGCGCTTCGGAGAAGGGGGCGATAGAGGAAAAGGAATTATCACGAAGAAATAAAGTAAAGTCCGTTGACATCCAACGGTAAAATGAGAGCGAAGAGGAGAAGGGTTTCAAATATGTCGTCTACTGAAGAACAGCCCCCGTTTGCATTGGATGTCGTAGGGCACGTTACACTCAGCTGTGATGCGGTGCTGTTTTCCCCCTTTGGCTGGAGACTGGAGACTGGAGGTCCCAGTGGAAGTGAGGAGTGAGGGAGTGAGGAGTGAGAAGTGGATGCATATCTCAAATGCCCACTGTGTTCGAGGCCCTAGTTATTATCTGCATGTCTGCTTTATGTAAGGCGTTTTCCCCTTGTGACATGACTCTCCGTCACGATTCCTGCTTTTTTAAAGAGACGTTGAATCAGGTCTTTGCTAAGGTAAGGACCGATCTTGTCTGTGGTTCCCGACACAGATCAGATGGAAGACTTGATATCCCATGTTACCCTTGTCCGTACCGTGAGGACTTCCCATAATGCTCTTATCCGCACTGTTGCATCAGGTACTTTCCTCGGACGAATGCAACAACATCACGCCTGAAGACACTGACCAGCTGCTATCCGCGTAAGGCACTGCCCTGTGGTGGACTGGCGCTATTGAGGGGCGCTATTGAGGGGCAATGGCGCTGAGACCCCGCTGTTGCCCGTTGTAGGGGAGCTTTGGCCATGTCCTGTGGAAGTTGGAGATCGGAAGATATAAAGATACATGAAATTACACGATTTATACACCAAGTCAAGAGTATCTCTGTAACGTCATGCAGCCTTTCCGCTTCCAGCTAGCATCGGTCCCTTCCCACGTCCAGTCCGTCGGCGTTGGCGTTACTGTTGCTGTTGCTGTTTGGCCTGAGGGCGACGTGCATTGGATGTCGCAATTCCAACGGCCCCCTCGCGACATAAACTCTGCCTCCGATCGGGGGGCATGGGAGGTCTGTTTCTAAGCAGAGACATTCCATTTCGTCACCAGTCCTCACGGTACATCGACTTCTACCGTTACAACCACCGAAATCCCTTTCGAGTACCATCACGACCACCACGACAAATAAACCATCGCCCCGACGCGAAACCCCCGATCGATATCTCGAATAACACGCAAAAAACACCACCAGCAATGGACGAGAAGCACCCCTACGCCAACAACACCCCAAACATGTCCGGCCGCCTCGCCCGGAAGAAGAGCCTCTGGCCCGTCGGCCTCATGGCCCTCCTCTTCACCTACAGCGCCTGGAGCTTCGTCCACCCGGCCTCTGCCGTCCCTCGCTCGCAGTTCGTTCCCCAGGAGGCCCCGGTCGCGGTCGAGAACAAGCTGGTCCCCTTGGAGGCGCATATTATGAGCAAATGCCCCGATGCGAGGGTGCGTCGCTACCTCTCGTGGCTGGACGGGACCTTGAAAGTGCTGACAACCGCCCGCAGGATTGCTTGAGGGATCTGGTCTTGCCGACCATGATGAAGGCCCAGGACAAGGTCAACTTCACCCTGTCTTACATCGGCACGTAAGTGGCATGGCCTGTTCCGAGCGCAGTATCGCCAGAGTACTGACCCGGATGGGTGACACGCAGACCGACCGAGAACGACGGAATCGATTGCAAGCATGGCCCGTCCGAATGTACGTCTTGTCGTATTTATCCGCCTCTACCCCAAGTCATGTCTAACTGTGCTCGCAGGTATGGGAAACATCATCGAGCTATGCGCCATACACCTCTACCCTGACCCCAAGATCAACCTCGGCTTCACCATGTGCCTCACCCGCGAATACCAAGCCATTCCCGAGCGCACCCTGGTGGAGGACTGCGCTCTGGAGCATGCCATTGATATCAAGGCCCTGAACGACTGCGCGACCCCGGAAGGCGAACTGGGTATCGGCATGCTGCGCGACAGCGTCCGCAGGAGCAAGGACGTAAGTTGCCATCTCATCTATCATACGAACCATCCCGCTGACCTGCCCAGGCCGGCGTCACCAAGAGCTGCACCGTCCGCCTCAACGAGGAAATCTACTGCATCCGCGACGGCGGGGAGTGGAAGGACTGCCCGCACGGCGCGGGGGTGAACGACCTCGTCCTCGCTATTGAGAAGCAGTACCGCACCTCGAGCCCTTGAGCGGCTCGTACACCTCGGTCCATAGCTCGCTCGCCTCCCCTAGTGTGTAGCTAAGAGAAATCTGTTCCATGCCCGCCTCCTCGTCGCCCTTCATGATCTCCAGCGTCTCCATGATGCTGTCCAGCCCGATCGCCTTGCCCACCGCCTGCGTCGCCCCCGCCTCGAGCTGCACGTGCACGATGTGGATGTGGAAGTGGTAGTACGTCGGCTGGTAGTGCACGTAGAGCTTCAGCTGGTCCACGTCGATCTCGGGGTACTTGGTGACCGTGGCCGAGAGGAGCTTGGCCTTCATGTGCTGCAGCCACGGGATGTGCTTCTTGCGCAGGTCGCGCAGGGACCAGATGTCGCGGCGCTCCACGAGGCCCAGCAGGTGCAGCGACTCGAGCGTCTTGCGGTCCCAGTTCAGGTCCGGGAGGAGCAGGAAGCCCTCGTCGCCCTCCTTGCCGAGCTCCGTCCGGAAGATGACGTCCTCGACCTCGGTGCGGCCCTCGATGATGTTGAAGACCCAGTTCAGCCGGCCCTCGTCGCGCTTGCGCTGCATGTAGGGCCGAACGGCCGAGGCGTACACCTGCGGCGTCTCCGTCACGAGCCGCACGCCCTGCTTGCTGTACTTTTTGACGTGCGCCTCGGTGCAGGGGTAGATGAGGTTGATCTTGAGGTCGGCGAGGGCCGGGTCGGGCGGCGAAGCGGAGGAGGAGACCCCCGTGTTGGCCATGTACCAGTGGTAGATGTCGTTCGCGCCGAGGTTGGAGATGGAGGAGAGGGTCGAGGGCGTCGCCGCGAGGAAGGAGGGGTCTGTCGGGAAGGGGGCGCGTTCGAGGATCAGCAGGGCGGGTTTGGAGTCGATCGTGCCGAGGAGGGAGGTGCGGCGGCCTGCTTGGTCTGGGAGAGGGTTAGGGTCTTCGGATGATGGGTAGGGGAGTGGGTTACGTGCCTTGGTTGAGGACACGCTCGAGCTTGAATCTGGGCACCAGGGCCTCGGCGTTGGCTTTTACGTCGGCCATGGCGTCGTGGGTTGTGCTGTGGGGTGTGTATCTTATGTGCGGATTTCGGTTTTGAGGGAGTGTTGCGCAGAGCAGTGTGAATTGGCCTGCTCTTAGCTGCGATGCGTCGTCAGAAAAGTTGAAGACGGAGGAAGATCGGCGTCCCGTTTGAGCTCGCCGGAGGGCAGAACGGCGCCTCACCCCGCCATCGCGCTACCCCGCGGTGGGGCTGTTGGCCAATTGCTGCCAGGCGTCAATCATCCTCATCTCTGGGAAGAAGCAGACGCCATTTGAACAATGCCAACTTCAATCTTCAATACGGGCTTGGGCTTATTCGCGAGTACCTTAAGCTATCGACAAATATGGATATAAGAAACAACACCACTTCCCGTCCGTCACGGTCCGACCCGTCGAGGAATGTCCACGGTTGATTACGGCTCCTCCACCCGCGTCATGACAGAATAACCCAGTTACGTACGTACGAGCTCCGAATAAGAATCTCACCTCAGCCACGACCTGACGAAGTTGAGTTAAGGGTATGACGCCTCTGAAACTTGTCACCAGAGTCGGCACTCCGCGGCTGGCCGGAAAGACGGGTCAACGCCATCGTCGCCATCGCGAGCCCACACCCCCGTTCCACTCCGCCCCGGAGGTTGAAATCTATCCGATTCCTTCCCCCGGCTTCGTGAGTCGTTCTTTCGGCCGAGAATGCGCGTGGAGGAACCCGAAAAAGACACAAAAGCCCAAGTCTCTGAAGTTATCCCACCGGCCGGAGTGTGTCTGCTGTCGAAATTCCTCTCCAAAGAGGACTGAATTCCCACCGACTTCGCCTGCTGCCTTCGAGTGAAATTCGCGGCCAGGTATGGTGTTCCTCCGTCCCGCATCGGGGCCTGGTTCTCGGCTACGGCACAGCACGGCCACATCTCGACGTCCCACACCGGTTTTTTCGTTTCTGCAAGACCAGTCAGATGCAACGTTTTACGACGGCGTGGAATTGGTGGCACGAGTGAGACGGCAGACTAGGTGTCTTCCCGTACGGATACGGATACACGTCTAGTCCATGGCAATGGTCTACGATGCTGTCCTAATGAACACCCGCCAAACGATGAGTTCCTTCGAGAAGTCCACTTCAGCTGAGATCAGGAACGAAGCTCCACCGCGAAAAATGGCGAGAGCCGGGATGCCAACACGCGGAAGCCTGCCGGCGCCAGGCAGCGGGATTAACCCATCCCACGGTTGAGTGGGTTCCTCGGTCTTTTGCGGCGGTCTATTCAATTCTCGTCTCGGGGCGGAGAGTCGGCCTAACGTCTTTGGTCATCCGCCTCTTTCCATTCGCCAAGCCAGTCCCCGAGCGGGAGGCCGTTGGATCGTCATTCTCGAGTGTTGTCTTCTCAGGGAATTTCCGCATCTTTCCCCACGGCCTGGGTCAAGTGATTTTTCGGGGACAACGCGACTCGTTCGGGTTCAGGTTTATTGGCTTCTCGGGATATTGGAGCAACGCGGACGGCGTTTCAAATGACTCCGTTCGAGAAAAAATGGCGATCTGCTATTCTCCAAGTACACGGCGGCTCCCGCTGTGTTTAGTGCCTCGACGAGATGCCGCCACAACGCTGAATGCATACTCTTCTTGACAAAGCCGGATGGCTGCCGCTTCAGTTCGTGTAGACTACTTAAACTCGACTCCCCCGCTGCTTCTGCCATCCTGAGAAGAAAGCCCACAAGAGCAACCAAGCTGAACAGCAAACATCATATAATTACGAGCAGCCCCAGTTGTACTACACGCGAGCTGCAGCTGCCGTATTCGTACTCGCGGACCAATCCCGTCTACTTCTTGGACGACATACATGACCTGACCAGGTACGTTTGGCAGCACCCAATATCCAACACAGATTCTCTTATGAGCAAATGGAACTTTGGACTCGCTTGTCGTCTCTGTGCGAATCCTTCTGGTAACCCTGCTGTTTGGTTTCCACGTCTTCAGCGCGACAAGGGACGATGACGCTAATCAGCAAAAGCCCATTCGCAGATTTCGGCGGGTTTTAATGTGAATTCACCGAGAAGATATCTCCTACACCCGGCTTCAACTTCGTCTGTATCACTTATAAGACACACTTACTGGACATCGTCCGCCAACAACATCAAGTCAACCCTTGACTCCCATCACCTACGTCGTGCTGTATACCGATAATTCTTGACCAACGCCGTCGGATATGGGTGTCGAGGAGAAGCCCATCCCCGAGCCTTGGGGCCTCCCCTTCCTGGGCCACATCGCAGAGTTCAGCCCGGAGAACCCTCTCCAGGACATCTTTCGTTTGGCGGACACATTCGGTATGCGTTTCCAGTCGGCCTCTCTGTTCGTTTTCTCATCTTTCCAGGTGAAATCTACAGGTTACGCATCCCCGGTGGGAAGACCATGGTCTTCGTCTCCACCAATGCCCTCGTCAACGAGGTGTGCGACGAGACACGCTTCCAAAAGACTCTCAACAACGCCCTCGGTGTAAGCACCATCCCACCACTCCCAGCCGAGATGCATCGCTAATCAAGAACCGCAGGAAGTGAGAAACGTCGCAAGGGACGGGCTCTTCACCGTACGAAAACTCCAGCAACCTCCCCTCGGACCAAAGAAGCGCGCATCACTGACAAAACGTCCCAGGCCAAACCCGACGAAGAGCCCAACTGGGGCATCGCCCACCGCATCCTCATCCCCGCCTTCGGCCCCGTCACCATCCGCGGCATGTTTGACGAGATGCACGACATCGCCACCCAGATGGCCATGAAGTGGGCCCGCCACGGCGCCAACACCCGCATCATGGTCACCGAGGACTTCACCCGCCTCACCCTCGACACCATCGCCCTCTGCTCCATGGGCTTCCGCTTCAACTCGTACTACCGCGAGGAGCTGCACCCCTTCATCACCGCCATGGGCGACGCCCTCGTCGAGTGCGGCAACAGGGACCGGAGGCCCGCCTTCGCAAACTACTTCCTCCGCCGCGCCGAGAACAAGTTCTTCGCCGACATCGAGCTGCTCCGCAAGACCGCCGCCGAGGTCCTGCAGTCGCGCAAGGAGAACCCGTCCGACAGGCGGGACCTGCTGAGCGCCATGTTGAACGGCGTCGATCCGAAGACGGGGAAGAAGATGACGGACGAGAGTATCATCGATAACTTGATCACGTTCCTTATCGCCGGCCATGAGACGACTTCCGGGCTGTTGTCGTTTGCGTTTCACAATCTGCTGAAGAAGCCGGCTGCGTATAGGAAGGCTCAGCAGGAGGTTGATGAGGTTGTCGGAACAGGCCCCATCACCATCGACCATATGTCTAAGCTGCCCTATCTGACCGCTGTAAGCATAACTCAGATGAGACCAGCCTAAGCGGCGGAGTTGCTAATGTATGAGACGGCGACAGGTTCTCCGAGAGACTCTGCGACTCTCAGCAACAATCCCCGCCTTCGGCGTCGAGGCTAAGGAAGACACCCTCTTGGCAGGCAAGTACGCTGTGAAAAAGGGCGAACCCCTCGGCGTCCTCCTCGGCCGCTCACATCTCGACCCCATCGTCTACGGCGACACGGCCAACGAGTTCGACCCACAACGCATGCTCGACGAGAACTTTGAGCGTCTGCAGAAGGAGTTCCCCAACTCGTGGAAACCCTTCGGCAACGGCATGAGGGCCTGCATCGGCCGCCCGTTCGCGTGGCAGGAAGCCCTGCTCGCGACGGCCATGCTCCTGCAGAACTTCAACTTCACGATGGACGACCCCGACTACCAGCTCAAGATCCACGAGACGCTGACCATCAAGCCGAGCGGCTTCTACATGCGCGCCACCCTCAGGCACGGCATGTCGCCCACGGAGCTGGAGCACAGGCTCTCCGGCAGGGCGCAGCCGCACGAAAAGTCTTCGTCGTCGAGGACGGCCGCGCAGACGAACGGCCACCACACCGACACCAACGGCCACAAATCATCCCAAGGCGGCAAGCCCCTGAGCATCTACTACGGCTCCAACAGCGGCACCTGCGAAGCCCTCGCCCAACGCCTCGCCACCGACGCCGCCTCCCACGGCTTCGCGCCCACCGTCGTCGACCCCCTCGACGCCGCCCGCGAGAACCTCCCCAAGGACCACCCCGTCGTCATCGTCACCGCCTCCTACGAGGGCCAACCCCCCGACAACGCCGCCCACTTCGTCGCCTGGCTCGAGTCCCTCAAGGCGGGCGACGAGCTGCAGGGCGTCTCCTACGCCGTCTTCGGCTGCGGCCACCACGACTGGGTCCAGACCTTCCACCGCATCCCCAATCTCGTCGACGACGCCCTTGAGAAGCACGGCGCTCAACGCCTCGTCGAAATTGGCCTCACCGACGCCGCCGAGCGCGACATGTTCAGCGACTTCGAGGTCTGGGAGGACGACGTCCTCTGGCCCGCGCTGGTGGAAAAGTACGGCGGCAATGCCGGCGCTCCGGACCAGCTGAACGGCGACGCCTCCTCCGGGCTGACCGTGCAGGTTACAAACCCGCGCACCTCCGCCCTCCGCCAGGACGTCCGAGAGGCCGTCGTCGCAGACGAGAGGATCCTGACGTCGTCTTCGTCGGACGAAGGTTCGCAGAAGAAGCACATGGACGTCCAACTCCCCCCCGGCGTGAGCTACCGCGCGGGCGACTACCTCGCCGTGCTGCCCCTGAACCCGAGACCCAGCGTCGAGAGGGTCTTCCGGCGGTTCCGGCTCGCATGGGACGCGTGCCTGACCATCTCGGGCGACAAGAGGACTTCCTTGCCCGTGGACCGGCCCCTTTCGGCGGTCGACGTGCTCAGCGCCTACGTCGAACTCGCGCAGCCCGCGACCAAGAGGAACGTCTTGGCCCTGGCGGAGGCCGCGGGTGATGGTGGCGCCGCGGCGCGGGAGTTGGAGAGGCTTGCCGGCGACGAGCATTACCACGAGCAAGTCACGTTGAAGAGGGTCACCGTGCTGGATCTGCTGGAGAGGTTTCCCGAGATCGAGCTGCCTTTCGGGGCGTTCTTGGGGATGTTGCCGCCCATGCGCGTGAGGCAGTAGTAAGTCGCAACCTCCCCCTCCCTGAAGGAGAATGATGCTAACAGCCACAGCTCCATCTCATCATCCCCGCTCCGGAACCCGTCCCAAGCGACGCTAACCTACTCCCTCCTCGACGCGCCCTCCCACTCCGGCTCCGGCCGCCACATCGGCGTCGCGACGAGCTACCTCGCGGGCCTGAAGAAGGGCGACAAACTCCACGTCGCCGTACGTCCCTCCCACGCCGCCTTCCACCTCCCCGCCGAGCCCGAAAAGACCCCCGTCATCCTCGTCGCCGCCGGCTCCGGCGTCGCGCCCTTCAGGGGCTTCGTCCAGGAACGCGCGGCCATGGTCGCCGCGGGGCGGACCCTCGCCCCGGCGCTCCTCTTCTTCGGGTGCCGGAGGCCCGGGGGGGACGACCTGTACCGGGAGGAGTTCGACCGGTGGGAGGGGATGGGCGCCGTGAGCGTGCGGAGGGCCTACTCGCGCGCTCTGGGGGAGAGCGAGGGGTGTAAGTACGTCCAGGACCGGATGTATCGTGATCGGGAGGACGTGGTGAGGTTGTGGGCGCACGGGGCCAGGGTCTATGTGTGCGGTACGAGGAGTGTTGGGAAGGCGGTCGAGGAGGCTTGTGTGAAGGTCCTGGTGGAGGGTGGCGAGGTGGAGGAGGTGAAGGGGTTGGATGCCGAGGGGGCGAGGAGGTGGTTTGAGGGGATGAGGAATGTGAGGTATGCTGTTGATGTGTTTGATTAGACGGATATGAAAGGTTGATTCTTTGATGATTCTCTGGAGACGTATCGACCAGACAGCAAGTATGCTATTATATAAGTCATGATCAGGCAACCTAGTAAAGGATAGGCCTAAACATGCCCGGCATTTCTTCCATATAAGGAAGATACTCCTCCGCCATATCAGGAACGCCTCCCGTCGAGATCACTTTGCAGTACTTGAAAAACGGATCACCCGTTTCCTTCGTCATGGGTCTGAGTACGCAACCTGTATAACCCAAACACCCATCTTTCTTGACACGGCCGTCTTGAAACAGCACCGCCATGTCCCCAATAACCGTGTCGGCCGCGGCCGGCACGGCTACCACGAACCTTCCAGCCGTCGCCGCCAATCTCACTCGTTGCGTGGTGTCGATGTCAAAACTAAAGCCCTCGACCACGGTATTGGAGCCGGTCGTGTAGGCCTGAAAGAACGACATGATTTGGCGTACTGCGAAAGCAATCGCGTGGTCCATGCTAAAAGTGGCAGGCCGATTTTCTAGATTCTGGATATTCTCAGCAGACCGGGAGCTGTTCACGGAATGACCTCGCCAAAAGTCTTCGGAGAATAACTTCATCGGAGGCTCCTCGGTTGTTGAAGGCAAGACGAGGTTTTCAAAGAACTCTACCATTTCAACAGCCCGCGCAGTCTTGGATTCTTTGTAGTCGCTAGCCCCGAAATTCTTCCAGTTGACGTCAAAAACGTGTTTTTCCACCCTCAAAGATTCGCGTGACATCTTTCTTAGAAAACCGAGAACTTCCTCGGGCATTTCGGACGGGTAAGGAAGGATGGGGCTGAGAAAACAAATTTCCATAGGCCCTAATACGGGGGAAACTATGTCATCGACGGCCTGTCCTGGCTTTTGTAGTAACGCGAGAGTGTCTGACGGACTAGCCTGTCCCAGGGGCCATGACAGAGGAGTAGGATGGCTCAGCCATTCGGAAATGCCCCAGTCGGGAACCCAAGACGGCAATTCAAGCCAGCTCGAAGAACTCCCATGTCGCTTGACGCAGCGTAGGAGTTGAGCGTATCCGTGGCACTCGGAGATGTATCTGGCAGTCGAGATGAGAAGTTCCCTCAGGGTAACGTCGTAGTCGACGGTGACAAATGCGGAAACCTCTTCTGGATCGTTGTGCATCCCCATGTATGCGAATACCATGTCTCTCGGGTCTGACGCCCGGCACCTGCCCCTGGACTGAAGAATCCCAAACAGGGTCTGACTTTCTGCATTCAGGTATGTTGATTGCATCTGCTGGAGTGCCGTGCAGTTCGGGCCTTCCGATTCATCTAGAATGGGGATCAAAAGCGAGCAAAGAACTCTCCATCGTAGTCGAAGGGGACCACACTGAACCCATGGATCGCGGGATAACAAAAACTCTTGGAAGACCCAAACTCGGGTAAACCAAGGTAACTCAATCAACTCTTTGATGGCACTTGGCGAAGGTTTTTCCCCCATACGTATGTTCACAGCTCGATTTTCTCTTAGCTGTCTCGGAGAAGCGATGTGCGCGATTCCTTGGGCATCCACGGTAGCGACTCGCGGTGCATTGTTTTGAGCAGCTTCGAAAATCATCTTCGAGTTTGCTGTCAAAGGGCCGAGGTAGATAATCGTGCTCTTCGCATGGGCGTAGATGTTGCCCATCAGCGGTACCTGCCGATTCTTCTCCGGAGTATCGGACTGATTGATGCATAGGGCGTCAGCCCAAACCGTTTGTGTCCGTTTGGGACAAGAATTGCGCAGATGTTGCAAAGCTTCTGCTAAGGATGCTGTGATTTCCACACCAACTCCATCGAGTTCAATGAAACCCCTTCGCGTTGGGTCTCCCCAGACGTAGGAAAGAGCAAGGTACTCGATTTCGAAGTCGGCGTCGCAGTCCGAGATGGTCGTGTTGAAAAGTGAGCCACCCAATGGCGCAGTCGGGTCTGCTGAAGGGTAGAGGACCAAGAGCCTGATGGCATCTGCTTCCTCTAGAGGGGTGTAGCGGTATCCCGACATAACGGGTCTTCTCTCCTGGATTTGAACGAAGATACCAATTGTCTATGATTAGGAGATCGGGAGTGATGATTGTAGAAGAGAAGATGGAGATGCGAGAAGCTCTGGAATTAAAGAAGCGATGATGTGGAGGAAAAATGATGTGACACTGGAGCCTGTCAGAAAGGGGGGCGCAGCTGCCGCAACTGCCTATCAACGTGCGTTCCTGCAAGTTTCCAGGTCGAATAAGTGTTGTTCCACATACGAATTCCCCGAAATGGAAGATGTTATTTCCTATTGGACGACTGTTGGATCAATTAGTCCGCCCGATCATCTGGCCATAAGGTAGGTAGACGACAACAGCCACACACACGCCATCGGATTCGCCTACAAATACAGCAATCAACTGCATGAAATCAAGTGGTAATCACTGATAAGAACGCCTAAAAATGGCTTATGAGATATGCCGGTGATAAGTGGTTGCAGGGCATTCGACTTGTCTCCTTCATTCGTCAAATGCTAGCCGTAGAGCATTTTCGTCTAACTTGATGTGAACCATTAACACACGTCATTTAAGTCCAAATACTCTAGAAACAGAGAGGATGTAGACCAGAGACGACGACAGACAAATTCCTGCAGCCCGGTGTTCTTCCGGCATCTCGACGAAAGGAAATGCGTTCAATGATCTACTGCGACTCGCTTGACGAGGCCAAAGAAATCTACCGTCAGAATCCGCAACCTCCCTTCGTAACTTCAATCATTGCGTTCACAAGATACCAACTCGAGCATGTCGAGGTTTATCATAGTTATGCGTCGGCACGGGAAAGACCAATCTTGTCTCTTGTCTCTCCATCGCTTTCCGAATTGGCTGGTGCTTAAATACCCTAACCCAACCCTGCAGTCAGCTACTTCGTCGGTTTGGTTTAACCGATAGGCCATTGGTACAAATATTCAAGAACTCAGATTTGTGACTTATATGACCGGTAGGAGACTGGTTCTCTCGATTATCTTGTGCTGGTTGGTCTAAGACTCAAAGTCCACTTGCTAGGTCGAACCGCTTACACAGACATGACCTTTCCACGTTCAAAAATACCTGCAATCTAACACCAACCCCGTCCTGCTTTCAAATGTGTTCGTCGATTGAATACACCCGAAACAACAACAATCAAGGACGTACGAACAGGACGAATAGAGTAGGTCTTCCATGGCGAAGCTTCCAGGTATAATGAAGCTGGCATACCTTCAGTCCAGCTACATTGCCGCTGATTGGAAGACTCTTCGTGAAAACCCAGAACCTCCAACATCGTCGTTGGCTTAAGCAGAATTCAAAGAAATTGGAACACTCATGGTTCAAATATATGAGAAGCCCAAAGGGCCGATCGAGAGGAATGTATCGATCCGTTTGCCTTGCAACACCGATGGTGGCGCTGCTGTACACTCTTCGCCTCCGATGGAACCTGTGTGTCAGTATATATCACGAGATACAGAACGTACATGTTACAGTCATGGCCGATAACCGGTGCCCACAGCCAGGTCACAAATGCACGCAGATAACTGACACAGAACATTGAGAGAACGACCCTTCCATTTGACATAAGGGAAGTCAAGGCACAAGATTAGCCAAAATACCGACGATCATGATGTCCCAGATATGATTCTGGGCCGAATAAGTCGAGGACAGTAGTAGCAAGAAGAGACGAGGTTGCGCCGCTGACGAAGATGACGCTTTGCGAGATAAGATGACATCAGTAACATCAGGAATTATGAAGCATTCGACATGGACAACCCATCAGCACCAGACGCGCCCATCACGGGGTTTTAGTCTTCTTGTATTATAGAGAACAGAGATCAAGCCTGTGATTTTATACGCCATGTCATCCAATGACCAGCTATTCTTCCCCATCACCTCGCCATTCCGTTCTATCGCAGACACCGTGTATGGTTTAAAGCGGACTTAGTTACCCTTCAGTCGACTCCCTGATAGACTATATACCACGACGTACCATCCAAGATGAAGGTGGTAAAGCAAACATGGCACCCAGAGCCAGAAGCACCAAAACATAATGTGAGACAACCCCTTGATACATGACAATCATTGATGAACATAGGAAACCCAGAAAAGCAAAGGCCACTGGCGAAGATGAACCTCCCTGGACGCGGTTGAGGACTGAATACCCCAAAGACGAAGACGGTAGACAGAGGGAGGAAAGCTGTACCGCTAGTACAACTCTCAGACATGGTTTCCCATGCCCTGGTGTCAACAAGAAGCACGACGACAACTTAGTCAATCTAGTAAACCAAGAAAACAATGCGTGAAGCAGAAACATCACAGACGTTCGCAAGAATCGTAAATCATTGCCTGGACGTTATGACTTATATGCCAAACCCACCACTAAGTCCCCTCGCCTTTTGAGTCACAGTGTTACAGCACCCACGAGTGACGAGGCGATTGAACCTCTGACATCACCAGTAAGGGACGGGCGTGCACTGGTAGAGGGGTATATATACATAGGGAACCAGACTTATGACTGAAAGAAGATATTGTGACATTAAACCTGCTGTTGCCCGCTTGAGTCATTGTCTTTGAGCGTTGGACGGGTGGGTGTCTCCACAAACGTTGTTAGTAAACCAGCAGCGGTGGCACATTGAGAGCCATAACCGATGAGTGCCTCTTGTTCTACAGTCCTTTCTTTTGAACCTCGGCTGATATGCTGGTGAATACCCGCGAGATGAAGACGGCGGACAGAAGACGCTCACATCCAGAGTAGCAAGCTACCTAATGGGAAACAACGGAACATGTCGATTTACTGCTGGGACTCCAGCGACAACCAGTGTGTCCAAGAGATAGCTCAGCGGCTTTTACGGCGCTGGCCTCGAAAGCCTCAGTAAATTGCTCAAGAGAACGACATCTGACTGGCATGCTTGGATCAGATTGCCTGCAAGAATGTTCTGGCTTTATATCCTAAATCCACCGCCAAGTCCCCCTTCTCTGGCGTAGTCTTGCCGTGCATCAGCATACCTTGTGTGAGGTAGTTCTGACTTTGGTTTCTATGGCAGGAGATGAACGATCACTATGTCAAGTGGATTGTTGGGGGCTGAGTCCGGGCTAACCCCCAAAGACTTCTGACAACATTTCGAATTCCATGCTGTCATAAAATGCTATGAAGGTGAGTAAAGAGTCTTGTGTATGCGCCTGTACACCGAAGAGAAGAAATAGCCGTCGTCACATCCATACAAATACACATTACCAAACAAAAAAGGGGTAGGGGCAAGCGCGGAACGTCTCCTCACCGGAAACACTCTCGCGCATCATCTGTCCCCCCCTTCCCATGCTGTCATTTCTTTTGTGTGGCCGCACTCCATGCCACTCATAAGAACCTCGTCACCGCCCAGAAACGAAACGAATTTTAAGAAAACGTCAACCAAGATAACAACAGCGCAAGGCCCTCATCTCCTCTTGACGTTCCTGACCAGGAAGGCACCGACGACGCCGGCGGCGACGGCAACGCCGCTGATGATGGCGACGCCCATCAGGCCCTCCTTGGCGACCTTGTCGTCGACGAGCTGGCGCAGGTTCGAGGCCTGCAGGTTCGCGGGCTCCTTCTCGAGGAGCAGGTCGTTGTAGCGGCGGGCCTCGCCGTAGTTGCCGAGCTTGAAGTTGCCCAGGGCGAGGTAGTACAGGCACTCGCGGCGGCGCTCGGGGGAGACGCGGAAGATTTCGGAGAGCAGGCGGACGCCTAGTTGCTGGTCGTTGCGGTTGTCTGATTTCACGAGGCCCTGTTGTGGGTGTTGTTTCGTTAGCAGACGCAGACGCAGACGCAGGCGGTGGAGGGGTGGGTAGTCGCGGGAGAAACGGAGGGAGTGAGGGGTGTCGCGAGAGGGAGGGGAAAACATACCCATGCGTAGTTGAACTTGGTCTGCACGCCGACCATCTCGCCTTCCTTCTCATACTGGGCGCGGAGGACCTGGAGCTCGGATGCTTTGAGGGGCCTGCATGTCGGATTCTACGGTCAGCGTTTCCGGATCAGGTCGCAGCTGTGATGTCGCGGGGAAGCGGAGTGGGATGGATGGAGGGAGGTGGGAGAGAAACATACGTCTCCGCGTCCAGGGCGTCTGTGGTCGGGAAGTCAGTCAGTCGAGCTGTCTGCGCGAGAGCATCGCATGGTTGGGGGGAGGGGGAAGGTGGTGGACTTACAGGGAAGATCGACCATTTTTGCGTCAGATGTCGTAGCTTTCGTGAAGTATTCGTTTTTTTTGTCGTCGTTCTCTGGTCGGGTTACCGGCAGCTTTTTTCAGACTCGTCGTGTCTGAAGCTCTATCGTCGTGAGGGTATCGCAATCAAAAAGTCGCAAAAGGAGGATGTGACCGGCTTCCGGATGTGCTGGGCGTGAACGAAGAAAATGGATGATGGCAAACCTGCTTCGGAGGAAAGGCGGAGGATTGAGTGGCTGAAGCTCTGACATCTGAAGATTGTTTGCGTGGGGAACCTGACCGCAGAAGCAGTGTCCACGTCCCTCGGAGGAGGGAGGGGAGGGGGGAGGGGGGGCGTCATGTGTGGCGCGAATGGAACGCAGGGCTGATGACGACGACGGGCGAATGGGATGGATGGGAATCGAAGGTGGAGGCAGGCCCGGGTTGCTTCCGTCACCTGCCGTCCTCCCGTCAGTATGAGTAAGGTACCTACCTCATGTGTAGTCAGCCAGATTGTCGTCCCGGTGATGTTGGCCCCGATAAGCGATAAGCCCGGTATTTTTTTGTTTGGGGGGTTTCCGCTTTGGGATGCCCACCAATCTGTCACTCTTTCTGCTATCAATTAACGACAACGACGACGCGACACAGCAGTAGCAAATCGCGAACTTTCGCAGACCTTCCAAACGTACACTCCCAAACCAGTTGATCACAACATAGACCGTCAAGATGCTTCTACACGAGGAGCCCGCGACGGTAAGCCACTGCGTCCTGCTGCCATCCCACCATGAAGCGTACTGACGGCCATCACACAGCTCATCCAACACACCGTCGAGAACTTCAACATCCAGCCCGACAAGCAAGCCATCGCACGCATCAATGACTCCTACGCGACGCTCCAGCAGGCCCGCGAGATGCGCATTCGCGAGGCCGATGCCGCGCTCAAGAGTACGCACACCCCTTTCAACTCCCAACACAATCGTCCATCAACCCCAAACCCCTCCTCCCTCCCTCCCCAAAACAACAACAAAAGAGTCCTCGCTAACCTCCCCTCCACACAGAGCTCGGCCGCCAACTGAACACAATGTCCGCCCAGCACGCCGAGCTGACGGCAGCGCACTCCTCGACCGCGCACGCCTCGGAGATCGCCCGCCTCGACACGACGAAATTCCGCACCGCCAAAGCCGCCTCCGACGCCGAGATGGAGGCCGAGCGCCTCGCCCAGCAGGCCGCCGACCTCAACGCCCGCCTGCAGGAGCTCGAGATCCAGGGGCTCGACGGCTCCGCCGACGACCAGCAGCGCCGCCGCGACCCCGTCGACGACGAGGTCCTCCTCCGCCTCAAGGTCTACCGCAGCCTCGGCATCGAGATCGAGCGCGACAGCAAGGACGGCGACTTCAGCCGCGCCGTCGTCCGCAACGACCGTAAGGGGGACGTGCACGTCGTCAACCTGGACCCCAAGTTCTCCAAGTTCTTCTACGCCAATTACTTCTGGCAGACGTTGTAGGGGGGGACGAATGGATGGTGTTCTCTTTTTGTGTCTTGTGTTATGACGGCGTTTGGGCGGGATTATGATAGGATACCACAATCGCGGATGAATTTTGATTATAGCTACTGGACTTCCATGAACTCAATTACAAGCGCCTGTGATGTTGACACAACAGAGGAGTGTAGTTGAAAGTTGTTTATTTGCCCGAGTGGGCGTATGAGATGTGATACTGCCAAACGCCTAATACTCCTAAATCCACCCTAATACCATTCCGTGGCTGCCCACACATGGTTGAACGTCTTCATTGCCTTGTTTAGTCCTTGTCCGTGATAACGTCATTGGTTCTACTCCGCCTTCCTCCCATTGCCCGATTCTGGGCCCTTCCGGGTCTCGGTTCCGAGATTCGACATAGGAAAGACACATACAACTCTTACACCGCCCGCCCACTTTGGGGTTTTCTTTTCGCTTCGTCGTTATATAATATGATCATGAATGGAATCGAATTCGGCTTTTTGATACTCCTCACTAGGAAGTGCCGTCTCGTACTCCCTTATCATGCCACGGCGACTTTCCTCACAGCTTTGGGTGATAAGCTGGGGAAGTAGTCCCCGTCAGCGCCATCGAGCGCGGTAAACGCGATATGTGATGCGTTTGTCGGTGTTCTCGCCCTCGAGCTATTGGGAGAAACGAGGGCATAGCCGCCGCGGTTGCTTTCCGGACTCCGGTTGCGTCCGCCCTTCATCATGAGGTAGCCGTCACCGCCTCCCGGAGTGGTAGGTCCGCCACTGGGGCTGCGGTGGTGGTGCCGCTGATATTGACGATCCGGAAGCTCGAGGCGCGAATTGATGGTCGTCCATAACTCGTCGTCGTTACCGTTTCCGAGGCGCCAGCCACCGACACCCTCGTAGTCCCGGTCAATTCCGACGGAGGGGAAAAGTCCGATACCACCACACTCTGAAATTGGGGTAATCGTGCCGACGGAGTGGGCGGACGCGCTGGACGGCCGGCGCGTACGACGTGAACCGGAGCGCCGCGTGGGCGTTAATGATGGAGAAGGGCTGGCGGATGACGGTGCCTTCGACGCGTAAGAGACATAACGCGGGCGTCCGGTGATGTACGAGGGCAGCAACGACAGAGCCAAGTCGAAGTAGACGAGGATGACTCGGAAGATGAGCACGGTGAAGGCGAGCGTCGTCGTGATTCCGGCAAAAATGGCGAGCGGGACGGTGAACAAGAAGAGGAAAGGCACGATGATGGCGTACATGGGGTTGATGAGAGCCATGATTGCAGTCGTAGGGCGGACAGGAGGGGAGGTGCGTGATGCGTTTCTCGGTTGGGATCTCATTCAGACATCTCCTCGAACCTCTCGGGAGTACTGGTTGGTATTCGGTTTATCTGGTCGACGTTGCCGGTTGTGGAAACCAATCGTGACCGGTATCTCCCCGTACCTGAGTCGTACGATCCGCTCGAAGTCGTTCGGTCGGTGGCCCGATCGTTCGATACCGATGTAATACCCCAACACCCAACAGTCGTTTTTTTCCGAGAGTCTCTCTCGCTCTCGACCCAGAGAAACGAGAATGTGTAAGAAAACAGACAGGAGGTAGGTGGATGGACAGCTGGCGACTTTGTACGATAGAATGGCTCGCAGCTGGGGGAATGAGAGCATGCCAAAGTCAAATCCCGGACGGCATGGTGGTGGGCGGGAGAGATATGCTGTAAGAATGGGATGAGACGGAGGGGAGCCGGGAGCGAACTTTCGGACCTTGGAGTTGGTGTCTCCCTGGCGAGTAACAGCAGCAATAGCAACACCCGTACATAAGGTAGTACGGGCAGCACAGAGGGGGAAGGGGGGTCTGAACTGAACTGCAGCTAAATCGGAGGGTAGGTAGGTGTGGCAGTCGTACTTTGTTTTGTCTCTTTCACATGTCGGGGGCTAGCGGCAAAGGCTAGCACCGCCCTTGTCTTCCTTTGCCCTTGTCCTGGTCTGTCTCGTCGGAGGGTTCGATGCAGTGTAACGCTAACAGCCACCGAGGAAGGAAAAATATGGAGAAGCCGAGCTCGCGCTATCAGAAGCTACAGGGTCTCGAGGCTGCGCTACGCCGTCGATGTTGGTTGCCAGTGGTTGCACTGATGATGGAATGGTTGGCTGGATTTGTTACGTGAATGGCTGGCTGGCCAGCGCAGCGGCGCTTTCTGTGCTGTCTCTTGCGCTCAAGCTTTCAGAGTTCCGAGAGTGTTTGGTTTGCCACAGACGGGGACTTCGGAAGGGAAAAAAAAAGAATTTGTGATCTTTTCAGTCCTCGAAGAGCCTGTGTGCTCTCTTTCGTATTCAGAGGTCGTACTTTTTTAGAGACTTCAGTCCGTCCAATATTGCTGCTCAAATCAAAATGTCCCTGGGACGGCGGACGGGGAAACAGAGTTTGCAGTTCCTGGACGGTGTCTCCCATGTGAAGAGAGACGTGTTTCTGACTGACAGAAACGGCTGTGGGGGCAAGCGGAAGAAACAGAGTTTGCCGGGTGAATCAGCGTCTTGACTTATGCGCCTCTGGGCTTGAGAGATTTTCGAGCCTGAGGTCTGCCAGCCAGTGCTCATGTAATGCGGCCATGGCCCTGACCCTTGATGGGAGAGTGACGAAAGACAAGGCCCCGGGCCACCGGAGTTGGGATGGGGAACGTTGTGTGCGTGCGAGCGTGGGCCGACATGCCGCTAATCGTCAGATTTTCCTCTGTTAGGCTGCCGTTTCGGTATCGATGGTGATGAATGCAACCGCAACAGGCAAGATGAGGGCCACAGGTGGTGATTTGACCGAGATAAGAGTCGGACTTTGGCGAGGTGAGGTCAAATTCCCGAAACCGATCGCCAATCGTCTCCGCATCTCCAGACTCCAGACTCCTCCAGATGTGCCAGGGTCAAGGGCAGCGCAGCGTGTTCCGGAGGGTCTGGGGAAGGAACAGGGGGCTGTTCGAACACACCCCGCAGATCCAGACCTGGGCGACAGAGACAGACTCTCCAGTAAAAAGTTGTCGAGGACGGACAACGAGCATGGATGCAGCAAACGGCACATTACCGATGGGCATGTTTATTGGGTGGAGGCAACGTTATGTGCGTGATCAGCAAGCGTTCGCCAATGGACAGACCATCTCCAGATGTGCCAGCGCCAGGGTGGCAGCTATTGTAGATGCCCTGGCCGATGGTGAGTGGTCAATCGGCAGACAAGATTAGGCCGATGTTGGCAATGGTAGGGGAAAGCAATGAAGATGCCTCGCAGGTGCGGAACGTTCAGCATGCCGACTTTCCAATTGCGAGCCACGGCGACATCTGCCGTCCAAGGTTCGACCTGGACAGGCAGCTCAGATCTTGTTGGCTTCCCCGCAAGTTGGATATCGCAAGGGATTTCGAAAATTCAGTCGAGGCCCCGGAGTGATCAAAATCCTGGGGTGCATGCCGCATGTCTTGGTCGTGGGTACTTGGGTATCATCTCCAGTTTCCCCAGACCACAAGAGCACCCCCAGTGTCTGGGTGCTGTCAATGTGCGAGTGAAAATGGCCCATGCCTCCTCATGGTGTTTGGCAGCGCCATCTCGCCAAAAGGTGGATGGACCGAACAGAAGTATCGCCAGAAGCAGCTGCAGAGCTTCTCGAGGGCTTGTGGCTTTGATTGTCGACTGCCAGCGGCGAGCGCAGGTCGCGTTGAGGTTGGGGAACAGCGATGCTTTGTTCGTGAACGCCATCTCCCCCCGTGTCTGTCTATGCCGTCTAGAGTAGCCCCAAGGTGATGGATTGACAAGGCGAGATGAGACTTTTGGCTATCGGAAGGCTTCGGATTGCATTAGCAGGTGCCACTGGGCTTGGTCAGTTTGTTTGGCAACCATGTGATTCGTCGAGATTGGATTCCGCCGGCCAACGACTCACTGTGCAGTGTTCGTACAGGCGTCAAATTGTGTCTGTGTTTTGCATAAATGGCAGATATCCTGTAGCGGTGTCAGGTATTATGCACTAAGCGAAACCGTCGGAGGAAACCGATTGCGCGCGGTGCAGTGGAGGACGAGGACGGACTCAGGAGATGGTCGATGAATGCAATCAGGCCCGTGTCTTGAATACCGAAGAGAAATAAGCACCAGTGCCGAGGTACAAAGACCAGAAGCAGAACAGAAGCAGGAGGCTCGGGCAGGAGAGACACGCAGCGACGGCATGGCACCGGTACCTTAGCACTGACGCTTCCCAAAAAGTCCGGACGGAGAAAAAGGTAAAAAGGTGTTGCTGCAGAGAGAAAGCTGGACGACGCAGTAGGTAAGGGTCTCGAGTGTCTCTCTTTCCCGTTCTCGTTCTCTGTTCCTCCTGCCCTCTTACCTTATCTCCTATGTCCTGCATACCTTCCCTCAGTTCCTTCCTTCCAAGTCCATAGATAACATATTGAATTAGAAAGAACCTGGAAGGCACATCCGACGGGGCACCTCCTTCCTTCAAAGATGACCCGTGGTGTTGCTTCCTTCCTTCCCGACGACACCGCGACCCCCCTTGACATCATTTTACAGAAGACCCACTAATTACCTGTTTCACTCAGGTTCGCGCCTTACCCCGACTGTCTGCCACTGCCCGCGAGCGCCAGCAGCTGCCATGGCATCATCGTGCCTTTTCTAAACCTCCAATACATCGATCGAGACGTTCCACTAAAAATAATCACCTCACTTCACAGCTGTTCCATAGACGTGTGGCAGCCTCTTTTCTCATCTCACCTCTTCGCCAATGATCATCGGCAATAGGACGGTCTACTCTTTCATCACCAACGTCTCGCCAGTACACACCTTGACGTAGCCTGCATCACCACACTTGCCTCGCCCGCGCGCACATCCAGAGCGCCGTCGTATTCGCAAACAACCGCCAAACGACTTAGACCGTCTTGACCGTCCCAGCGTTGACAAAGTCCCTGCTTCTTACCGTTGCCCTACGGCTTCCAGCCATCCCGCTCTCGGCAACCGATTTTCGTCTGGAAAGACCCCAAGGAACGTACTGCCTACCTAAGGTACTCAAGGAAAGCCTGTTACCGATACCCGGTACCTCCACTACCAAGGGGGCCACGCTCGGAGTTGCTTAACCTTACCGACCGACGACTTGCCGTGCCGTCTATCAAACCAACTGCCCTTGAGCCTCAACACTATCTAATCAAACTTGACCTTGGTTTGGGTCCCCGCCTCCCGTCTTCCCCGCTCAGCTAAACCTGGTACTCCGACGACGTTCAGCTCCAGACCGGGAGCATCGACCATCCAACCAGCCCGACATGTGTGGCCAGCATCAAGACGGGCATCACAACCCCGTTGCATCTACCTCGTCTGCGTCGGATTCCTTCCCCTGGGACCATGGAGTGTACGACGCCCACTGCCACCCCACGGACACCATGTCGTCTATCGAGACGATACCCAGCATGCGCGCCTCTGCCTTAACCGTCATGGCAACTCGCAGCCAAGATCAGGCCCTCGTCGCTGAGGTAGCCGCATCCCACGGCGTGCGCTCAAAGTACGAAATGTCTCAGGGCCATCTGATCCCCTGCTTTGGGTGGCATCCCTGGTTTTCCCACCAGCTATTCGACGACACCGTGCCCGAGGCTGAATGGACGTACCGCGAGGACCAGCCCGACGCAAAGAAGCGCCACTACCAGGCCGTCCTAACCCCCGCGCCTGAGGACCCCGGCTTTATTGACGCCTTGCCCACTCCGCGTCCTTTGTCAGTCTTTTTAGCAGATACCCGCACCCGTCTGCAAGATCATCCCCTTGCTCTAGTCGGTGAGGTAGGTCTCGATAAGGCCTTTCGCTTGCCCGAAGGATGGACCAACGACCACCAGTCCTCTCGTGACCAGACCCTTACCCCAGGCGGTCGCGAGGGGCGTCGTTTGGCCTCTCAACACGTCAAGATGCCCCACCAAGTCGCCGTGCTGAAAGCTCAGCTGGCGCTCGCTGGCGAACTAGGCCGACCCGTGAGTGTTCATGGCGTACAGGCCCATGGTGTCCTCCACGATACCCTCGCATCCCTATGGAAGGGTCACGAGAAGGAGGTCATCAGCAAGCGTCAACAAAAGCTCGTCGCTGAGGGAGCCGAGGACCCTGAATCCGAGGACGAGCTAGAGGAAGACGATCTGGGCAGGAAAATGGTGCCGCCCAAGCCGTACCCGCCCCGCATATGCCTCCATTCGTACTCTGGTCCTGCTGAGATGTTGAACCAGTACACTAACAAAGCCATTCCCGCACGGATATTCTTTTCCTTCTCGTCCGCCATCAATCTAGGAACCAAAGCTGGCGCCGACAAGATTGCCGAGGTCGTTGAGGCTTGTCCGGATGACTCCATTTTGATCGAGAGCGACCTGCACGTCGCAGGTGAGGAGATGGACGCCAGGCTCGAAGAGATGTACAGAAAAGTCTGCGAGATCAAGGGCTGGAAGCTCCAAGAGGGCGTCACGCGGATCGGTAAAAACTACCGCCAATTCATCTTTGGTTGATGGGCGCATGGACGATGGGCATAATTAGATACCACTCACCGCTATCAACAAGGGGACCATGATCTTGTTGAGAAACGCGCACACCACATTGTCACCCAACGCAGTCTGCTTCTGTCCAAGTAGTAGTCTCAACTTCAACCTCGGCTGATATGAGTAACGAACTTCGTCTTACCTCAAGTCCAGACCACGACCGGAGCTAGATGGCGGACTGTCTTGATGCCCAGTAACTGAGCATGCGAGACTAGGCTACAGGAGTGCCAAAGAATAGCTCACAGAATTAAGCAGAGCTACAGGGCGACAACGCTATCTGCTATTCATTGTGTTCTCGTTTGCGGTGACTGAGGGATTTATAGGAAAACTTTGGCCCTCAATTTACACCCTCAAACCCAATTTTCTGATTGTGTCATATCGTCGTTCTTCTTTAAATTCTCTCCGGGCAGAAACAGGCGTTTCCCAAGTCGCGTTTCATGGATGTAAACATGGCCTACATCGTCACGGCAGTTGTAGCAAATCCAGAGACAACAAGGATATCTGACGTCGCAATGGGAATGTTTCACGGATGTTCTTCCACGTCAACTTGTGTTAGAGTTGCTCCCCTGGCGTTGTTGAAGTCTGGGGAGCTATGGGATTAATGATGCGCCTAGCAGGACTGCAGGATGAAGAAGTCCCATGGCTTAAGTGAATGGAGAGGACCAAGATCAGCGGTTATCGTAAAGGCCCTCCCTGGGTGGTGTGCTTACCATACAACTGTGACAACATGTTGATCTAGGCGACCTAATTCACAAATCCCCTTCAAGAACATGATCGACTTTTGCGGGCATGTTCATACCGCCCAGATCTTCCATCTCTTCATATCCTCCCCTCAGCGGCTACCCTCAAGACCCAAGCCTCGACCCCTGAGATACACACCCCCGGGACACAAACCGGACTCACGTACGTGGCTCGCTGTATGCGATGACTTTCATGCTCGAGATGACTTACCAGCGTCACCCCCTTCCAAGAAACAACATTGCGGCAAGAATATTCGACGTACCCCCCGATTCCACGGCCAAGAGACGAGACCGCGCGTCAAGATCCGCACTCCCGGTCCCCCCCACGGCGCGAGAAAGTCGTCGGGGAGGGGACCTGCGGCGGTTCTCGAAGTAGAGTAGACCTCAAGATGACCACATCGCACTCCGGACCCCCTTCCACCGGGCATCCTCCCACATAACAGCAGTCCCCGACACAGCCCCGGCTCCTCCCCTCTTCCGCGACTCAACACCACACAATATGTCATCCTTCCAAACTCGGACAAACTCAGTAAACGTAACCGACGGATACACCTACATGTGAGAAGAAAAAAAGTTCAAGCCAGCCCGGAAGTGACCACGAAAGATGCTTGTGACTTCATCTCCAAACACTTATTCTCGTCATGGCTTGCTGCATGCCTCCCTTGAGTCAGAAAGAACTCCCTACCTACCGGTATTTGCATTTAATCTCACTTCACGAAATGGGAACTGGCCGGTGGAATCAACGGGGTCCCAAGATTCTGATTACTCTAAGCGTCTTGCCGCCGACTGAATGCCCAGACGCAACTATTCGTGATTAATCCATCTTTAAATCAACAGCGCGGACGGCCGGTCCCATTCCTCCCATGCAAAAAACACCTTTCATGATAAAAATCCATTAAACGCACAAAGAACGCCCGTATATACATAGAAAAAAAACAATAAGACTGCGGATATCTTCTTAACTACAATGTTCCCTTAAAATAAGCCCCCTTCCTTTTTAATACAACCCAACTCTAGTTCTTGGTCGTGGTATCCCCGAGCACGTCATCGATCCCCTCAGCAGGCCCATCCGAAGTGCTCGGCGTGTAGTCGCTCGAGCCGGGGGTGTAGCTGCTGAAGCCGTCGCTGACGACGACCGAGGGCGCGGCCTCGTCGTAGGTCGGCAGCGCGTCGTCGACCATGTAGTCGGCGAAGGCGGTCGTGGGACTGGGGGGCGTGGCAAATCGCTGCTGGTGTTGGTGCTGGGGCTGGTAGGCGAAGTGGCTTTGTTGTTGTTGTTGTTGCTGCTGCTGCTGCTGGCGCTGCGCCATCATCATCTGCCTGCGCTCGCGGGCCTCCTCGGCGGCGACCATCTCGGTGACCATGGTTGCGGCGTTGCGGAACTCGGTGATCTCCTGGGCCATGGACTCGTCGTCGTACGAGTCGTTGTCGTCGCGGTGAAGAGAGGCGGCGGAGTCGGAGCGGCAGCGGCCGCCGGAAAGGAAGGCCTGCTTCTCCTCGTCCGCGACGGAGTCGGCGGCGCGGGCGGCGAAGATGCGGGTCCAGAGAGCCGGGAGGGAGGCGGTGAAAGCTGCCTTGCGAGCCTCACGGGCGTCACGGCGGCGTTGGCGGCGGGCACGGCGGTCTGCACGGCGGGTGGAGGTTGAGGTTGAGGATGAGGACGAGGCGATGCGGGCGCGGATGAAGAAGATGAGGCCGAGGAAGACAATCACGGCGCCGGAGATCTTAGCGAAGAGGGGGATGCCGTGGGGGGGAGGGGGAGGGCCGTGATGGTGGCCGTTGTGGGGGTGAGGGCGGCGGTGGTCGAAGGGG